ATCCCAAAGTGTTCCTAAATATACTGAACCAAAGCTTCCATTCCCAAGTAGGTTGCTCTCGTTGAAGTCATTGGTTGCCCGCACAAGTTCGAGGTAAGATATCCGTTTCCAGGACTGAAGTAAGGATACTTCATCAGCAGGGAGTTTTGTGCTTGATTTTGTGAAGTTAGAGTGCAATTTTCATACTTATGTAAGTTACAAATTTTAATCTATGTGATTAATTAATACTATAATTCTATGTAATTATTTTTAAGGCACAAATATAAAATCCAACCAAGGTATTATTTTTAAGGCACAAATATAAAATCCAACCAATGTATTATTTTTAAGGCACAAATATAAAATCCAACCAATATATAATAATAAATAAGATAGACAAAGAGAATTAATTAATATAATGTTTGATTACATTTATTTATTTAAATATGCTTAGTTAGAATAAGTCTTTTTTAAAAAAAAAAATTGAATTGAATTATAGTAGTAGTAAATTATAAAATAAAATATAACTGAAAATATATATTTAATAATTTTAAAATATAATAAATAAGGTAATTTTGGTAATATTTCCTTATATTAACTAACGGTCATATCACATTTCCTTTAAATATTTGGTTTAATATTTTATTTTATCCAATTCTTTTGGTTTAATTTTCTTGCGTGGTGGTGGTCGGTGCTGAGGAGCAAGTGCGCGGTGGAGAGAAACCGCCGGAAGCAAATGAACGACCATCTCGCCGTCCTTGGTTCTCTCATGCCTTGCTTCTACGAGTAAGTATTTAATTAATTAACTAATTTAGGGTTTACGAGGTTTAATTGGGGGATTATCAGATGGTGATTAACTAACAAGATGATGGATGTATATATATATATATATATATATATTAGGGCGGCGAGAGCAGGCGTCCATAATCGGCGGCGGTCGGTGCTTGGGAGCAAGTGCGCGGTGGAGAGAAACCGCCGGAAGCAAAAGAACGACCATCTCGCCGTCCTTGGTTCTCTCATGCCTTGCTTCTACGAGTAAGTATTTAATTAATTAACTAATTTAGGGTTTATGAGGTCTAATTTGGGGATTTTGGGGATTATCAGATAGATTAACTAACAAGCTTCTACATCCAGGAACTGCAGCAAATCTTGCGAGGCCAAGAAGCAGCGCATTCGGAAGCAGTGGTTCTAATTTGGTAATTAATTTGATTTTGATTTTGATTCTTGATTCTTGAATTTTGATTGTTGATTCTTGATTCTTGATTCTTGATTTTTGATCGTCAAGATCATCATCAGTTTGGTTTGAGCTCTAAAATCCTGATTGATTCCTAAACTATTTGTGTGCCAAAACTGGAAATGAATAATTAAATGCAGTGTTGGATTCTTTCTTGTGGATCTACACGGTAATTAATTTGATTTTTATTTTTGATTAGAGAATGTTTTTCGTGTATGAGATAGAGAGAGAAGAAAAGAGCAGGGCACTATTTTGTTTTTGTTTCTACTTGTTTCCTAAATGATTGGTGTAATCTCGATAGACAGATAGATAGATAGACATTCACCTATTGATAAAATATTATTAATTTTAGTCTACTAAAATAATAAAATGTTCCATACGACTCGGATGGTAAGAATAATATTTAGACTATTACTTTCTCAAAAATATTAAATCGAAATTCTATTTAAACCAAAATTTAAAGAAAGACTTAATTTTAAATAAAAACCAAACAAATTCCACTATTTTAAAATAGAAGGAATAAACCTTATATTCTATCGATTCAAATATAAGTGATGTTAATATAATTGCCTTTGGCCTATATATATACATACTAATATCTATTGTAAATTATTTTAGATGCATACGAGATAGAGCGGCCGGATGAGCGCACTACCGAAGACAAAACAGGGAGTTTTTCGTACTCTTCTATTTTACATTAATCCATTGCATTTATTTTATCATATTGCATATAGAGTTAGGATTATTTTTACGTCCCGGGACTTGCATTCATGCATTAATTTTGTTTCTTAATTTTATACTAACATGTTTTTTAGTATTTTTAGTTTGTAGGTACAGCTTTTGGAGAGAGCGGCCGGATGAGCGCACTACCGAAGACAAAACAGGGAGTTTTTCGTACTCTTCTCTTTTACATTAATGCATTGCATTTATTTTATCATATTGCATATAGAGTTAGGATTATTTTTACGTCCCGGGACTTGCATGCATGCATTAATTTTGTTTCTTAATTTTTATACTAACATATTTTTTAGTGTTTTTAGTTTGTAGGTCCAGCTTTTGGGGAGAGCGGCCGGATGAGCGGACTACCGAAAACACAACAGGGAGTTTTTCGTACTCTTCTCTTTTACATTAATGCATTGCATTTATTTTATCATATTGCATATAGAGTTAGGATTATTTTTACGTCCCGGGACTTGCATGCATGCATTAATTTTGTTTCTTAATTTTATACTAACATATTTTTTAGTGTTTTTAGTTTGTAGGTACAGCTTTTGGAGGAGAGCGGCCGGATGAGCGGACTACCGAAGACAAAACAGGGAGTTTTTCGTACTCCTCTCTTTTACATTAATGCATTGCATTTATTTTATCATATTGCATATAGAGTTAGGATTATTTTTACGTCCCGGGACTTGCATGCATGCATTAATTTAGTTTCTAATTTTATACTAACATATTTGTTAGTGTTTTTAGTTTGTAGGTACAGCTTTTGGGGAGAGCGGCCGGATGAGCGGACTACCGAAGACACAACAGGGAGTTTTTCGTACTCTTCTCTTTTACATTAATGCATTGCATTTATTTTATCATATTGCATATAGAGTTAGGATTATTTTTACGTCTCGGGACTTGCATGCATGCATTAATTTTGTTTCTTAATTATATACTAACATATTTTTTAGTGTTTTTAGTTTGTAGGTACAGCTTTTGGGGAGAGCGGCCGGATGAGCGGACTACCGAAGACAAAACAGGGAGTTTTTCGTACTCTTCTCTTTTACATTAATGCATTGCATTTATTTTCTCATATTGCATATAGAGTTAGGATTATTTTTACGTCCCGGGACTTGCATGCATGCATTAATTTGTTTCTTAATTTTATACTAACATATTTTTTAGTGTTTTTAGTTTGTAGGTACAACTTTTGGAGAGAGCGGCCGGATGAGCGGACTACCGAAGACAAAACAGGGAGTTTTTCGTACTCTCTCTTTTACATTAATGCATTGCATTTATTTTATCATATTGCATATAGTGTTAGGATTATTTTTACGTCCCAGGACTTGCATGCATGCATTAATTTGTTTCTTAATTTTATACTAACATATTTTTTAGTGTTTTTAGTTTGTAGGTACAGCTTTTGGGGAGAGCGGCCGGATGAGCGGACTACCGAAGACAAAACAGGGAGTTTTTCGTACTCTTCTCTTTTACATTAATGCATTGCATTTATTTTCTCATATTGCATATAGAGTTAGGATTATTTTTACGTCCCGGGACTTGCATGCATGCATTAATTGTGTTTCTTAATTTTATACTAACATATTTTTAGTGTTTTTAGTTTGTAGGTACAGCTTTTGGATAGAGCGGCCGGATGAGCGGACTACCGAAGACAAAACAGAGAGTTTTTCGTACTCTTCTCTTTTACATTAATGCATTGCATTTATTTTATCATATTGCATATAGAGTTAGGATTATTTTTACGTCCCGGGACTTGCATGCATGCATTAATTTTGTTTCTTAATTTTATACTAACATATTTATTAGTGTTTTTAGTTTGTAGGTACAGCTTTTGGGGAGAGCGGCCGGATGAGCGGACTACCGAAGACAAAACAGGGAGTTTTTCGTACTCTTCTCTTTTACATTAATGCTTTGCATTTATTTTATCATATTGCATATAGAGTTATGATTATTTTTACGTCCCGGGACTTGCATGCATGCATTAATTTTGTTTCTTAATTTTATACTAACATATTTTTTAGTATTTTAGTTTGTAGGTACAGCTTTCGGGGAGAGCGGCCAGATGAGCGGACTACCGAAGACAAAACAGGCTGTTTTTCGTACTCTTCTCTTTTACATTAATGCATTGCATTTATTTTCTCATATTGCATATAGAGTTAGGATTATTTTTACGTCCCTGGACTTGGCTGTGGCTGTCAATAATCATCATTTCTTAATTTAGACTAACATTTTTAGTGTTTTTAGTTTGTAGTACAGCTTTTGGAGAGAGCGGCCGGATGAGCGGACTACCGAAGACAAAACAGGGAGTTTTTCAAACTCTTCTCTTTTACATTAGCATTGCTTTATTTTATCATATTGCATATAGAGTTATGATTACTTTTACTGCAACGGCTGCACCATCCCAAAGTGTTCCTAATTATACTGAACCAAAGCTTTTTAGTGTTTTTAAGTCATTGGTTGCCCGCACAAGTTCGAGGTAAGATATCCGTTTCCAGGACTGAAGTAAGGATACTTCATCAGCAGGGAGTTTTGTGCTTGATTTTGTGAAGTTAGAGTGCAATTTTCATACTTATGTAAGTTACAAATTTTAATCTATGTGATTAATTAATACTATAATTCTATGTAATTATTTTTAAGGCACAAATATAAAATCCAACCAAGGTATTATTTTTAAGGCACAAATATAAAATCCAACCAATGTATTATTTTTAAGGCACAAATATAAAATCCAACCAATATATAATAATAAATAAGATAGACAAAGAGAATTAATTAATATAATGTTTGATTACATTTATTTATTTAAATATGCTTAGTTAGAATAAGTCTTTTTTAAAAAAAAAATTGAATTGAATTATAGTAGTAGTAAATTATAAAATAAAATATAACTGAAAATATATATTTAATAATTTTAAAATATAATAAATAAGGTAATTTTGGTAATATTTCCTTATATTAACTAACGGTCATATCACATTTCCTTTAAATATTTGGTTTAATATTTTATTTTATCCAATTCTTTTGGTTTAATTTTCTTGCGTGGTGGTGGTCGGTGCTGAGGAGCAAGTGCGCGGTGGAGAGAAACCGCCGGAAGCAAATGAACGACCATCTCGCCGTCCTTGGTTCTCTCATGCCTTGCTTCTACGAGTAAGTATTTAATTAATTAACTAATTTAGGGTTTACGAGGTTTAATTGGGGGATTATCAGATGGTGATTAACTAACAAGATGATGGATGTATATATATATATATATATATATTAGGGCGGCGAGAGCAGGCGTCCATAATCGGCGGCGGTCGGTGCTTGGGAGCAAGTGCGCGGTGGAGAGAAACCGCCGGAAGCAAATGAACGACCATCTCGCCGTCCTTGGTTCTCTCATGCCTTGCTTCTACGAGTAAGTATTTAATTAATTAACTAATTTAGGGTTTATGAGGTCTAATTTGGGGATTTTGGGGATTATCAGATAGATTAACTAACAAGCTTCTACATCCAGGAACTGCAGCAAATCTTGCGAGGCCAAGAAGCAGCGCATTCGGAAGCAGTGGTTCTAATTTGGTAATTAATTTGATTTTGATTTTTGATTCTTGATTCTTGAATTTTGATTGTTGATTCTTGATTCTTGATTCTTGATTTTGATCGTCAAGATCATCATCAGTTTGGTTTGAGCTCTAAATCCTGATTGATTCCTAAACTATTTGTGTGCCAAAACTGGAAATGAATAATTAAATGCAGTGTTGGATTCTTTCTTGTGGATCTACACGGTAATTAATTTGATTTTTATTTTTGATTAGAGAATGTTTTTCGTGTATGAGATAGAGAGAGAAGAAAAGAGCAGGGCACTATTTTGTTTTTGTTTCTACTTGTTTCCTAAATGATTGGTGTAATCTCGATAGACAGATAGATAGATAGACATTCACCTATTGATAAAATATTATTAATTTTAGTCTACTAAAATAATAAAATGTTCCATACGACTCGGATGGTAAGAATAATATTTAGACTATTACTTTCTCAAAAATATTAAATCGAAATTCTATTTAAACCAAAATTTAAAGAAAGACTTAATTTTAAATAAAAACCAAACAAATTCCACTATTTTAAAATAGAAGGAATAAACCTTTATATTCTATCGATTCAAATATAAGTGATGTTAATATAATTGCCTTTGGCCTATATATATACATACTAATATCTATTGTAAATTATTTTAGATGCATACGAGATAGAGCGGCCGGATGAGCGCACTACCGAAGACAAAACAGGGAGTTTTTCGTACTCTTCTATTTTACATTAATCCATTGCATTTATTTTATCATATTGCATATAGAGTTAGGATTATTTTTACGTCCCGGGACTTGCATGCATGCATTAATTTTGTTTCTTAATTTTATACTAACATGTTTTTTAGTATTTTTAGTTTGTAGGTACAGCTTTTGGAGAGAGCGGCCGGATGAGCGCACTACCGAAGACAAAACAGGGAGTTTTTCGTACTCTTCTCTTTTACATTAATGCATTGCATTTATTTTATCATATTGCATATAGAGTTAGGATTATTTTTACGTCCCGGGACTTGCATGCATGCATTAATTTTGTTTCTTAATTTTATACTAACATATTTTTTAGTGTTTTTAGTTTGTAGGTCCAGCTTTTGGGGAGAGCGGCCGGATGAGCGGACTACCGAAAACACAACAGGGAGTTTTTCGTACTCTTCTCTTTTACATTAATGCATTGCATTTATTTTATCATATTGCATATAGAGTTAGGATTATTTTTACGTCCCGGGACTTGCATGCATGCATTAATTTTGTTTCTTAATTTTATACTAACATATTTTTTAGTGTTTTTAGTTTGTAGGTACAGCTTTTGGAGAGAGCGGCCGGATGAGCGGACTACCGAAGACAAAACAGGGAGTTTTTCGTACTCCTCTCTTTTACATTAATGCATTGCATTTATTTTATCATATTGCATATAGAGTTAGGATTATTTTTACGTCCCGGGACTTGCATGCATGCATTAATTTAGTTTCTTAATTTTATACTAACATATTTGTTAGTGTTTTTAGTTTGTAGGTACAGCTTTTGGGGAGAGCGGCCGGATGAGCGGACTACCGAAGACACAACAGGGAGTTTTTCGTACTCTTCTCTTTTACATTAATGCATTGCATTTATTTTATCATATTGCATATAGAGTTAGGATTATTTTTACGTCTCGGGACTTGCATGCATGCATTAATTTTGTTTCTTAATTATATACTAACATATTTTTTAGTGTTTTTAGTTTGTAGGTACAGCTTTTGGGGAGAGCGGCCGGATGAGCGGACTACCGAAGACAAAACAGGGAGTTTTTCGTACTCTTCTCTTTTACATTAATGCATTGCATTTATTTTCTCATATTGCATATAGAGTTAGGATTATTTTTACGTCCCGGGACTTGCATGCATGCATTAATTTTGTTTCTTAATTTTATACTAACATATTTTTTAGTGTTTTTAGTTTGTAGGTACAACTTTTGGAGAGAGCGGCCGGATGAGCGGACTACCGAAGACAAAACAGGGAGTTTTTCGTACTCTCTCTTTTACATTAATGCATTGCATTTATTTTATCATATTGCATATAGTGTTAGGATTATTTTTACGTCCCAGGACTTGCATGCATGCATTAATTTGTTTCTTAATTTTATACTAACATATTTTTTAGTGTTTTTAGTTTGTAGGTACAGCTTTTGGGGAGAGCGGCCGGATGAGCGGACTACCGAAGACAAAACAGGGAGTTTTTCGTACTCTTCTCTTTTACATTAATGCATTGCATTTATTTTCTCATATTGCATATAGAGTTAGGATTATTTTTACGTCCCGGGACTTGCATGCATGCATTAATTTTGTTTCTTAATTTTATACTAACATATTTTTTAGTGTTTTTAGTTTGTAGGTACAGCTTTTGGATAGAGCGGCCGGATGAGCGGACTACCGAAGACAAAACAGAGAGTTTTTCGTACTCTTCTCTTTTACATTAATGCATTGCATTTATTTTATCATATTGCATATAGAGTTAGGATTATTTTTACGTCCCGGGACTTGCATGCATGCATTAATTTTGTTTCTTAATTTTATACTAACATATTTATTAGTGTTTTTAGTTTGTAGGTACAGCTTTTGGGGAGAGCGGCCGGATGAGCGGACTACCGAAGACAAAACAGGGAGTTTTTCGTACTCTTCTCTTTTACATTAATGCTTTGCATTTATTTTATCATATTGCATATAGAGTTATGATTATTTTTACGTCCCGGGACTTGCATGCATGCATTAATTTTGTTTCTTAATTTTATACTAACATATTTTTTAGTATTTTTAGTTTGTAGGTACAGCTTTCGGGGAGAGCGGCCAGATGAGCGGACTACCGAAGACAAAACAGGGTGTTTTTCGTACTCTTCTCTTTTACATTAATGCATTGCATTTATTTTCTCATATTGCATATAAAGTTAGGATTATTTTTACGTCCCGGGACTTGCATGCATGCATTAATTTTGTTTCTTAATTTTAGACTAACATATTTTTTAGTGTTTTTAGTTTGTAGGTACAGCTTTTGGAGAGAGCGGCCGGATGAGCGGACTACCGAAGACAAAACAGGGAGTTTTTCGTACTCTTCTCTTTTACATTAATGCATTGCATTTATTTTATCATATTGCATATAGAGTTATGATTATTTTTACGTCCCGGGACTTGCATGCATGCATTAATTTTGTTTCTTAATTTTATACTAACATATTTTTTAGTGTTTTTAGTTTGTAGGTACAGCTTTCGGGGAGAGCGGCCAGATGAGCGGACTACCGAAGACAAAACAGGGTGTTTTTCGTACTCTTCTCTTTTACATTAATGCATTGCATTTATTTTATCATATTGCATATAGAGTTAGGATTATTTTTACGTCCCGGGACTTGCATGCATGCATTAATTTGTTTCTTAATTTTATACTAACATATTTTTTAGTGTTTTTAGTTTGTAGGTACAGCTTTTGGGGAGAGCGGCCGGATGAGCGGACTACCGAAGACAAAACAGGGAGTTTTTCGTACTCTTCTCTTTTACATTAATGCATTGCATTTATTTTCTCATATTGCATATAGAGTTAGGATTATTTTTACGTCCCGGGACTTGCATGCATGCATTAATTTTGTTTCTTAATTTTATACTAACATATTTTTTAGTGTTTTTAGTTTGTAGGTACAGCTTTTGGATAGAGCGGCCGGATGAGCGGACTACCGAAGACAAAACAGAGAGTTTTTCGTACTCTTCTCTTTTACATTAATGCATTGCATTTATTTTATCATATTGCATATAGAGTTAGGATTATTTTTACGTCCCGGGACTTGCATGCATGCATTAATTTTGTTTCTTAATTTTATACTAACATATTTATTAGTGTTTTTAGTTTGTAGGTACAGCTTTTGGGGAGAGCGGCCGGATGAGCGGACTACCGAAGACAAAACAGGGAGTTTTTCGTACTCTTCTCTTTTACATTAATGCTTTGCATTTATTTTATCATATTGCATATAGAGTTATGATTATTTTTACGTCCCGGGACTTGCATGCATGCATTAATTTTGTTTCTTAATTTTATACTAACATATTTTTTAGTGTTTTTAGTTTGTAGGTACAGCTTTTGGGGAGAGCGGCCGGATGAGCGGACTACCGAAGACAAAACAGGGAGTTTTTCGTACTCTTCTCTTTTACATTAATGCATTGCATTTATTTTCTCATATTGCATATAGAGTTAGGATTATTTTTACGTCCCGGGACTTGCATGCATGCATTAATTTTGTTTCTTAATTTTATACTAACATATTTTTTAGTGTTTTTAGTTTGTAGGTACAGCTTTTGGATAGAGCGGCCGGATGAGCGGACTACCGAAGACAAAACAGAGAGTTTTTCGTACTCTTCTCTTTTACATTAATGCATTGCATTTATTTTATCATATTGCATATAGAGTTAGGATTATTTTTACGTCCCGGGACTTGCATGCATGCATTAATTTTGTTTCTTAATTTTATACTAACATATTTATTAGTGTTTTTAGTTTGTAGGTACAGCTTTTGGGGAGAGCGGCCGGATGAGCGGACTACCGAAGACAAAACAGGGTGTTTTTCGTACTCTTCTCTTTTACATTAATGCATTGCATTTATTTTCTCATATTGCATATAGAGTTAGGATTATTTTTACGTCCCGGGACTTGCATGCATGCATTAATTTTGTTTCTTAATTTTATACTAACATATTTCTTAGTGTTTTTAGTTTGTAGGTACAGCTTTTGGAGAGAGCGGCCGGATGAGCGGACTACCGAAGACAAAACATGGAGTTTTTCGTACTCTTCTCTTTTACATTAATGCATTGCATTTATTTTATCATATTGCATATAAAGTTAGGATTATTTTTACGTCCCGGGACTTGCATGCATGCATTAATTTTGTTTCTTAATTTTGTACTAACATATTTATTAGTGTTTTTAGTTTGTAGGTACAGCTTTTGGGGAGAGCGGCCGGATGAGCGGACTACCGAAGACAAAACAGGGAGTTTTTCGTACCCTTCTCTTTTACATTAATGCTTTGCATTTATTTTATCATATTGCATATAGAGTTATGATTATTTTTACGTCCCGGGACTTGCATGCATGCATTAATTTTGTTTCTTAATTTTATACTAACATATTTTTTAGTGTTTTTAGTTTGTAGGTACAGCTTTTGGGGAGAGCGGCCGGATGAGCGGACTACCGAAGACAAAACAGGGAGTTTTTCGTACTCCTCTCTTTTACATTAATGCATTGCATTTATTTTCTCATATTGCATATAGAGTTAGGATTATTTTTACGTCCCGGGACTTGCATGTATGCATTAATTTTGTTTCTTAATTTTATACTAACATATTTTTTAGTATTTTTAGTTTGTAGGTACAGCTTTCGGCGAGAGCGGCCGGATGAGCGGACTACCGAAGACAAAACAGGGAGTTTTTCGTACTCTTCTCTTTTACATTAATGCATTGCATTTATTTTATCATATTGCATATAGAGTTAGGATTATTTTTACGTCCCGGGACTTGCATGCATGCATTAATTTTGTTTCTTAATTTTATACTAACATATTTTTTAGTGTTTTTAGTTTGTACGTACAGCTTTCGGCGAGAGCGGCCGGATGAGCGGACTACCGAAGACAAAACAGGGAGTTTTTCGTACTCTTCTCTTTTACATTAATGCATTGCATTTATTTTTTCATATTGCATATAGATTTAGGATTATTTTTATGTCCGGGGACTTGCATGCATGCGTTAATTTTGTTTCTTAATTTTATACTAACATATTTTTTAGTGTTTTTAGTTTGTGGGTCATTATAACATTGTTTAATACTCCATATATAGTTAGATAAATATATATGTATATTATTTTATTTGTATTTAAAATGTTATATATTTTGGCTTTGTTTTGTTTAGGTTACATCAATTTTATAATTTGGCACTATTTATATTTCAAATTTAAATATCATACTATTTATTGCTAAAACTCTTGTTTGTTTGGTTAAAAACAACATCATATTTTTCAAAATATATGTATATATTATATATTTATTATTTTTATATTATTTACATAATTTATTGTATTAACATTTTTAGAAAAAAAATCCTTCAAATTATTTTACTAAACAAACAGACTAACTCCAAAAGTCTTTCTCTAAATTATTTAAAAAAAAATTACTATTACTGTAATAATACAAACTCCTTTAAACATATATAGCTATATTTCTAAATATAGTGTAATTTAATAAATTAATTGTAATATTATTTTATTAGTTTTTATGTAAATGATGTTATTATTTTTATAATAAATTTAATATACATTATTAAAATAAATTTAAAGCATGTTTTTAAATATTTTAAATATTATATATATATATAAAAAAAATTATAACATTTTTGTAGAAAACACTGACAGACACGTGTTTTCCGGTGTACCACGTAGACAGTTTATTTATTTTTTTAATCATATATATATATATTAATTCTTACTTGAAAAATACTAATAACTCTATCCACGTAAAAATAATAAAATAATATAATAAATTTATTATTGTTAATTTACTAAACTCTATTACTTTAAATATTATATGACTAATTAAACGAGGTTGTTGAAATTAAACGAGGTTGAATATAAACAATAATGAAAACCAATGCATTATTCAATTACACTGGTTTGATGTCTAACATGTGTATATATTGTATCTATAATGATGATGTTTCTTGTAGCTTTTACTTTACTATTATTTTTATAAAACATATCATTTAATTATATAGTTCTATCTTCTAATAATAAAATGTTACTTTGGTATTTTATTACGTGTCAACTTGATGGAGGAGGAATTTAAACCTCCATAAAAAAATAAATATATTTTTTTATATCACCTAAACAATAATAAAAATAAAAACCCACTCAAAGCAAATTAAACACACTAGTGTTTTGTGTAATTGCCCACCCTCCTCCATCACCCTCTACTCGATCTTTCTTGAAATTCAATATACACACAGAGAGAGGTGAAGAGATGAGATGTAAACTTACTAGTTAGTTAGACTTTTGAGCATCCACGATTCAGGAACAAAGGCAAAATCGGTTCTTGCAATCATTCATGCCTAGCTCTACCAAAACAACACCTTTCTCTGTCTAATTAAGCAAATGACATTGTAGTAGTATTTCTTTATATTATTGCATTGGATTGTCTCCTCTCCTCTCCTCAAAACTCACATTTACACACACACATGCTAGCTGCTGATACACTCCAAATTAAAGGCTATAGCACAGCACACCATGCCTTCTCCCCCAACTCTGGCTTTCTCTCTACTAACTAACCAGTAGCCATGGGGAAATATTTATTTATTTATTTTATTCCTGGACCTGGCTGTGGCTGTCAATATCATCATTTCATTAGTATTAGTATCTTGATCAAATTCCATTTATCCAGGCTCCCCCTCGGCATATACTCCAAAATCAAAGCCTTGAAATCTTCATTGCTGCAGCAGCCAAGTATCTTGATCAAATTCCGATGGCGAATACCACTCAGCACACCCGCCTCTGTCTCAAAACTGTTGGCTGCCTTATCAGATTCTATATTGAAAACTTTTACTGCAACGGCTGCACCATCCCAAAGTGTTCCTAAATATACTGAACCAAAGCTTCCATTCCCAAGTAGGTTGCTCTCGTTGAAGTCATTGGTTGCCCGCACAAGTTCGAGGTAAGATATCCGTTTCCAGGACTGAAGTAAGGATACTTCATCAGCAGGGAGTTTTGTGCTTGATTTTGTGAAGTTAGAGTGCAATTTTCATACTTATGTAAGTTACAAATTTTAATCTATGTGATTAATTAATACTATAATTCTATGTAATTATTTTTAAGGCACAAATATAAAATCCAACCAAGGTATTATTTTTAAGGCACAAATATAAAATCCAACCAAGGTATTATTTTTAAGGCACAAATATAAAATCCAACCAATGTATTATTTTTAAGGCACAAATATAAAATCCAACCAATGTATAATAATAAATAAGATAGACAAAGAGAATTAATTAATATAATGTTTGATTACATTTATTTATTTAAATATGCTTAGTTAGAATAAGTCTTTTTTAAAAAAAAAATTGAATTGAATTATAGTAGTAGTAAATTATAAAATAAAATATAACTGAAAATATATATTTAATAATTTTAAAATATAATAAATAAGGTAATTTTGGTAATATTTTCTTATATTAACTAACGGTCATATCACATTTCCTTTAAATATTTGGTTTAATATTTTATTTTATCCAATTCTTTTGGTTTAATTTTCTTGCGTGGTGGTGGTCGGTGCTGAGGAGCAAGTGCGCGGTGGAGAGAAACCGCCGGAAGCAAATGAACGACCATCTCGCCGTCCTTGGTTCTCTCATGCCTTGCTTCTACGAGTAAGTATTTAATTAATTAACTAATTTAGGGTTTACGAGGTTTAATTGGGGGATTATCAGATGGTGATTAACTAACAAGATGATGGATGTATATATATATATATATATATTAGGGCGGCGAGCAGGCGTCCATAATCGGCGGCGGTCGGTGCTTGGGAGCAAGTGCGCGGTGGAGAGAAACCGCCGGAAGCAAATGAACGACCATCTCGCCGTCCTTGGTTCTCTCATGCCTTGCTTCTACGAGTAAGTATTTAATTAATTAACTAATTTAGGGTTTATGAGGTCTAATTTGGGGATTTTGGGGATTATCAGATAGATTAACTAACAAGCTTCTACATCCAGGAACTGCAGCAAATCTTGCGAGGCCAAGAAGCAGCGCATTCGGAAGCAGTGGTTCTAATTTGGTAATTAATTTGATTTTGATTTTTGATTCTTGATTCTTGAATTTTGATTGTTGATTCTTGATTCTTGATTCTTGATTTTTGATCGTCAAGATCATCATCAGTTTGGTTTGAGCTCTAAAATCCTGATTGATTCCTAAACTATTTGTGTGCCAAAACTGGAAATGAATAATTAAATGCAGTGTTGGATTCTTTCTTGTGGATCTACACGGTAATTAATTTGATTTTTATTTTTGATTAGAGAATGTTTTTCGTGTATGAGATAGAGAGAGAAGAAAAGAGCAGGGCACTATTTTGTTTTTGTTTCTACTTGTTTCCTAAATGATTGGTGTAATCTCGATAGACAGATAGAGAGATAGACATTCACCTATTGATAAAATATTATTAATTTTAGTCTACTAAAATAATAAAATGTTCCATACGACTCGGATGGTAAGAATAATATTTAGACTATTACTTTCTCAAAAATATTAAATCGAAATTCTATTTAAACCAAAATTTAAAGAAAGACTTAATTTTAAATAAAAACCAAACAAATTCCACTATTTTAAAATAGAAGGAATAAACCTTTATATTCTATCGATTCAAATATAAGTGATGTTAATATAATTGCCTTTGGCCTATATATATACATACTAATATCTATTGTAAATTATTTTAGATGCATACGAGATAGAGCGGCCGGATGAGCGCACTACCGAAGACAAAACAGGGAGTTTTTCGTACTCTTCTATTTTACATTAATGCATTGCATTTATTTTATCATATTGCATATAGAGTTAGGATTATTTTTACGTCCCGGGACTTGCGTGCATGCATTAATTTTGTTTCTTAATTTTATACTAACATGTTTTTTAGTATTTTTAGTTTGTAGGTACAGCTTTTGGAGAGAGCGGCCGGATGAGCGCACTACCGAAGACAAAACAGGGAGTTTTTCGTACTCTTCTATTTTACATTAATGCATTGCATTTATTTTATCATATTGCATATAGAGTTAGGATTATTTTTACGTCCCGGGACTTGCATGCATGCATTAATTTTGTTTCTTAATTTTATACTAACATATTTGTTAGTGTTTTTAGTTTGTAGGTACAGCTTTTGGGGAGAACGGCCGGATGAGCGGACTACCGAAGACAAAACAGGGAGTTTTTCGTACTCTTCTCTTTTACATTAATGCATTGCATTTATTTTATCATATTGCATATAGAGTTAGGATTATTTTTACGTCCCGGGACTTGCATGCATGCATTAATTTTGTTCCTTAATTTTATACTAACATATTTATTAGTGTTTTTAGTTTGTAGGTACAGCTTTTGGGGAGAGCGGCCGGATGAGCGGACTACCGAAGACAAAACAGGGAGTTTTTCGTACTCTTCTCTTTTACATTAATGCATTGCATTTATTTTATCATATTGCATATAGAGTTAGGATTATTTTTACGTCCCGGGACTTGCATGCATGCATTAATTTTGTTTCTTAATTTTATACTAACATATTTTTAGTGTTTTTAGTTTGTAGGTACAGCTTTTGGGGAGAGCGGCCGGATGAGCGGACTACCGAAGACAAAACAGGGAGTTTTTCGTACTCTCTCTTTTACATTAATGCATTGCATTTATTTTATCATATTGCATATAGAGTTAGGATTATTTTTACGTCCCGGGACTTGCATGCATGCATTAATTTGTTTCTTAATTTTATACTAACATACTTTTAGTGTTTTTAGTTTGTAGGTACAGCTTTTGGAGAGAGCGGCCGGATGAGCGGACTACCGAAGACAAAACAGGGAGTTTTTCGTACTCTTCTCTTTTACATTAATGCATTGCATTTATTTTATCATATTGCATATAGAGTTAGGATTATTTTTACGTCCCGGGACTTGCATGCATGCATTAATTTTGTTTCTTAATTTTATACTAACATATTTATTAGTGTTTTTAGTTTGTAGGTACAGCTTTTGGGGAGAACGACCGGATGAGCGGACTACCGAAGACAAAACAGGAAGTTTTTCGTACTCTTCTCTTTTACATTAAATACATTGCATTTATTTTATCATATTGCATATAGAGTTAGAATTATTTTTACGTCCCGGGACTTGCATGCATGCATTAATTTTGTTTATTAATTTTATACTAACATATTTTTTAGTGTTTTTAGTTTGTAGGTACAGCTTTTGGGGAGAGCGGCCGGATGAGCGGACTACCGAAGACAAAGCAGGGAGTTTTTCGTACTCCTCTCTTTTACATTAATGCATTGCATTTATTTTATCATATTGCATATAGAGTTAGGATTATTTTTACGTCCCGGGACTTGCATGCATGCATTAATTTTGTTTCTAAATTTTATACTAACATATTTTTTAGTGTTTTTAGTTTGTAGGTACAGCTTTCGGCGAGAGCGGCCGGATGAGCGGACTACCGAAGACAAAACAGGGAGTTTTTCGTACTCTTCTCTTTTACATTAATGCATTGCATTTATTTTTTCATATTGCATATAGATTTAGGATTATTTTTACGTCCGGGGACTTGCATGCATGCGTTAATTTTGTTTCTTAATTTTATACTAACATATTTTTTAGTGTTTTTAGTTTGTTTGTCATTATAACATTGTATAATACTCCATATATAGTTAGATAAATATATATGTATATTATTTTATTTGTATTTAAAATGTTATATATTTTAGCTTTGTTTTGTTTAGACTACATCAATTTTATAATTTGGCACTATTTATATTTCAAATTTAAATATCATACTATTTATTGCTAAAACTCTTGTTTGTTTGGTTAAAAACAACATCATATTTTTCAAAATATATGTATATATTATATATTTATTATTTTTATATTATTTAGATAATTTATTGTATTAACATTTTTAGAAAAAAAATCCTTCAAATTATTTTACTAAACAAACAGACTAACTCCAGAAGTCCTTCTCTAAATTATTTAAAAAAAATTTACTATTACTGTAATAATACAAACTCCTTTAAACATATATAGCTATATTTCTAAATATAGTGTAATTTAATAAATTAATTGTAATATTATTTTATTAGTTTTTATGTAAATGATGTTATTATTTTTATAATAAATTTAATATACATTATTAAAATAAATTTAAAGCATGTTTTTAAATATTTTAAATATTATATATATAATATAAAAAAAATTATAACATTTTTGTAGAAAACACCGACAGACACGTATTTTCCGGTGTACCACGTAGACAGTTTATTTATTTTTTTAATCATATATATATTAATTCTTACTTGAAAAATACTAATAACTCTATCCACGTAAAAATAATAAAATAATATAATAAATTTATTATTGTTAATTTACTAAACTCTATTACTTTAAATATTATATGACTAATTAAACGAGGTTGTTGAAATTAAACGAGGTTGAATATAAACAATAATGAAAACCAATGCATTATTCAATTACACTGGTTTGATGTCTAACATGTGTATATATTGTATCTATAATGATGATGTTTCTTGTAGCTTTTACTTTACTATTATTTTTATAAAACATATCATTTAATTATATAGTTCTATCTTCTAATAATAAAATGTTACTTTGGTATTTTATTACGTGTCAACTTGATGGAGGAGGAATTTAAACCTCCATAAAAAAATAAATATATTTTTTTATATCACCTAAACAATAATAAAAATAAAAACCCACTCAAAGCAAATTAAACACACTAGTGTTTTGTGTAATTGCCCACCCTCCTCCATCACCCTCTACTCGATCTTTCTTGAAATTCAATATACACACAGAGAGAGGTGAAGAGATGAGATGTAAACTTACTAGTTAGTTAGACTTTTGAGCATCCACGATTCAGGAACAAAGGCAAAATCGGTTCTTGCAATCATTCATGCCTAGCTCTACCAAAACAACACCTTTCTCTGTCTAATTAAGCAAATGACATTGTAGTAGTATTTCTTTATATTATTGCATTGGATTGTCTCCTCTCCTCTCCTCAAAACTCACATTTACACACACACATGCTAGCTGCTGATACACTCCAAATTAAAGGCTATAGCACAGCACACCATGCCTTCTCCCCCAACTCTGGCTTTCTCTCTACTAACTAACCAGTAGCCATGGGGAAATATTTATTTATTTATTTTATTCCTGGACCTGGCTGTGGCTGTCAATATCATCATTTCATTAGTATTAGTATCTTGATCAAATTCCATTTATCCAGGCTCCCCCTCGGCATATACTCCAAAATCAAAGCCTTGAAATCTTCATTGCTGCAGCAGCCAAGTATCTTGATCAAATTCCGATGGCGAATACCACTCAGCACACCCGCCTCTGTCTCAAAACTGTTGGCTGCCTTATCAGATTCTATATTGAAAACTTTTACTGCAACGGCTGCACCATCCCAAAGTGTTCCTAAATATACTGAACCAAAGCTTCCATTCCCAAGTAGGTTGCTCTCGTTGAAGTCATTGGTTGCCCGCACAAGTTCGAGGTAAGATATCCGTTTCCAGGACTGAAGTAAGGATACTTCATCAGCAGGGAGTTTTGTGCTTGATTTTGTGAAGTTAGAGTGCAATTTTCATACTTATGTAAGTTACAAATTTTAATCTATGTGATTAATTAATACTATAATTCTATGTAATTATTTTTAAGGCACAAATATAAAATCCAACCAAGGTATTATTTTTAAGGCACAAATATAAAATCCAACCAAGGTATTATTTTTAAGGCACAAATATAAAATCCAACCAATGTATTATTTTTAAGGCACAAATATAAAATCCAACCAATGTATAATAATAAATAAGATAGACAAAGAGAATTAATTAATATAATGTTTGATTACATTTATTTATTTAAATATGCTTAGTTAGAATAAGTCTTTTTTAAAAAAAAAAATTGAATTGAATTATAGTAGTAGTAAATTATAAAATAAAATATAACTGAAAATATATATTTAATAATTTTAAAATATAATAAATAAGGTAATTTTGGTAATATTTCCTTATATTAACTAACGGTCATATCACATTTCCTTTAAATATTTGGTTTAATATTTTATTTTATCCAATTCTTTTGGTTTAATTTTCTTGCGTGGTGGTGGTCGGTGCTGAGGAGCAAGTGCGCGGTGGAGAGAAACCGCCGGAAGCAAATGAACGACCATCTCGCCGTCCTTGGTTCTCTCATGCCTTGCTTCTACGAGTAAGTATTTAATTAATTAACTAATTTAGGGTTTATGAGGTCTAATTTGGGGATTTTGGGGATTATCAGATAGATTAACTAACAAGCTTCTACATCCAGGAACTGCAGCAAATCTTGCGAGGCCAAGAAGCAGCGCATTCGGAAGCAGTGGTTCTAATTTGGTAATTAATTTGATTTTGATTTTTGATTCTTGATTCTTGAATTTTGATTGTTGATTCTTGATTCTTGATTCTTGATTTTTGATCGTCAAGATCATCATCAGTTTGGTTTGAGCTCTAAAATCCTGATTGATTCCTAAACTATTTGTGTGCCAAAACTGGAAATGAATAATTAAATGCAGTGTTGGATTCTTTCTTGTGGATCTACACGGTAATTAATTTGATTTTTATTTTTGATTAGAGAATGTTTTTCGTGTATGAGATAGAGAGAGAAGAAAAGAGCAGGGCACTATTTTGTTTTTGTTTCTACTTGTTTCCTAAATGATTGGTGTAATCTCGATAGACAGATAGATAGATAGATAGACATTCACCTATTGATAAAATATTATTAATTTTAGTCTACTAAAATAATAAAATGTTCCATACGACTCGGATGGTAAGAATAATATTTAGACTATTACTTTCTCAAAAATATTAAATCGAAATTCTATTTAAACTAAAATTTAAAGAAAGACTTAATTTTAAATAAAAACCAAACAAATTCCACTATTTTAAAATAGAAGGAATAAACATTTATATTCTATCGATTCAAATATAAGTGATGTTAATATAATTGCCTTTGGCCTATATATATACATACTAATATCTATTTTAAATTATTTTAGATGCATATGAGATAAAGCGGCCGGATGAGCGGACTACCGAAGACAAAACAGGGAGTTTTTCGAATTTTTCTCTTTTATATTTATGCATTGCATTTATTTTATCATATCGCATATAGAGTTAGGATTATTTTTACGTCCCGGGACTTGCATGCATGCATTAATTTTGTTTCTTAATTTTATACTAACGTGTTTTTTAGTATTTTTAGTTTGTAGGTACATCTTTTGGAGAGAGCGGCCGGATGAGCGCACTACCGAAGACAAAACAGGGAGTTTTTCGTACTCTTCTCTTTTACATTAATGCATTGCATTTATTTTCTCATATTGCATATAGAGTTAGGATTATTTTTACGTCCCGGGACTTGCATGCATGCATTAATTTTCTTTCTTAATTTTTTACTAACATATTTTTTAGTATTTTTAGTTTGTAGGTACTGCTTTCGGCGAGAGCGGCCGGATGAGCGGACTACCGAAGACAAAACAGAGAGTTTTTCGTACTCTTCTCTTTTACATTAATGCATTGCATTTATTTTATCATATTGCATATAGAGTTAGGATTATTTTTACGTCCCGGGACTTGCATGCATGCATTAATTTTATTTCTTAATTTTATACTAACATATTTTTTAGTGTTTTTAGTTTGTAGGTACAGCTTTTGGGGAGAGCGGCCGGATGAGCGGACTACCGAAGACAAAACAGGGAGTTTTTCGTACTCTTCTCTTTTACATTAATGCCTTGCATTTATTTTCTCATATTGCATATAGAGTTAGGATTATTTTTACGTCCCGGGACTTGCATGCATGCATTAATTTTGTTTCTTAATTTTATACTAACATATTTGTTAGTGTTTTTAGTTTGTAGGTACAGCTTTTGGGGAGAGCGGCCGGATGAGCGGACTACCGAAGACAAAACAGGAAGTTTTTCGTACTCTTCTCTTTTACATTAATGCATTGCATTTATTTTATCATATTGCATATAGAGTTAGGATTATTTTTACGTCCCGGGACTTGCATGCATGCATTAATTTTTGTTTCTTAATTTTATACTAACATATTTTTTAGTGTTTTTAGTTTGTAGGTACAGCTTTTGGGGAGAGCGGCCGGATGAGCGGACTACCGAAGACAAAACAGGGAGTTTTTCGTACTCCTCTCTTTTACATTAATGCATTGCATTTATTTTATCATATTGCATATAGAGTTAGGATTATTTTACGTCCCGGGACTTGCATGCATGCATTAATTTGTTTCTTAATTTTATACTAACATATTTTTTAGTGTTTTTAGTTTGTAGGTATAGCTTTTGGGGAGAGCGGCCGGATGAGCGGACTACCGAAGACAAAACAGGGAGTTTTTCGTACTCTTCTCTTTTACATTAATGCATTGCATTTATTTTATCATATTGCATATAGAGTTAGGATTATTTTTACGTCCCGGGACTTGCATGCATGCATTAATTTGTTTCTTAATTTTATACTAACATATTTTTTAGTGTTTTTAGTTTGTAGGTACAGCTTTTGGGGAGAGCGGCCGGATGAGCGGACTACCGAAGACAAAACAGGGAGTTTTTCGTACTCCTCTCTTTTACATTAATGCATTGCATTTATTTTATTATATTGCATATAGAGTTAGGATTATTTTTACGTCTCGGGAGTTGCATGCATGCATTAATTTGTTTCTTAATTTTATACTAACATATTTGTTAGTGTTTTTAGTTTGTAGGTACAGCTTTTGGGGAGAGCGGCCGGATGAGCGGACTACCGAAGACAAAACAGGGAGTTTTTCGTACTCTTCTCTTTTACATTAATGCATTGCATTTATTTTATCATATTGCATATAGAGTTAGGATTATTTTTACGTCCCGGGACTTGCATGCATGCATTAATTTTGTTTCTTAATTTTATACTAACATATTTTTTAGTGTTTTTAGTTTGTAGGTACAGCTTTTGGGGAGAGCGGCCGGATGAGCGGACTACCGAAGACAAAACAGAGAGTTTTTCGTACTATTCTCTTTTACATTAATGCATTGCATTTATTTTATCATATTGCATATAGAGTTAGGATTATTTTTACGTCCCGGGACTTGCATGTATGCATTAATTTTGTTTCTTAATTTTATACTAACATATTTTTTAGTATTTTTAGTTTGTAGGTACTGCTTTCGGCGAGAGCGGACTACCGAAGACAAAACAGGGAGTTTTTCGTACTCTTGTCTTTTACCTTAATGCATTGCATTTATTTTATCATATTGCATATAGAGTTAGGATTATTTTTACGTCCCGGGACTTGCATGCATGCATTAATTTTGTTTCTTAATTTTATATTATCATATTTTTTAGTATTTTTAGTTTTTAGGTACTGCTTTTGGGGAGATTAGAAGAAGCGCAAAGATCCGTCAATCTCGATGGTAAGTGATTTTAATATTATTGTTTTTTCCTATGCATATACACACTAATATCTATTTTAAATCATTTTAGATGCATACGCGGCCTGATGAGCGGACTACCGTAAACAAAAGAGGGAGTATTTCGTCATTTTTTCTTTTATAAGAACAATAATTAATAAATAAATAAACAAAGATGCAGGGTATACAGAACACAAGTTATGGTTTTGTTTTATCATTCAATCTAGTACCTTACCTTGTTACTCGATCTCTACAATATATTGAAACTCCTCTCGAAAATCCATTGCTTCTCCTTAAAAACACATAATCAAATATGTCATACTGCACAGACAACTAAAAAAAAATGAAGAAATTAAATGAATTCATGTATCTATGTGTGCCTTCTTAAATTGGCAAGGAATTCTTGTATGCCCATGCTCTTCATTTCTTCAAGTTATTTCTTGTAAAAGGGCTGGTTTAATTACAAATATAATAATATAAGATTAGATCAGATATAGATATTTAATTAATCTCTAAAATGAAGTTACAGGAAAATTAATTTTGAGTGATCGGCCCATCAATACTTCAAAGCTGCTAAATCACAAGCCTATGCTGCCTTCAAGATTCATCGACAAAAACTGGAGCACCCTTCGAAAAACACATAAGTTGAATACAAAATAAATGTTCGGGCAACAATTTATCACCCAGAAATTAAAGCCAACACGACATATACCTCAACTTGGTGCTGCAGCCATTGAGTATAATTGATTTTTTCATCAAGAAAAGAGCTTTTCGGAATGTTGAATTTTGCCACTCCTCTTGGTTTATCAGGATAAGAATCCTCAAGCATTTCAATGTGATCCTCAAATTGCTTTTTACCGGTTCCAAGGATTATTATCTGCACATTCTTTTCAATAAACCTAGGTATGGCAGCAGCAAGATTGTCTGATCCTTTCTGCTCTTCAAGTCTGCCGATAATGTATTATTCAGTAACATCCTCACCTAAAAAACAATGTATCATTTCACATTTATTCATCCATGCAAATAACACCACAAAATCAAAAGGAACTCCAAAAGAACGCATAAAAGGAGAATCGATCCAGTTACCTGCTCAAACACAGAGCAGGAAATAAAATCCATTCAAGGAAGTTATCACTGCAGATATTTTTAAATCATCTCTCGTTAGTGAGTTTAGCAATTTAATGCCAACAGCCTGTTCAGAGACCAAAACACAAACACCATGTAATCAAACTTGCTGGATATTAAAATCTATACGCTCCTGCAAACACATTAAACCAACCAACGGAAGATGGATTGAAACCTAATCATCTATCAATTTAAAATAAGGAGCAGCCAGATCATATCATTCATGGGCCAATTTCATACTTATAGTTGCCATCAGACCGAGCAGCTGCGATTTCTCATGCAGAGGACCACCAATCAGAAATTAAAGGTCAACTTTGTAGTAATACAATATACGTTCAGCTACTGAACCAGAGGAAAAAACCTTGTAAGGATCATCAACTAGAGAGACTTATTGCCTGAAGATGAGCATCACATAACATTTGGAAGATTATAACAATAAGAAAAATGATTGTCAGCTAAGGGAGAAGAAAAGAATGCATGTCTCAATGCTGCAGCACAAGTACATCCGCAATCTTGACAAGAAAGAAGACTAATGAAACCGTTTATAGCTTAATTCACTTACTGCAGCGAAACAAAAGCAGTTCAATGAATTTCCTCCCACCCACGACATCTTCGTCTCAATGCATAAAACTCCTGTCAATATATGCCAATGTGAAATCAAGTTGAGGTAAAATGACACTTAAAGAGCTATAAAAAAGGGGTCATCGGGTTAAATGACACTAAAGAGCTAAAAACAGAATAAACAAATCCATACTTTCGATAACACTGCAGTGGAGCATATAGAGCAAGCGTATACAAAACAGATGTATGATTGAAATTGCAGAAGTTGATAGTCGAAGAGGATGAGTGGCTTACACATGAGATTGAGTATTGGTGGAAATCATCGGATGGATCGAAGCCAAGGCCGTATCGTTCTTCTCTGCCTCTGCTGGTGCTTCCATTACAGTACATGTTATTGGTCTGTATTCTGCACTCCTCTCCCCTTATGTTTCCTAAGAACTCAAAGTCTATTATGTCTCTGTTGGACATCTGAATTCCATAAAATCAAAACAATCAATTCTAAAATCAATCCAGTTGGTTAGGGAAGATCACAACAGTGAAGATTGAAGAGAATTTAAGAATTACAGAAATGATGTTGAAGGACTCCGTGGTCAATATTTGTAGATTATTTATTGGATTCTCGGATAATCCGCCTAGACATTTCAAATTCAATTCACGAGAGACACAATCGAATCAAAATTAGGGAGAAAGCAGAGTGGATGTCCTTGTTATAAATTCACGCAAGTGAAGTGATGGTCTGCTTCAAATCTACTTAAATTTCGAAGGCGCAAGGCATCTAAGGAAAAAGACAACAAGCGACATTCAAGCAAACGACGAATCTGCCAATAAAATGCGAAATAAAAACAAATACCTTCACGAGAAGAGGGAGATGGTTAGCGGTGGTGAAGGTGGAGCGAGCTGGAGGCGACGACGAAGAGGGAGGAATGACTGGCTGCGTTGCCTTCGACGTTGTTCTGGAGGAAGGGTTTTTTTTCTGAGAAAGAGAGTAGAAACGTAGTAGGGTAAAATAATAGACATTTCATTTCATTCCAGTATATATTTAAATTGAATAAAATAATAAAATATTTAACTAAGTATTAGAATAATGTATCAATATTATATTATAGTAATATGAATGTGTACAGGTAGGAGTTTACCTCGGCCTACAAGCCGGCCAGCTTGCTAAATAGTAATTAACTAATTAATGCTAGCTAGCTAGCTGGGGACGTCTGGGCTTGTTCCTGTGTGCTGATGAGTTAGGAGAGATTGCCATGTACGCGGCTCTAATCTGCTCCAGCTTGGCTACAAGTGTACCGCTCTGGATTCTATCAGCTGGCGACATGGCCACGCACTCCATCGCCAAGTGCAGGATAGATGACAGGCATTGCTCCTTCGCCGCCCGGTCAAGAACAACAAGCCGCTCTCCCTCTCCCTCTTCATTTCCATTTCCATCTCCATACAGGTTCGCGTCCACAATCTCATTGATGCTCTTGTTGTTTTCATACAATGAGATGCGCACCCAACTCTCCAAGCTCAACTCCCCTCCAAACTCTTCATCGGTAGGCCTCTTTCGGGTGCACAGCTCCAGCAGCATCACCCCGAAACTGTAAACATCAGATCCAGTTGATACCACGCCTTGAGCTCCATATTCTGCACTAGACATTTCAAATATCAATCATGCCTTGGTAATGCTGCTAAGACCAGCAAGCCAAAAGGAAAAAAAAAAAACAAACACTCAGGAACTGCAGCACCGCACCTGGTGCCATATATCCAATTGTTGCCAAGGTTCTAGTTTGAGCCATTGACTCGCCTTCCTCCAAGAGTTTGGCGATACCGAAATCACTGACATGAGCTGTCATATCTTCATCCAGCAAGACGTTGCTAGGCTTTAGATCACAATGAACAATCGGGACTGTGTGACCGAGGTGCAGATGTTCCAAGGCACACGCAACGTCGATTGCTATGTTTAGTCTTTGCACCAAATCTAAGAAATTGTTGTGGGCATACAACCATTTATCCAGGCTCCCCCTCGGCATATACTCCAAAATCAAAGCCTTGAAATCTTTATTGCTGCAGCAGCCAAGTATTTTGATCAAATTCCGATGGCGAATACCACTCAGCACACCCGCCTCTGTCTCAAAACTTTTGGCTGACTTATCGGATTCTATATTGAAAACTTTTACTGCAACGGCTGCACCATTCGAAAGTGTTCCTAAATATACCGAACCAAAGCTTCCATTCCCAAGTAGGTTGCTCTCGTTGAAGTCATTGGTTGCCCGCACAAGTTCGAGGTAAGATATCCCTTTCCCAGATTGAAGCAAGGATACTTCATCAGCAGGGAGTTCTGTGCTTGATTTTCGAATCCTCATAATTAGCAGAATACTTACGACACTCAAGATAATGATCGCTAATACACAAGGGAGCACAACTCGTTTCAGCAGTGAGGCTGAAGTTCTTTTCTTTATGTTTTCTTTGCAGGGCGGTACATGTAGACGATCTTCACCACATAGCCCATAGTTGCTCATGAATGATGAAGGCGTGAAGTTGGTAAATTTACCTCCTGTAGGAATATGGCCTTCTAGTCTGTTGTAGGACACATTGAAGTACTGAAGGAACACAAGTCCCTCCAGCGATGTCGGGATAAATCCTGAAAGGTTGTTAAAGGAGAGATCCAAGGATTCTAACCCTCTCAAGTTTCCCATGGAGCTAGGAATGGAGCCATGAAGACTGTTATGCGCTAGAGACAAGGTGACCAATGACTCTGCTTTTTCCATAGAAGTTGGGATCTCACCTGAGAACTGATTCCACGACAGGTCCAAATCTCTGAGGACTGCCAAGTTTCCAATGTTAGACGACAAAGATCCATTTAGCATGTTTGTGGACAAGTTCAACCCCAGAAGGTCATCCAGATTCCACAAGCTCGAGGGAACATATGATTCCAATCTGTTGGAGTCAAGGTACAAACTTCGCAGGGATTTAAGCTCACCCAAACAAGCTGGAATTGGGCCACGAAGAGCATTGTCGCTCACGTACAAGTCCCCCAAGTTGCCTATCTGGCAAAGTTGGGTGGGGATGAATCCTTCCAGCTTGTTGTGTTCAAGATATATACGGACGAGTTGGCTTAAGTCTCCGAGTGTTGGGGGAATGAGCCCCGTCAACTCATTGCTATCTAAAGTCAAGTCACGCAAATTTGTCAAGTTTCCAATCTCAGCGGGAATGGAACCACTTATTCTGCATCCAAATGCATTAAGAATCTCGAGTGTAGATGAGAAATTCCCTATTGAGGCTGGAAGAGTACCATCAAGTTGATTCAGGGAAAGTTCCATTTCCCATAGAAGGCGGCAGTTTGTTAACGAGGACAGAAACCTCAATTCTTGATTTGGCGATTCTCCTGTCAAATTATTTCCTCCCATTAGAAGGCGTTGCAGCAACCTCAAACCACCCAGGTTAGGCATTGTGCCAGAGAAGGAGTTGGATCCCATGCCTATGATGGCAAGGCTGGAAGCATTGCTGATGGTGCTCGGAATCTGTCCAGTTAGTTTGTTATCAGACAAATAAATCTCTTGTAGACTGGGAAGCAAAAGCCCGAACGTAGAAGGAAGATGCCCTGAGAAGTGATTGGATGAAAGCTCCAACATGGTCACTGCTGACATGTTGTACATTGAAGGTGGGATGGTACCGGTTAAGCTATTGTTGTGGACATTGATAGTCACAAGATCAAGAGTTCCAAGCCCAGCTGGTAATTCACCTGCCATGATTATGTATGTGTACAATCAAATCAGAAGATTTCCAACTTTTGAATATGGAGTATATGATAAAATTTGTCACTTGATATAGGTTAGGTTCGGTCGGCACGCACACACACACACAATACAAGCTACCAAAATTAATATTACCTGTGAAGTTGTTATTGGCTAAAGATAGGTGTTGTAAGGCCGTGAGGTTACCAAATTGCTTGGGTATGTGACCTGCCAGCTGATTCGAATGAAGGTACAACTCCCGGAGATTGGAGAGGTTACTAACCAGGGAATATGGAATGCGTCCCGACAGGCTGTTGTTAGAAAAATCTAGCACTTCCAAAGAAGATATGTTGAAGACGAAAGATGGAATTTGCCCTGTAAGGGAGGCGCCACGGAAGCTGAGAAGCTGAAGATGTGAGAGATTGCGTAGGTCTGGTGGAACTCCCCCTGCACTCACTCAATCAACTTAATTAGAATAGCCAAATGGTATTAAGGAAGAAGAAAGATATGCATACATACTATCTTGCAGAGCAGCCAGAAGCAATTTCTAAATATAGCATGCATACATACCATGAAAGTCGTTTACTCCCAGATACAACCTTTGGATCATTGTCATCCATCCGATCGACTTTGGAATTTTGCCGTCAAAATGATTATAGGACAGGGACAAATCATGGAGCTTGGTGCACTTGTGAATATTGAATGGAATTTGGCCACTAAGTTGATTTTGAGAGAGAAAAAGACCTCCAAGTTGGGGAAGATGATTGCAAATATCATTTGGAAGAGTACCGGACAAGAGATTCCCGGTGACATCGATTGATTCAAGAGACGAGAGGTTGAAGATGGCGTGTGGGACGAGGCCTGTAATTTGGTTGTACTTAAGGTCCAATGTATGTAGGGAGGTAAGGTTGCCTATCTCTGGCGGAATACTTCCGCACAGAGAGTTGTAACTTAACCTCAGTACCTGCAGCAGGCTGGAGTTACTTGCTGATAGTGATAATGGCGGAATGCGGCCGGAGAAGCTATTGTGGTCCAATAAAATAGAGTGAAGGCCTCCTAACATTCCAAACCAGGACGGCATGGCCCCCGTGAAGTTGTTGAATCCAGCATCAAACGACCGTAACCGGCGCAGAGAAGACAGCTCGGCGGGCAGGGATCCGGAGAAGTTGTTGGCGTGGATGTCGAGAGAAGCGAGGAATGTTAAGTTGCCAAGGTGCGGGGGGATAGTACCTCCAAAGCCGAAGCCAGAGAGGTTAAGAGCTGTGACTCTGCCACCGCCACCGCAAGAGACGCCGATCCAGCGGCAAACTGACGTAGCGGTGGACCAGTTTTTGGTTAAAATTTGGAAAGGATCGGATGTTATAGTGGACCTCAAGGCAAACAGTGCATCCTGATCATTTGAAGCTGCTTCTGCTGCTGCTGCGGCTATTGGGAGGACCGAGTGGCTGCTGCTGCTTAACAACAAGACTAAGACTGCAACCGCAAAGAAGCAACAGGAGGGGGCTGTTGGTTTCCCCATTTAGAAATTGATGATGATGGTAGTAATGGCGATGATATCTGATCAGTGTAGATAGCTAGCTAGCATTAGAACCAGAATGAATAACCCACCCTGCGGCTTAGCTGCTTATAGAAAGAATAGAAGAAGAATTGTGTATATATATATATATATATGTTAAAAGTGGATGGTTTGGCTGTGCGTCTTCTCCAGCTGGCTCTCCTCTCCTCTCCTCTCCCCTCCCTCTCCTGTATAGATATAGATATAGATATAGAATCAGATGGATGACTCATTCATCCTAACCGTCTCCGCAATTGCTATATAATTATTGCAATTGCAAAGCCAATCAATCAAACAGACAAACAAACCTGGCGAGCGAGTGAGTGCAGTGAGTCTCTCTCTCTCTCTCTCTCTCTCTCTCTCTCTCTCTCTCTCTCTCTCTCTCTCTCTCTCTCTCTCTCTCTCTCTCTCTCCCCTTAATTTGTTTTGTTTTGTGTCAATTAGGGAGTGGTGACTGATTGGGGCCCTCCCGCTTTGAGCTTAGGTGGGGATATTAATGGCGGACCACCGGCGACAGACAAGCTTAGAAGAAAAACATTGACAGGCGACGGGAGGGCCGAGTCAAGAACAAATGAAGCGCCAAAATCAAACATGGATGGATCAACGTCTTCCCTCGATCGGGTGCGTCTATATCTATGATCGCAATTACAATGTGCAATCAGGTCAGGTAAGAGGAAATGCCGTTCTTCCGCTAGCTTGTGTTGTGTGTTTTCTTCCTGTTATATTCAAACCTACAAGTCTACAACAGGCTACAGTATATAATATATTCAAACCTACAAGTCTACAACAGGCTACAGTATATAATTAATTAATGCACCCCCTGCCCTCCCCTCCTCTATCTATCTTGATAAATCAAGTGTAGTTAGGCATCTCAAATGGGGAGGGCTAGCCCCAATCCGCCCCGACCTCCTTTTTAATGGGGCTGGTTCAAGTCTGAATAATATGTTTCGAGAGTTATGAATTTAAAATTTTAATTCGGTCGGATTCAGGACGAGTTACAGATTTTACTAAAAATTCGTTACAATTTGGACCCATACCCGAACCCGAATATTTTTTAAAATTATTATAACTAATATATATATGTACATTTATATAGTAAAAATATATTATTTATTTACTTAAATAATGTTAAATTTAAAATTCAATTAGTCGTCTCCTCCAAATAATTTTTTAAAATTATTATACCTAATATATGTATATTTATATAATAAAAATATATTATTTATCGGATCAATATTTGATTGTTTTTTAAAAAAAATTGTGCTTTTAATGCTATTTGTTTTAGTATTCGATTGTTAAAAAAATATTTATTATTATATATTTTTTTAAAAAAACAGGTTTGCCGAGCGGGTCTTGGGGCAGGTGAAAGCAGAGCGGGACGGGTCTCAAAGCCTAATATTTTCTAGCGGAACAGATCTCGGGGCATGCAAAACCCGTCTCGAACCCCCGCCCCGTTGATATCCGTAAGTGTAGTCCAGTGCCCACATTAAGCACACTCTCTCACTTATAAATGAAGTTGACGTTCCATCCCCATAAGAGTGTGTGGTCTAAAAAAAATTATTTTTTTTATTTTTTTTATATAATTTTGGGAATTGCTAGTGGGTTTGAATAAATCTTAAGGTTGTGTTTGGTATATAGAAATGAGGCTAAAGAAATAAAAATGTTATCATTTCTTGAACCATAAAATTTGAACAATCATTTCTTGGTGGATTTTCCAAAAACAATTATTGAACAATAAAATTTGAATTTATGTGGCATGACTTGATTTTATGGTGGCATGAACTGATTTTATACCCATTGTGCTAATGTTATTACTTTAATATAAATATATACAACAAAAACATCTAAAAATGGCAGCACTCACATAGATCATTACTTGATCGTGCTTTGTGGCGATTCCTTTTATAATTTGTTTGATCGTCTAGCTACTCATGTTAGCTAATTTAATTTGCAGACTACTGTTGGATTAGATCATAACAGAAGAGAAGACGCAGACGCAGACGCAGACGCACTCATCAATCTCGTATGAATTTGCAACTCATGATGACCTTACTGTAACTTCACTCTCTCTCTTACGCGGGACTATGACTAACCATTTTCTTTTGTAGAAAATTTGAAGATTAGGCAGGCAGGCAGGCTCAGGAACGCAAATAAAATCAATCCGTTCCACGGGGTCTCTCTTCTTCGTCACTATCACTGTTAGTCGGCCAAAGGGCGGGCCGTGCGAGCCCTAACCTCTGGAACCACGGGTAACGTTGTACCAAACCGCCGTAGCGGCCGGAGGTTGGTTACGGCCACTCCCTCCGCTAAATCGCTCACCTCCACCGCCACTCCACCGCCACCACCAGCAGCGGCTATGGCATCTCCCACCGCCACCTCCCCCAAATCTTTCAACTCTTCCCTCGATTCGTCCATGCCTAGGCTCCATCTCTCCCCTGATCAGCTACGCTATTGCTCCCAAGCCCTTGAATTCTTCAAAGCCAAAAAATTCAATTCTCCGCACAAGATGCACCAAGAGTTCCAAATCTTGCAGGTATCTATCTTCCTTTTATGTTCGTTTCCGGATGTCATCTATGTTTCCCAAGTGCCCTTGAGATAAGCCGCCGAGTGATCCTGCGGTCTCGACATCTATATTTCTCTATACGCCATTAAAGTAAACACCTATGAAATTCTGTTAGATCGCGATATTTATGTTTCTCCATGTGCCCCTCCAACTGCGCAAGCAGGGGATTCTGCTGGTCACGACATTATTGTTTCTCTATGTTCCCTTGAAAAAGTTAATGACCGCAATAATAATAATGATCCTGACTTGCGTTGATGCGAGCTTGATTGGCTACTATGTCGCTCTTGACGCAATCAAACATTGGCGTTCTGTGAAAATTTCCTTCTTGCTGACAGTTTTTGGATCTATGTTATTTGATCTTGGCACATGTATATTCTGATGTATGATATATGGGATACAACTTACTATTCTAAACGTGTTAAATCCACATCTTCCCCATTGCAGGCTAATAGGATGAGGGCTGTGGAGATGAGGAATAGGTGTACTGTTGCACTTGATAGCTTGAATCTCTCAAAGAACCGATACACCGATGTCCTGCCATGTACGCCAATAAGCAATAAACATAGATTCCATCTGTGGATTGACTCACATGTGATCAGTTGGCACTTTGCAGATTCATCTTTCATAAGTAACAGCTCTTGAATTTTCTCTGTGGCAGTCGACAGTAGCAGGGTTATCTTGAAGCAATGCTCGGATTACAGATCTTCTGCCAAGGGATATATCAATGCTAGTTTTGTCATGGTGCCAGTTTATCCTTTTGGTTTTAACTTGCAATTATATAGAAGGCGTCTCTTTTGTGCATGCTTAGCTATTTATGTCAATCTTTGTTCATTCATGATCGTCTCTTTTGGTTGTAGACTTCTGAAAGTGTTTCTCGTTTTATTGCGACTCAAGGGCCGCTTTCTCATACATGTGAGGACTTCTGGGAAATGATACTCCAGTATCACTGCCCTGTCATAGTTATGCTCACTCGATTGGTGGACAATTACCATGTAAGTAATATGATATTTTCCGGATTAATCCTGGCTACAGATCAACAATCTTAATGACATTCTCTGAAACTCTACTCTGTACTTTATTCTATTTAAACTCGTAATAAGTAGTACCAACTTTTGACTTGGCTTGATTAGATTTCTGCACAATTTGAGTATTCCTATGTTTGCTGTAAATTTACTCCAACAAATTTAATCTTTTTGGAGTCCATACATGAATGTTGTATTTCTATCGAGCTCTAATAAAATTCATTGACATCTGCCTAGGTGAATAAGTCTATGAAATAGTGTTGTGTCACTTGATGCTTTGCTCTTAGATTTCTATCAGATACTGGTCCGGGGTACTAGAGAACATCTTAAATATTTGGGGCTACTGTGTACAACACCAATTGAGGAGATCTCTCTTGTTTGTTTCTACTAAGCTTCCCATCTCATAAAGAGGAAATTCATTTTTAATATATTTCTGTAGTGCTGATACAGTTTGTGTTATGATTAGTTTCTTTATAACAATTCTGGGTGCAGACAGTGAAGTGCGTTGATTATTTCCAAGCAGAGGATGGACCAAGAGAGTTTGGTAACATATGCATCACCACCAAGTGGATGCAAATATCAAATAATTCAGTAATATTCCGATGCCTAGAAGTGAAATACAAAGAGGTGAGGCAAATTTCCTTCACCTGTTCCTTCATTTGAGATTGATTGTTACTACTAGTGCACCTGTCAGGAATATTCTTGAATCGTGATGAAGAAAGGGTTTTGGTTCATTTTCATGTAACAAGACTCTTAAATAACCAAGTTTCCCTTGCTTTGCAGTCAGAGGAACCCCCATTGTCTGTTTTGCATGTTCAGTACCCTGAATGGCCTGATCATGGAGTTCCAAAAGACACTCTTGCTGTCCGTGAAATCTTTAAAAGAGCAAGTCATTTCCCACCCAATGTAGGACCGGTAGTTGTTCACTGCAGGTTTGTTGGTGGTTGTGATTCAATTTGATTACACAAAATGTTGTACATTTTTTCTCATGCTTATCTTATCAGCAGTGCAGGGATTGGTAGAACTGGCACATATTGTGTCATTCATAACACTATTCAAAGAGTTCTGATAGGAGACATGACTGCTTTGGATCTTGTTAATACAGTTGCAACTTTTCGGTCACAGAGAATCGGAATGGTGCAAACGCTGGTATTATTTCATGATATCCAGCATTCTTGTTATTTAACTATTATTTTTTTCTTTCTCCCTGTACTAAGTTTGAAATCAAAATTTTAATCAACAATTAAAGCTCAGAACTTCCTAGATACATGCATTTTCTCCCGGAAATTATGCACCCCCTGATGAACCAAGCTCGGATGGTAGTTGAAGGACTAAGAGAATGGAAGTATTATAGAATTTCTATGAACACCTTTTTTGTTGAAAAAAGAAGAAAAAAATGTTGAAAGCTGCTTCCACATATACTTAGATTTGGATTGTGTGTGTGAGACTATAAATCAATGTTATCCATGGCTAATTAGGTCTCCAAAGCTATGGCAATGAGATTGATTATGTTGGTAGCTCTCATCAGTTGTTTGATGTGAATTTAATTAAAAGCGAATGGATATATTTTATGCTGATCTGGTGTGCCTTTTTATTTGTACAGGAGCAGTATGTCTTGTGCTATGATGCAATTATTGACGAACTTGAGAATATTATCTCAGATAGCAATGCTCCTTGATGTCTGGCTGTTTGATGAATCGATTCTGCATTTTGTGTACAACACTTGCTTGATCTAGTTTCTAAATTTACTTCCTTGACCACAGGAAGGAACAGGATGATTCTTGGTTGGTTGATGATATGCCTGCCTTGTTTCCTTAGCAAGAACATACACACACGCTCATAATAATGTTATGTTGAATATTCAAGTTTATGAATTCTGAAAATGCTCCTTGCTGTGTTAAAGGATTTAACCAACTGTTGGAACTTTTTGTATGGAGAGGAGAAGCAAGCCCTCCTCGTGATGTGTAAGCAGTAGTAAGGTGTATAATAGGGTAGGGTAGGGTAGGGTAGAGGCTTTATCAGACAGAGGACACAGAAGCAGATAGATTAGTGCGGGAGTGGAGTTCATTAAACTACCAGGTCGGTGGGTCAGTCCCAGTCCTCGGGGCTCAACTCATCGTTCTCATCCCTGGGGGGCTTCACCACCAAAACCGCCCTCCCCAGGCTCCTCCCCTTCTTCTCCGCATCCATGTCCCTCCACCTCTCCACCTTCGCCCCTTCACTCCCCGCCGCCACCAGATGAAACCACCCCTCGTCCTCGCCCTCTTCCTCCTCCTTCAGCCCCCGGTCCACCACCACCAGGATCTCCTCTGCCGCATCCTTCCTCTTGATCCTCCAGGGCAACACCCCCCTCGCCCTGGGGAACGCCACCGCAACCCCCCCTCTGTTCAGACCCGCCATCGGCGCCCACCTAGGCAGCACCACCCAGCTGCTCCACCCCTTCTCCGCCTGCACCACCCCAAACTCCCCTCCCATTCCGCACTCCCACGGCGCCGCTTCGCTCTCCTCCGCCCTGCACACCGGCAGTACCACGACCGAGCTCGACTGCCCGACCTCCCCGAACTCCATCCTCACCACCGGCAGTCTCACCCGGTCATCTATGCCGCCGCCGTCGCCGTCGTCCTCGTCGCTGCCCCCCTCCACATCCTGGATCACCCTCTGCTTCGCCCTCTCCGTCGTGGCCACCTCCAGAGCCCTCTCCAGCATGGCCTTGCTCAGCTCCGGCGACGAGGCCGACCTGTGCTCCTGAGCCTGCCTGAAGTACATGAAGGCCAGACAATCTCCGGGCAGGTTCCCGTCGAAGCTCTCCCACCCCCTCTCCCCGTACCGCCGGGGGTAATCCTTCATGGACCTCGCCAGCTCTTCGGCTCTCCTGCCGTCGAAGCCGTAGTCGATGATGAAACGCGCCGCCAGGGCGCGTTGCGGGGTGTTGAGGGTGCGGATTTCGTAGAGGAGTTCGGGGGCGGAGGGGGCATCGAAGTAGGAAACAACCTCGTCGTCGGTGGATTGGACCAGGGAGTCCCGGACCTGGGCAGCGACGACGAGGCGGTTCTGTTCGAGGGAGGCGATGCCGGTAATCTCCTCGATGGTGGTGGAGATGAAGCCCTCCTGGAGGAGGGATGTGATGAGAGGGGCGTACTCGAACCAAAGACCCAGCCGATTGGTGAGGATGTCGAGGCGCTCCTTGGTGTCGAGGGAGCGGTACTTTGGGGGTAGGGGAGATGGCGGCGGGCGGTAGGGCTGGTAGAGCTGCTGCTGCAGCTGTTGCTGTCGCTGTTTGGAAGAAGAGGATGAGGAAGAGGAAGAGGATGAGGATGAGAAAGAGGGAGGGAGAATAAGGGCGGTGACAGAGACGGACCTAGACCTAGACCTGTCGGACTTGGGAGGAGGCGGTCTGGAGGAGGAGGAGGGCTTGACAAGAAGGTGGAGTCGTCGGAGATGGGTGGGGGAGGGGAGGAGAGAAACTGGACTGCTGGCCGGCGTGGAGGAGGAGGCGGCGGCGAGCATGGTAGTGGTAGTGGTGGTATTGGGAGGAAGAAGAAATAATACGACTAAGACAATGGAGGGGGGAAGGGGATTGGGTTGGGATGGGATGGGGGTTTACTTCATCAAAATAATATCCCTACCTATTTATCTCTCTCTCTCTCTCTCTCTCTCTCTCTGTAATCATGTTATATCTATAGTAAGGCAAGAATATGAAGAGAGAGAGAGAGAGAGAGAGAGAATATCTAAATAGACGGACTAAAACAGATAGATAGATAGATAGATAGATAGATAGCTAGCTAGCTAGCTGGTTGGAGCTGGAGGACGAGGAGGAGCTTTTGAATGAAACTGATCTAAAAAAACAAAGCCTGTTCCTGTTGTGATTTAAATCAAAATCTGTGTTCTAGTATTTATCTATTATTACTGCTACTAGTAGTAAAACTGCTGCTCTCTGTGAGGTAGGCAAGGCAACCGCACCCAAACCTGCACTAGTTACAGTTGGCTGCCTGTTACTATCTAGCTTACGATCCATTACGAGGGTGGGTTAAAAATAAATAACCCAGAAACAACAAAATTTGATCACAAATTAAACTTCCCTTTTTTTCCTTAATAAAAACAGACAGACAGACAGGCATGTCAGCTGGAGCCTGCCTGGATCAGGATGGATACTTACTACTTACTAGTACTTTACATCATGCCTTCTCGACAGTTGTTGGTTCTTAATTGTATTATCTATCAATACATTATATTGTAGTTGTAGTTGTAGGGAGGGAGGCAAGCAGGCAAGGCACTCACACAATCACGGTGCAGACGAGGTTTCTTTCACCCAGACCAGAAGATCCAATTATGGTGGTGGGTGTGGACTGGACTGAACTGAACTGGTGTGATTATGGATGCCATGCTATCATCATCATCATCGTCGTCGTCTATAGAGGATTACTCCAACCCTGCAATGCAATTTCATCCCGCTAAATCAATCAATCAATCAAATCCATGCGACCTTCATCTATAAGGGATTACTCCATTGTGATGAAATTAGGTAGAGCAAGCAAGCAAGCATCACGACAGCATTAGCAACAGTCACTCACCTTTACTCCAAAGTCGTCAACCTCCTTGCAATTTCTTCTTCCAGCTCCAGCTTCGGCTTCTTGATAACAACATGCTTTAGACTCCTCCTCAATCAAACTGATCATCTCACACTTCTGGACGTTGTCAGATGATAATGCAGCAGCAGTAGCAGATCCATTCAATAAATTGCTCTCTAATAATACATCAGATACTCCATGCCCTTTCCGCAGCTTTGCTACCAAAACCCACATGTTAGCAAGCTCATTTTCCAACTTCTCTTCACGCCTTTTTGCATCGTCGAATCTCTTCCGTAGATCACCTTCTATTCTGTCCCTTTCTGCTAATGCGGCAACCAAAGAGGCTTCTCTTTGGTATCTTGCATTCAGCTCCACCTCAAACTCCTCCATAGATAATCCCTCCCCTGACTTTCTCATGTGTGAGGAGGAGTCACGTCCAGGTTGTAACTGTATACTCACTCCATTGTGCTTTGTAACAGGAGTTGATTTTTTACAGCAGTTGGCCTTGCAACAAGCCAGATCAGCAGTGAGTTTTGCATTTTGGTAGGATAGCTTTGTTACTTCTTCTGCCAAGTTCCGCAGCTCAACTGCTGCTGCAGATGCAAGTTCTTTAGCATAGGAAGCTTCCTCAGTTTGTTTTTGGCACTGAATCTCTATCTCATCCTTCTCTTCAGTAAGCTTATCCATTTCATGTTTCAGCGACTCTATCTCAGCAGCCTTAACCAGAGAGGGTTTTTTTTTAAAATAAAAATAAAAATAAAAAATTCTTAGGACACTAATCATGAGAATAGCAAATTGACAATAAATTGCACCTGAGCTGGAGATAACTACCTGCACAAGAAGCCGAGACTTTGAAGATGTGCCATCATGGTTGAATATTTTATTCAGGCTGCCTGCACTTGTTGGTGTATTTTCGTCCATGGAAGTTTCATCGTATGAAATAATGTCATATCCCTTTTCATTCATAACCTCTATCGATCTCTCAGCACTGTTCATTCTAGTGGTGCTATCTGCACTTTTTGAATTTTTATGTTGCATCAAGGATTCAATCTGCTGTTTCAACTGAGTAATGGTTTCCTGCATCTCGTTATTCTCCATTGTCTAGAAGAAGGTAATGTATCAATGCATGATTTGATAATAGTAAAGCTCGGAAGTGGGGAACGAGATTTACCTTCCCCCGTAGCTGCTCCTGGAGGATCCTGTTATCTGCTGATTTGATCTTTTTCGAGTTGCGAAATCAAAAAGTTGTTCGTGTCAAATAATACTCTTCTATTTGAAACAGCAGACACAATAGTTAAATGGAGGCCTACCTCAAGCTCAAAAGTTTTTTCATTCAGCTGAGTAGCAAGCCTTGACAAAGCCTGCATTCTCCACACAAATTTACCACACGAATATATTTAATCGAAAAATAAATTCATCATAAAATAGAAGATAAAATTTAGGTCCTTTTACTATAGAAGAACATTATCTGTGTTACATGAACTTATCAAAAAGTTTTACAGATGCGTTTTACTTGCCTTAAGGTTGTCCTGACAAGCTTACCTGAGACATCTCGACAATGCTTGAACCATAAGGAGATAGCTCTATGGATCCAATCATTCGTTGCTCCAAAATCCGCATTTGACGCTTCTTTCCTCTTATTTCATCCTTCAATCTTTGCATGCTTTCCTAAAATGAAGTACCATGAGAGCACAAGGGCACAAGATATGAGTCTGGATGAAAAATAATTGAAATTTTTTTAATCCACTCAGCATAAGCTTACATATGGCATATCCTAAGGGACAATCGCAAATATTAAGCACCTGAAGTTTGGAATCATCAGGATTCTTAGCTGCTTGCTCTGAAACTCTTTTCAGCGAACTTGTAGCTAAGGCCACCTCTCCCGCTAACATCTTTATTTGCTCACGTAGAAGATCCATTTGATCTGTGATGGTGCTCCCAGTCTACAATACATTTTGCATTCAAACTTGGACACATGAGTTGGCCAATTAAGTTGCACCTACGCCCTACTAACGATAAAGTCATGCCAAACAAAGATACCAACCCCTTACATGGCACCCTACCAATAACAATAAGATATGAAATCATAAATATTATTGATGAAAAGAAGACAACTGATAGATTTGTTTGTTGCCCATTTTTTAAACTTGGTACTCAAAGTTCAATAATCAAATCAAACTTTATCTCACCGGTGGAAGACGCTTTACTCCAGCAGCTGCACTGAACAAGTCACCAGCTTGAGTTCTTTCAGGAAAAGCTGCAGCAGAAGTCTCATCCACTTTCCCGCTGACAGACTTCCTCCGTGCATCTTTAATATCACTAAACATAACTTTGCGTCCAGACAATTTTGATGAGGAAGCAGGAGAACCACTTGCAGAACTATCATGATCAGTACTTGGTGATGAAACAGCCTCAGGCTTCTGCATCCCAAATGATATATATATATATATGTATGTATATATATAAGCTACTTCATGGGATTTTACCCACATATAGTCTATGTATCAAGCTAAATGCAAGGAAGAAGACTGTAAAAGGCTTGATCAGAAATTACTTATTTCATAAATTAAATTAAATCACATGTGAACACACCCTTAGTTTAAACCATCCAAGCATCCCTCTCCTCGTATTCCTTTTGTAATCTTGAACCAACTCATCAAGATTTGTCGCATCAATCTTGCCATCCACAGACCTTTCAGAGTCAACACTTCCATTGTCCTCATCAATTACGCATCCACGTTTTCTATCTGGCAAATAGGCTAGCTGCATAAGCAAAGAAGAGAAACTTAACAATTAAAAAGAAGATAAAATCAGAACCAGGTAACATATGAAGCGGGCCTTTCAAAGTGACGCATACAACGTAGCTATAAAGTAGTGAATCATCAGATACAATAATAGGAAGTTCATTATACAACAAAGTCATCAAAGGTAAACTTCACTTTTGGCACCTCATCTTCCCCAAATGAATGCCTTCGCCTGTGGCTAGGCTCTTCAAGCATATTTGATTGAGTTGAGGTTTTTGTAGAAACCAAGATAAGCTTGGTTAATCTCTGAATCCTCCCCATTAAAGCAGCTTTGGCTTGTTCCTCCTCTTCCAATCTTGACTGTAACTTAATTTGCCCTGCTTCCAACTGGAATATAGGAAGTCTATCTCTCAGAAAAAATGTTATGACCTTACCACAATTTAAATTTTATGATGTACACAAGATACTGTGTGCTGTGAAAAACTATCAGCAAACTGACACTCCAAAAATAGCAATAAAATGAAAATTAGAAAACAGAAAAATACACAAATTATGCATGCATGCCATTAATGTTGATAAATAAAATGCATAACATGACTTAAAATATAAATAATAATAATAATAATAATAATAATAATAATAATAATAATAATAATAGTAATAATAATAATAAAAAATAAATAAATAAATAAGTAAGTAAAAACACAACATTCCCCCTCCACAAAGCTGCAACACCATGGACCACAATGAACCTTGGTCCGCAGGAATTTATCACACCAACAAATAGACTTCTGTAAAATTGAACATATTAGTCTATCTCAAAACAGGTTTCTCTGCCTCAAGACCTCCATAGTAGAAGCAACATGTCAATGGTAGATGCAAATAGCATAATTGAAATATCCTGAATGCAAGTTCCAAAATTACTATAGATAGTATAAAGAAGCAAAGTCAAACACAAGTGCTCAGTAATTATTTTGATTTTTGTTTTCCAAACAGAATCTTTAATATCCAACACCTACCTGGAGCTTTATATTAACAAGATCTTCTCGGCTTGGTGCTGTCAAATGTTCTTTCTCCATCATACCACGCTTCAACTGCTCAAGTTCTTGCTTTAGATTGGATATTTCTTTCTGATATTTTTTAATGAGAGACTTTTCATCCAGGATCTACACAACACAAATCAAGGAAACATTACCATAGATTAGCATGTACAGTTGTGATATAGTATAATGTTTTACTATTTAGATTTAATTTGATAGGACATGATGTGCCATGTATATCGTTTTCCTTGAATATACTTCCCACGTATGTAACCTATTACCAAACTAGAACATACTTAGCATGTAACTAACTTTTCTAGAATAGATCATAAGTATCTTATATGAACGGTCCTCATTGTATAAAAAGTACTTTTTAGTCAATATCTAACTCAAAAAAAAAAAAAAAATCTGAAATTTTGAAATGTATCAAGTACACAATCATAATTAAGAAACCCATATCGCTCACCTTGTTTGGAGAGGCTTTAATTTCAACATGCTTACTACGTTGTGCAAACTTAAGAGTGTTGTGTGTTTCTTCAGTATTGCTAGAGGCAGGTGTCACTGTGCAAATAAGCTATAAGAAGGATTAAGAATGAGTATTCTCCTCAAGCCATATATATATAACTGAAATCTCATTGAGAACATCTCATAAAAATGAAATTTCTAGTCCTAGGTCTACTTATTCAATGGATTTCAACTTACAGAAACACAACCATGACCACTGAGAGAAGACTGCAACAAACGTGTCAACTTTGAATCTCGATATGGTATGTGAGTAGATTTTCCATCTGTTAGTTTGGATATCACCTGGATACACAAACAATATTATTTGCTTAAACAAATAGAATCATAACTAGCCACAATAATAAGGTTGACCTTCAGTGGAGTAGCCCACTTTAGTCTTGGATCAATATCAATAAAATCAATAGACTTGGATCACGATCAATACAATCAATTTTCTTTTAGCATGCAGAGCTAGAAGATGTGACATATCCATACAAAGTTCGAACTAATTTATTTATCAAAGTAGTTGCTGTCGATTGAGAATGTCCTAAAGCATCGAACATGAGTAATACCAAAGGCTATTCCATTTACCCATTAAAGATCAAAATTAAAGCAGATATGTGTGTGTGTCAGCGAGAGAGAGAGAGAGAAAGAGAGGGGAGAGAGAGAGAGATATTGGCAATTAGGTAACCAGGATCAGTACAAACATATCACCATAGTATAGTAAAAAACTAAGATGAATAACAGAGATAGTAAAAAAAAAACTTACAGTGCCAAGTGTAAGTAAGCTTTTATTTATGTATGAACCCTCTTTTCTCCTCAACCCAATTGTGCCAGTTTTGGAACTTTCAGATCCTGCCAAATCAATTAAATGCTGTACAAGAGTTTAGTATCATTTCCCCAAGCATCAAACAACCAAGTAGATAGAGAATGAACAACTGAGTAAAGAGAACCAAAATTATCCCTTGCTTAAGCATTCGATGCCAATCTACTCATATACTGGAAATGCTAAGTAAAGTACTAAATAGAGATAATTGATAAAAATATACAAATTAAAAATTAAATTAAGTCAAATTGAAACAGAGAAGTTCAGAAATAACCCATTCAACACTCACCAATTGTGATAAGGTCACATCTTCACTTTCCCCAGTGAGACTGCTTTCGATAGTCTGCACGATGAATAAACCATCAAGAGCAAAGAATATGTAGTTTAACCTTGACATTATTGAACTGACTTAGGTCATTGGATGTCAACAAATGATATTTGATCAATTTCTATTTTCAGGAACCTTTTGAGAAGAATTTAAATTTTGTAACTGGGGTACGATTAGCATAGTAGCATACCATACCGGCACTCCTTCAAAAACCCCAACAGACCTCTCTACAAGTCCATATTCCATCACACAATTTATTAATTGTTGAAGTTCTGTATGTTTAATACAAAATCTGATCGCAGCCATGGATATACACTACCAAAGCACATATGAAATGGCAGGCTGAATATCATTTCTTGAAATAAATAACAAAACAAAAGATCACCAAAATTCAAAGTACCAAGGTAAATATTGTGTGGCTTCGACTGCTGAGCAGATTGAAATTATTAGAACCCACATGCCTGTGCTCTGCATCAACATTAAAAAGCAAATTATAAAGGTTTATACCATTAGTGAACATTCCAGAAAAGGCATCATCAACAGAAGAACCATCCATAGAGAAAAATGAGGATACACAATACACATAAATAAACAATTATTAATTTACCTTCACCAGAGGCTATCAGAGAAAGAGCATGAGCAGGCGATAGAACAACCTCTTCTTTTATTCCCTCCACATATGTGCCCTGCCAACTCCAATCCTTTATTACTAAGATTCACAGAGTATATCCGCAATCATATTGATTTCAAACTGCATTCTTGATGGAAATGCAAGACAAAGAAAGTTCACAATGCATGCCAACAACCATCAAAATGAACACTTTTTGGGAATTAGAAAACTACCGATCACTAACAGTTATTTAAAATATTTGTCCACATTATCATTCGCCAGAGAAGTCTATACAAAGAAATCATTATTGTCACATAAACAACACAAAGAATAGCAAGCATGTCTGCACGTGCATGTGAATATATTCCTGAGATATCAACCTGATATAGTCAAGAAATGAATTAACATTATACCATTTTGCATGCAGGTTTACCTGAGAGTCCTCTCTTATTCTAAGATTCTGTCCGGTGGGATTAAGCAAGTCATTGATGACCTAAATTCCAAGTAGCACATCAATCATAGGATTGAGAATAATATATATCAACAGTTTAAGTAGATTACAGGAATACATTCAAAGCATCTAAAGCACGAGATTTTCTTTTGCTATCAATATCACATGGTGAACCAATCAATTTAAACCACAAAGTAGTAAAAGCTTATGACTAGAAATTGTGAATAAGCAATGCTCCCTAGAAATATGTAATCAAAGATTTGTCAGCAATATTATGACACGTGATTATAAAGTCTTGCAGCTTGATTGAATGCTGAATGGTGCCTATAAAAGATAATTGAATCCAATTAATAAATGTTTAAACTAACCTCATTGTAAATTTCCAGATAAGAAACTCGGAGGAGAAATTCCCTTCCAGGTGTCTGAAACAAGTCAAAAGGCATTCAGCACTAAAAAGAAAATGAATATTACATTATTCAAGAATAAATAAATAAACAAAAGGAAGCTATGTGTGGGCCCGCTTAATACCATGGTGGTAATTACCTCTTGTATAATTCCGAAGACATCCTTAACAGCCAATGGAATGATTCCAGGAGATTTTTGCTCCCCCTATGACAGTATGAGAATCATCAAGAATGTTACTGGCCAATAGTATGTGCACAAAGTAGGGTATCCTAGAGGAAGTAGAACCAGATCAGGGGTCAGGAGAAAATTAGCAATTACATGCATTGTATGTGTCTTCCCACTGCTAGTAACTCCATATGCAAATACGGTCCCTACAATATATATATATATGCATAGTCAACAACACAAAAGACATTCCTGATAGAAACAAGATTTTATTTATTTATTTTAACATTCCAAATAGTATATTTGTGAATGTTCCATTAAGTGAAACATGAAACAAAAAAAGAAACAACGTCACAAAATTTGTCTTTTGATACCATTGAGAGGAGGAAAAGCAACATTTCTTCCTCATAGATAGCGACAAATAAGTGACGAAGTACACATATTCAGATTACAAAACATGTAGAGTATATTACCATTTACTCCTTTCATTGCACTACTCACAACATGCTGTGCCGCAACATCATAAACTTGGCGCGTAGTTGTCGCAGGACCAAATACCCTGTCTGGCACAAAACAAAAGATTTTCTATTATTTGAAAAGTGACAAAATAAATACACAGTGTTGAGTCACATACTTTTGGAGATTCATTACAATTCCACTACCAAGCATGCATGGTCACAGTGCAAACTGGCTTCCAACAAAGTATGCACATCCAAATAATTATTAGTGCCCCTAATATCACAAACACTCTAACATCCCAACTGCAAAGCTTTCAACTCAGAGTTATAAACTTCCTTGAAATTTGTTCTGCTTCATTAACATCTAAAAATAATAATCACTCAAACATAAACCCTTCAAAAAGTTTAGAACCTTAAACTTAAAACTATAGCTAGTGCTAACTGATTTTCCGCACACTAAGCATGCCCAAAACTTACTATCCGATGTGCAGCAAAGCAAGTGCAGAAAAGGGACCAGAAGGTTACCAAATCCATATGTAATGTCAGAGTTGAACTCATTGCGCACGTTGCAGTCTCCATCAGCATACCAAGCCACTTCATCTCCTTTGCTGATCTCCCTAGAACTGCAATTTTCAGGTCAAACAAAGAAACGAACGGTGAGCAAGGCAACCCAAAAGTGTAACCCACGAAGAAATGTTTGGGAATTAACTTCACATTTGGGTCAGGAATTCACTACGAAAGAAAAAAGAAGCGATAACATGGTCACCTGAGAGGACGAAATCGCACAGTGACGGTGACATTCTCTTTTGCTTTGCTGGGCTGGGCCAGCGTAGCTGGATGCTTGGAGAGCAACGCCCCAGCAGAGGCAGTCGAAGAAGACGAGGAGAATACAACAGCGGAGCAGGCCGGGGGAGCTGGAGCCGGAGCCTTCCGGTAGCGGAAAGGGGAGACGGAGGAGCGGCGAGTGGACATTTGGAGTGGAGTGGCGTGTGTTTTGCCGCCCGGAGGCTTCCAAATCGACAATTTCACATGAATTGAACAACGGGCCCGGGCCGGGCCGGGCCGGCTCGGGTCCGAAAAATCACGCCTGGTTTTGAAAGTAAATTTGGTGGGGGTGGGCGTGGACTAATAATAATGCCGCCTGTTGAATTTTCTTTAATTGTTTGGGTAGTATGCTAGGCTGTGTTTGTTTGGTCTCGATTTTTAGTTTAGTATTTGAATATTAAAATTTTAAAATTAAAATGATTTTATAATGTAATTTTAATAGATGTTTTGAGATGGTATTTTGGATGTAAAAGTTGATTTTAATATAATACTTATAAAAGATAAAATATAAATATTTAATTTGATATTTTTGAAAAAAATTAATGAATAATAAAATTTTGATGAAATCAAACACTTATTTTTTATATATTATATTATATTAAATATTAAATTTATATTCAAAATATTATATCAATATTTATTTATATATTATATAATTATTAAATTCAAAGTTTTTATTATTCAAATCTCAAATAATCTACTACACAAAATAATTTTTCTTCAAAAAAAAGTGTAAGAGAGGAGATGTGAGACGAGAAACATTCTCCACAAGGTCTCACAGAAAACACAAAGAATCTTCTATGTAGCTGCTAAATTTAAATCCTTTGAATGAAAAGATAAATATTAGTTGACTCTCGTTTGAAGATAAATAAATAAATGATATGTATTTCTAATAGCTTAAATTTTGAGATAAAATGGGTATTTACATATCTAATAGGATATCTGGGCCTTAGTTCCCATCTTCTCCCGTTGGTGAACATAATTATGATATATATATTGTTGGATTTTTTTAACATAGAGCAAATTTGAGACGAACAAATTAGAATCTTACCAATATTTTTTCAAGTAGTTCTATCACTTTGATGCAAATGATATCATTTTCATTTGTTACTTATTTTTTTATTTTTTTATTTTAAAAATACACGGCGGATGGTGATTGATCAGGTATAAAAAGGAGACAATACATTGGAGGTAATGTAACTGAACCACTTTCCTTTCAATGTATGCATAAGTGTGTTTACATATACATATATATGAACGTTAAAACAAAAGTTCGATTTTTAACTTATCTATCCAATATAGCAAATTGAGTATATCATTGGATTATCTAACTAAAATTATATTCATATTTCACCGGTTATAAGATTAATTATTACTTTCTAAAGACACTTGTTTAACAATTCGGCTAGCTAGTAGATTATCGATCCAATTAATTTTACATAAATTATCATTTCTTATTTCACATCTCTTTAAAAAGTGTGTTTATGAAGTGTTAAAATATCTTACATATATTTACTTGAAGTTAAATAATTAGGCAAGCTGGGATGAATTGAGCACACGAAATCTATATTTTAAATTTTATCCAAGTGAATCTATCTTATTCACAGTACAGTTTTGTAAAGAACTCGAGTTGCTATGGCTAAAAGATTAGATAGAGTTTAACTTATACGAGCAGTACTAACTAAACATATGTAAGTATTTTTTTCGGTCTGAAATATAATTGAAGATTTAATAATATTTTGTGAGATTTTCAATTGTTGCAACTAAAAGATTAAATAGAATTATGATGACTAGTACTAAACATATTTATGTGTTTTTCTTTTTGGTCTAGATTGAATTTGATGGTTTAAATTTTTTATTTAAATAATATTTTGTAAAAATAAAAAATATACATAATTAAAATAATATTAAGGTAAATTAAAAAGATAAAACACACTGTCTCAAAAACAAATTTTATCCCTCTATCTTTTCATCCTTACATACATAGTGTTTATATATATATATGCACACGTTTGTATGTATAAAATAACACTTTGTATATACATACACGTGTGTGTATATGTACATATACTAGGTGTGTATGGACAAGGGGACAAGATTCCGTACGGTACAAAGGATCCCGTGTGGAAATTAAAGGCTTGCCAGCGGACAGTATATAGAGCATGTTTTAAAATAAATGAATAAATAAATAGATATTTTAGTGATAAACGACGACAGGTGCTAGCTGTGAAATGTGCATGCATGAAGAACCAAGACAAACATATATATATATATATATATACATACATGCAAATTAAGAAGAGAATATAATTGAAAGAGTAGTGGCGGACGTAGGGTACATACATATATATGCATGAGGCTATATTATTATTGAGCAATAAATTGTTGGGATTCCCTATCGAGAGTTTGTTATAAGGGAATATCCATCATCTCTCTCTACCTTCATTTGTCTGTGCATCAACAAATATGTACTACTCTCATTAATTAGGCATATTTTAATTTATTTATTGTGTACGTGGGGTGTGGTGTGGATCGGAGATATATGGAGGCAGGGAAGAATACGCTCATCTTATTATTATTATTATTATTATTTCTTCGGACAGGCGCACAAGTCAAAGGAAGAAAAGAAGGAGAAGTAAATACTACTACTAGTAGTAAGCGGTTGGTGCGGTCAATAAATCGTTGACCAATAAATTAGGAGTAAATCTGACTCTTCTCTCTAGGACACGTGTCCACCTGCTGGTTTTCTTCTTCTTCGCATGGCAGGCTGGCTGGCAGGCAGGCAGAGAGACCGGCAGTCAGTGGTTGTCGATATCCTTCCGCTTCTATTCCTATTGCTCATTCCTTCTCTTCTCTTCTCTATATATAGACTTAGACTTAGACTTAGACTTAGAGAGGCAGACAGAGCCAGCCACGCCTTGCCTTGCCTTGCCTTTGTCGACTCCGCTCTGGCGCTAGCACTAGCTACCTGCAAGCTGCAGCCGCCCGCTGCCATGGCAAATTCATCTGCTGCATCCTAGCCCTAGCCCTAGCCCTAGCCCTACGTACCGCCCTCTGCCACCTCTTCTCCCTCCCCTGCTCCATCATTAATTCTTCTTCACCTTGATCTGGGTTGAGATCGAGAGCACCCGCACCCTGCTACTGCTAGCTAAATTAAAACAAATCCATTGCAGCTCTGTCGTCACCTCTCCTCTCCACAATATAAATATATATATATATATATATATAACTCAACAAATTGTTGGTGTCGTGTGGCGTGGTGTAACTCTCTTTCTCTCTAATAGAAAGAAGATCGATAACAGATAGGAAAATCTCAATCTCAAACTCATACTCATACTCATACTCATTCATAATGAGCACAAAGCAGCAGCAGCAAGACCAGAGCCAATTAGCTGAAATCTCCGTCGTCAATGTCCCTCCGCACTCGGAGGCTGCTGATGAGGCCTACGACGACGACGGCAGACCCAAGAGAACTGGTTGGTACACTACCCCCTGTATTATCATTCATTCATTCAATCAATCAATCTGCCTTCCTAGTCCTCGTGTAGAGCAGAGCAGAGTAGAGTAGAGTGTAGTTTAGTAAGTTTGAATCAATCTCTCTCTCTCTGTGTCCCTCTGGATGTATGTATGATTGATTGATTGATCGTGCAGGAAGTGTCTGGACGGCGAGCGCCCACATAATAACGGCGGTGATAGGGTCCGGGGTGCTGTCCCTGGCGTGGGCCATGGCTCAGCTGGGGTGGGTTGCCGGGCCTGCCGTCATGCTCCTCTTCTCCATGGTCACCTACTACACCTCCACCCTCCTGGCAGCCTGCTACAGGTCTGCCAAGAGGAACTACACCTACATGGAGGCCGTCCAGGCTCACTTGGGAGGCTTCCAGGTCCAAATCTGCGGGGCCATTCAGTACATCAACCTCCTCGGGGTCTCCATCGGCTACACCATCGCATCATCCATAAGCATGCTGTGAGTACATGGATAAGGATTCTCTCTACTTCTTTGCTTTCCTTTACTTTGCTTGTTTGTGTTTCTGATGATTGTAACCACAACACAAAAGGGCGATCAGGAAATCCAATTGCTTCCATCAAAGGGGGCATGGCATTCGCAGTGGCAACAACGACTGCCAAGTTTCAAGCAATCCTTACATGATCGCTTTCGGGCTTGTGGAGATCATCTTCTCCCAAATTCCAGACTTCGATCAGATTTGGTGGCTCTCCATTGTTGCTGCCCTTATGTCCTTCACTTATTCCTCCATTGGCCTAGCCCTCGGAATTTCCAAAGTTGCAGGTATTAATTAATTAGTTACACTAGAGACTGATTGATGATTCATCCATGATTCTCTTCTTGATTTCTAATGAGAGCCATCTCCATCTCCAATTCCAATTCCAATGCCAAGCAGAGAATGGAAAATTCAAAGGAAGCCTCACTGGAATCAGCATTGTCAGTGGTAGCCTCACTGAAACACAGAAGATTTGGCAAAGCTTTCAGGCTCTCGGAGACGTAGCTTTTGCATATTCCTTCTCCCTCGTCCTCATCGAAATTCAGGTGCGTGCATTTCATCCATCCACCATTGATCTTGTTAATTTGTAGGCTACATATTTTTGTTCTTGTAAATAAATTGGCAGGACACAGTAAAGTCCCCTCCATCCGAATCCAAGACGATGAAGAAAGCCACACTGCTAAGTGTAGTAGTGACCACAGTTTTCTACATGTCCTGCGGCTGTTTCGGCTACGCAGCATTCGGGGACGGCTCCCCCGACAACCTCCTCACCGGTTTCGGCTTCTACAATCCTTTTTGGCTCCTTGACATCGCCAATGCCGCCATTGTAATCCACCTCGTTGGTGCATATCAAGTCTTCTGCCAGCCCCTGTTCGCCTTCATCGAAAAAACAGCCCTCAAGTGGCTCCCCGACAGCAAATTCATCACAAGAGAATTCATGGTCCCAGTCCCAGGATTCAGGCCTTACAAGCTCAACCTATTCAGGCTTGTCTGGAGGACAATGTTTGTGATCCTGACAACACTCATTTCCATGCTCATGCCTTTCTTCAACGATGTTGTTGGGATCTTGGGGGCATTCGGTTTCTGGCCCCTCACAGTCTACTTCCCCGTGGAAATGTACATAGCAAAGAAAGGGATTCCCAAATGGAGCTCAAGATGGATCAGCCTTCAGGTCCTGAGTTTCGCTTGCCTCATCGTCTCCATTGCTGCTGCGGCTGGTTCCTTCGCCGGAGTCATCTCCGACCTCAAAGTCTACAAGCCTTTTAAAACTAGCAATTGATCCATCGATATTAATTAGTTTGAAAAGTTTTAGAGAGCAACATTATAGATGCATATATGTAATCCTTATGGTGTCTTAGAAATGAAAAAGGATCCATCATCCATGGATGCACATATATATATATATGTTTGTATGGAAGGAAGGAATATCAAGAAATTTGAATCAATCCTCCATTAATATGTTCCTTATTTCAAATTAAATAACACATATATGCATATAATGCAGGTATTTGACAAGAAGAATTTGCCTCTGTTTTTTAGCCAGCAGCCCATCAAGAATGAAGTTGAACTAAAATGACTCATAACTGGCTCCGTAGTGGTAGTGGTAGTGGAAAAACAGTTTAATTGTCATTCTTGGACAAGACTCACTAATGAGAAAAAATTCAGGAAGCTTTCTAAGGGACTACAGTATTATATTATTAGAACTATATTTTTTTTTTTTTTTGTGAGGTGAAAATCCGCAGTCACAATTAACATCGAAACTTGAAATCTATGACCACGGTCACGAGTCAATCCTACTCCATTAGGCCCTACATTATTATTATTATTATTATTATACTTTTGTTGTAGCACCATCCTGATCCTGATCTGATCCATCAGTAGTGCAATTTGCCCTAACACAGACACACACAGACATGGCTGATTGGACAGAAAGCCTCAGTGTGCTGCTGTACTAATTTCTTTAATGGATTCCACTAATTGAGTTCTGTGGTTTGCAAAATATTATGTCTTTAACATAAATAATTAATGTGTGTTCGATATATACTTCAAACAAATTTCATCCTCCAATGGTACTTATTCACAGGGATCTGTCTGTCTGTATCATCCATAAATCATCATGAGATGATTATATATTGTCAAATCTCATGGCCTAATTCTCAGATATCCATCTATTTATCTATCTTTTAAGAATAACATGCATTTAGTGATGATAGGAACAACAGCATTTCCATTGCAAATGAGATGCTGTCAGGATCATTTAACTACTTTCTTGGACCAATAATTGATAGGACTAATTAAAGCACTTGAGAATTGACAATTTTATTATGCAAGTATGTGATTGATTTCCCATGAATTTCCCACCACAAACATGGATTAATGATGAGTGAAATTTAAGCACATGTTCAGTGAAATGATGCAGAGATGAGGCAATCCCAACAAAGTGGACAATTCTAATCATACATCAATTATCAAAATACTTTCAAAGCATGATCTAAAATTTTTGTCAAATCATACACTTTTTTTTTTTTTTTTGGGATACATGATATAGATGCATAATTCAACTCATTGGAACCCTCTGGAGTAGCAATAAGTCTTTATCAAAACTTCTTTTTTTTTTTATTTAGAAGAGTGTTTATTAATATTAGACTGCCTTATTAATGTTCAAACGCCTAAATACGTTTAGGGAATAGCCATTGTTAGATCCTAAAATTAGACCGACTTTATGATTTAAACTCATGACATACCCACCAAAATATTATAAACAACAAAGGATGGAATTGGAGGCCAAACAAAAATAAAAAATAAAAAATCATACATTTGCAATGTTTTTTATGTCCTTTTCGTGGAAAAGTTTGAAATATTGAGTTCATGAATATGAGCATTCCAATCACAAATTTGAATTTGTTCTTATATTATTTGGACCTTAATTTATTACATAAATGATGTTATGAAGGTGCTGGCAGAAACCTAAAAGATTTGTGTCTAGATACATGATATAAATCATTACCTTCCAATTCGTGTGAATCTAATGATAACTTATGTTTTGGAAGTCCAAAGCTTGTGATCAATAATGTAATGGCCTTCTTCCTCTTGTTTAATGGTAAGTATATATTAAAGTCAAGACATCCTTCCACTGGATATGCCAATGATACATACTATATAATATACATAAATATATTTCAGATCATTTATCAAGTTACAGGGCTAATACCATCTTCTGATTGAATTCAGATAAGAAAAAAGCCATGGAAGAACGCCCCCAAATCACAAACCACCAGAGATAAAACACAGTATATTTGTAAGCTTCTATTGTAAGACTGATTTTTCAACAGAGCAATTAGGATCCAATTTATTAGAAGAGCAAATCGTTTCTTTTGGATATAGAAACCTCTGTTCTACATATTCTTCTCTAAAGAGATCATATAAATTCAAGTTTGAACAATGCCACAAGACTGCGAAAGGATAGTAGTAGTTTACCATATAGGATTTATTACATGATGACAGGTATAGAACCAACATACACATCGTGGAGAACACCGCTCGTCTTTACAGAGGATATCATTACCTTCACACTGATGCCTTCCATCTTGAGAGTTATCATCGCAGTTCCTCCTTACTAAATTTGTTCCAAGCTTCCTATTTAGACCAGAAAATAACCGAAAAGTTAGTTAGTTAATGAACCTATTAACTTCACAAGCATGTTTTTTTAATCTTCTCGTCAACAATATCCATAGCAGTGGAAGAAAGGAGTACCTTAAGGATATCAAAAACTTTCTCTGCAATATATTTTTGCTCGATAGTAGCTCCTTTTTGTTGGACTTTGTCAGGATGGACGCATAAGGTTGCCTTCTTGTAAACCTTCTTGACTGAATCTGAAGTGATCATGTCCGTCAATGAAACTGGTCGCCACCCGCATTCAGGCCACAGAACCTGGGCACCACACCAAGCATACGTTTAAATTCTTCAGTTGTTGCACTGAGGCAATAACTCATTTACCATTCATTTCTTACGAGGGATGCTGGTTTTTAGAAAAAGTATTTTGGTTATAACCAGAAATCCGAAGGCTTGTAGCCTCCATGCCAAGAGGAACATTGCCTTTAAACATATTATATAACCATGTTCTAGCTAACATTTGTGCACCAAATAAAGGGTGAGAAAAATAACTGGTATGACTAAAGATACAAACCTCTTGCAACGATGACAACAAGGCACGTAAGTTGCCTTCTTTTCCTGTGGCCCAACGCTGTATATCATTATGCAAAGTTTGAGCAAGCCTCTGAAACCAACAGCACAAAATGATGAGACGAAGGTGGGGAGATTCAAAGGATTTTACTTCAAATGGAAGTAACATTCATGTACGTGCCATTGTAGCATGTTTGATGAAAGAAGTGTCTACAAACTAAGATGGGAGGGAGAGGGGAGTTCTTTATATTCATCCCGTTTTCTTAGAATCACTATACCCACACTTATAACCATCCCCAAACACCAAAGAAAGTAATGTGTTTTGGAACTAAGAATATAACAACCATATGACTAGCTCACTAAAGTCGCTATGTCGACAAATTAAAATTTCACACATACACATTAATCACTATACTGTAATATACTGAATTACTGATAGTGTGAGTCTTACGCGCTTTTGTTCTTGTTCATGTTGGCTCTGGAGATCCCGTTGATTCTTTTCAGCAAGTGCTTCTGCCTGGAAACAATAACATAGCTGTTTTTAAAATCCATTGCAGGGAAGTATCGGTCAAATTTTAATGAAGAACACTTCAAGAGAGTAACAAAAGAAAATTGCCAATGTGATTGAGGATACTCCATCAGCAGCTTTTGTTAACACATATTTTAACTAAATAGAGGAACGATATTCGCATTGGGAGATTACCATGCGTGCATTTGTTCTAATATGACGATTTAACCTAGCTCTTCTTCTCTCTTCAGGCTCCCCTTCAATCTCCTGAAATTGTCCAGACGAAGTGGTAACATCTGCAACGAGGGATGTAAGAGTAATTAGTTAGTACAAGTATCTAGAAGCTCATCCTCATTGCATCAACATCATATAAAGCACGGGCACCCCATCTCATAATTTCTGTACTGCTCGCAATGAGTCAGCTCATTGATATGGTTTCAAGATGCTCAATTTTAGACTCAGCAACAAAATGACTATCGAATCAACCTTAATTCCTTCAATGGAACATTTTTTGTTTTGTTTTGTTTAGCGCTGTTCTTTTTTTTTTTTCAAGAAAAAGACTTCTTCAATTAATTGATGAAAGTTGACGTCCATAAAATGTGAAACCTGTCATAAGTAATTGTATCTCGAAGATTGCTTCAATGTGGGACAATACCTCCAAAGAGTGAAGTAAAATCAATGCCCACATTTGTAGCACCCGAGGTGGCTTTCTTCGTGTTGAATGAGGATGATGACCTCTGGTTCACCTCAGTACCCTTCTCTTCATGCATAAAATCACCAAAGAGTGAATCCTACGTAACAACATACAAAAACCAACAAAATTATGAGCACCATTTCAATATAGCCGCACTATTTCTTTAGATTCATTAGCCTTATTCTCACCTGAACCACAGGACTTGGTCTTGCTGCATTGTTTTGCTGCACACCATTACCACCACCAAAGATGTCATCCACATAATTGGTACTCCCAAAAGCATTTGAGTCTGTGCCTGAACTTGGCCTGTTAGAGGATGCCTTCCCACCATCCATTGTTGAACCACTTGCCCCACCAGCCATGATGAACTCATCAAATTCATCGAATGAAGATTGAGAGCTAACTTTTCCTTTACCACGGTCAGAAGGCGCACCATATGGCCAGGAGGTATCTGGCTGTGATACAGATGATTCGAAGACTAGGAAAGGATCGTCAACAAAAGTGGAGCTTGAGTTAGCTGGACGGCCATTTGTCTCAGAGTTTCCTCTGTTAAAAGGTATTATAAAAAAACAAAAGAGTTTTAAATAGAAAGATCAAAGATACAAACATGAACAGAAAACCAACACTGCAATGTAGATGTCATAACTCAACTCCCTACTACTATCCAACTAAAATCAACACAAACTCCTTACAGTTTATCACATAATTCAAAGAGATGTTATACAAAATGCATCACACTTGACAAAGAACTACATGCTAAAGCATTAAATTCATACTTAGTCTTAGCAGGATCGTCTCCTCCAAATCCAGGAATCAAATCATCCAATCCAGTTCCCCTTCCCTCTCCTTTCCTGTAAGAATTCGACCTAAAAGTACCAAACAAATCATCAACATGATCTCCCTGGTTGGCATTTGATCCCAGCAAACCATCAAAATGATCTCCCTGTTTTGCATTTGATCTCAGCAACTCATCAACATGATCTCTCGGCCCGGCCTGTGACCCTAGCAAATCATCAACATCGTTGAAACCCACCGTATTCCTTGAATTTGAATTGTTACCACTGCTCTTCCTATTACTCGAGCTACTAAACACTGATTCCAAATCAACCTCCCCGGATTGGTGGAAACTCGAAACGGGGCCACCAAAAAAATCGTCGCCGCCGCCTAAGAAATCTTGCGGTTGCTGAGTTCTACGAGGGTTAGAATTGGATCGAAAAATTCCGTCAAGCTCATCGACGGGCAAGGAATACGAATTATCAAACGCTGGCGTATTAGCGCTGCCATGTGCCGCGAATTGGGATTTAGGTTTGGGCTTCAATTCAGCCAAGGGGGTAGATTTTCCCTGGGATCGTAATCCAATGCTCTCAACGAGAACTCCAAATTCGTCCATGATCCTCGAAAGTAAATCGCAATTCGGTCGAAAAAGAAACAATCTTTGACGCGACGATTAAAAATTCAGAAAGGAAAGGAGGCTAAACGCATGGAGAACAACCAATATATGATGCTGAGTCAGGATGTATTAGAGGATCGATTTATTGATGATTACGAACTAATAGATTGAAGGGCAGCGTAAATTGTTTAAAAGATTTTTGAAGGGGAAACCTAAATTGTCTCGCAGGCAGGCAGGCAGAAGATAATTGTTGCGGCCAAGATTCTGGCTGGTATAGATAGCTTACAATAAGAGAAATTCCCCAAGAGATCCACACCGTCGATACACCCACCCTGATGATTCTTGCAACCCAAAAGAAAGAGCCAATAAAAAACAACAGGAATTCATGCAATTTCTTACAGGTACAGCAGCAGCAGACCAACAAATCATTTTGCCCTGGGGTCGGGTCAACTTCACGCACAACAACCAAAGCAGTAAAAATAGAGAATTACGGAAATGGGCATTCATATGATAATGACATGATCAGTTGAGTGTCTTCACAGCCTGAAACCTCGGCTCTTTTGGCGAGAATTTCTGGTGGGCATAAACTGACATGTAGTCGCCGAACAAGAACTTGGGATACTTGATCTTGACTGAATCCCCTTCGTCTTCCACTTCCTCTCTCAGGCTCAGCAGCTGCTGCGCAGGCTGGATGATGGCATTGTGGGAAGGATTGTAGAAGGAGGCAATGGATCTTCTGTTGCCATCGGGGAGGGCGAGAACGCGGTGCCACACGCTCTTGTACAGCCCGTTGCTCAGCACTTCGATCTGATCCCCGGTGTTGATGACGATGGCGTTCTTGAGGGGCTGCACGTCCATCCAGGCCCCATCTTTCAGGATCTGGAGGCCCTTCACCTCATCGTCCTGGAAGAGGAGGATGACACCGCCGGCGTCCGTGTGGGCCCGGAGGCCGATCATTTTCTCCGGCGCGGGGCAGGGCGGGTAGTGGCTCACCTTGGTGCCGAAGAAGGCGGCGTCTTCACTGAAGGCCTTGTTTATGTACCCCTTTGGAAGGCCCAAGTTTTCATCCATTGCCTCCATCACTTTGATCGCCAGTTTCTTCAATTCGCCTCTGAACTCCTTCATTGTTTCCCTATTTCACAGTTTCACACACAAACACCACCATCGATTAATCAGTCAATCTCTTAAATCACAAACACCACCATCGATTAATCAGTCAATCTCTTAAATCAAATTAGACTAAAGAGGGATATCTTCGTCGTCGTCATTCTCTCTCACCTGAAAGCAGAGGTCTTTGAAGGCCACTGATCGACATTGTCATCTGACAGCAGGAAAACATCTTCCCAATCAAAGCTGTAGCTGTTGTTGTTCTCATCTGCAGCTCCATTCTGCAGGAGCAGCTGCTGCTGCTGCATTGCCTCCTCGAAAAGCGCCTCTCTTTCCAGCTTGAAGCATTCCGAGGTCACTTTCTTCACCATCTCCAGGAGCTCCTCAGGTATGCCATGGTTGATCAGCTTAATCAATCAATTTCAGAAAAAAAAAAAAAAAAAAGATTTCTTATTCATGCTAGCCTCAATTATATAAATAAATACATAAAATCAAGTCAACAGTGACGGAGTGAGTTAGTAGTATCATCGATCATCGATCATCATTCATTAGCGTACTGTACGTATAGTATCTGATTGAGATGAGAGATAGAGACCTGGAAGAAGCCCCAGTGGACACAGCAGGCATGAATCTCCGCCAGTGTCTTGGCCCTCTCCTCTGACTCTCCTTGGAGCTTCGAGAAATCAATCACTGGAATTGCCATGGGCGATCGATAACTCAAAACAAAAAAAAAAAAAAAAAAAAAAAAGTCAATTAAGAAATGTTAATAATAGTATTTAATTAATGGAGTCGGATGAAGAACTGATGCTCATTTAGGCAGAGGCTAGGCTATTTATAGTGATGAGTGCCAGCCAGCCAGCCGGCACATTACTAGTTACCTGTCCATGTTGTTGGCTGGATGTCAACGCCTCTCTCTTTCTGAGTATTCTTATTATTATGATATTGGTTGGGACAAGATCAGAGCCGTTGGATGGACAGGCCAAGGACGGAGGGAAGATGATACTATATACTACTCTACTATCAATCAAGAACTTCACAAAGTCAACGTAATTAATAATAATAATAATAATAATAATAATAATAATAATAGTGAGATTTGAGATATATCGAGCCATCTGCTGCTGCCCATCCCCATCTCCATCTCCATCTCCCTCCTCTGCCAATAGTTCATCATTGACATCGTCATTAAGCTAGAATAGCTTTTAATTAATCAATTAATTAATTGTGATTATATATGTAAGATCCTGTTAGTTACCATGCATCAACTGTCATGTGATGATTGTGATCTGCAGATTGTCAAAACTCCAAATTAATTAAGTATATCACTATAAATATAAATATACAATTAGCATAGAGACTTTTTGGGTTTATATTTTAATTCATATTCATGTCTCATGTCCCCCTAGGAATAGGTTACTACTGTAATCAGATATGTTATGAGTATAATTAGATGATATTTTATATTAATATGCTAATTCTGTCTTACATGCACTCTTCGTGTGCTCAGATTATGATTATTATTTTTATAATATGAATTTGTTTATTTAGTATATTTTTGGTGGAAAATTTATCTGTAAACATAATATTTATATGGTAACACAATATATATACTACTATAATATAGTATATTTTATTAACTTATAAAAAATCAAAAATCTAACACAAATTATATTATCAACTTAAATTTTGTTATACTATAACATTAAAAAAAGAAAACATTTATTTAAAAATACAAAATGAGACAACTCTACATTGTAAAAGAAGTAGTTTTTAATAAAAGTGAATTGAATAATTTACCTTGGGCTTCACCGTTAATTCACCCCACCTTTTTATTTGGGTTCGAATTTATGGACTACTTTTCATAAAATAATTGGGCCTTACCAAAGCAATGATAATAATATACGCTGGCATATTATACAGGTGTCGTTGTTGCAGAAAATTGAAGACACATGTCAATGTATATTCACACCATGCATGTGATAATTCAAAATAAATAAAAATTTAAAAGAAAAAACCAAGTAAATTTTCCCTCCGGAAAATGGTACAAAAAGCACAGCAAATAAGGCTTTCGGCCCAATGAAATTTGGAGAACTGAAACAGAATTAGGCCCTAGACGATAATTTAGAAACTGTTGGGGGTCAAATTGACAGTTCAAAAAAACGTTCTGGGGCTTTCTGCAATACTTGTCCTAGCTGTTTTCCTTCCTCGTATGTTACGAATCTTGAATTTCTTTTCAAAATAAGAAACAACAATAAAATAATTAAGTAATAAAAGAAACTCCTCTTTACTCTCAAACACTCTTCTTCACCGCTCTGGTCTTTTTCCGGGCACCGATCAGTCCAGGGTTTTTCCTCCTTAATATTTCCTTGTGCCTTTTTCTTAAAAAAATCGCCCAACTTTCGTCATTTCGTCGATAGACTACACTGAATTGATGGTAGAAGGCGGTGGTGGCGGCGGCGGCCCGGACCCAGGCTCCGGTCCAAAACCCGCCGCAGTGATGGAATCAGCCGGCGGCCGCATACGCTTCAGGGTGGAGCTCAGGCCGGAGGAAACTACATTTGTTTCGTGGAAAAAGCTTCTCAAAGAATCCAATTTAAGTGATTCCACCTGCCCCGGGCAATTGAACTCGGGCTCTTCTAGTTCCGGCAAAGCCCCGGAGCGTCCAACTTCGCAGGCAATGCCTCCGTCTCTTACCGTGGTGCCTTGTTCGTCTAAGCAACCAGCAGTGAATGAGCAGAAGGATCGGCAGGGGCAATCTGGGTCGAACCGCTTGAGCTCAGTGATCGAGAGAATTGAGCGCTTGTATGCGGTGAGTTGAATGGACTTGGGGACGTTTTTCTTCATTTATGTAGTTTATTTTTCTGAAAGAATTTTGTCAGGATCTCACATTCACATAGCGTTGGTAGAGCACATTGTGTTTTTGCGTCAAGATTTTCCGTGAATTGTCAGCTGTTATGTTATGACACCCCCAATCCAAATTCCTAAAGATTAAATCGAGTTTCCATCTCATTCCCTGTTTCTTTTTTTGCTTTGTCTCCTTTCCTCTTTACCTTGCTTGTTAGATGGCTCACCATTGCACATTTATGGAGATTAGCCCTTGAAATATGAGTCTTGATATTAATTGATTATTGATTGATGTTTACTTGTTATTTTGTCTTTGTTAAATCATAAGTGTCGATGCCTTTTACTCCTAGTCTGCTAATGCTCCTTTGACCTTGCAGGGCAATGGGAGTAGTGACGATGAAAATGTCGGTCTGGATGATGTGCCTGATGATGATGAGTATGATACAGAGGATTCTTTCATTGATGATACTGAGTTGGTGGGTGCAGTTTTTCATTGTTTTAGTTCCATCAGTATCGGACTTTGTTCTGTACAGAGGAATTTTCTATTTATGTTTGTCATTTAAAGGTTTGTGTTGTTCTGAGCTTATGTTTTTATGCAGGATGACTATTTCCAGGTTGATAACTCAACAATTAAGCATAATGGGTTTTTCATTAACCGTGGGAAGTTGGAGCACATGTTAGTATTCTTAATCTGTTCTTGGTATCTTTGGTGGATTATGATATTATTCTCAATATTATGTAATTTTATGTATGGTTTTGTGCTTAGTTGTTGATAGTTCTGTTAAAATTTATAAGCAGAAAATCAAGTACAACTGATGCATTATGCTTCACGTGACACCGCACATGATAGAACCAGCAAGAACTTTTATGCCTGTTAGACTTTAATTGGAAACACGGGCACATCATACTGACTGCGCCAATTGAAGTAAAATATACAATGAATATTGTTTGAATGCTCCTTTTTTGTCCATTTTCCATATCCAAGATGCAAAACAGGGCTTCAAAGATGAACATTCAAAAGCATACAAGGCTCATGATCAATGTTTTGAATTGCTTATGATGGAGTACAAAGATGATTGTTAAAAAATTGTATTTATTACTCATTCACTGTTTATGTTCCTAGTAAAATTGTGCATTTTATCTTTGAAAACTTCTTATTGAACCAGACACTGCTTCCATTTTCTCATTGCTTTTGTTGTGCTGGGCACTGGTAATCAATCGATTTTGCTTGGTTCAAATGAAATTCTGTGCTTTATTTATGTTAAGCTGCATAACATCTAGGTCTGTCAGATCTTATAAAGTCCTTGTTGGATATTTTGCAGTGAACCACCACCAGCATCCACAACTAGTCAGCCAAAAAAGAGGAGACATAAAGATTTGGAGAGAGGTCAAGGAAGGAGTGATGATGGACATATTGCAAGTAAAATTGTGAAAGTAGGAAATAAAGGTAACAGAACACCCTTTTCTTATCACAGAAACTTATCTAGTGGGCCACACATTGTGGCTGGGACAAACATGCATGGTGAGAGTATGCAATGGCTGTCTTCTTCTGCAAATACTCATGAAGTTTCATCAGCAGACAAAACTGCAGAAAATCGAACTACAGTGGATCTTTCTGGACTATCAAATGGTGGAGCCATTATAAAAAGCACTTATTCTAATCAGCAGAAACCTGAAGTTTCCTCATCTAAAAAGTGGAAAGAGAGTAACAATCAAGATAGTTCGACACAGAGGTCAAATAAGAAAAGTACACATGTAAACAAATCCTACTCTGGAAAACAACCAAACAATGCTGATGATCTCAACCAGTCAGTTAAGCCAAAAGAAAAAGGTGGAATTGTTGAAACATTGGACCTTTCTGTTGCTGCAAACAGGGATACCTTGCCAACTACGGTACGCAATTGCTTCATGCATGAGTATCTGCCAAAGTTTAGGTCCTTGAAAATACACTGGACTTAATATATACTTATTTGATGCTTTAGATCATTTGGGTTGACAGGGACCAATCGATGATCTTGTACACAAGTCATATTGGTATAACATGGTTCATATTTACTGATTTGATGTTTTAGATTGTTTGGGTTGACAAGGAGCAACTGAGATCTTGTACATAAGTCACATGGTTTGGTGACGACTACATGATCAAGTTAGGAACTCTATAAAAACAGATGTTCCTCTTTGGAAGTTCAATCCAAGGAGAAATAGAAAGCTTGCAGTTGGATTAATGGGGCTTTTCTCTTTGGAAGCTTAATTCAGAGATTAATCTGTTAAGGTTCCTAAAAGCTAGCTGCCAACTTATTTCTTTTGAACATATTCCTCTTTCCTCCAATGGTTTGGTAGACATCTTTGTGGAATGTGGCGCCTTGGGGAATCCTGATCTTATAGTTTGGTTTTGATCCTCTTTACTTGCCCCTGGGATTTCTGTTGGATGTCTGCTTAGTCTACTTATCCTAAAGCTATAAATTGCCATTTTCCTTAATATTTATTTATTTATATATTTTCTAATGATGTTTTCCTTGACTAGCATTTTTGGGTAGAACTTGAAACATGACTTTACTCTATTTTTTGTTTTTCACCAAATTAATTGTTGCGAGGGTATTGAAGATAATAAGTCTGTCCATGTTTAAGAGATACTAAATGGAGAGTACAGATCTAATTTGCAAATTGCAACCATCTAGAGATTGGCTACTTGTTTAATATGCAGTGTCTTTCGTTCTTCTGATTCTTTACATATACTTTTATTTCCAGCTGTCCTGAATTTTAACTTGTTAATTTGAGTGAGTTCAAAGACAATCATGATAGAATCTTTCACCATCCCTTATGCAGAGAAAAGAAGGATCAAGTGTTCGACCAAAACATACGGATCTTGAGAAGGCCATTAGAGAGTTAGATAAGATAGTTGCAGAATGTATAAAATTTCTTTGTCATTGTAGTTTCCTTCTTTTTTATATTTCAATGTTGCCTCCGTTGTTTATGTGTACTTGTGCTTGTGGTTAAATGACAGCTAGGCCACCCTCTACCGAAGTCCAAGATCCTGACAATTCATCTCATGCAGTCAAAAGGAGGTTGCCACCTGAAGTAAAGGAGAAGCTGGGCACAGTTGCTAGAATATTGGTAATTAGAGCTGAGATGCGATGCTGATTCATCTTGTCATTACGCTTGTTACTTTTCCATCCTACAAGATTCTTCTTCACTTAGCTTTACTGCAGAAGAAGTTACATTGTATATTTTTGTTGGCTGCAGCGAGCGAATGATGGAAAGATCCCTAAAGATATAATCAATCGTCTGATGGGTATTGTTGGCCACCTTGTGCAAGTTCGGACTCTAAAGGTATTTTTCTGTTTTGTTGGAGAATACTCCTTTCTTTTAAATTCGTTACCATGAATATTCACGGGTGCCAATTGGGTTGCAAACGGCTTTGCTAAGCGCAGGGCTAAGGGAAAGGTTGAGTTATTTACTTGGCTGTAGCTCTAATTATATTTATACCATAATTGTTGATTGACAATTGTGTTGTATGTCTTCTTTTTATACTTCATACCAAAGATCCGCACTATTATTTTTAGTTTATGGTCTAATTGCTGTCTTCTGATGTTGAAGGTGATGCTGCAAATGATATGACTGTAGGCAGATTCTTATTTAGAAAAATTGCATGACAACTTTGTGCCAAAAAGTTTATTTTGAAGGAAGTAGCGGAAGATAGAGAGTGAATATATAATGAAATGTAACTTAATAATGAACTATTGTGTCAATCGTATTACATTTATGTGAATTTCTATGGATTGGGTGGAGTCTACTTCTTAGTGGTACGATCCTGGTTTTGCTTTACACTGGAAGCTAGATCATTTCTGTGCAAAGAACCAGACAAGTCATTGGGCTGTTAGTTTGGTTTCGCTAAAATAGAAGTCTGGTAAGCGATGCTAAAAAATATATTGGTGTTTTTCATGTTAGTATCTGCTTGTAAGCCTGCTGTTGGTTGTTCTGCTTAAGTGATGTTTTTTGTTGTTCCCTAACATACAAACTACATTTTGACAGATCAGACCAGACCATGTTTCTGATTAATGGGCTCCCTGGTTATTGACTCCAGAGGACAAAACTTGCACTGTGCCAATAGCAATATTTCCTTCTCTTTCAAATTGTCTGAACTGCATTTGTTGTTTCAACTAAGATTTGCCTATCACTCTTGTTGGTTTTCTCATGAAAGCATTTTCTGATTTGTGATGCTTTCAATGGTTGTATGTTCCGGTTACCTCTTCCTATGTTACTATTTGTGGAGAATGACAGTTTTTTTACTTATGAAGCCGATGACGAAAATAAGCGTGCTTTGAGATTTGTTCTAGTTTGCAATCATTATTTAAAAACTGATATATGGTCTTAAACATAGAACTTTGGTGTGTAATTACCGTATACTTTTTAAGCTGTATAAATGTTTTTTACAACTTCAGCTGTCACGGAAATTTGTTTCCTGGCATATTTGGTCTATCATACTTTATAATAATGACACTGAAATTTGGAAGTGAAATTACATGTTTTGCTTCAGTTGGCATTTGTTGTAATGACACTTGCATATCTCGAGAGTAACTTATATGTCTTGGCTGTGAGAAAATAAAATTATTTAGGGGATTGAGTCCAAATGAAACAGTGAATCCTAAGATGCTTATTTACAAAATAGATGTTTGTTTAATTTTTTTCCCCTTTCAAATTGATCAACCAAATTGATGCAATTTTACAGTGTATGTGATGTTGAAAGTTGAACCACAAACCAAATGTTGCTGTTAAAGTGTCCCACATTGCTAGTTGTTTTGAGTCCCCCCTTGCATATAAGGGTGAAGGACAACCCCTCTTATCATCAATTAGTTTTGAGATGGAGCCCGGATCCTCAGTCATGAGTGCCGTGTTAGGTATTGATCATAGTTAGGATTTTGAGATGATATCGTCTCGAAGGAGAGTGTCAAAGTGTATCTCATATTGGGAGCTTCCCCTTGCTCATAAGGTTGAAGGGCAACTCTATTTTTCACAAATTGGTTTTAAGATGTAGCCCCGATTCCCTTCTTTACAGCCGCTAAGGTGGATTTTTATATAGTGTAGTTCTTCATTAAATGAACGAATAGGATCATGTTATTTGTAATCGCAAGAGAACCTCATTGTGTCTTTGTATGTTAGTTTTTGTTGTTTACTACATTGTTCACTCATGGTTTTTGCATTATCAAACTAGGGTGTGTTTATGGATTTTAGTTTTTAGGTTTGGATTTTTGAATAGTAAAAAGTTGAATTTGAATAGTTATTTGATGTGATATAAATATAGGTTGATGTGATGTTTGAATGTAAAATAAATTTGTAGTATAATATTAAAAAAGTAATAATTTGATGTGATATTTTTGAAGGAAAAAGAGAATCTAAATAATAAAAACCTTTGGTAAAACTCACAAAAGAATACAATTTAAGAGTTTATAAAGAAATCAGCCTCACATAGCATTTTAGGTAATTTTTATGTGCATGTGGGCCGAACGGTGGAATGGATGAATACGTAAGGGGCCCATGGATTTACGAACGATTACCTAATAGGCCCATGGCTCTATTTTTACTTATGCTTTATTTGTTTTCCCGAGCTATTTTAAATTTTAACGTATTAGGTTACAATAAAATAATTGTGTTTCACTTACTTAGGCGTTAGGTTGTCAGTTGAGTCCTAGCTGAGTATGATAGAGCTGTCTCAAGCTTGATTACGTTTGATATCCAATAATTAGTTCTTTGGGATCAATATATGTACTATTTGTGAACTTTGAGACATTCCTTCCTGGAGTTGTATTTTAAGCTTCAGATCCCTTCTTAACATAGTATTTGAGTCATGAGTGCTCGTATTGTGTATTGATCCTCTTAAGGATTTTGAGATGATATTATCTCGAAGGGAAGTGTTAAAAAAAATCAAGAAAAATGAACTCAAAATCTTTAAAGTATCCTACATTATTAGTTGTTGGGAGCGCCCTCTTGCTTATAAGGTTGAAGGACAATTACATTTATCACCAATTGGTTTTAAGATAGAGTTCCGAATTCCTTCATAACAAATGCTAAGGTGGATTTTTATCTATTGTGTAGTTCTTCATTGAATGAACGAATAACATCATGTTATTCGTAATTGCAAGAGAATCTAATTGTGTCTCTGTATGTTAGTTTTTCCTGCTGTTTACTACATTGTTCACTTATATGGTTTTTGCATTATCAAACTAAGAGTTTATAAAGAAATCAACGTGTCACTTGGCATTTTAGGTAATTTCTATTTGCATGTGGGCCAAACGGTTGAATGGATGAATACTTAATGGGCCCATGGCTCTACGAATGATTACTTAATAGGCCCATGGCTCTATTTACTTATTCTTTATTTTTTTTTCCGAGCTATTTTAAATTTCAACATATTAGGTTACAATTGTAATGATAGGATTAAGAACTCTAATAACTGTATTTTGTTTACTTAGGCGTTAGGTTGTCAGCTGAGTTCTAGCTGAGTATGATAGAGCCGTCTCAAGTTTGATTATTATTATTATTATTATTATTATTATTATTATTATTATTATTATTATTATTATTATTATCTCCAATAATTAATTCTTTGAGTTTAATAAATGTACTATTGGTGAACTCTGAGACATTCCTTCCTAGAGTTGTTGTTTTATTCACTAACATTTAAGGTTCACTTCAGTATGGATCTAGTTGATTGGGCTTGAACATAGCATCATGGTTTATCGACCTCATAAATATAAGCCATTTTCGCTAACACAATCCACTCGATATCTTGTGACTATATTTTCCCCAAAATGCATTGCTTAGTTTTTTTTATTAATATACAATGTGGGACCACAAAACACTAGGCAGTATTATGTGTCACTTTATATATGCCGAATCTGCCATTAATCTTAGAGATACTGTTAGTTTTTTTCTAATTCTTTGATGCCATTGGCGCATAGCTAAAGTAACCATGTCTTTTTGTGTGTGTGTGTGTGTGTGTTTTATTTGAAACTTTTCCTAGAACTATTACTTTTGCTAATAGCCAATGTGGAATGAGCTTTACATCTCGGAATTATGGGTTCACATAGTCTCTACAAACAAGGTATTGTTGGTCTTTTACAGGATCTGGAATTTCGAGTCCCTGGTTCTTGCCGATTTAAATCAGAGGAATTACTGATAATATCAACACTTACTGCTCTGATAGTGATGTGCAAAGTTCCCAAAATAGTTAATGTGTGCCCTTTATATCTCAGTGTTCTTATCTGAAATTCTAAGTAGGAGAATAATTTTTTCTTTCTTTTTTATCTGCAAGAGATTGGTGAAACAACATGAGTAGGATCGTACATGCGCGTGTTAAGATGCATATCAGCTTACCAGTTAATGTCAATTTTAGTTTGCCCTTTCAACCCTGGTATTTGACTTGTATTTTAATCAATGCAACCACAATGACCATAACAATAGCAGTACATAATTTATGCTTGCTTGTATCATCTAGGATCCGAATTCTCGTGCAATCCCCATTTGTCTCAGTCTTGTGTTAATTGCCTTGATGGATCGCTTGCTGTTTACTATATAGACTTGATTGCTTGATTGGGACGAGTGATAAAGGGAGCGACTTGGATTTATCGGAAATTTCTTATCATCAGTTTGCATCCTATGTATTTCTAATGCTCCTCGAAGTGTTGTCTTTTTTGATCGTTCCTTCTGCGAGGCTTTGTTGTAATTGACCATCTCATACCTACTGTTTTTGTCTCAGAGAAATCTTAAATCTCTTGCTACTTCTGGATTATGTGCTAAACAAGAGAAGGAAAATAAAATGCGAAAGATAAAACAAGAAGTTGTGGAGATGGTAAAGCTACAAATCCCATATGTGAGATCAAAAGTAAGTATTTTCTTTTGAATATTGCCATGTAATCAAGTTACAGATTTTCCACCTTGAGAATTGGTCTGTCTTGGATATTTATCTTGACTCCTTAATTCTCCAGTCCTCTATTCCACCATAGATAAATACCTGTGGCTTGTGTGGAAAGCTGAGAGCTGAGGGCCTGTTTTGTTATGTTTATAGATTGTAATTCCTATTCTTACATGCTTTGCAGAATGGGCCACAAGCTGAAAATTCCATTGATATTCAAGGTGTTCCAGAAGATAATAAAGTCTTGAAACGGAAATACAAAATGGATTATGCATTGGAAGATAAGATTTGTGATTTATATGATCTGTATGTGGAGGTATAAACCATATTCCTTAGCTCCATGTGCATAAAAAACATACAAAGAAGGATTCTGCCTTACTTGTCTTTCTGGCTTTTCATTCATAGAGACTGGAAGAAGATTCGGGTCCACCAATCAGAAGGCTGTATGATGAGGTAGTTAGCTTGTGATTAATATAATAAGGTTACTTTCATAAACTGTCTATGGAAGGAAGTACACATATCAGCAAGATTTTAGGCTATAGAAAGGTGGTTTTTTTTGAATGGTGGGTGGGACTGGGTGGGGGATGCATTTTGAGAAGTTAATGTGCATTATAATCTTACTTTGCAATTAGCCTCTGTTCTCTTGCCACTTTTCTGTTCCAAAATGGAGTGTGCACATAAATCACCACTTGTTTTCAGTTCCTGCATATTGATGCACTAACAAGGGCATGGCTTGGAAGTTGGAAGGTTTTTGATGCACATCTTATTGAGAAATCCTGGATTTTCAAGAGGATGGTTACCTGGATAGTTTCCAATATGCTGTTATGTTTTGGTTGCATGCCCTGAGGAAATTAATTAGGAAGGATGGATGTTTTCAGGGGATTAAATAATGTCAATATCTTTTGTTTCTTGCCCATGGTGTAGTCCAGTACTCGTCTTTGGATGTTTAAGTAACTTCTCTTGCCAATTAATTGCCATTTTTCCGTTATGATGGATGGATGCAGAAGGGGAATTAACATATTTTCCTATTGCAGCTTGTGTCGATGTGGCCCAGTGGAGTCATGGATATAAATGGAATTAAACGCGCTATATATAGAGCAAAAAACAGGGGGAGATCTTCCATCCTTCAAAAGGTACATTAATATATTTATTTCTGTATTCCCGATGCATTTCAGTTTTGTCATGTGAAATTCAATGCTCGACTGCTTGTGCTTAATGCTTCCATTTCATTCCAAAACCATCTGTATCGCGCTTGCAGACTGTTCACTCGTTTGGCAGAAGAAATATGAAGGCTTTTGCTTCATGTACGAATGAATTTATGACTCCTTTATTTTTGCTTGCATTCTTAGGATCATGAGAAAATAAAGAAGAAGAAAAAAGCATCGCCGGCAAAGGCAGAACGAGCCCCCATTGTTACTGAGGCACCAAAGCTGTTACCAGATTCTGAAGGTCCAGATGCAGGTGTAGCTGCCGCTCATGTTCCTGTGACCTTTACAAGGGACCGTGCCATTGACAAGACTAGGAAAAAAAAGGCCCGGATCGATGCAGCACCATCAAATTCATTGCCAAAAAAGAAACAGAAAAGGAAGCCAAATGTGGATGGTGCTGCCGGTGGTCTGGTGGCTGATGGGAAGTCCAAACACCATAAGAAGAAAGTTGTTCCTCCTCGCTCCAAGCAAACCCTTCTTCCAGCCTGACTGACATACATAACCAGAGAAGATTATAATGAATGACAAGGACATACCGTAGCATATACAGACATACATACATAATTACATAGTTCTGAGCAGACTAGACATGCACCTATTTTAACCTCAGATTACAATTTGATAGGAAGCTTACTGGTAAGCAACTTCTGTGATTATTTGTAACTGACGAATGATTTTTATTTATGTTGTTAGGAGTAGACTGTAGGTTAGTTAAAGAGCCTCCTTGTGTCCCATAGTCAGTATATATCTATATATATATATCTACATATATACACACATGCACACACACACATGTTTATATATATATATACACATGCACACACACATGTTTACAACTTTTTGTCCAAAAGTGGATCCTAGGCAAAGACAAAGGGGAAATCCTCCTCAAAATAGAAACTATGTGCACCTGGAAGCTCAGGAAATTTGAATACTCGCCGTAATAAGTTCCGGGCATCTCTTACCAAAAAAAATTGAAATAATATTTGATTGAAAAGAATTGAAATAATATTTGATTTTTCTAAAGATTGGACAATATTTTATGTACTACATTTCATTTACAAAGTATATCTATATATTTAGGGTTGTTAATATATTAAAAATATAAAATAAATATTTTGATATGATAATTTATTTTGAAAAGAATTATATAATTATAATATATATTATATTTATAAATATAAAAAATTATATATGCAATAAAACTTAATACTATTATGCGTATCTAATTAAAATTTTGGGTTTATTTATTTAACAAATTATTATTGATCTAGTTCTCAATTAATATTAATAAAAGATATAGGGTGTGTTCATTTTGGTTGTGTTGATTTAGTGATTTGCATGAATATATTTTTGTATGTTAGCATGAAAGTAATATAAAAAATTAATATATATTGTATTGAATAATTTACTTTTGTGATGAATAATATATATATTATATTAAAATATTATGTTATATTTTTTTATAATATTTATAAAAATTATGACATAAAAAAATAGATTTGGGTGAACAAAACTTGTGTCCTTTTGATTTGCTAATTTCTGAGAAAAATATTGGATTAATATTGCTGGACCAATAATGTCAAATATGAAACAAATAGAGTCTAATAGAAAGGCCCAAAGTGGAATAGTGGACTGGCCCAACAAGCGCTTGATCCTCTCACAAAGGATTTTCGTCGCTCCTATTCCAGTTCCAGACAGTGCTCAACAAGTTTCATCGGCGAGGGATCTTGACAATTATAAACCCTGCTCTGGCAGGACCGGCAATTGTTTTCCCGATTTCCTCTCCGAATAAGGTATGCTATGCTACGCTATGCTATTTGGGGTTTGAATTGATGTTAAATATATCTCTTTTCAGGTGTGTATATGTATGAATATGTGCATTGAGTTTCCGTGTGGGGACTGACTGCTACACACTTTATCATTTACTTAGAAAATCAGGCTGCTTGCTATGTCCGGTTTGTTCGGGTAACCGGAGCAACTAGATTTCTTTTTATCAGCTGGGAGTTGAATATTAGTTCTAACTTCGATATTCTGCGTCGAATGTACTGTGTCACTTCAATTAATTTACACCCCTGATAGTGTGTCGCTGTTTGATTCCAGATGATGGGTGGCCAGGCTGATGAGCCACCTCCTCCTGGTGTCCCATCCCTACCGAGTTTGTCACCGGGTTTATGTTCCAGTAGTGGATCCTCTCTGCCATCTACTGGATTTGGAACTGCCCTTTTCCCTGTTCCCCCTTCTAGCACAGCCACTTCAGTGTCAACAGCTTCTAATTCATCATATACCCAGACATTCACATACAGTCATCTTGAATCTGTTGCTCCCACAAATCAAAACATGAGAGTGGATGTGTCTGAAACAGCTATTATGCAGCCTAATGAATGCTCCAGTGGTTCCCTTATGCCATTGGAGAGAGGGAATGATATTGAAGCCGTGGCTCAAAATGCAGTGCTGCATGAACAAGTATTTTTTAAGTAATATGTTTTGTTATTTAGTCCTCGCACTTCAGATAAGTCCCAGTGTCGTATAACTTGCCTTTCTCATTTCAGGAGGTTGCTACTCAATTGGTCATACAGAGCCAAAGGTTTGTTCTTAAGTTTTCCATTTATATACTGTTCTCAGTATGTACTTGTGGATTTTCATTTTTGTTTAATTGATATTTGCATGTATAATTCAGAGAATCTAAAAATGATGCTGAACATCGTGAAGATAATAAAGATATTTTGTCTGGAAGGCATGATCCCAATGCGCTTAAGGTGTTTGATCTCTCTATTTAGTTGACTGATTTATTTGTATTTTGTGGTCCATGAAAGATTCCATTTTAGTCATTTGTTTTCTTTTTAAAAATATTTCACAGGAACATCTTCTGAAGATGACCGCTCAGCATCGGACAGAAATATCCTTAAAACGTGGCAGGCCTACAGTCATGGATGAAGGTTGGACTACTGTGATGAAGTTACGCATATATTTTGTTTTTGTGAATTTTTTCTATTTTGAACCTACCACATACATGCTTGTGTTGGTATGATGATACTCATCTCTCTGAGCGGACAGCCACAATGTGACATGTAATGCCTTATATATATCTATATCTATATATATATATATATGTTCAGATGTTAAAGTTGCAAATAGGATACTTCTGTGTGTTCATACCAACTTATATTCCGAGGGAATTGAGATAATTGTTACATTACAAGTGGCATATATTATCTGTCACTGGTCATTATAGCTGACATTTTACTTCTTTTGCGATTTTTGTGCCAAGGAATTCAATTACAGCTTTTTGTGATGTAAGGTTTTACGTTTGACATTAGTATTATCAATTATGAGAGGACGAAGGTGAAACCGAGTAAGAGTTATTCCTTTGTGCTACGGTGGAGAAAGATGCTTTTTGATTCATGAAATAAACTTGTATGTGAGCTTACTTTTATATGCAATGCTGTGCATTTAACGATTGGATTTTTGATAGGTAATTTGGATATTGGTAATGGATACGGGGTCCCTGGTGGAGGTGCATATTATGGTGCTTCAGTTCAGAATCCCAAAACCCAGGGTAGGAATCTTTTCGTCTTTGATTTACATATACTGGTATACGTCAATAGCTCGATACTACTATGCATCACCATCAGAAAAGGAAAGATCACGATGGCCTGAAAATAAGTCAAAATAGTGCAGATCTGAGTGGTGGCTCCGAACAGAACCCAACGAATAAAGACATACCTGAATATCTCAAGCATAAATTGAGAGCTAGAGGTATTCTCAAAGATAATCATATTGCAGAGCATTCTTTGAAGCCAGAGAGTGTAAGTTGAATATCTTTGATTTTTCTTGGATTTTTCTCCTATTTAGTCTACCTTGCGCATGGATTCAAACTCAGAAACAAAATCCTTGAATCAATGCTATTTCTTTGGTATTCATAATTACCGTAGGAAACTTCACGGCATTTTCTCATAAGTGAAACTTTTTGATCCAGAGATTGAATGCCGAGTTACCTCAGGCAGCTGCACCATTAAATCTGCCTCCTGGATGGGTGAGTTGCAAGTGCATTTATTGTCAGATGATAATTCATACGATTTTGACTTCTTGTGTTGGCGTAGCTGAACAGTGCTTATGTTCTGGGTCAAAGTCTTGTGTCTGCAAATAGATTCAAGAATCTTTCCAAATCCTATTGCATATGTTTTTATCATCTCTCTTAAATTGCAAATAAAAGCACTTCTTTTATTTTTATTTTTATTTTTCGCTTATGTTTTTTTGCATTAGTTAAATCAGATTGATCAGGCTACATATCTGTGCATGCTTATATTTTTGTTCATTGATGTGGTCTAAGCTATAAGCCCACTACAGAATTGAGCTTATGCATACATGTTGCCATTCTGTTTGATCCTCCCACATTCTCTCCTTTGAATTTAATATTACAGCTCTTGTTAGTTATTTCAATTTCTTCCTAGAACTTCCTGGTGTTCCCTCCCCTTCTAATATGAACTGAGCTGTCTCTAATTTTCACACATTGTTTAATTAAAAATGCAAAGTGTCATGTTTTGGAATTTATGGCTTTGTATAAGTTTGGTGGTTGGCTCTTGTTCATGTAATTAACTGTCGATATGTAGTTATTTTATTCTTTTTCCCCTCATCTAATTTTCTTGTAAAATCATGATGTAGATCGAGACAAGGGACCCTGAAAGTGGTGCGGTATTTTATTATCATGAAAGTTCGGGAAGAAGTCAGTGGGATAGACCTGTGGATGCATATTCAATTTCTCACTCTGTGAGTCTTCAAGATGATTGGATAGAAGCTTTGGATGAAACCTCAGGTATTACCTTAAGTAACCTATTTATTATAGCCATATGGGATAAAATTATGTTATCAACCTTTGGTTGAAAGTGAGTAAAAAATTGTTAAAGATTAAGATCAAGCATTCTTGTTTAACTTTCAATCAGTTCTAAGCTGTATATTATTATTTGGTACTTTTCACCTACGGCTGTGCAGAGTTTGCACTAGGTACTCTTGTATGCTATTTGGATTTCTGAGCTGATGTATTTTCTTGGAACAAAGAAATAAATTCCAGTAGCCATTTGTGCAAAGTAGTGTGTGGTGTTTTGTTCTAATTCTCTTTTAGTGATTCTTTTGTGATTATAATGTTATGAGCAGTTGTGGTGATTGTAGTTTCAATTTGCTAGATTATTTTCCATTATTCCTCAGAGTGGCACCTAATTTATTCAGGAAAGATGTAACCTTATTATTTTAGTTTTGGAGTTCCTGTCAGGTATTTGTTTGTTTTGGTCAGTATTATTACTCAAGTTGGACAAGTGTTTGTTCTCAGGTTTATGTATTTGCAGGCCAGAAATACTATTATAACACAAAAACCAATGTGTCTCAGTGGGAGCACCCTGGAGCGCAGCATCGGATCATCCCACAGTCATATGGTGGAACAACAGCCTATGACGCATTGCACGGGAATCCATCCAGTTTCCCTAGATGCTTAGGATGTGGTGGGTGGGGACTAGGTCTTGTGCAATCATGGGGATATTGTTGTCACTGCACCCGGTTTGTTTATGCCCTTCTTATAAGCTACTGCAGTTGAGCATTAGTGATATTGATTTAAAGTTCGGTATACACATACATATTTGAATCTTTATCTCTTACTAGAATCACCATTAGCTAACTATATGTCATATTCATGACGAGAACATTGATTCACATCATTGGATTGGACGAAGCAATCAGATCTACCACGATTGTCGTTCACAGTTTCCTAAACATTTCTGATTGATTTTTTTTTATTATTATTTTTAATGGAAGTGAAGTTCTTTCAAATCACGGCTTGTTCTGAAACTTCCTTATGTGTCAGTCGGTGTTCCTTATTTCCCCTTCCTATAATCTCCTTGATAAGTTAATTTACAACCTTTTCTTTTTCTTCTTTTAAAAAAAAAAAACCTTAGTAAGATGTGGTTGTGTTTAAGCTTGACCTGACCTTAAATTTTCAGTAGTTTAGTTAGAATGTTGAAGGTATTAAATGACTCTTAGGAGGTGTGTCTAGGTTTATATTTTTATCTGTGACTATACGCGCACATGTGTGTGTTAGGTTTTGCATTATGTGCTGCTGGAGCTACTTTGTGTGATGTTTGAGCCATCTTAATACTGAGATGCTGCTAGAGACTTGAGATTTTGTATTGTTTTGTGCTTGCTAAGTAAATCAGTGTCCTTTTATTGCTGCTCATTGCAGGCTTCTCAAACTTCCACAGAGTCAATACCTATCAGTTGCTGCAGTAAGCCACCAGCATGTTGTGACCAATGCTCCTAGAAATCAGGGAGGTTTGGAAAATAGGCCTTCAAAACAGAGGTAAAATCTTCTATACAAGCAGGCTTTGTCATTCTGTTCTAGTTTCAATTTAAATGTTCAAGCCATTCCTTCTCTACAGCAAATTGAACTTCTGGAATGACATAGTAAAGCTAATATTAGCAATTCAAATTAAAAGTGACATTTAAGTAAAAGCAATAATGATATGGATATTTTGTTTAAGCTCGCTAGAAGAAAATTTAGGGTGTGTTTGTTTGGGGGATTTAATTAGATTTCTACTATTCATCCAATTTTTTCCCCCCAAAAATATCAAATCAAACACCTATTTTTTATTTTTTATATTATACTAAAAATCAATTTTACATTCAAAACATCACATCAACACCTATTTATATCACATCATACAACTATTTAAATTTAAAATTTTTACTATTCAAATCTCAACTCAAAATCCAAACCCTCAAACAAACACACCCTTAATGTTTGCATTTAGTTTGGAATACTTATAATTTGGTGGATTTGGTTGACAGGTCTGATACAAAACCGCCACTTGGGAGAGGTAAGAAGAGAGTCTACAGTGAGGATGATGAATTGGATCCCATGGATCCAAGTTCCTACTCAGATGCTCCTCGTGGCGGTTGGTATGTTACTTCTCACAACTAGAGAGCAACAGAATCTTTGCTGAGAGGATTAAAAAGCTTTCTAGAAATAGTTATATGAATCCAATTAGTTGATTAAATTTGTTTATATTTGGGATTTTTACCAAATCAAGATTAATCTATTTTACAGGGTTGTTGGCCTTAAAGGAGTACAGCCCAGAGCTGCAGATACAACTGCTACGGTATGCTATTATCTATATTATACCTGATAAACTTCACATGATAGACCATGAAAAAGAACTGGGAGTGTGAGAACAGAATTAAGTGATACAATTAGTTATGCAGAGTGTTTATTACTGTTGGCGCCTGACTTCATTCTGTCTGTTTTATGAGCAATTGCATTTTCACAAATCTTGACTGTGCTTATACACCTCGGTGTTAATCTATGTTCATATGATTATAAAAATTTAGGAACTTTAATTTGATTTGACCTAATTGTATTACTTTATTATTGCTGTACATTTGATGGAAGGCTCTTCTCCTGCCAATAACCCTTCTTGTCTAGTTTTAACATTGTTTGTATCTTGGGCAATCTTGAATTTCAGGGACCTCTTTTTCAGCAGCGGCCTTACCCTTCTCCCGGGGCAGTCCTACGTAAGAACGCCGAAATTGCTTCACAGAAGAAGAAGCATGATTCCAGTTATGCTCCCATATCGAAGAGAGGAGATGGAAGTGACGGCCTTGGTGATGCTGATTGATTGAATCAATGGCGCCATTGTGATGTTCCCTTGCCTTGTTCATTTTGATGAAGAATGAGTGGCTTCTGATATTCTCTATGGCAGATTCTAGAGGTTGTTGAACAACAATACATAATTAAGCAGCACTGCCAAGCTATCTAAAATTTTTCATACATTAGCATCTTCTTTCTGATCTTAAAGCTCTTCTTGTACATTGTATAGCTTTGGAAATTTCCTGCAATTTTTCTTTTAAGATTTTTGGAATGTGTAAGGAGTAGTAGTTGAATGGAGTTTGTTTGGAATGTTTATCTTTTGCTTCCTCTCTTACTTTTTGCAATTTTTGTTTTGTTGTTTATCAATAATAGCTTTAACAGAGCGGGATTATGGGTTAACCATGGGTGTGTTCGTTTAATAGATTTGGACAAAATCTCACTATTCATCCAAAATTTTTCCCCCAAAAAACATCAAATCAAACACCTATTTTTTATTTTTTTATATTATACTAAAAATCAATTTTACATTCAAAACATCACACCATCACCTATTTATATCCCATCATACAACTGTTCAAATTCAAAATTTTTACTATTTAAATATCAATTCAAAACCTCCAAACAAACACACCCCATATATAGTGAAGGGGCTTTGAAGCTCAAACAAACACACCCCATATATAGTGAAGGGGGCTTTGGAGCTCAAAGCCATGCTCTGGTTGGTCCGGGCCTGATTGTTAAGACCCAACTGGCTGTCCCTATAGGCCCATTATGATATCCACAAGGCCCATTATATTTCGGGTCCGATTTAGCACGGTGGGCCCAATTTTGTATTTTAATGTCAAATTAACCATAAATGGGTCCTGAGGCCCAATATGCGTAGGCCCAAATTAATTAAAGAGCATTTTCCACCCGGCGTTAACTACTTGCTTCAAACCCCCCGGAGGTCTCCGCCAACGTACGACTTCCCGATGACCACCGCCACCTTCTCCTCCTCCGCCGTTTATCTCCTCCCGCCACCCCGATTAGACCGTCGCCATAACACAACGCTCCTGCGCACAAAAGTCAACTATTTTTCTTCGCTCGTCCTCCTCCCTCCTCCAGTTTCATTCCGCCGGCGCTCCATTCTCTCGCCGTTTCCCACATGTTCATCTCTTAAGGTACTACTTTTTAACCGTCCTTCTTCCATCTGCTTAAATTTTTCTTAGCCTTTTATGTGATAAAGTTTGAGTCGTTTTTTACAAGGAACTTATAATTATGGTGCTCTGCAGGACAAGGTCGGTCAGTTTGAGAAAACATGGCGGAACTTGAGCAGCTTGAACTACTGGGTTGTGAAAGACTACTACAGGCTCGTGAAATCCGTAAATTTGCTGGAACCCCGTTTTCAGAAGCTTTCTGATGAACACGTAGTTTTTCTTCATTGACTCTTCTTTCGGGTATTGTCAGCTAAGAATAATTCGACAATGTGTTTGATATTCTTCTTCTTTATATTGTTGCAGTTGCGAGCCAAGACTCTGGAATTTCGCCAGCGATTGAATCAGGGGGCGACCCTTGCTGATATTCAAGCTGGTATACACTTTATGTATCCTTTTCTATGGAATTTTGCAAAGCCAATTTTGAGGGATTGTTACACAGTATATATGCTTGGTTTGGTTCAGGTTGATTTCTTTGAGTCTTTACTTTTGGAACTCATTCTCTTTCCGTAAACTTGTTCTTTTCAGAGGCGTTTGCTGTGGTTCGTGAAGCAGCCAGAAGGAAGCTTGGAATGCGCCATTTTGATGTTCAGGTGTTCTGGACGCATACATTCACCCCAGTTGCTAATTTGTGTTTCTGCAGAGTGAACTAAATGTCTTTAAGACTGATAGATAATTGGGCATTTGTTATTTCTCAATTTTTAAAATAATGTATGTCGGACATTTCTTATTTTTAAGTGTTTAAAAATATTTTGTTTCAGTATTCAGTGTTATGTGCAACCTTTTTAGTATCGGGTTTACTATGCAAGTGTAATAATATGGTTTTTCACTTTATGGAACTTTAGTTGATAACATTTATACCATTGGTTGGTTGACTTATGTAAAATAATGTATATCAAAATTTTGAATCAATTTTCTAACAGATCATTGGTGGAGCAGTACTTCATGATGGGGCCATTGCAGAGATGAAAACTGGAGAAGGAAAAACGTTGGTGTCAACTCTGGCAGTCTATCTCAATGCGCTGAGTGGGGAGGGTGTTCATGGTATGCTGTTCCTGTACCTCCTATCAATGAAATATGCTTTTATTAGCCGCTGGTTAGACCAGTTTGATGTTAAAAAAACACACATATAGTTTTACAAATGTGGCCTTTGGATGGCACTGGTTAAACTATATTTTATTGTGTTTGTTTAAGGTCTTTAAATGATATAATGTATTAAGTGCATGCACTTCTCATTATATATATAAATATGTTTATTCATTTTACTGAGTTTCTCATGTCACAAACTTGTTATATATTCTGGCAGTTGTGACTGTAAATGATTACCTTGCTCAGCGAGATGCTGAATGGATGGGCCGTGTGCATCGGTTTCTAGGTCTCTCTGTGGGGCTTATTCAAGTAAGTTATACATTTTGTGTTCTGTGCATGTATATTTCATTTGGCTGAGATTAGATCCTGTGGAATCTTTGCTTCGAGAAATCCTGTCTTTTCTTTATTTCAGTTATGGGTTTTAGTGTGTTATAAAATCAATTTCTTAAGTTAGCAAATGTTCATAAAATAACAAGAATAACTTGTATGGCATCAATAAACTTTATGCTATATGAGTAAATGTTTGTTCTATGAAAAAATTTTGGTACTGGATTTTGTCTCAAGTCTCAACTTCTCATGCAAGTATAAGTTACAAAAAGTGAAATTTCATTTTCTTCTATTATATCCTATTTACTCATGCATCACATGTTGGTATCTGAAGCTGTTGAAATCTGCCTTACATTGCTCTATTCTCAGAGAGGGATGACCCCTGAGGAGCGCAGATCAAACTATGGATGTGACATTACCTACACCAATAACTCAGTGAGTGCTTACTGTTTCATGTACTGTGGTCGTGTATTGCTGCAATTCTGTGGTCAAGTAGTATTTTGTTAACAAACTCAAGCTCTGTCTTACTTTTCTTATGGCCGCAGGAACTTGGTTTTGATTATTTGCGAGATAATCTTTCTGGAAGCAGTGAGCAACTTGTAATGAGATGGTAAATTATTCCTTATTTATCTGTATTGTTGTATCTTGCAATCTCAATGTTTCTCTACTGACTAAGTTTTTGTAATTCAACAGGCCAAAGCCCTTCCATTTTGCAGTAGTTGATGAAGTTGACTCCGTTCTCATTGATGAAGGACGAAATCCTTTGTTAATAAGCGGTGAGGTAATAGCATACTATTCCTTTTTGTAGGCTGATTTATCAATATTCAATTTTCCAGGCCAAATGAGAGACAAGTTTGGTCTTCTTGTGCTTATATCATTACCATGCATGTTACATCCTAATAAAGCACTGGGTATCTTCTGAAGGTCACCTTTTTTTTTTTTCATTTACTATTTTTTCTAGGCAACTAAAGATGCTGCACGATATCCTGTTGGTGCTAGAGTAGCTGAATTGCTTATACGAGGACTCGTGAGTCCTAATTTTCTCCTTACATTTATCATCTGTGAGATTCTCTCATTGTTTTTACCGAAGTTGAATTAGTGAAAATGCTATAGGTTTAAACATGTTCATTTTAACCAACAGCATTACAAGGTGGAGCTCAAAGATAATTCAGTGGAACTTACTGAGGAAGGTATAGTATTGGCTGAGATGGCTCTAGAAACAGATGATTTATGGGATGAAAGTGATCCTTGGGCTAGGTGAGCTTAGATTAATAATGTGTTTGATTTTGCATTGCTTGTGCATGTAGTGTCCTCACGTGGATCCTTAATGTAGACTAGCTAAATCCGCTGTTCCGAAATTTAGGGCATTGGTGTGCATTCCCTGTTTTCTCCTTCATGTTTAATTCTCCTGTAATGTATATAATTCCACAGGTTTGTTTTAAATGCATTAAAAGCCAAGGAATTCTACCGGAGAGATGTACAATACATTGTACGAAATGGAAAGGCTCTTATAATCAATGAGGTATGTCGGCACTGATAATTATCCTTAGTTGATTTATCATTGCTTCTTTCTTTCTTTGTCTCAAATATGATTGAGAGAAAAAAAGAAAAAAAACATAGTTGTATCTTATTCATTTTACTTTGTAGTTGACTGGTAGAGTTGAAGAAAAAAGGCGATGGTCTGAGGGCATACATCAGGCTGTGGAGGCCAAGGAAGGCCTGAAGATTCAGGTGTAAAAATGGATTCCAGCTTTTTGGACACTTTCTCATGACTCTTCTTTTTCTATGTGCTTTTTCGTTAACCTCAAACATTTTTGAATATTATTTCTAGGCAGATTCAGTTGTTGTGGCCCAGATTACATACCAGTCTCTATTCAAATTGTACCCCAAGCTCTCAGGAATGACTGGAACTGCAAAGACAGAGGTATTCTGTCTTCTTAGATACAGCTGTCATTTTCAATTGTGATGTATGGTTTACAGTTTACCGTAAACTTTCCGTTTGTCACTGTAGGAGAAGGAATTTCTGAAAATGTTTCAAATGCCAGTTATTGAAGTACCCACTAATATGCCAAACATTCGTAGAGACTTTCCCATCCAGGCATTTGCAGTAAGGAATCATTTCCAATAGAATTTTTATCATTTTAGAGTCCTCTGTTTAAACTTCTATCATGTTGATTTGTGGGGATCATAGACTGCTCGAGGGAAGTGGGAATATGTTCGTGCAGAAATTGAGTATATGTTCAAGCTTGGCCGGCCTGTTCTAGTTGGGACAACGAGGTACTTGTCTCCTTTTCTTAAGATATGATATTTTGTTGGATAGCTATTTCATCATAAAGGGAGCCAAGTGAATGTTTTGCAGCTGAACTGTAGCAATTGGTAGTATGGTCTTGTTATTATGCAAGACCTCACTAGGGAACTCTTTTGGCTATAAAGTAAAGCATCAAATATGTATCGATTTTTTTTATCAACTTCATATATATGTATCAACCCAAGTAGTTGTAGGTTGTGTTTGTAATTTTGGACATCATGACATGTTTGCTAATGTTGTAGCACCAGTGGTTAGCTATGCTAATCGTGACTTCGGCTTTTAATTGTGGGTGCAGTGTTGAAAATTCTGAATATCTGTCTGCTTTGCTGAGGGAAAGAAACATACCCCACAATGTGCTTAATGCACGCCCCAAGGTTTAGAGACATGGTTTACAATGAGTATCTATGATCTTTGGGTTTTGTATAGTTATTTACCATTTTATTTAACATCATAGTCTAATAGTTGTTCTGTTGCAGTATGCGGCAAGAGAAGCTGAGATTGTTGCTCAGGCAGGTCGAAAGTATGCAATTACTATATCAACCAATATGGCTGGCAGGGGCACTGATATTATTTTAGGAGGGAATCCAAAGGTAGCACTAATAAGGGTCTTTTGGAGGTTTCTCAGGGGAGGAAGCTCTGACTTTTGTCACGCATTATTTTTTTTTCATTTTCTCCTTTTTCCAGATTTTTTAACATGTGAAATTTTTGATAGCATCTACAAGTGTCTCATTTACAATGACTCATTGTCAGATGCTTGCAAAAGTGATTGTGGAGGATGCTTTGCTTCCAACTCTCACACAGAATGCTTCAGATGTTGAAATTGATTCAGGGGCAACTTCAGAAAAGGTAATCACTGTTTTTGCCATGAAGAAACAAATAACTTACAATTTTGAGGTGACAATATTTGAATGACTTCTCTGAAGTGTATATCTCATGAAGGTCTTATCCAAGGTGAAAGTAGGGCCATCATCATTAGGCTTTCTAGCAAAGACTGCTGTCATGTGTAAGTATCATGGTTTGACTACTAGTGTAAACTCGACAGGGTCTTTTTCCTTATTTTTTTGTTTTTCTACATTATTTGCTAACATTCTATCTGGTGATTAATAATACAGCTAAATATGTATGCAAAGCAGAGGGTAAAAAGTGGGCTTATGATGAAGCAAGAAACATGATATCCCGATCTATTGAAATGAACCAGTCCGCTGAACTGACAGAATTGCAGAAACTTGTTGACGAACAGACTGAGATGTATCCTCTTGGCCCATCCATAGCTCTTTCTTATCTATCAGTTCTAAAGGACTGTGAATTACACTGCTCTAAAGAAGGGTTGGAGGTGAAAAGGCTTGGTGGTCTTCATGTGATTGGAACATCTTTGCATGAGTCTAGGAGGATTGATAACCAGGTAAATTAGTATTTCTTTTTATTTTTTTCTAAATTAGATAGGAAAGAATTTGTTCGCCTAGTGTGGCACACTATTATGATACATCTCTGGTTATGATCTTCATTTAATTCTTACGGTTTAATCTTCTGATAATGTTAAATGCTTTGCAATAGACATCCGTGTATACTAATTTTCTTATATCATTTGCTTGAATAGCTCCGAGGCAGAGCAGGGAGGCAGGGCGATCCTGGATCAACAAGATTCATGGTGAGGTATAACCAAAGACTATTGTGTTACAGGGCTGATGGTTTTTATACTTGGACTGCAACCTCTAATTACCTTTGAACTTTTGGCCTAGCCTTCTATTATGTTTTTTTCAAGCAAAACACAAATTTGAGAAGTATAGAACAAGTTGAGAGAATTTTCAGATAAAATGCTCAAAACTACCACTGAACTACTTTTAGAACTTTTGTGTGCATGGTAAATTAAAAGAGTTTGCTATATACTTGTCAACCTACTTTAATCCTGATTAGATGAGTAAAATTTCTTGGTTATGCTATAAATTGTATCATGACTGATGTAAACATTTTCCTCAAAACAGCTTGCAGGATGAGATGTTTCAGAAGTTCAATTTTGACACAGAGTGGGCAGTAAAACTTATATCTAGAATTACAAATGATGAAGATATTCCAATAGAGGGCCGCTCAATTGTCAAACAGGTTAGTTTTGATGATAGCTTATGTTTGTGCTCGGACCCCCTCTATATTCTTTGATGCTTCTATTTTCTGTCTTTCAGCTTCTGTCACTGCAAGTTAATGCTGAAAAATACTTCTTCAATGTAAGAAAGAGTCTTGTTGAGTTTGATGAAGTTTTGGAGGTATCACTCTAACCTTCTGGCATGCACTAGTTTCCTTTCTCGTTTACTAACATGCAGCATGAAAAGCAGGTGGTATCAATTTTTATTTGTATCCCAGACATTTTCTCTCTTTGTAATGCCTGTTTACAGTCTGGTTTAGGCAACATTATCAAGTTTGCCAATGTGTCGAAAATTTAAAGGAGATTGAAGCTCAAATGCCTGTGCAATATAAGAGAATATCTTAAAACTCACTATTAATGCCTTTAATGCTTTATCTTCTCTGAGATCTATACATATTCCCTAGCTACTTGAAATCTATCTTTCCTATTGGTCTGGCAGGTTCAACGAAGGCATGTCTATGATCTCCGACAATTAATATTAACAGGGGATTCTGACAGTTGTTCAGAGCATATCTTCCAGTAAGTTCATTTTACCTTCTTCTACTCGGTTTCAGTACTACCTCAAGGGATCCCCATCTTATTCCATTTTGCTTGCTTGCAAGTTTATTTCATTTTACGTACTGCTCTTTTTATTTATTAATAAATTGGCTTAAGGTACATTCAAGCTGTGGTAGATGAAGTTATTTTCAAGAACGTGGATCCAGCAACAGTAATGAACTTCCAGACAATGAGATTCCATGAAATTTTAGTTATGAAAATTTTCATTTAGTGCTTTGAATGTTCCTAAAGAACACTTTGAATCTTGCAGCATCCAAGCTGCTGGAGTTTGGGAAAGCTTTTGCAGGAATTTAAAGGGATTTCTGGGGATGTGCTGCATGGTTTGTCTTGTTCGTAACATTTGATGCCAATTTTGTTTCTCCCTTTACACATGCTCTAATTTTACTATTTTTGTTCACTTCGAAAGTATGCACTCTAAGCATTGGAATATCTCTAGGCTCCTTTTTGGGGATTTCAGAGGAACAGATGCTGCAAGCACTTGCACAAGTTAATCATTTGAGTTCTGTCAACATTGATCGTCTTCACCTTCCAGATCTACCGAGACCTCCAAATTCCTTTCGAGGAATACGCATGAAGAGCGTGTCATTAAAATGCTGGCTAACAATATGTTCCAATGATTCGGTGAAGTGTGTATTATGCATGCTTTTCTTGGTTCTACATCTTTAAGATAGTTTCTTTTACCAATACTGATTAGTTCTTTTATGACTTATATTAGAGATGGGAAATTCAGATCAACTGCTAATATTCTTTGCAAGTACCTCGGAGATTTTTTGATTGCTTCGTATCTTAATGCTATTCAAGAATCTGGCTATGACGGTGTTTATGTCAAGGAAATTGAGGTACCTAAACTTTCTTATAGATGCTTTGTGGTGTGAATGATGCTCCTGAGAATCTCATTGTCATACTATGAACATTTGATGGTTTCCCGGTTCCATTTTCTATTATCTCACAACACAATTACCGTGTTCAGAGGACAGTGCTTCTGAAAACTCTAGACTGTTTCTGGAGAGATCATCTTGTGAACATGAACAGACTGAGCTCCGCGGTATTCTCTAGTTTTTACTAGCTTCACTTTCTATTCTCACAGTTGATGTACACTTTTGAAGTCTTATTGCTTTACAATATTGCTATAGGTGAATGTGAGAAGCTTTGGGCACAGGAATCCACTTGAAGAATACAAAATTGATGGCTGTAGATTCTTCATTTCAATGCTTAGTGCCACTAGGAGAGTAACTGTGGAATCTTTATTGCGCTACTGGTCATCACCTATGGAATCTCAAGAACTCTATATATAAATATTAATATTATCGGTCCTCATGGATTGCATGCAAGCTGGAGTTCTCTAGGTTGCACAGAGCAATTAACATTGCTAAGGAATGTATGGTACTTTTTTCTCCAAAGATGCAGATTTTGTCGATTGGCGCATTTTCAGCACTGCGCTAACATCTAGAAGCTTGACCTATGGCTCTGACAGGTTTTCACAGCCTACATGCCGTCCCAAAGTTAACACAGATACGGCAGAAGTAAATGGAAAGGACTGGGTGGAAGCAACATACATAATTGTGCTCAACTGCTTGATTTCGGTGGAGTTCAGATTTTGATCATCTTTAAAGATGCTAGCTGCATTGAGAACCACAGACCCAGCCCATATAATAAATAGTCTTGTGATATTTACTGGGATGACAGATGGATTCTTGTGACAACTATGTCATGTGCAGGCTTGTGTAGAATATGCATTTTTTCTGCATGTTTATATCATAATTATCAAGGCAAAAACATTTACATAGATTGGCTTCGTGGAATATTCTTTCATTCTTTTAATCATTAAATCTTAGGCATCTGAAATGTTGTATACTTTATTTTAGTCATTAGTGGATGGCTTCTACTCTATATATTGCTGACTTGCTGTTCTGTTTTGCCGTTTAAATAATCTAATTTTTCACTCTTGATGTGCATTAATTTTGTTAATTACGCTCCATGTCAACTGGCTCACCCCTATTTGAGCTTTCTTGGTGATTTCAGTATGGAAACCTCGACATAATCGCATTCCCTTGTAATAGTCTATTAAGTAGAAAAAAATGAACAGCCGCAGGAACTCTATTAATAGAAGATGAACACATATTATATGCAATATTAAGCTGGGATAAACAATAGCCAGAATCAAGTCGCATTTAGAACCAAATACTACCATATGTGAAATACTTACTGTTGCTGGACATCAGGGTATGAAAGTGAATACATATCACAAAAAAAAGGCTAGAAATTGTTGAACCAGATGCAGTCATCAGTAACATTACCTTCCGCTGTTGTTAATAAATGCCACAATATATTTCATAAAAAAGCATGTATATTCCAGCACCTGAACGAAACTTTGCCGCAAAAACGGTGGATTTAACCTTTTTTAGAACTTGTCAACCAACTCAAGTTTCATGAGCTCCATAAATGGTGGGGTTAAGGAAGCAGACTCCGGCTTTATGGAAAGGCATTCCGCATCTAGCCAAGGTTTGAATGAAGGATTGTGCGGAGCATTCTGATTTCAGAAGCAGCATAAGTTTGGGAAGCACAGAGAAAGTCAGTGAAAAAGCCAAAGACTGACATTCAATATAGTAAAAGATCTATTCATAGAACTTACTAACTAATCTACCTATAAATTGATGTTTTTATTTCTATTTAATGTTTCGCAGGCTAGTCGCACATCTATTGGTTTTAATCCATGCTTTTCGATTTCTATTTTGAAAGTTATTGTTAGAAAATCCTTTGAAGGGAATGATAAATTTACAAAAACCTCTAGTCTTGAAAGCATTTTCACTAGAAAACTGATTAAAAGCACAGATAAATGGAGAAATGTGGCCCTGGTAATTTCAACAACAATTCACCTAGCAGTTTTAATATAGAATAACAGAAACTTTATTGCAACGCAAATAGGAACCATAAACTACTATACCAAAATGTTAAGAGTCATAATGGATCGAGACAATAATTAGCGAAAAAAATAAAATACTTTCTAAATTAAAGCCAGAGACTGAAATGAAGGCTCAAGGATGCACGTACCAACCAAATCAACAGTTATTCTTTTTTAGTTAGTTGTGAGTAATGTGCCAGCCCCCTTATAATTTAGATCAAATTCAATTTTACAGGGAAAAAAAAAACCAAAATATAGATTTAGGATAATGTCCTGGATCCAAAATATACGAATATGGTAAACACAACAAAAAGTTAAAAAATGTTGACGAAAGAAAAGGCAGCAGATGAATGCCTCAACATTGACAAGTAATGAAGGTTCTCAGAAAGGGGAACCAACAAGGTGTTTGGAAGTGGAACAAAAAGAACAGGATTTAGGAGGTGAATATAAGAACTAAATTTGTATCTAGGAAAATGCAAAACATGTCTATAACAGGGAAGCATCCAATATGAAAACTTAAACTGAAATTTATCTGCATGCTGAGATTGGTTGTAACTAATTACTGACTTCATTATTGTTTCTGTCCTCAGGTTCAATTTCAATTAATAATCTATGCTCACCCCAACTTATACCAAGTAAGCTCAACTTTCACCTTCAACCCTTTGCAAAACAGCTCAAAAACACATACGTTTGTGTAGTAGCTTGGGCATAAACATTGTTATCCTTACCATATTTCACACCTCGATAAACTATGACAGGTGGAGCAAACAGGATTATTCAACATAATCAATGCTCTTCACCCACTGAATGTATTAAGCTATTTTCTCAACGCCATATCCTAAAGAATCCAAGGCAGTGAAAGATATACGTTGACTTGAAAAGACATGAAACAAAACCAGTTACTCACCTTAAGCCAAAAGAAAAAGCCTCGTAGGATGTTCAGGCATGCTGGCTTGTCATCTTCGCATTGGGATAGCTTTTTTTTCACATCTGGAATGACAATATAGAACATAAGACTAGATACTTAATGCTCTTCGATTCATGGAGGAAACTCTTAAAAATATTTCTGAAAGGAAACTTTCTGGTGATCTCAACTGGGAGTGTTCGTGCTCTTAACAAATTAACTTGAAGAAAATTAAGACAGAAAATTGGGTGTGGACATCCACCATTTTGAAAACTAGCAAGCAAATGACAGCAGTGGCAACACAAAATATTAGATCTCATTTATAGCTAGTATCCCTACCATTTGATTTAAAAAACATTTAATGTCAAATAAGAGGAAAGATAAACACGTGGATTCTTAGCTAGTTCATAAATAAATCCTCCGTGACAGCTTTGATAGATATAGTGAGTTTTCCTCTTTGTCGGAACTTCATATGTAAAATAAAATTTGTGTCGTAATGTTCCGTCAAAAAAAATAATAAGTAAAAAAATCGTGAGTAACAATTGCATTCTTTATTTGAACCCACAAGTACGCAAATTTTAACTCAAATATAATGCTCAAATAAAATTAAGTTAAAAATAACTGTGTATGCTGTCAAAACTTGATTAAAGCACATGTCTAATGGGAGAATCATAATGTTAGAAGCTTAATCCTAGCTACTTAGGGTGTGTTTGTTTGGGGAATTGGATTTTATTTCCACTATTCATCCCATTTCCTCCCCCCCAAACATCAAATCAAACACCTATTTTTTATTTTTTATATTATACTAAAAATCAATTTTACATTCAAAACATCACATCAACACCTATTTATATACACATCATACAACTATTAAAATTCAAAAATTTTATTCAAATCCCAACTCAAAATCCAAACCCCCAAACAAACACACCCTTAATGTTTTTCGACTTCAATAACGCCTCCAAATACAAAATATAAGCATGTAGCAATACTCATGAAAAAACTCTGGCTCTTCAACTAACCAGGATGCTGATCGAGATAGGAACGCCCATCTATTCTCTTGGAACAGGATTTTTCCCTGCCATTGCGCAGATCTAGATGTCGCTCTAGTGGTTTACGTTGTTTTACATTATGCCAAAGACTTTCAAGCTCCTCTGTGTTGTAAGGTCTATTGAGAACTTCCATAAGCTCCTGCCTGATGCTGTTATCCAGCTGCATCATTGAGATTAAAATGAATGATGAGAGGGGAGAGGGGTGTTACACCACTTTGACTTGCAACACATTAATTATTACCACTTTTGGCTGAAACTGCTAGAGAAGTACAATACAAACTTACCGCATTGTGGAATGAAGCACTATCTATAATTTCCATATCAGAGGAGTCATCGTCATAATTCTCTTTCGTCTGATTCTGCACTCCATCATTATTCTCATGTTCTCCTGTACGTCCCGCATCCGTACTATCATTTATAACTTCAGTACTTTGAAGAAAATCAAAATAATCAGGATCTGGTACCACTTCTTCAGCCATACGATGTACATTATGCGCTCGCGCACTCATCGCCTTCTTTCTTGATTTTCTTCCACCAGCCAAGCTCTCTGTCTTTTCTGTAGATTGCGAATCAGGTTTCCAATCATTCTCTGGATTAGACATGCTATTGGAAAATTCAACGTTTTTCTTCATGCCACTTCTCAATCTACTCATCTGATCTTCAGGATTTGGCACCATCTCTTTACTTGTATACTTGTTTTGGACTCGCCTACTCATCCCTTTTTTTCCTGATGTTCTTCCAGTTATGTTCTCTGTCTTGTTTTTCGTTTCGAAATCATCCTTGGATCGATTCTCTGAATCAGCCTTGCCATCAAAAGATCCAATCTTTTGCCTCATGCCACTTCTCAATCTAGTCCTTCGATAGTCGGAAACAGGCACCAATTCTTTAGTCATACATTTTATATTTTTCTCGTTGCATTGCTCACTCATTACCTCACTTCTCAATTTTCTTCCTCTCTTCTCAGTCTTGTTTGCTGGTTGTGGATTCTCCGAAGCAGGCCCGTCATTGGAAGATCCAATCTTTTGCTTCATGGAACTCCTTAATCTAGCCCTCAGTGGTAGATTGTAGCTTTTATATAAACCTGCATTTCCTTTGTCCACAGCTTTAGCAGTTTGGTGAGAAGATCGATAGTCAGAACCAGTACTTTCGTCATCATCTACATCAATAATCGTAACACTGTCCCTTGATATTCTCCCAGTCAATTTGTTGGTCTCCAATGGTAGATGATCACGCTTTCTCTGATTCTCTCCACAAGACATCTGGCTGCATTCAACTCCCTGTTTCATTGCACTCCTTAGTTTCCTTCGAGGTTCAGAATCACACTCTTCAAATGAATCCCTTTCTTCATATTTGATGAAAACCAGTGAACCATTGTTTTCATATTTAAGGGCGTAAGACTTTCCATGCTCAGTCAAGTTTTCCAGGAAACGCTCATATTGAGGATCATTCTTCTCTTCACCATCACAATCTGCATTGTGCTCGTCGGCACTGCCATTTTCTTTCCGTTTTTTATCAGGGGCAACCCTTTCATAGCAGTTTAAGATACCTAACAGAAACTCCTTGAAGTCTGCATCACAAGCCACAACTTGCTCCATCTCTAACTGTCTCCTGAATTCAGATATTTGACTACGGGTTTCTCTACTCTGCAAGACCTCATGGTAAGCATCAGGTTTGTTCAATCCACTAAATTGCAAACCCTCCTGTACCTTTTGACTCCGTAGAACTTTGCCAGTGTCTCTCATCTTAGCCTTCTACGAACAAAGACCTTACTAATTAATGAATAATCAAATCACCCTTCAAGATTTTCCCACTCTGCAACAAAATCAGAAGACATTATCATCGGTAGCACAATAAAACAAAACAAGGACTAATAAAAACTTCACAACAATCCAGCGTCTCTAACCAACCAAATACGCAAGTATCGACTAATTTCTCACCAAAAAAAGAAAAACCGCAATCTTTCTTCCCGCTTCTTCCCGTACCGCAAAGTAAAATATAAATAAAATCCAAAGTAGCAGTAAACAAGACGTATAAACACATACATTTATGGCATGAGAGATCTTCGACTGAAACCCAAAACAAACAACTCAATGCATGTCCAGAAACATGCGAAAAACGAGGGACAAACGAAAGGATGAAAGTAAAACGAGAAGGAAGACAAAGCGGCGACATTATACAAACAAGTAATACTAATATTATGCACTTACACCACATGCTGCATCAAAACCGAAAAAGATGGAAACGGCTCGAATGCACTCCGCTCAACCGTGAGATTTAAAGAAGAAAAAAAAAAGAAAGTTCCTTGGTTTGGTTATTATATTTTGTCACCGTAAACTCCGCGCAAGAGTCACCGAACCGGATTTGTGGTCGGTCGGGTCAAAGTTGACCTGCCTCGGTCGGATAAGCAACCCTATTCTCTTTCGTTGTTTTCAAATTTACATGTTTTAATATTTATTTCACTTGTAAAAAAATAAAAGGAAGAAAAAAAAAAAGAAAAAGAGAAAATTTAAATGCAAGAATACCGTATGATTCAAATTTCACTACCATAACATAAGATGAGTATTGGCTGCCACAAGAAGAAGTACATACATATGAGAGAGCGAAGAGGAGAGCTATCTTTTACTACAATATACTACACTGTTTATTTATTCACTATAATATATATATATATATATATATTCGTAGCGGCAAGAAGACATCCATCCATCCCCTCCCCTGAGCTCTCCACCTCCGGCGCACGCAGGTTTGCAAAGCAGAGCAGAGCAGAGCATTGTATAATTTGGAGGCCTCATCAACTCTCCTCTTCTCTTCTCTTCTCTCCTGCGAGATGAGGTCTTCTTACCTCTGATAATATTACAGAGGGATCCCCATCCCAACTCTGGATAGATAGGATAGGATTACAATCATATACTTATCTTATGTATATAGGACATGCATGATGTTTCAAAAATCATGCTCCCATTAAACAAAATATTCAACACACACACACAACAACAGAAAAGCAACCAGAGTGATGATGATATTTTAAAGTGTTTTTTCAGAAAGAAAAGAATACATAGAATGCAGCTTTGCCATCCCCGAGTTTTTGTTTTTTTGTCTTCTTCACGCCAGCGTAGACAAATAAATGGTGGTTCATCGATGGGATGGGATCATTCGCATCTCACCTGGTCTGGGCGGCACTGTTTGTCGACTAGACTACTATGCATATTTGGCTCTCCTCGATTGAAATGATGGCCAGCAGCTGCTCCACAATCCATTCTTTTTCCTGCAACTCACATTCATCGATCAATCAATCCTTTGTCTGGTGAGAAGGAGAATGAACTTCCAAAGTTGATGAACAACATGAAAAAGATTCTACTCTACACATGCAGCAATTGAGTAAGAACGCCAATCATCCATTTACCATTGATTCAAATCAAGAGTAGATTAAAAAATTTTGGATTGATTTTTTTATTAAAGAAAGATATAGAAATTTGTTTGGTATACCTGCCGCTGCCTCTACCGCTGTTGCCATAGCTGCCTCCACTGCTGCTGCTGCTGCTGCTGCTACTGTTGGTGCTGCCGCTGGTGTTGCTTGTTCTGCTGCTGTCACTATCACTTGAGCCAGTGAATTTCTTCTTCCACCAATCCCTTTCACCGATCACTGCCGGCCTGGGAGAAACTTTCCCAGTCCCACCATAGTTGCTCCTTTTCTGCAGGGAAGAAAATGGAAACCCCATCTTCAGAAACAGTCCCTTGCTCTCAAAACTCCCACTTCTCCTCACGTTCTTGTCCCCGCTTTTCTGGCTCCCTCCCCCTCCCTTCTTCACTTTCTCCTCTGCCCTTTGAGAATTTCCAAATCTCTCCTCCTGAAGAGGTGGGGCCTGATTCTCCAGGCTGTGATCATGCTCAACAAGATCCTTCAAGGAGAGTTCATAGGAGGACTCAGGCATGTTTTTCACCATTTCCATCAGCTCCCTCTGCCCTTTAACAATGGTCTGAATTCGAGATCTTGGGGACAGAGATCTCTGCAGATGATGATGATGGCCAAGCAGGGGCTGCGATGGGCTTCTGGGCGGACTCGGGCTATTTCGCCATAACGGCGGCGAGTAGACGCCGGCGCCGCCATCATCACATTCCAGGGATTCGGAATCAGGAGGATTAAAGTTTGGCCTCAATTGCACATCTTCCTGACGATGATCTCCTCCTCCTCCTCCTCCAAGCCAATTTGTACTACTCCCATCACTTTGACCCAAACTCCTCCCCTTGTTTGTGCTCCCTAAGCTGTGATCACCGCCATGATTATAGCTGTGGGAAACCCTAATTCTTGGATCAAACATGGCGTTCCAATCCAAAGAAGGGATTTTTAATTTTAGGAGAAAGGGAATATGGTAGGAGGAGGAAAAGGAGATGATGGCTGATGGTTGCGGCTGATGGGATAGTCATCAGCAACTCTACAAAGCAGAAGCTATTGGCAATGGCAAGCTTTTAATGAAAGCAGAAATTCTAAATTAGGGTCGCCACATTTTTTTATTGCTCCACTTCCCTTTTCTATTGGGAGGAAAAAGTCAAGAATTTTCTAGACAGGGGGGGATAAAGATTAGGCATATATGTATATTCTTAGAGACGACTGTCCCATTCCAGTATTGAAATAAATGACAAAATATTGTAGCATTAGGCGTTAAGTTTAGAAACCATTGCTTGCATGGAAAGCAAATCTCAAAAAATATTTTTTGTTGGATGAAAGCTGGCAAGTTGAAAATTAAAATAGAAATGTGAGATATTTTACAACGCCCGTGTTAGAATGCCGCTGAAAAAAGGGGATTCTGCAACGACTTTCAAGAATCTGATGCAACTTTATTATGAGCTATATTTTTATTTTTAATTTTTTTATTAGTGATGTGACAAACGAAACATCCATAACCTATTCCCATACACACACATGCTTATCATATAATTAAATGTATGTATAAAAATTTCTGTATGATGGGAACTGTTCATTTGCCAGTTGCTTCTGATTTGTGCCTACACACCTGTGGTTGGATATCATATTCTACTATTAATTATTTACTCACTGTGCACATGTGAGCATAATTTATTTTCATTTTCAGAATGCTTGATTAATTCTTTCTAGAGTATGTAAAATATTAAATGCATATCGAATGAAATCCTTGATAATAAAGTCTGTGAAGTAGCTACGTAGAGCCAAGACCACATCTTGAAATCCAGAGAAACCTGAAAATATATAGTAATTAGGTATGTAGGTGGGCGTGTAAAACAAAGCGGGTGGGACGTGGAAGAAGGTACATCCGGCTCATTATTGCCCCATCAACTAATCACTTATTAGGTCTGGTGGAAAGTAATTCTTCCATGACTTCATTGCATTCACAGGTGATCGGCTACTCTTGATTTGGGTTAGGGTTTTGTAGTAATTATATCAGCATCGCGTTGTCCCATCCCAATCCCATTTCCTTCTTGTGGTCAAGCTCTGTTTTTTATCTCCAAAACTAAATGCGAGTCCAAATGGTATTAACGTTGATCCAGATTTCAAGTTAAAATAAGTATGTTTCTGGTCTGGTGGGCTTCAAGTCTTGTCGGGAACTTTTCTGGGCCAAATTCCTATTTAGTTTTTCATCAGCTCCACACCCTAATTGTGATGCTATCGACGTCTTCCTTTGCATGTTTGGTCATATTCAAAGGGCCGGGAGAATACTTCATACGGTTTCAATTTTTTCAAGCCTCATCGATCAGTGTTCTTCGTCATCAAACCCTTCGAATTCTCTGAGATTAGTTCATGCCCAGTTGGTAAAGTTCGGTTTAAGTTCCAATACATTTTTGGCTAATCGCTGCATCGATCTTTACTGCAAATCCGGGTGTGGAAGTGAAGCTTTGAGGGCATTTAATGAACTTCCGAATAAAAATATTGTATCTTGGAACTTATACTTGAAGGCGTGCGTTAAATATTTTGGTGCTGAAAAAGCACACAATGTGTTCACTGAAATGCCCGAGAGAGATGTTGTGAGTTGTAACACAATGATTTCGGGCTATGTTTCGAGTGGATTCGTAGGTGATGGATGGGAACTCTTTTTCAAAATGCAGGATTGCTATGTTAGGTGGACTCACTTTACTTTTTCAATCATGTTATCTTGTGTAGAGTGTGGTAATCATGCCAAGGAAATGCATGGATGTATAATGAGGCATGCTGAATGTTATTCCCATTTGGTTGTTGGTAATTCCTTGATAGATGCGTATGGGAAGCTTGGCCTCGTGGATTATGCGCTTGCTGTGTTTCTGAGCATGAAGAATGTGGATCTAATTTCTTGGAACTCCTTGATTTCTGCTTGCTGTAAATCTGACAATGACAATTTTGCTGTGCGCATATTCTGTTTGATGATAAGTAGAGGTTTCAAAGTGGATGAGTATACAGTCTCTGCAATGCTCGCTGCTGCGTCCAACTTGCAGAATTTGGAAAGTGGAAAACAGATGTTTTGTCTTTCTGTAAAGATGGGGTTTCTTCGGAATACAATCGTTTCAAGTGCCGCAATTGATATGTTCTCCAAATGCAACAGAATGCAGGCTGCTCTCTGTCTATTTCAGGAATCACACATACTTGATTCAGCTATCTGCAATTCAATGATTGCTTGTTATGCAAACCATTATGCAGAGGAGAATGCTCTCGAGCTTTTTGTGTCTTCTTTCAGGGAAGGTATCAGACCAACAGAATTTACACTAAGCTGTATTATTCACTCTGCTGCAGAACTTTTTCCACTGGAGCAGGGCACTCAGCTTCATTCTTTAGTGGTAAAAACAGGGTTAGAATTGGATGCAGTTGTGGCTAGTTCTCTTGTCAATCTGTATGGCAAACAAGGATTAATTGAGTCTGCAACAAATATTTTCTTAGATATGGTATTTAGAGATTTGATAGCGTGGAATACCATGTTACATGCGTTGACTCACAATGGAAAGTTTGTTGAAGCTATTCAATTCTTTGAAAACCTACTTCAAAGTGGTTTGGGTCCCGATCAAATATCCTTCTCTGGTGTTCTTTTGGCTTGCAGATACGGTAGGTTTATTGAGGAAGGCATGGCTTTTTTATTTGCTATGCAAAAGCAGTACGGGGGTTGGCCAATAACTGAGCATTATGCCTATGTTGTGGACATGATGATTCAGGCCGGTAGAATTAATGAAGCTGTTTATTTATTGCACATGATGGAATGTGAACCTAATGATCTTATTTGGGAATCAATACTTTGTGCCTGTTGGGATTATGGGAGTGCAGAGCTCATTGAACAAGCTGCAAATAGGATGATTGAGCTTGAAACAAAATCATCGCTTCCCTACTTGGTTTTGGATAAACTTTATGAAAAAACAGGTAGATGGGAAAGCCTTGCTCGAGTGAGGAGGAAGATGAAAATGAGAATCACAGAGGAAGTAGTTGACTGCAGTTGGGTTGGTATAAGAGGCCATATCTATTCTTTTACAGCAATTGAAATGATTCATTATGGCCGGGAGGATATTTCCTCAATTCTGGGTTTATTAAAGCAAGAAATTTCAATGGAAACCAATGCTTGTTTCAAATAATACAGTGAGTAAATTGGTATGCAAAGCAGAGATTTGTCTATTCTTAGTTTGGTAATCCCAAGTATTGAACAACAGGCGGGTATGATTCTGTTCACATAGATAATGGTTTCCAGACGGTAAGGAAACGTAACTACAGGGGAATAACTCATTAAAGGCACAAGAAATCAGTTCGAGTGATGTGAAAGTTGATTTTTTGCCTTCGTGATGTTTGTGAAAGACCACCATTCTGCTGCAGTTGTCGCAATCACTAGGGCTAGATACAATTGAGAAACTTTCTGATGTATATGCTTTGTATGAATCCATTAAAGAATCTACAAAGAGACAGCTCTGCTATTTTGTTATATCAATGTCTGAACACTTCCTCTTGGTTTTTACTTTAGCAAGAGCACAAAAAGGGATATGGACTAATACAGATAGTACAAATTGCTACAAGATGATTTTTTGTTAATTTGCTCTCGGTGTGATATGGTTTATGTACTCAACCTAGTTTTCCTCCAACAAGAGGACAATGCTAGACAAATCTTTTGTAAACTTGAGTTTGCTTGAAAGGTATCGATCTCGATCTATTGTTTTTATCTGTTGTCTCTCTCTAATTTGATATAAAGTACAATATTACATGAATTTTGTATAGTTTGATATTTTTAGCTGTTCTTATGACAAGCTCATGTTTATTGTCGTGGTTGATCTTAAATTTGAGCTATGGGCACAGTTCCTCAGGCTTGCTTATAAATTAAACCTCATGACAAATTGGAAACCACTAATGTTCTTTGAGAATAATTGCCTGAATTACATATGACTGAGCTCAATAATTGAAGAATTAAGAGTGAGTGAAAGTGTGAAACAATAAAGTATACACTGATGATGATATATACAGCAGCCAAACTAACGATAAGACCCTTGAGAAGCACAAAAGTTTACCTCCATTTTTGTTTTTTTCCTATGGAGAGACCTACGGAAGTGTCACATATGGCCTAACATTTTGAGACCTGCAAAATATGGAATCTTTGAAATTATCTCTGAGCTGCCTTGGAATCATCTACATTTTTCTTGCAGTGTGTTTCTGTAGGTCCCTCATGCAACCCTATCTATATGCATCCATACAAATATATATACCACATATTCTATGATTTGTCAGATCCATGCATGTAGACAGTGAATGAGACAGAAAGAATGACAACAAATGAATAGTAGATAGGAAAGATCTATCGTGTTCAAGGATTCTTGAAATAGGAATTGCCAAGGATTCTGATTCGAGAATTCTGGAAGAGAAGTTTTTTGAGAGATATGTTTCTTCAGAATGTTTTGAAAACAATTATTTTCTAAGTGGAATTGTAGTTATTGAATTTTCATGGGTGTTTTGCATTCAAGAAATCGTTGAATACTTTCTTGGATTTCAATTTACATGATGCCACCCATGGAGAGGAACAACAGCACTAGTTCTTTCATGGCAAAGAGCATTGTTTGCGCTTTTGATGCATCGAAAACTTGGAATATGCAGGAGTGTAAGGGTATCATCACTAATATCCTGACGCAGGATGACATAATTCAAGACATAAATTCCATCAAGTTTCTTGGAGTGTTAGACAAAGTACTTCATCCCCGTGAGTTTGGAAGCCTCTCTTATATCCCTTATTGCATTTTCCACTTAAGGGATGGCTATACATGCATGCTAGAAAATAGTTTTATTTTATTTGACTTTTTTTCTTTATATAGAGCAAATTCAGTGACTGATGTCAGTTATAGGTGATTCTTCTTTTTCACTTTTACTGTGTATTCATTATTAAAGAGTATGTCTGCAGTGGGTTTCCAAATTAAAATAGGCCCAGAGTCTTTCATTGGAGCACATGCCCGTGCAATTGAAGAAGAAGTTTCAAGAAAGCTTGAATCATACATGGGCATGCTTCAGCAAAGTGTTGAACACTTTCAAGCTAAAGGGGTAAATTATTTTTGTCAATTTATTCCTTGGTAACTCTTAACTCTAGAAGACAAGATGATGCCACATGGTTTATAAACGATCCTTCTATGAATGATATCTGTTATTAACACTCCATAAAAAATGACTGTTCTTATTCTTACCATGCTCCCATTCTCAAACAAGTGATTCTAAATATGTTTGCAAACTCCACTATTTTCAAATGAAAGATTCTTAGGTGGGAAGTTAGTTTGATTTGTTTCACTTTTTAATAATGTGATCATTATTGAAAGTTATCTTGGATTTTTAAAGAAGATTATGGCATTTTATGGCAGAAAAATGTCTATTGTGAAGCAATTCTGCTTTATAATATCTTTCTTTTTCTTATCATAATATGTCAGCACATCTTATATGATAAAACCTACTCATATATTTTCAAAGAGATGACAAGATATATATACAAATGTTGGGAAGCCTAAACTAGGAAGGAAACCAAAGCATACCTATCTCTACACCTTAAAAATATTTAAAAATTATATAAATTGAAGAACTATGGATTCTCTGCTTACATGTCACATACTCTGCAAGTGTCTTGTTTGTCTGAAATTGTAATTTGCACAAAGGTATTATTATCACTTGATTGTGAAATTATATTTCTAGGTTGATATTGAAGTCAAGATTGCTGTTGGAGCTCCAATGAACAAGATTATTGTACAAGAAATTGTAACTCTGGATGCGACATGGGCCATACTTGACAGGTAACATTTTATTTCAAGAATTATTGATTTCATTCAACCTTCTCATCTATGTAATTTTATTCATCAGATTTGATGAGGAAATACGGGTTTTTTAATTTTATTTCCAGCCAGGATATTCACCATTATGTTCCTTTTAAGTTTTTTATAGTGCATACCCTTCATAAGATGAAATTCATGACAATTTACAGCCCTTCTATAACCTTCTTATACAAAAATTTATTTTGGTAGGTTTTTCCTTGCTTTGTCCACGCACTTGAAGACATTGTTTCAAAGAGGTAGCTGATAGTTTATTATTTGGCAGGCAGCTGAGGAAGGATTTGAAGTTTTACCTTCAGCACATACCTTGCAAGGTTGCACAGGTCATCAATAATTTTTCCTTGCATGTTTTGAGACCTTATTATCTGGACAAGAGTACTGGTGTATTCAAGTATAAGATGCTTTACTCGCTATCCAAGCCTGTTCCACCTCCACCTTCTCCAGATAATGATATTGGTAAGCACTGTGACATATCTGTGTCTATAATTTCCTCACCAAAATGCTCTCATAGTCTGAAAAATGGCTTGATTCCTGTCTCCAAGTCTTGCAACAAGGAAGAAAAAGTTATATCGCTCAATGAATCTAACTCGTCTTCACCAAAAACTATCAGGTTTACTTATATACTTTTGGGCCAAAATATTGTATGTGCACTGTGGTTTGATTACAGTTTGTTGTCTGCATTAGCATCAGTGCTAAAAGTATCTATCCTTTTAACAGAAATTGAGGTGAACGTCAGGAATTTGGCCCTGAAAGTCATTTCTTATTCTTCCTTTTATGCCTAAGTATGTTCTTAATCATACTGTGCACTTCTCGATCTGATGTAGTTATTTCCTGAAGAAGCAACCTGTTGAAAGAGAAAAAAAAAAAAAAAAAAAAACTGTCAGTTTAGCTAATACATCCACTTTGTCCCAGCTGACAACCATAGGATAGCAATATTCTTTTCTCAATATGATGATAGCATCAAATAAATAGCTAAGCTAATCTTGTGAGCTTTTCACAATTTGTGTTCTTTTCGTTTGGAGCTAAATATCTTGTATGTCATGCAATTCTTTGAAAAGTCTCAACAGGCTGCCTCAATGAACTGGAAAATAAATGTGATGACTCTTGTCAAGTGATTCAAAGAGAAACAAGTGAGCTGAGTCATTCCGAAGAGCCTAATATTCGTGAGATAATAGTCTCAGAGGAATGTAGTACTTCTGAGATACAGATCTCACCAGATGAGCATCCACCTATTAATGACAAGGCAAAAAATGGATGTGATGATTCTCCTCCAATGATCCATATGGAAAAAAGTCAGCAGACATTCCCTGATGCTTCTAGTCTTAACATTGATGATTTGATAAGGAACCTCCATTCGATGGGATTAACTTACTCCACGTTACAGATTGCAACTGATTATTTTTCATCTGATAATATGATTGGAGAAGGTAGACATGGAATTGTATATAAAGGTCAGCTTAAGGATGGGCGTCTCACTGCCATTAAGGTGCAAGAGGACTTAAATGCTCAAGATTGCAATGAATTTTTGTCTCAAGTATTTGTCCTCAGCACCGTTCGTCACAGTAACATCGAGAAACTTCTTGGTTATTCTTGCAAGGAAAACCTCAACATCATGGTCTATGAATATATATGCAATAAATCACTCGAGTGGCATCTATCTGGTGAGCAAAATTTTGAGACTACTCATCCGAAAAAAAGACTTGTTTAATTATTTTATTTTATTTTTTTGGTTCTGTTTCTCTTCCTTTACCCCATGCTTAACAAATAAGCTATGCTCCAGATAATACAAACCATGTTCTTGAATGGCATCACAGACAAGCTATTGCCATTGGCACTGTAAAAGGGTTGCACTTCCTGCATAAAGAGTGGTGGGGAAGTCCTTTCATCCATGGGGACATCAGGCCAAGCAATATACTGCTCACAGATGATTTGTCTCCAACGGTAAATCTGTAAACTTGTCGCTATAGAAGTTTTTATAGAAACATTTCTTTTAATATCTATTAGTCTCCATTTAATTTGAACCATTCCAACATTTTAAGAAGTTGGGGAGCTCAAATAACCAATTTTGAGATCACAATCGTGAAACACTTTTCCATTCCTTGTGCTGCACAGCCTTTATTAATCAATCATTTTTCCTAGGCTAGTGGTGTATTATTATTATTATTATGTTACAAAAGAAAAAAAATAAAAAATAAAAGCCAAAATAAATTATTGTTTGTAATGATTTTTTCTACTAAACATCAGAATTGGCTCAACCTTATCTACACTAGCCTAGTTAATCTGAGTCAACACGCTTGTCTGCTTCTGTTTTTTGTTGCTCAGTTCCATTCCAACTGGAAATAATCATATCGGTTCAGTATGAAACAGTTTAGATGATGCTACTTAGGCATCACACACATGTGGAATGATTGCTCGGAAAAATACCGGGAGCAGGATGAATTTGTGGGGATTAACTTACAACTCACCTTATATTCTCTTTTCTTTTTGTTCATGCCAGTTGGTTAACTGCAGCCACTCCAAGTGGAAAACGAATAACTGTGACTTACAGAGAAGTCCTGAAGATCTTCTGTGAGTATTATTAATAATTCACATCCTACAGTGGACAACATTCCCTTATAGTGACTGGAGCTTGAGCTTGAGTTTTCTCACATTGTGCAGATATCTTGCGCCAGAACAAGCAGAAAATTACATTTTTTCCTTGAAAACGGATATATACGCCCTTGGTATTGTTTTAATACAATTAATATCAGGAAAATATGTGTCTGCTTCATCAGGAGACAACTGCCAACAATCTCTTAGACAATGGGTGCGTTTTCTGATCATTTTGAGTTTCAAAACCTCAATATTAGTAATAACATCTTAAACTGCATCTGTTCTGCTTGTTTCCCCAAAAACATCAATGACCAACTACAATGTTTCAGACAATTATTCTTTCTTGGTTTCAGGCTTTGCCATTGATTGAGACACTTGCATGGGATGAGCTTGTTGATCCTCGTCTTGGTAACACATATTGCATGTATGAACTATACAGCATGGCAAAAGCTGCGCACATGTGCATTCAAACTAACCCTGAACTACGGCCAACCGCTGAAGAGGTAAACCTGTCTCTAGATCTTTCATTATCCATTTGGTTTTCTATGATTAGTAAATAAAATCTGTTTTACTTTTACAAATTGAACTTAATGCATTCTTAGAAGCAAACAAAAAAGGTGTAAGATATCATGAAAGCATAATGAAGTTACACTGTGACAGAGCTTATTATGGCATTTGGCAATTAGATGTCCACATAGCAGTCGATAGCAGAATTGCTTAAAACAGTACTCAATATGTATTCTACTGGTCTCATGCTTTGGTTTGTCTATCATTCAATTCTTAGCACATTGTACTTTGGATCTCATTCTTAAAAACTTCACCTTGGTAATATCCTTTTGACGCTGAGCTTGCTCTAGGTATTGCACCTTTTGGAGGGGACAAATAATCATCTACGCCACTCAAAGTGTAATTTATACCCCATCATACTAAGTACAGACGCCAGCCTTGAATGAGATGAAGCCAGCAATTGTTCATCCAGGCAATCTTCTAATTTTTCTTTACTTTTAATGCTGCTGGAACTTTAAGCAGATTTGGCACTCTCTCTATGAGTGTCATTAATCTCATTCTTTGGCCATCATCAGTTTGAGTAGAATAGAGATATTGCTAATGGTTGGCCACTGTAATAAATATTGGATGTTTTGAACTCCTAAAACAATTTGGCAATATATCAATTGTTTTATGGTTCTACCCTAGGTTATGTTCAATTTGTCATTGTAAAACATGATGCATTATCATTACCTAGAAATGGGTGTATGCCGACAGAAACAAGAATATTATCCTTCTCTTAAGCAGCATGCTATTGTTCTAGATAAATGCAGCAGACATGTCAACTTGGAATCATGAACAGAACAAAACTATTTTCTAACGACAGTTCCATAGAATACAAATAGTTTAAGATACAAATATCAAGAAGAGAAACAATTGCCGTTTGTTCATTTTTGTTTTCATTTTCAAATTTTTAATATTCTATCTACCACTTTTCATCCAAAAATATCACACACCCAACACCAATTTTTCATAATAAAGCATCAGTTACAAAACTACTCTCACCTCAGAAATATCCAAACATAAAATAAAAAACAAAACACAGCTGAAAAAATATATCTACAGTTTCTTACAGTTGGCAAGCTGGATTGCAAAATGAGTGCATCAGGAAACAAAGAAATGATAGGAAAGTATAGGAAATTCCAGGTGGAGACATTCTGCCGCTAGAGAGTGTTTTATACAAGATTATCATGCTCTCATCGTCCTCTGTACACAATTTCTTCATCATCCACATCAAATGCTGGGTTGCAAAGACACCTGAATAGTTTTCCAATGCCCTGTAACATGAGGAAACAAATGGCAGGCCAAATCACCATTTGCTAAAGTAGTTGCCACTTGCCACATAAGATAATAAGTGGTCCATTCTTGTATGTATTTTAGATTAAGCATAGATTTACTTGTGTAAGGAAAGGAGTCTTGTAGTTCAATGATCTTGGCGAGTCGTCTTCTCCATCACTGCTATCAGAACTGCTGGCATCTTCCTCTGCTGAATCAATCTTCTTCTTTGATGTCTCAGCATTTTGTACAGACTTCTGATTCTGAATGCAACACCTTTCTCAGTTATGTTTGACATAGATATAATCCAAGTGATGCAATTCTTGCCTAGAATATAAACCACCTGAAAAATTTTTCCTAGCGATTTCAAAGCCACTGCTCGCATTTTGATCTCTTCCTTTCCTGCACTGTTGTCCTGGAGCACCTACAAGATATGTACTGACCTTGCCTTAGCCAAGTATATAGAAACTCCAAATGGGGGAGAACACTAGAGCATTGGATGAACTGAATTTGGTTCATCGGAGTAGGAGAAAAAACCAACCATTTGGCACACATGTATTAGAGTTAATTCAATGTCAACAATATTCAGTTTCCAAAGTGAATTCGTTAGTGTCGCTTCATTCAATCTTAAATGTGATTCCAAATCATTTTCTGGACCACTGCCATCCGTCTTGAAGTCGCGCCTGATATCTTTCTGAAGCTGCAGCAGCTGAAAAGCACCTGAAGTTGAGATGTATTCAATCAATAGAAATCAAAGATTAAAACAAATGTCTTGACTTCCTGGAGGAAAATAAACACCTTTTGCTGCCGTGAATTGTGATTTTAAGACGTGCCCTTTATGGCGCACCCACTCTGCCAAAAATGGCACTCCTAGATACACTTTCTTCCCAATCTGCAATGCTGCCTGTCTTGTGTATATGTATCCGATCGAATGGAGAATTTCAGCTCCAAATGCTATACATAGCTAAGAATCAGAAGAATTTTTCTAAAGATTGTGATACAAAAAATGATCTGAAGTATTTATAAACTTAGGGACATGATCATCCTCAGAGGGATTCCAAGAACATAAGAGGGAGTCATTCTGACCTGCTTGTGAAAGCCTCTCAGCCTCAGATTTAGCTTGTTTCAAAAAGCCTTCTTTGTCGCCACGAACATACTGGTAAAGGAAATCTCTAAGTTTCCTAGCAAGCTTTTCTTCCCTCTCTCTTTGAACATCCTTCAAAGAAAATCAGAAAGGCAAATGACGTTAAAAAAACAGAGGTATTATCATGCTACCGTTGGAGTTTCCTTGTCATAAATGTATTAGGCATATTTGATCTGCTCTACCTTGAGTCTTTCTTGGATTTCATCAGGGCCCTTGCTTTCAACAGAAAATTCTGTTAAAGCCATTGATGCCACGGCCAAATGCCCAACATAGTCTTCAAAGAGTTCACTTCCGAAGAGAAGAGCAAAAACAGCTGTGGGATCAAGCATTGTTTCCCTAAATGTACATATATGAACATAAGTTGAATTCTGCATAACTCAGTATTAATAAGAGAACAGCTTTGGATGACACATACTTAGATATGCAGTGCTTTCCATTGCGATCATAAGCATCTCTCTGCACAGGATCACTCAAAACTTGATATGCTTCTCCTAATACCTAATGAAATGAAAATCACTCTAGCCATCATATAGAAAAAAGCACGATGTGCAGAAAAAAATGCAGAACTGAACAAAGCTTTTATCAAGGTGAGAAGTAAGTTATCAGATTGTCAGAAAGGATTTTTTCCAGTAAAAAACAGACTATGAGAAGCCATTGAGTAATTGCCTGGAATCTTTCAGCTGCTTGTGGATCACCGGGGTTTTTGTCAGGGTGAACTTGCCTGGCCTGCACCACTCAGAAAGACAACTTTCTTATAAAAGAGTTATTACATGGACTTTACCAGCAATAAATCCACTGAACTGCATCCCTTATTGCACATGAGTGAACCATAGTGAAAGCATTGGTTACTAAATTGGCAAAAACACCAGCCTTGTAAAGATAGTTAGCTCTTTTATGTTATGGATTTAAATAAGCAAATTGAATCCAAACCTTAAGATAGTAAGCCTTGCGAATCTCCTCCTCTGATGCAGAAGGACAAACCCCAAGAACATCATAGTACTCCGTTTCTTTCACCATTTTCTTCTATTCCCTTGTAATAAGCTCTTCCAAATCTGAAAAAAAAAGCAGTTCCCAAGTCCCAATAAAGTATGGTGATCTCGAAGAAGAAGAAGAAAAAGAGGAATATAGAAAGAGTGATGTGGGGTGGGGGCAGAATAGAAGGTGGGCATGTTGAGGAACACCCTCCACAAGGACTAGCTAGAGTCTAGATACATGGTGGCTTTCCAGACCAGTTCTCTCACCATTAGAGATAAAGGTTGAGCTTTTTCGCGGGAGAAATCAGTTCTTTAACTGACACTTTTGTGGCACTGATCATGTATGTCTGCAGTCTGCGCTGTCTATTCCACCCTCCACCCACTTCAAGTAAATTCATTTATTATGGATTCAAAAAGTAGGATGTGACAGTGGATGGACTTACTTTACTACGACCTCACCAATCAAGAAACTTGATGGGTCCATTCCATATGAAGATAGAATTTTCTGATTCATTTAAACAGAGCAATACGACATACTGGATTTATTGAGATTATTCTTTTCAATTTGTTGGATTGCCTCTATGAAGGAGGGTAGTTCGTTGAAGGTAGGATTCTATTTACAACTTTGTGATTATCTGTTCACTTCTGGCTAGATTTGCTTATTGATTTTGTCCCATTTCGAAACATGCAAATTTTTGACAAAATGTAATTACCATCAAAAGTTTTTTACTGGTTGGAACCTGCTACATAGTTAATTTTCTGATTGGAAAGTCATGAATTAAGATTACTGATCATCTCCAATTCTAACTGCTCCAAGAGCAGAATGAAAGTTTACTGAGAAAAGAAACAAGAACAGCAATTGATAGAGGAACTTGAGTGTATGACTATTAGAGAGTTGGAATGATGCAGTAAGATAGGGAAATAACAACCAGGGGATCGTAGTCAATAAAACATTGAGCTAGTAATATATGATTATAGGCAGCAAGAAACAAAGCCCCCGAGTTCTGTTCTGAGCCATTTTAGACGAATCTACGGTGCGTGGTGTTCATGCTAGTGATAACAACTGCACGTGCTCCAGGAGTTGGACAAAACAAATAACATTACACTGGCAGGAAATTGAGCCAAAGGAGAAAGAGCTTCAGCAGCAACTGCTAGCGGATGCATCGGATGCAGGAGGTTTCTGTTTGAAAATATTCCTCTTCACACCAGCTGAGCCCTCGGCCAACAAACTGGGTGTCTCCAATATCTGTGGATATATGAGAAACTTTCTAACGTAAATATTTTATATTGCATGAAACAACCTCGCCAAGATCACATGGTAATAATCCAAAATTGTGTGTTTGAATAACAAGGTAGATTATTACAGGACTGGTGCATTGATTATCTTGTGATACCAATAAAAATACACAATGCACGAATTGATAAACACTACATAACCAAAGTTTAAAGGAAGCATTTGATTGCAAACAAAAGAACTTCACAGAAAAAAGGGAATTCATGTTCATACAAACAAAAATCAAGTTTTGCATGTGTTGATTGGGAGTTCAAGAAATATAGCTTCTACACGGAATTAAGGACAGATATATTATTGATCAATTTAATTCTGCTATATTTACTTAAAGATGTATAAGAACATCCTGGGATGCAAACAAGTAAGCTCACATTGAAAGCACGAGCGTAAATAATAAGTACCTACATACTTATGTGAAATATTAATTGTCTTTGGAACAGCTTGCTTACCTTCAACACAAGTTCCTCAAAGCACTGCTCCACATTGACTCGTGTTTTGGCACTACACTCTATGAAAAGGCAACCATACTCCCTCGCAAAGTCTATGCCCTCTTTTTTGCTTACAACCCTTTCACTCTCCTGCAAAAGATTTGACTTCCAGTTGGTAAAAGAATAATTTTCCTAATGGAAAAAAATCCAAATGCTACAACTAAATGTGATGTCTAATCACGTTTTGATGCTGCTACTAACAAAAGTACCTTATCAACTTTGTTTCCAACTAGCATCTTGATGCAATCTTGATTTGTTGAGTAGAGGTCAATTTCTTTAGCCCAAATATCAGACAAGTTTGTGAAGGTATCTCTCCGTGTCACATCATAAACTGTATCACACAAACGGGAAGTAATAACCAGGCAATTATATTTCTGATGAAGCTCAGAGTTGGAGTCCTTAGAAAACAAACTATGTGAATCCAAACTGCAGGCTAACAGCTTGAGAATCAAGTGAGAAGTTCAGAATGCAAGAACAAAAAAATGAAAAATAAATTGAAAAATTGGGGCATACCCATGATGATTCCTTGAGCTCCTCTGTAATAAGAGCTAGTCAAGGTCCTAAATCTCTCCTGTCCAGCTGCAAGAGGATCAGTTAGCTAAGCAAACTGACTTAAATAAATCCTTCAATCACCACCAAAAAACAATCATTCTCACCACTACCAGAGAGGTTGATCAAAATGGAAATATATTTTGCAGTATTTCATCATTCAAACTCTAGTTAGATGATAGTTGAAAATATACATTTCAGAAAAGAAGAAAACAACCACAGAACACCATTCAAAACTGTCAAGGGTAGTAAATGTTTAAAGAATCAGCAGGAGTAGGCATCATTCTTACCGGTGTCCCAAATTGCAAGCTTCAATTTTTTCCCTCCAACTGTGACAAGCTTGACCTTGAAATCCACTCCTGTAGGGAGTATTAACAGACCATGAAAATGCCAAACCCATGATAATAGTTCAACTTGAAGTTATTTCAAGCAAAAACAAAACCTATCATAACACAAACAGGCTCACAATATATCAAGATTCATGATGGCCTCCAGCTAACATGCTTTCAATATATTATTAACATGTGTGGAATGTATGCCAGTGGAGAGTAGCAATGAAGTGTAAATCAATTTTTTACTATAACAGGCTGTAAATTCTTGGGAGGGGGCTGAAAAAAAAATAAAAAAATCTCCAGTCTAAAATGTAGTATCAATCGATCCATACCCCAAGGCATTGCGATCGTGAATACATCAAATAAGATAGAATCAATACATTAGCTCTGGAAAGCAAGAAACAACAAACCATACGCAAAATCATGATGTTTCCCAATAAGACAATAAAGATTCGATCTACAACATTGCATACATAAATCAAACTATCAGAGAATTATAGAGCTACCAATAGTAGGAGACAGATCTTCAAAAGTATCAGACGTGAAACTGAGCAAAAGGGTGCTTTTCCCAACCCCGGAATCTCCTATCATCAACAACTTAAACAAATAATCAAATTCTGCCGCTGCTCCTGCTGGTGATTCCATATCGCCGTCAAAGATCAATCTTTCAAACGAAATAGGATACGAAGAAACACACACAACAAATTGATGCAACTTCAATCAAAACGAAACTCAAACAAATAGGACACGGTAAACAAAACCCAGATACGGAAAAACAAAAACGAAAGGGGAACTAAATTGCTGAGAAATTACGGTACAGATAAAAAAGAAATGCTAATTTTGGAGATACATAGGTATATATGGTTAATTTGATTCGCTGTGAACGAAAAATTGAGAGCAAAGAAAGACATGCGAAACCAGCAAAAGGCAATGAGGAAAACCAAAAAACGATCGATTAAAGGGGAACTCTTTGTTTCTTCATGGCGGTGGAAAAGGAGCGACAATGAAAAACCAAAGCTTGTACGCTCCGCAATGCACCCAGTACTTTCACAATGACGTGGGATTAATGTTCCAGATGGATATCAATCAATCGATCGATTCCTATATTTTATTCATATTACTCCTACTATTTTAATGTGCAATATCATATATCTTTGCAATTTTTATTTTGTAATTTTTTTGTCACAAAATAATATGTATATCTAATATGGAGTAATAAATATTTTTATAATTTACTCCTTTTATCCCATATGAAATGTTAATTTTTAGGTATAATTTGTCATTTTTTTTCAAAGTAATTATACACATTATAAATTTTAGATTTTTAAAATTTTTTTTATTAAAATTGTCTTAAATTTTAATCAATAATTATTTTATTATCTTATAATTATTTTTACTAATATATTTTTAATAACTCTTTCTATTCCAAAACAACAGATGCATTTGAAATAGACACGATAATTAAAGAATAATAATATTATATTATCAGCATATGTAAAAGTATTTTAAGAAAATTAAAATATTCCTACTATGTAATTATTGTGAAAGGGTTGGATGATTTTGTAAAAATATAAAAAGTTAGTAACCGATTATTGTTTTGAGACGAATAAAATAGTAAAATGAGATTATTATTTTAGACAGGTGGAGTATTTATTAATCATATCTCTCCTAAATTCACATGTCTATAATAACGCTGTCATAATATCCGATACAGAGAGAATAATAAATATAAATAGTTAATTTAAGAAAATGGCTTAAAACCAAAGATATCAAAATCGTTATAATTTTGGTAGAAAATTAAATGAATTTCGTCAATAAATAGAATATCATAATTGATATTAATATAAAGATCTCGACGAAAATGATAAAAATATAATAAAATATCTTCAAAAGGAAAAATAACACAATGAAAAAAAAGATTCATATGACAACTGAAAGTATGGTTTTGTTTATTCTTACTTAAAATTTTCACTTTCTTTGTATAATACAAACAATCACACACTAATATTAAAATATAATGAATTTTTATATAAATTATAAGCATATAATTGCTTATGCAATTAAATTATGCATAAAATACAAAAGATAAAAAAATATCAAATATTTTTTACCAATAAAATATTTTATTTTTTAAATTTATTACAAAAGTCCAAAAAATACATTCGAGTGGGACAAACAAATAAAGTAATTATTTGTTATAAATAAAGAAAATACATATTAATTGTTGACAAACAAATAAGAAATTAAGCATAAATTTGATGAACATATATACTACTTATTCGTCTGTATTTATTTTTTTATTTTGGTTCGTCATATAACAAATAATTTATTTTATTTTTTAATAATGATATTATCTAACTAATAATAAAAATACTATTACAATTTACACACAAATATCATTATTTTTATATAATACAATATTAATAAAATTATTTTTATTATTTTTTCTTAATTTATATTGCATATCAATATAACATTAATATTAAAAAATTAAAAAAAAAAAACAAAAAACAAACCCCTAATATTGAGAAGGAAAATACTAATTATTACTCAATAGTCCATAAAAAATAAATTTGAAATATAATCTATAAAAAAATGATATTGTACATTATAATAATAAGAAATTAACAATATTAGATATAGATAATTAGATTGAATTGGAAATAAGATGCAATATTATATTAGTATATACGAATAAATACTTACTGATTATAGGAATATGGTGTTAAAAATAGATTTAGGTAATAATTCCCAAATTATAAAAATCCAAGTAAAATTATTTGTTGGAGGTAGAAAAAGTTTGTCCTATGCAAATTAACAAAATTAATTTTCATTATTTATAAATAAATAAATAATTATAGGAGTACATCTTTCTCCATTCATTTTATTTTTGTAGTTGATTATATTTACATTTAAGTAATTAATAAAGAGTTTAAAAAGGAAATCAATAAATTGTAATTAAAATAATACTAAATAAATAGGGCGAAAATAAGCGAATCGCAATTAAAGCGAATCCCAGAAATTAATCAGCTAGCTAATTGAATTCATTCCTCTTTTTCAAATCGATTTCTTCGGCTCCAAATTCAACTTTTGTTTCAGATTAGGCATCCAACCATTTGTATGGAAGAATCTCGGCGCCTTCAATCCGATCGCGACGCCGGACCGTCCTCGTGGTCGTGGGCGGACGACAAGCAGTTCGAGGACGCACTGGTGGAGTTCCCTGATGGCTGCCCCAATAGGTGGGAGATGATCGCCGCCAAAATGCAGACCAAGTCTGCGGCGGAGGTCTACAATCACTACCGCCTTTTATTGGAGGACTTGGACGCGATCGAGGCCGGGCTGATCGATTTGCCGGAGTACAAAGACAACGACGCCTACGAGTCGCGATCACCGCCGGAGGACGGTCTAAACCCTAAATGCGAGAAGAAGCCGATCGCCGCCGGCTCCTCCGCCGCCCAGCGGAAGGCGGCCAAACCCTGGACCGGAGAGGAACACAGGTAGCGAATCAGATCACTCCTTTTTCTATTTTTTTTTTTTATTTTTTATTTTTTATTTTTGTTACTATTATTGTTGTCGTCGTCGTCGTTCTTCTTATTATTTATTATTTATATATATTATTATTAAAAATTCATTTTAATTCGATCTCTTCTTTATCTCTCCCGTTGTTTTCCCAGTTTCAATCATTGGTCCAATCCATTTCTTGGTTTCATCTTCATCTATTTCATTATTCAATCCCTCGCCCACACAAAAGTTGTACTATTCAACGAAAAAGAATTCGCATAATCAAAATGAAACAGGCAGCTCGGTCTGTAATGATTTAAGAATGCGATGATAAAAATTCAGGTTATTTCTGGAGGGGCTGAGCAAATATGGCAAAGGGGACTGGAAGAGCATATCAAGGCTGGCTGTGAAGACGAGAAGCCCGGCGCAGGTGGCGAGCCATGCCCAGAAGTACTACGAGCGCCAGGAGAAGGAGGATCAGAACAAGAAAAGGCGAAGCATTTTCGACAATTCCATCAAACAAGGCAAGAAAAGCGGTTAATTGTACTTGTTTAGACCCACAAACTTACATAACAATCTGTAAAGTTTTTCCCATCTTCCTGGATTTGATTGAGATTATGGTGCAAATGCTGCTGTCAATAAGGCCACCGACGCATTGATGTAGACAGAGTAGAATAGCAATGGGGTCTTTGTCTTGTATGAACATGGAGTCTAGAATTGGATCCTGTGAGAGGAGGCATTCAATTTCATGACACCATTCCATCATATTCTTGCATTGTCTTGTCTTGATCACTAGTCAAGTGCACATTTTCTTGTTGGATGACGGCCATGGCTGATGACTTGGATGTTATATTATAATATGATACGTCCAATGGTGGCCTTGAGGGTTGGTTACTTTTATACCTTCAATTCAATCGACTAATTTAGCAAGAGGAAAGAGTTATGGACGGATGGGCAGAGTTTATTTGACTTGAAACTGTCCAACGGACATCCCTACCCCTCAAATATAGATATTTCACATGTTACAGACTAGGAATTTTCAAACTTGTAACGTTCTTAATCTTATCTTGCTCTATAATAATAATAATAATAATAATAATCATAGTAATATGTCTTCTAAGTCCTATGTAACACATTCTGTCTCAGCATACAATTTGGGACAGGACAGGACCCTGCAACAAAAAAAAACACCACAAGATTATTGGTATTGGATGGATCAAACGATTGCAAGCAACCAAATCCTCAACTGCTGTTAGATATATTGTACAACAAACTCAGCTTATAGAGAGAGAGAGAGAGAGAGAGAGAGAGAGAGAAGGTCAAGGCAATCAATCCAAACTATATACACTCATATTGGGGGAACATCCCATCTGTCCAAGTGAAGTCGTTGTCGTTGCCGATGCACCATCTGCCTTCCTCATTCCAAAAGTTAGACCTGATGCATACAAGCTCCCGCAATCCAGGACATCATCTTGTCTCTTCTTCTCCTCTCTTCATGTTAGCACAACTTCAGTACATTAGGCTGCAAGCGCGATAAACAGACCATCATCGTTTCACATTAGGCAATTCAAGCTTTTCAGATTCCCCATTTCTGCACTGCTGCACAGACAGCTCTAGTTTCATGCCAGTAGGGCTGTGGTTAAACCCTAGTTTCTATCAAGGAGACGACTTCCACTCAAACTGAAGGCTGTTAAACGCATTTACTGCCCCAAGACCGGTGAGCAGTTGGCTACCAACATCCTGCTGTTGCGAACTCATGCCCTGCTCTCTTGCCATTGTCATGCCGGCTCGCCCATTTATGGGCAGCGAGGTATGCCCGAGTGCTGCTCTGATTCCATTTGCCATGGCAGATCGCCCGCCGGGCCCATTGCTCATACTCCCCATGCTTGAAACACCAAGGTCTGCGTTACCATTGGCCACTCCAGTACCAACAAGAATATTACCATTGGCGCCGGTATTACTGCTCGCTGACAACATTCCGTTAATGTTTTTCATGTCGCTGCCAGTTGCCCCCATTCCCATTGCGCTTCCCCCACCAAACTGAGGAGACATCAGCATATCATGTATAATTTTCTGGACGGAGCTTTGTGAATCATTTGGATCTGCATCACCAGAAATACCAGGTTGTTGCATCGAAACAGTTGGAGAATTCACTGAGTTTACATGAGCTCCTGATAAAGTGGTGTGCGGAGTTGGCTGTGGATTGTTAGATGATGATGGTGTGTGGGGTTGGAAGGAAGAGGGAGGGCCCTGGGACTGCAGCATAGTGTTTGAAGAACCTGGCGACGGCATCTGAACATTATTACCTCCATAAGGACTGTTTACGCTAGACATTGGGTTCTGCTGTCGGGAGTTCATTGAATTTTGATGCAGCAGCCCAACAATGGTGCTCGTAGATGAAGTTGTAAGCACTGAGTTCATTGCATTGTTAACGCTCGGGGTGCCAGTTGTAGAAGGAGCTTGCATAGCAGCAGCCTGGACAGAACTGTCGCCGCAGTTTTGACCAATTGCTTGCTCTTGCTGTTGATTATCAGGTTGCTGAGATTGACCTTGATGCGCAGGTGAAGGATTTGAATGTCGCTGAAACTTTGCCAAGCTTTCTGCAAAGGAGATTCACAATAAGACAGTAACAAGAAATACATGAAAAAGATGGTTACATGGATCGCTGCATAGAAATAACTTCAAATCCTGGATGCAAAAATGGGCGGCAGAAGGGTGGAGCACCCCCAACCTCCTTTCAAAAATTGAACTAAAATAATATATTTGAATCCAGGTTCTTAATGGCATTTTGCAATTATACTTCCATATTACAACTCTTTTGGAGAGTAAATCTGTCCAGCTGCATCAAAGTCCCGACATAAATGTCTATTTTAGGGTACCTATAAGCCAAGAAGTAGTAGATAACTCCCAAATCCCACTTGGTACAAAGATAATCTAAACCTAATAGATGTTGTGGGCTTGTGTTCAGGAGTGAATTTTTCTTAATACCATGGCATCCATGAAATTGCACACCAAAGTCTTGACTTGACGATCATAGTTTCAAATTTTTGCTTCTTTCCTACTTGTAACTATTGTCACTTTACCGGGTCAATTTTATTCCAGTTTGTGTCATATAATAGAGGAGATGTAGTGCAAAGAATTGTGAGAAATAAACTAGCTTACCCATGGGACCAGCACCAGTTTCACGGCTATAATCAATAAGATCTTTCATGCTATTCACCACTTCTGATATCTGCAATGAAAATGATGGAACAGCGGGTAAACATCATTAACTAATCAACTGGTCCTAAAATTTCAGGTTATAAAATTATATAAATAGGGAAAGCACTTGTGCAAATAACCTAAATTGGGGCTAAGCCTAAATTGCACCTAAGTACAAAGGAACTGTAATGGAAACATCCATATAATCTAGCTAGCCCCAAACCTCATCAACTCCTTTTAAAGAACAAATCTTTGAATTAGTAGTGATGAATGAATAGCAGGCATAAAAAAAGAAGAAGCTAATAATAAGTAGTTAACTGCCTCAATTAAAGAGTGACTGATATCTATCAAATTGGCTCGACAAGATTAGCTTCTGGTATCTGCATCTGGCATTTACAATTTTGAGCCAATCTGTGTGATCTTCTAACTGATTACTATGTTTCTGGTTTACAGAGTATAAAAATATATTGACATGGCTAGCAATATAGTGGAAATTTTCGCCTTACATTTTTAATCTGCACTAACTCCTTTTTCCTCAGATTGTACAAACAGCATTCACTTTTTGGCTTTACTTATTTGGAAAGTAAAGGTCTACATTAAAAACTCAAATTGCACATATAAACAACCGCGTAATTATTCTTTCGACACAGAGCTCCATCTTAAGAAAAGAATGGGCATTGAAACAGGGAGGTTTTGTCTGGTAGAAGGTATTGTTGACAAATGCCTTCACATTTTAGGAATCCCTAGCACAGAGGCTAAAAATGCACATCAAAGTAGTGGAAACTAAAATATGAGATAATTCAATTTAAGGATATAATCAGTGTCTTCTAAAAATGTATCGTAAACAGTCCAAGGGTATAATATGAACTTTAGAAAGCAGGGACCCTAGAAATAGCAAAACATCTAAAAAAGGAACAGACAGTAGCTTTGACCAATGAAAACTAAAAAAGGTGAGACATTATGACATTCAGTAGTTCTCCATTGTTGACACATCTTAACTGCATACAACACTAACCAACTCTTCTGCCCATTTTATTATAAAACAATATCGAGAATTTACACTGAAACCAACCACAGTTTTCAAACAGAGTGCCTAGCACAATATGATATTACCTGAAGGCATCGCACGTATCTCTTTGTATATCCCAAATCATTTACCAACGGAACTTCCAAGGATTTGGCCAACTGACGAGCAGATGCAACAAACCTGGCAAAGATATCAAAGATTGATACATAACATTTAGTGAGAGATTTTCTGTGCTCTGCAATAACAGAAAATTAAGAATAACCCCAATAGTGAAACTTCTTTTGTAGGGACAGCCATAGATCCTCTTTTAGCTACTAATAAAATTTCCATGAAACACCCAAAACGTTGCTTGTGATATGTGAAAAGTTCACACAGATACAGAGAATGTATTGAGAATAATAGAATGAAAAATCTATGAAAATGCCCACACTTATCCAAGACATTTAAAAAAGCAAAGGTACATGACATTTAATAAACTTCCATTTCACCAAGAAATACACAAAAATGATAAGCACTCCGTACAAAGGTAAATCAAATTGGTTAAGAAGAAAGAGAAAACCCTAAACTCACATATTGCAGTTGCTTTGAAGCTCAGAAACAGAAGCACTGGGTGATGCATTCTGTGTAGCAGTCTGGTACTTTTGGGCAGCAGCGCCAAGTTGGCTAACCTGCAATTTAAACAAACAAGGAAGATATGTTTCACATTATACTAATGGTAGGACACACTCCCAATGGCATGAATCAATAATTTCCTTAGAAATTTTTGAGGGATACAGAGTGTCCTACCTATGGCGGCCCCAATTTAAATATCAATATAACTAACCTGCGGAATAAGAAGCCTTCTTGGAATGAGCTCCTCATGTCTTCGAGCGCAGAACTCCCAGGAGCATATCTGACAAGAATTCACTAAACATGCAGGGCAAGCAAATAACAGCCCAAAAAGTAAAGAAACAACAGTTACCTTGAGATCAGGAGAGAATACTATTCGAAGTTGACCATCACGAACAACTCGAAGTTGCTCAAATACGCTCTCCTGTATAGCTTTTGCATAGTCAAGGACAATTTGCCCTGACGAATTCTGATACTCTCGAGGCATATCAACATACAATAATTCTTCTAGAGTTCCACTCTCGTATTTTATTTTGAAGAGTCGGGGAAGAACTTCAGCAGTTGCCTCTGGTAGAATAAAAACTCAATGTCAGGGTGAGGCCGGCCGGGTAGAATTCATGTTCTCAAGTGTCAACACAGACATAAGTAAAGGTATGTTGGTGTGAAACCTAGAAAAGTGCATACCAAATCCTCGGCCAGGTTTGCGGTTGCAAATTTCACAGTGCCAAACATCCTATATCAGACTCAAACATTAATTGGTGAACAAGAATCACAAAGATAAGAAAGCTCTCGTAAAGGATAAGTTACCTCTTTGAACTATCAAAAGTGCACGTGGCAATAACAATAAACCAGGCCAAACTAGCCTTTTAAGGAATTAGATCATTACAAAGTTTGTAAACCAACAAACCTGAGGGAAAACTCCAGTGGTTTGGCGACCACTTCCGTACATTGAAACACACCACTTTTTCTTGGCATTGGGTGCAAAGTATTCGGCAACAAACTTTCTCCAAAATTCAATGCTGTTATCCTATAAAACAGAGTACAATAGTTAAAGTTCACCGACACTCAGCTCTTAAATTCTTAAATAATCAAACAGCTAGTTAGATTCAGCATCTTACTTCAGGTCTGTGTTGCTGTTGATACATGTAATGCATCAGTCGACGAGCACACATTCCAGGTTCATAGATTGGTTTAACCGGAGACCTGATTGGCAAACTCTGCGATTGAAACTGCGGTTGTAGTGGGGATCTCTGTTGAGGCATGGCCTTCAAAAGCTGCTGCTGGTGCTGAAATTGCATTAGCCTCTGTTGATGCAAAATTTGCGCTGCTGCAGCAGCCTGAGAAGACTGGCGGGACAGGAGGAGCTGCTGCTGCTGTTGCTGCAAAAATAAAGCTTGGTCTGAATGCTGCATATCCATCTTGACAGGACCCAAGCTTCTAATATTTTGTAGTTGCTGCGGCTCCAATTTCACAGAACTAAGATTCCTTAAAGCTTGCAGTTGCTGTGGTGTTTGCTCACTGGTTGTTTGAGGCTCCATCTTGACTGGCCCCACACCTCCTAAACCAGGTCGTGCCCCTTGAAATTGCTGCATCTGGGGCTGCTGTGATTGTTGCGAATTACTCGGAACAGAAAGCTGCTGCGACTGCTGCTGATTATGCTGGAAATTCTGTGGATCTAGCTGTTGTGCTTGTTGCTGATCTCCCAACATCTGGCTGCCAGAAGGAGTTGCGTATTGCTGTTGACCTTGAACTTGCCCAACCGAGATTGGGTTGGCCGTTATTGATGATGTCACATAAGAAGATGAGGGAGCATTAAATCCCATTCCATTTCCGATGCTAGAAAGTGAACCCGACTCTACCCTACTATCAATAAGCCCTCGCTGGGAGCTCCCAGGACCAGAGAGACCCGAGCTTGGACCTCCATTTCCAAATGACTGGTGGAGTAAGGTCGAAACATTAGGAACATTTCCCAGCGCATTCAAGTTACTAAACTGATTTCGAGGCGAAACCAAAGGTGGAAATGCATTCTGTGAAGTCATCCCACCTCCTTGCCCCCCTAACAACCCAGAATTTGACCTCAATAGAGATGGTGGCACTGGCTGGGTTCCCCCAACTGGAATGGGAGGCCCTTGGGGTACCATTTGAAGTTGAAAGAGACACAATCTAGTCTACAGCACTAGAAATACATATGACAACATTAAATTAAAAACACTCCAAAACTGTGGACAAGACTTCAACCTACAAGATATATGATACAGTAGTAGGGTGATAGTTTATTCACACAACCCACCGATATTAGACTTAATTCCTAAAATGGTAATTGAGAATATCCACCACAGGATAAGCCTCAAGTATGAGGGTATGGAGGTTTCAAGTTGAAAAGCAAATTCTGGGAAATGAAAAAGTCTAACTTTATGATTGAACATCCTCAAGTCGGAATCTTTGAGTATCTCCTATTGCTCACCCTGCATCAAACAGTCAATTGAAGTAAGAATTCTCTATCCCATATGTGAAGATGGAACAAAGAACTGAAACTTGCTAAAAACGAAATCTAGTGAGCAGCGTACAAGGTATAAACATCACAGAAACAATCTTCAGCTACAAAGTGACGATTTTTTTGAAACGAAACGGTAATAACTATCTGAGAAAAAATGACTCCAATTGAACTACACCATTAATTGTGAACATTATTATTAAAGAGAATTAAGCAGTGAAGAAAACTCGATCGAACCCTAATCTTATAGAGAGAGATAGAAACACTCGATCCAAACGATACTCCCTAGGCTCCAACTTCAAGAAACACAGACGCACTATTACTTACACAGACGTGAGTGCTAAACTGAAGAGGAAGGAAAAACAAGGTTTGGCTAAAAGTAAAATGCAAATTAATTAAGCAAGGGTGCACTGAAACGAAGAGCAGAAGCTTACCAAAGCAAAGCAAGATTCAACTCCGGAATCTCTCAAATCCATGTCTTTGAAGTTAGAGTTAATGCAATCGTCCCCTATTCATTTCTTGTTTCTTTTATCTTAATAAGCATGAATCAAATGGAATTCGACAACCCACGAAACCCTCCAAATCAAAGTGTACAGAACACGGATATGCTTTACAGTGAATTCTTTTTCCTTATTTTTGGATAGATAACTGTCAAAAAAGTCTCCTCAAAATCTTCCAAGCAAACACTAGAGAGAGAGAGACGGTTGTTATTCAGCTAACTCTAGAGAGTGAGAGAGAGAGAGAGAGAGAGAGGAGAGAGAAAATGAATAGAAATGAGTGACGAGGGGTTTTATACTGCGGACGCCAAAATTCCTTTGGATCGGATTCAAGTTTCTCTCATGTTCCATTACCCCCCCATCTTTCTCTCTCTCTCACCTAATTAAGTCAATTCTTCTTCTTCTTCTCCCTTCTTGCAATGCAATGGTGGCATGTATGTATGACCGCATGTATGTCTATGTTTATGTAATAATAATGATTGAATGTGTCATCATCATTGGCTTAAAGGCTGCACAGCTCACCGCTACCAAAGACGCTCTGCAATTTCGCCTTCTACTTTCGCCTATTTACGATATTGCCACTAGATTTTTTTTCCGATTTATGACCTATTAATCATTTTTTATTTTTCGTGAATAGCTTATGATCTAAATTTTATTTACTGAGAAAATGTTCATGTATGATGGCCATGGCATCCATTCCATGTATGTCATATGTCATAGGCACGTGAAGATGACGGGGGGTGTGGCACTGAGTCACGTGCTTGGCCATCGACGGAACAGCATAACGCCGTTAAAAACAAACGGGGAAAATCCCAAATAAGAGATAACGGGCGTTAGAAAGCTATTCAAGCTCTGCTGACAGTTGGTTTGGGTTTTGGCCTCTTTACACAACATTCTCTCTCCTATATAAGATGCATTTGAGGTCCGCGTCTCTGCGGTTCAGTCCACCCTAGTTACCCTACGCCCGCAGTTCTGATTGGTCAGTCTTCTAGAATTCAAAAGCCCAATTGAGGCCCAATTCGCATATACATACAGACTGCACATATATATATATATACACACACAGATACCTTCAATTCATCCATGTCTCTGCGGATCTAGCGAGGTATAATTCTTACGCAAGAAACCAACTGTATACATATACATATATATATATATATAAAAAATAAAAGTGATTAATTGAGACTGGAAATTTTGGAGTTTTTGGTATGGGATGGGTGATTATTACTAAAGGTAAGAGAGATAGACAGAGAGAGAGAGGGGGAGAGAGAGAGTCTCGATCTAGGTGGAAGGGAAGTGTGCATGCAGCTTGACAGGCGTAGCAATTCGGTTCTACCCACGTTTCAATTCCATCGTCATCGTCATCATCATCATCATCATCAGCATATATAGCTGGCCTGGCTGTACCGCTAGCTAGCTAGATACCTCAGCAATTGAACGAACAGTAGCATCGTCCCTGCCGCCGATCCATCGATGGAGAAGAATGTCGACACTCCGCCAGCTGCTGCTGAGACGCCATTGATGGAAATGGAAATGGAAATGGAGCTCGATTTAGAGATGGAGGAGCCCAAAACCCTGTCGGAAGCCGAGCTTGCCTTCTTTAGGGTTTCTGCATTAACTGATTAATTATTAATTATTTGATTGATTGCTGATTCTCTCCCTCTCTGATTATATATATGTAAATGCAACTGATATCGATTCTGCATTAGCTGATTGGATCATTTCATGATCTGCATTGTGTTACTGTACCGTACTAATTGAGGCTTGGATCGGAAGCAGGCGGCGGCTCTGAAGGTGATCGAAACTCATACACCGGAAGAGGCGGCCAAGATTTTCTTGGCGGTACGCTACTGTTAATTGGATTCATTTATTTACTTGTACTCTTGTTACCATTTTGGCTTTCATCATCTCACCAGATTACATTTTCTTCTTTTACAAAAATGATTGTCTTTTAATCTTAAATCTGTTTTGTTTTAAATTGCAAAAATGTTAGGATCTTATTACCAACTAAATCAATGCTTTTCGACTTTCAAATCTGCGGGAAAATTATCTTTGGAAAAGCGCGGGAAATCTAGTTTTAATTAACTGAATTTCGATACTTGAATTATTAAATAATAAAAGTAAAAATTGATCTTTAAGACTATTAGTAGCTCATGTAGTGATCAAAATTCAAGAAACAAGTTATCAAATTCATTACAAAAGTTAAGCTAAAGTAGTTTTGTTTTGGTTTGGTTATTTTTCAATTTCAGGGAATGGAAAAGGTAGATAATGAGGCTGTGACTCTTGAAGCCCCAAAGGCATCAGTGGATGATAAAGAGGCAGCAGCAAAAGCAAATTAATTAATTTGTTTGTTATATATATATATATTATCCTATTTAGTTTCGTGCTGTTAATCTATTTGTATTTGCTGTAATAATCAATATTAAAGTTTCAAGAATATGTTGCAATAACGTATGGTATTGGATCTATCTATGCTGCCTTTGGTGATAAGTAGTAGTCTGTTTGATGGCGCTGAAATTATTACCGTTGAATTTATGGATACGACTAATTTACCAAATTAATATATATATATATATATACATTATAACCACAAGATATAAGCTACAACAACAGATATGACATGAAGAAATATAGTATTATTATAACAAGGGTGAATATATATGTTTGGATTGATTTACAAAATATTCATATAAAGTAAAAATAACAAAAGCACAGGCAAATTAAAAACCCAAAAGTAAAAAATTGATTTTATCTTTTAGATGAATTTTTATAGAATCTATAAAATATTGAAAGTACTTTATAAATTGTCAAAATTACTAAACAAACATGTTAATTTAAAGATTTTATATTTTATATTTTTGTAAAGTAAAAATGTAACTTGACTTCAAATAAATTGTACCTCTACAATTTATCTTAAAATTTATATAAATTATATTTAAAAATATATTGTACAATAAAAATTATATATTTTAAAATTTTCATTTAAATATATATAAATTAAAATACAATTGTACTTTTAAATATTAATCATATATAGATAGGGTTTAACTAAAAAATATAATGTCATTCACCCACCATGCATGCAATATTTTAAATTAATAACGAATTATAAATTAAATTTGGTACGCATGCCCCGCAATATAATTAAATTAAAAGATTTTTTCTTCTGAAAAATAAAGTTGAACAGAGCCTAATGGTACGTTCTTTATGATCGATCGCCACCAATCATTAATTAGGCTATCATCATCTATAGGTACAACAATCAATCAGATGTAAAAATAAAATAACAATTGTGACAAAAGTAAAAACTATTCCAAAAGCACAAGTGATAATTGATTTGTACATGTCGGCCAAACTCCAGATGCAAACTGGTATGGTACTGGTAATACTGGTAATGGTAAGGCCCCACAACTAAAAAGACATACAATATAGATTAGAGAATATATGCATACTATGGGTCTGCTGTTTAGTGGTATTCTTCACATTTGCCATTTTATTACATTCAATAATAAATACATACCACTCTTTGACCTTCCATGAACCTAACCAAGAATTTAAAGGAAATACTACTCTCTCTCTCTCTCTCTCTCTCTCCCAAGTTGCACTTAAATATAGAATGATTGAATGAATTAACTAATGCTGTATTAGCTGTTATGGATGGATTTTACTTTACCAACACACGCACACCATTTTGATCCAAACCAGTGGGAGGCAACTAGCAAGGATGGAGGTTTTAGCATTCCAGGGACTGACGATTTCAAGAAAATTTCATTTGCCAGCATAGGATAGGATCATAGGATCATAGGATCAAACACAAACAAAACCATCAAAACAATAACAGCCAACAGGGTTAACAACTCATCCATCTTGCTTGCACTATAAATACCTTCTTATATTTGAGTTGAAAGTATCATTCCGTCAAACAACAACTCTACCAAATATCAATCTGTTCTTTTCACAAGACTCACTACTCATACACTTGAAGATGACCAACAACACTGCAGGGCATGTGATCAAATGCAAAGGTATGATTATGCTCTTTCAAGAAGCTAAGGGATGATCAAATCTAGCAGTTAGTGTTTTTTGTTCAAGGGTTTTTATTTAATTACTTGTTGGTTGCAGCCGCCGTGGCTTGGGAGGCGGGGAAGCCGCTGGTGATCGAGGAGGTGGAGGTGGCGCCGCCGCAGAAGATGGAGGTCCGGCTGAAGATCCTTTTCACTTCTCTTTGCCACACTGATGTCTACTTCTGGGAAGCCAAGGTAAACTTCTTACTTCATAGCTAAACTAACTGCACTACAGAATCAAGAAATATTAGGGATTCAGTGATCATCAGGGCTCACCTCATCTCCTGATTTCTTCAGGCTCAAAACTCTGTCTTTCCTCGAATTCTTGGACACGAAGCTGCAGGGTAATGAGAGTACTCGATCAGTTCTAGATTCTCATTCATAAACAAAAAAAATGATCTTTTGAGGCCGTTCTATTACCTTGCAGGATTGTGGAGAGTGTCGGAGAGGGCGTGACAGAACTGGCACCAGGTGATCACGTGCTCCCCGTGTTCACCGGCGAATGTGGGGACTGTGCTCACTGCAAATCCGAAGAAAGCAATATGTGCAGCCTGTTGAGGATCAATACTGACAGGGGAGTGATGATCCACGACGAAAAACCTCGGTTTTCAATCAACGGGAAGCCTGTTTATCACTTTGTTGGCACATCTACCTTCAGTGAATACACTGTGGTCCATGTTGGCTGTCTTGCCAAAATCAACCCTCTTGCTCCCCTCGACAAAGTCTGCGTCCTCAGCTGTGGGATCTCCACAGGTATAGAGATTGTTGTACAGATGTCTCTAATCTCTCTGTTTTTTCGATTGAATAATGTTTCTGTCTGCTTGTACTTGTAGGCCTCGGCGCTACATTGAATGTTGCAAAGCCGAAAAAGGGATCATCTGTCGCTGTTTTCGGACTCGGAGCAGTTGGGCTTGCTGTATGTTTCTGATATCTCATTGCTGATAACCTTTGTTTTGTAGGAGAACTCATGTGAATGATCTACCCTTGTTGGTGTTTTCAGGCTGCTGAAGGGGCAAGATTGGCCGGCGCATCGAGGATAATAGGAGTCGACTTAAACTCAGCCAGATTCGAAGAAGGTGAGTGAGTGATTGATGGCAGATAAGTCCACTGGCACATTGGATTGCATTGTTTAGTACTTACATTCTTGTTCGCTGTTCGTCTATGCAGCTAAGAAATTTGGCGTGACTGAATTCGTGAATCCAAAGGACAGTGAGAAGCCAGTTCAGGAGGTCCGTTGATCGATCATTAAGTTGTTCTGGTACACCGATGTTTGGTTTCATCCTGCATTGACAGTTTCTGTGTGTCTGAACAGGTCATTGCTGAGATGACGGACGGGGGAGTGGATCGAAGCGTGGAGTGCACCGGAAACATCAACGCTATGATTTCTGCATTTGAATGTGTTCATGATGTATGCCACCTGAAAACTGGATAGCCTCTTACCACATTAAACACTGATTGATCTGATTTACTTTACTGCTTCGATCACAGGGATGGGGTGTTGCTGTCCTGGTTGGCGTCCCGCATAAAGATGCTGTCTTCAAGACACATCCGATGAACTTCTTGAACGAAAGGACGCTCAAAGGTACATTCTTCGGGAACTACAAACCGCGCAGCGATCTTCCATCTGTCGTTGAGATGTATATGAACAAGGTTAGTGCTGCATCACAATCATCCCTCGGTGAAACAAATAGGCGCGAAAACACTGTAGATTCTTACGATATTTTTTGTTCGTTTGCATTCAGGAGCTTGAATTGGAGAAATTCATCACTCATGAGGTTCCATTTGCTGAGATTAACAAGGCTTTCGAGCTGATGCTCAAAGGGGAAGGACTTCGCTGCATCATAAAAATGTAATGATAAGATATTCGATCAAGAAACTGTCCTAAGATCAATCCATATGTGTGCAAATTTGTTTCTTGTAATTCAGAGTGTTCAGTCTGTTGATAATTCAATAAAATTACCTGCTTCGACACCAGTTTCAGTTTCCTCGAACCATCAGTGCACTGCATCCAGGTGTCTTTTTAGATCCTCTAGTCGAAAATATGTGGCGCATTCCCTCAGCCATCTCCCATTTTTCGGAAGCAGCATAGATGTTCGACAGCTGCACGTAATGTGCATCGTCATGGATCCCGCAATTGAAGCTCACCTTCCTCACCAATTCGAGCACATTGTCTGCCATAACTGTGTCCGAGTGAATTCTACACGCCACGAGCAGAGCTCCAAGGATAGTGTCATTTGGCACCATCGGCATCCCTCTTACTAAGCTGTATGCGTCTTGTAGCTTACCCGCACGCCCCAACAGATCAACAAGACATCCATAATGCTTTACATTGGCTGTCAATCCGTACTTCTTCATCTTCGAGAACACTTCTAAACCATCTTCCACGAAGCCTCCATGAGCACACGCTGACAGAACAGAAAGGAATGTTATGTCATCTGGTTTTTCGCCAGACTCCTCCATCCGTCTAAAGATCTCAATGGCCTCTCTAGTTTGGCCATGGATGGCTAATCCAGCAATCAAACTGTTCCACGTAGCACTGTTTTTCGTCGATATCCCCTCGAATATAAGTCTGGCATTCGCTAGATCCCCACACTTTGCATACATGTCGACCAATCCATTTGAGACGAATACATTCATTCCAATGGAGTTCTTGAGAATCATGTCATGGATTTTCTTACCAAATTCCAACATCCCTGATTGAGCACAGGCTGACAAACAACTAGCCACAGTAACTTCATCAGGCTTGAACCCTGCGTCCTGCATTCTTGTAAAAGATTCCAATGCTTCTTCAGGCATCCCATTCTGAGCATAGCCAGAAATCAAGGAATTCCAATTCACCAAATTCCTCACACCCATTCTGTCGAAAATCTCCCTCGCATTCCCTGCGTCGCCTTTCTTGAAATACCCTGTGATCATCACGGACCACACGTAGAAATTCGTCTCCGTCATCCTCTCAAACACTTCCCTGGCAGCCTCCATATCCCCATTTCTTACATACCCGTCAACCATCACTGTCCAGGTCACCACAGTCTTCAATTCTCCAGGAACTTCATCAAACACCTGCCTTGCCATTGCCGTGTTCCTGTTTCTTGCATACCCATCAATAAGCTCAATCCAAGTGACAGACGTCCTTCGTGTCATTTTCTCGAATAAAACTAACGCCTTGTGCGTATGGCCATTCCTCATGTAGCCTCCAATCATTGCATTCCAGGTGACCGCATTCTTTTCAGAGATTTGATCGAACACCTTGTGGGCGCTCGCTATGTCCCGACACTTACCGTACATATCCACCAAGGATGTCCCCACCATTACATCGCGTTCCACCCCGGTTTTCAAAATTTCCGAATGCAGCATCTGCCCGTAAATTAGCAAGGATAGAGAAGCACAGGCTTTAAGGATTAACGGGATGGCGCTGGTTAAATTCCCTCCTTTGCCGCGACTTTGGGTGTATATCGAAATTGCTGTTTTCGGCTTTTTCTTAGAAATACAGCTTCTAATGGAATAAACCCAGTTGGATGATGGATTTTCGGTTCGAGGGTTCGACATTTGATAAAAAAGAAATAATTCTATGGAGCGAAGAGTGGCGGTTATCTTGCAGAAGTGCAAGAAAGGTAAACAAGTGAAGCAGACGCATGTTCAGATTCTCATTAATGGCTTAAAAGGTAGCAACTTTTTGGCGATCAAGCTTATGACGCTATCTTCGGAATTCATATCTCTTGACTATGCGGCGAAAGTGTTTGACGATCTACGGACACCTGATTTAATTTCTTACAACCCGCTGATTAAATGCTCAATCGGGAGCTCCATTAGAGTCGCAACCACGACCTACAACAGAATGCGCGAGAAGGGCATTTCATCAAACAGTTACACTCTGACGTTTCTCCTCAGGTGCTACGAGTCATTCAACAAGTTTGAATTGGGTGAAAGGGTGCACGGTCATGTTTTGAGGATGGGAATTGCGTCTGGGCTTTTTGTCATGAACACACTTATGGACTTGTACGCCAAATGCGGTGGGAGTTTGGATATTGCTAGGAAGGTGTTGGATGAAATGCCTGAAAGAGACATTGTTACATGGAATACGATGATTAGAACATACATGAGTAATGGTGACATAGATACTGCTGTTAAGCTCTTCGAATCAATGCCGGATAGGAACTTAGTTTCAGGGCTGGCGAAGATCGGGAACATGGAATCGGCTAAAAGAGTATTTCAAGATCGGGAACATGGAATCGGTTGTAGCCTGATACAATGTTGATGAATTTGTTGCTAAAGATACTAAGCATCCTCAACGAAAGGAGGTTTATGGAGCTTTAAAATGTCACAATGTTGGCGTAGAAGTGTGCTTTGGATGATTATAATTTGTGGCCCTAGTTTCTACTCTTCAAGTATGTATGTATTGGATAAACTATGTCCTTATGGGACCATACTTGGTTGATTCAGTTCTGTCTTAGCTTTACAGATTGGTTTATATACTTGAATGCATAGTTTGTATTTAGTTTTATATCTAACTTACCCAAACTAGTTTGGATTAGAAAAATATACTTATCTTACTTATAATTATTTTTGTATTGTTTTTAGTCGGTATTTGAATACGATGCGGTTGGGTTGAGTAAAAACTCCTTCCTTGTCGTGTTTCAGTTCTCCCTCCACGTTGGAGAAAACCGCCATAAAAACGACATCTTTATTAATACTTAGTTTCTGGGGAGTTAATTTCTTCATCTGTAAATTTGTCTTCATCAGGCAAGAAAGATAATATGGAAAATCTTGCACATTTCGTGTTTGGAGTACTTGGTGAGTCTACTTTCATATATGCACTGCTGCAGCAGCCTTAATTCGCTGTGTTCTCCTTCTGATTGATCAAAGGCAGCCAATTTTCTTTTATTTAATTTACTCTTCTTCTTACAGGAAATGCCTTTGCTATGTTTCTTTTCCTATCTCCTCTGTGAGTTTCATTCCATAAACAAACAGACATCTGCATTTATTTCCCATCAAGTTTTTTTGATTGTTCTGTCCTGACGTATTTCTTTCCAGGATTACCTTCAAGAGGATCATCGCGACAAGATCGACTCAGCACTTTTCTGGAATTCCCTACCTCATGACACTGCTCAACTGCCTGCTCTCTGCTTGGTCAATTTCCTCAACTGCCTTTGCAGATTCTTCAATTTTATCTTAACAAATTGACAAACAATTCTTTCTTAACTAGGTATGGCTTGCCATTCATCTCCCCGGACAACCTGTTAGTCACGACCATCAATGGGGCCGGCGCAGCCATTGAGATTCTCTATGTCTTAACCTTTGTAGCCTTTGCGCCGAGGAAGGAGCAGGTCAACATCCTCGGACTCCTCGTCCTGGTCCTAACTGTTTTCGCCGCTGTCGTCGCCATTTCCCTCTTTGGTCTCCACGGCGAGCATAGGCAGCACTTTTGTGGGATCGCAGCCACCATTGTCTCCATATTGATGTATGGATCGCCCCTGACAATCATAGTAAGAATTTTTCTTGTCTTGTTCTTAATTTCCACTTGTTTGTTTAGAATCCTCACTGATATTTTTTTGCAATTCAGAGTTTGGTGATCAGAACTAAGAGCGTGGAGTACATGCCCTTCTTCTTGTCGTTGTTTGTGTTCTTGTGTGGGACTTCCTGGTTTGTGTTTGGCCTTCTTGGGAACGATCCTTACATCGCGGTAAGCGCGCCCTGTCTTTCTTTTTTAATGTCATGTTGTTTTGTTGAATGAATGTGTGCATTGTAACTTGTAGATTCCTAATGGAGTTGGATGTGGATTGGGGGCAGTGCAGCTGATACTGTATGCAGTTTACAGGGGCAATAAAGACGGCGACGACAGGACTGTGGAGATGGAGAAGGGGAGGCCATTGCAGGCTTAATTAATTTGATCAATCGTTGGTGTAATTAATAATGACTTAAGGATGTAATGAAGTAAACAATCCTAGTACAGTGTTGTTGTTCTTGCTTTTATTGTTAGTATATCATCACTTTATTGTTTTTTTTGCTTAGACAAGAAGACACTTTTTATTCATTCTCCTCTCTCGATATCAATATCGCCTCTTGTCTTGATTTCCTTGCTCTCCTCGTTTGTCTCGGCAAAGTTATCTTCGAAATGTTTGTCCTTTTCAACGGACAGGGCCACGGCCTTTTCTCCGCCGGGGCCGCTCACAATGTCCTCCTTCACCTTGAAATGCTCGTCGGACCGGATGACTTCAGTTCCCCGCACTGTCTTCTTCTTCTTGGATTTGATCAAGAACCATGCACCGAAAAAGCACAAGGCAAAGAAGAAAATGCAGCCAAATGAAATGAACAGGATTACGACGATAGAAGAAGAGGAGGAGGCCATTTGGGGATTTTGTCTTAGTTAAAATGTGATGGATGTCCTGTTTTGTTTGGGTAAAAGAGTGTGCTTGCTGTGTCCTTATATTGTGTGTAAGGAAGGAAGGATCCATCCATGTTTGCTTGCAAGAATTGAATGACTTACCTCACATGTTAAGTTAAGATATGGTGTTCTACTTGTAGTAGAGAGCACTCCATTTTCCCTTATTTCGAGGTTTCTCTGCTTAACCAAAACCTTTCTCAATTGCAAGTACAAAACAAACATATCCTTTTGTTGTTCTATAAAAGATATATGGCATTTTTATTAATATTGAAATTAATTATAAATTTATTAAAATAACTTTTAACTATGATTGAAAGTCACTTGAAATTCTATATAATTGTTTTATTTTTAGAAATAAATAAATAGTCCATGATTTTGAATCTATCGTACTTTAAAAATTAATTTTACATTAAAAAAAATAGGAGTATTTAATTGCACAAATTATGACGAGAGTGGACCCATCTGTAATATCATGAGTTTAAATTTGTTGAAATGAACTGAGGACTTTTGAGCAATTTCTTCTAAATACCGAAGCGATTGTGTAATAAGTTGGAAGTACAATCACCTGATTGAAAGAAGGCGATTTTATCTTACCTCTGCCCAGATTACAGATCAACGACGTCGTTTTGTTTCTTCCTTCTTCCTCCTCTGTTCTTCCCGATTCTGATTTCTTGGGACGAATCCTTCTCATCTTCCAATAAGTTGCTGAAGGAAATCCTGTATTATTCCTGATTAGACACGGCAGTGTTCGGATCGCATTGCGAAATAGTCGGAGCGGTTAATTTGAAGAAGAAAGAATGGTGCTGATAACTGCAGTACGGGATTACATTAATCGCATGCTACAAGACATTTCTGGAATGAAAGTTCTCATCCTCGATTCTCAAACGGTATGCATTTTTTTACTCCTCCATTTTTATCACCACCGTAATTGAGGCACTTCCTTGCTTGCATCGACAGTAACTTGATATTATTGTCTTCGATGCACGTTGAGCGGTTTTGTTCTTACACTAAACAATTTTGACAGAAGATTTAGGAATTAAAGATGAACTAAATCAATTTGTGATGGTTAGGAAATGACCTGTGAATTAACCATAGACTAGGAAAGTAGATATCAATTATTTGTGTTAGTTACTTGGAAATACTATGAAGCATGAAGGCCATTAATAATATGAAATAAACCTAAGCTTGGGAAGGAAATGGAAAATTGGAAATGTTAATATGCAATCTATGATCATTGACCTGCACCAACTATAGTTTGAACTTTATTGGATTTCAGGTTAGTATTGTGAGTGTGGTCTATTCCCAATCAGAGCTTCTTCAGAAAGAAGTCTTCTTGGTGGAATTTGTAGATTCCATTTCAATGTCGAAAGAACCCATGTCACATCTCAAAGCTGTTTATTTTCTCCGACCAACTGCTGACAACATTCATCTCCTGCGGCGCCAGCTGGCCAGTCCTCGCTTTGGAGAATATCACCTGTGTAAGAATTCTTTGTCAAACAGTGCATGTATTTAAGTGAACTAGCTTTTAGGAAATCAATTATCCATTGGTGTTCAGAATAGTATTTAGATTTTATTGTGAGTTTTCATTTGGATTTTCAAATTATGGCTGTTGAATGCTCAATGACTCTTTTTACTGGGATTTAGTGTTAGTGAGTGATTAGTGCTCCTTCTGTATGGTTCACAGTTTTCTCTAACATGTTGAAAGACACTCAGCTTCACAATTTAGCAGATTCAGATGAGCATGAAGTTGTTCAGCAAGTCCAGGTAAGTTTGCACTGATGCACGTGCCATTAAATGAATCTTTTGGGTTGAATTTTCAGAGATGAACATTTCCTATAGTTAAATCCTTGATATGCAGGAGTTCTACGCAGATTTTGTTGCAGCTGATGCCTACCACTTCACATTGAATATTGCATCAAACTACATGTACATGCTTCCTGCAGTGGTGGATCCATCAGGTTTACAATGCTTCTGTGACAGAGTGGTTGATGGACTTGCTGCAATCTTTCTGGCGTTGAAACGGAGACCTGTGATTCGTTATTCAAGGACATCTGATGTTGCCAAAAGGATAGCACAAGAAGCACTAGTAAGACCCCTGATGTCACATTCCGATTCAGAACAGCTCTGCTTTTTAAGAATACCATTATGTTATCATAGTTATCCTCTTATATTTGATATTCCTACTGTACGTCATTCTATAAATTTTGCTAAGTCTTGCTAGTTTTAAAGGCACTTCATAATTTATCGAATCTGTATGATTTTTCATTTTTGCAGAAGCTGATGTACCAACAGGAAAGTGGGCTTTTTGATTTTCGTCGGTCGGAAGTTTCTCCCTTATTGCTCATAGTTGATAGACGGGATGACCCCGTAACGTCCCTGCTCAATCAATGGACATATCAGGTTATAATCTTTCTCCATGAGGGATAATCTTTTCCCAATATGGTCTGCATATTAAAAATTGCAGCACATTAATTTGGTGATCTGTAGGCAATGGTTCATGAACTGATTGGTATTAAAGACAATAAAGTTGATCTGAGAAACATTGGAAAGTCATCAAAGGATCAACAGGTTGGTTTTCTATTTCCACCTACCTTTCTTCTCAAACTTCGCATATTCTGTTTGTGGCAAAATTTTGAATTTCATCTTGTCATTCATGATCTTAGGAGGAGGTTGTACTATCTTCTGAGCAAGATGCTTTTTTCAAAGCCAACATGTATGACAATTTTGGAGATATTGGAATGAATATTAAAAAAATGGTGGATGATTTTCAACAAATTGCAAAAAGCAATCAGAATATTCAGACCATAGGTAAGCTTTCAGTCCCATGTTCTGTTTATTTTGTTATGTTCTTGATTTTTGCGACTGTATCAAATATTTTGATTCATTTGGTTTTGTGCAGAGGATATGGCTAAATTTGTGGACAACTACCCAGAATACAGAAAAATGCATGGCAATGTTTCCAAGCATGTGACGTTGGTTACTGAAATGAGCAGGATTGTTGAAGAACGGAAACTAATGCTAGTTTCCCAAACAGAGCAAGATTTAGCTTGCAATGGTGGGCAAGGAGCTGCATTTGAGGTAATGCTATCTTTTTTACTCTTTCTGCTAAGCTTGGTATTAGAATACTTGCAATCACTTTTATCAGATACCTTCTGTCGTCCTGATATTTGATTAAGATATTCTGTGTAATTCTTGAGGAGTCTTATTATGCAGGCTGTTACAAATTTGTTGAATAATGAAAATGTCTCTGATGTTGATCGTCTACGCTTGGTCATGTTGTATGCATTACGATATGAGAAAGAAAGCCCTGTTCAACTGATGCAGTTATTCAACAAATTGGCATCACAATCTCCTAAGTATAAACCAGGGGTATGTGATTTTCAAGATTTTAGTTTTACAATATAGAATGATTGCCCTATGTGTGAAACTTTGCTTGTACGTTCTTGAGATTTTTTTACTGTCTTGGTTCTACCATTTTACTATACCTGTTACTGTCAAATTGCCTTCTTTTTTCTCAAATTCTGGCAGCACCTATTGATTGTTTTGTTCCCACTCACATTTGAAGATGTCTGGATGTGGTGGGGTGGGGTTTTTGGAAGGGGTTGGCCCCGGACTGGCAGTGGGTGCTTTTACGACACTCAAACATAGTATCAAAAGCTTTAGTTGGTCTATTTTCCTTTAGAAAAGTATTGTCGTGACATCATTGAGTATTAAAGAACCAAAGCCCAGAGAGGATGGTTAATTTTATTGTCTATTCAATATTGAAAGTTACCTTCTTTCATTCATTTGCTGATGCTGATGCAACATTTCTCCCCATGGTTTGGCTAAATTGAAAAGGCTGCTCTTGTTTTGACCTGATAATGCTAACTTACGCCTAACCTTCTATATGTTGGGTTGGCAGCTTGTGCAATTCCTACTAAAGCAAGCTGGGGCTGATAGAAGAACTGGGGATCTTTACGGAAATCGAGATCTGCTTAACTATGCACTTAACATGGCTCGCGGCCTCAAAGTTTGTCCATTCATCCTTCCATCCATTTGTTCCCTAAAATCAATGCATTTGGTGCTCAAATAATTTTCTTGATTTGTCAGGGTGTAGAGAACGTTTACACCCAGCATCAGCCTCTGCTAACTCAGACAATGGAGAGCATTATCAAGGGGCGTTTGAGAGACATTGATTACCCTTACATTGGAAATCATTACCAGCAAGCCAGGTGTGATTTTTAAATATATGCTCCCCATGAATTAAATCCATAATGCTTCAATATACTTGACCCTCACCAGTATATATTTCTTTGTCAGGCCTCAGGATGTGGTAATTTTCATTGTTGGCGGGACTACATATGAGGAGGCACGTGTTGTTTCTCTACAAAATTCTACAAACACTGGAATACGATTCATCCTTGGCGGCTCTGCAATTCTCAATTCAAAGAGGTTTGTTAGATTCTGATTATGTGGTCTTCCCCAGAGATTTGGCACATAACAATTAATACAAAGGCACTAAAAGCTACATTTCTTGAACTTTTTCATTCTTCAAAGTTCAAATCAGTCAAAGCATATTGCATTTTCACTGTATGGCAAACATGTAGGTTTTTGAAAGATCTCGAAGAAGCCCAAAGAGTTGCGAGGACAAGCTCTAATGTGATTTGAGAAACCAGGTACACGGCACCTCACCTCCTTGAAGACTTGTAAATTTTCAGCATGTAGAGTTTTCGCATATTGTATCGAAACTGTAAATGAGCCCTGGAATTCTGCGCTTATCTGTTTCGCTTCGCCGGGGGAAGAGAAGAAGTTTTGTTAATTGATCCACACTGTTAGATCCAAAGATTAGAAAGTCTTACAGGTTGCAAAATATATATGTTTCTTATGAATGTTTAGATATATATATATATATATATGTAGTGTGCAATTGCATTTCTTGATTGTATGTCCAATTCTTTCCATACTTGGCAGCAGAACAAGATCTGTCTTGATCTAAATCAATGAATACTGCTGATTTTATTTTTAGAAGACATTCTTGACATTATGCCTGCAAATTATTATTGGGTCTCACTGATGCCACCTGTGGAACAAGTCATTAGGTAATTATTTACATTCTCAAGACTCATACCAGTATGCATCTCCCAAGTCAATGGACTTGGTCAAATGACATTTTTTATTTCTACTGCAATTATCACTGCAACATTATTGTTACATTATCTAAAAACAAGCTTGAAAATGAAAGAGAGCAATTGATACTTTGGACTGTTGTTCAGTTACAAATGAGTGGCCAAAATAGATGCAATAAGTAGCAACTATAACAACAACAATAGCAAATCATCTTAAACTAATGGAATTATTGCAAGGAAAAAGATTAATAATTGATAATGATCTAGGAGACTTTTTAGGCAGTTTGCAGAAATCATTTCCTAGCCTGCCAAAAATAATTCAAACTTCTAAACTAAGAGTGGATAAGAAAGTTGACCTGTAGCAATAGATTTTGGCTGTACATTACCTGACAAATTTCAGCCCATTGGATATTCTAACTTGAAAGTCAAGTAACTCATTGAATATTAAATCCGATTAAAGTTGGGGCCCTCATTCGTGTTTGTTTCTATATTTTATCATCAAGAATGGTGTTCTTATTAAAGGACATTCGTGAGGCTCCATTAGAACTTAACTTGCAAACTTCATCTTTAATCTTACATATACTACTAAGAGAAAAGAAGCAAAATTTTATTAAAACCACATGATAGTAGGAGATAGAAACCCCAAAATTTCTCAATAACACAGGCCCATTTTCAAAACTTGAAAATAATACATACATATTATATATATATATATATCTTTCATCCATGATTATGATTATGATCATATATTGTATGATGAGTGATGGTGGTGCAGGTTCATGATCTGAGAAAATGGAACCCTTTTGCAGTTTTGTGAAAGCCACTTGGAGTGCATGTAAGTGGCTTTCCTCCATGGGGGGATGTGGAGTCCCTTCTCCTTAAGGGACTGTTTGGCTGCAGTGCAGATCAAAGAGACCAGTTTCTTCAACTTATCCTCAGTGCCCACAAATATCAAAGGCAGTGCATTTGTGAGTTCTTGGTAGGCCTGTGTTGGCCTTGCCACTTCAAACTGTGTCCGGAAATCTATGTCCACTATCAGCCTACTCATCACCTCTTTGCTCCTGTCCTTGATCATCACTTCTACATACTCATAATCGCCCCTAAATTGGAAAACTTGTGGAAAGTTGCAAGCAAAAACCCATTTTCAGTTTTCAATCACAGATATGAAAAAGGGGACTACTGATCTTATCAATAATATAGAATACCTGATGGGGGGCCAAAGGGGGTGGACCAAGAAGTTCTGCAAAGATGGGCTTCATAGTTGTCCATTTCGAATCTATACACAATCCAGTTCTTTAGCTTGCTGATATTGTTGTCCATGGTCATGGATGATTCTTTGTCCTTCAAGTAGAACAAGATTTTTGCATAAACCTCAGTTTCAGCATCTGGGGTTTCTTCCAAGATCTCCTGAAACCATAAATGATGATCATCAAAAAAATTGGCAAGAAGACACGCAGAGAGATCGAACAGATGAAGAGACCTCCAGAAAGAAGTATGAGGGGTTGTCATCAAGGTGAAGGGATTGTGAGGAGGGATGAAAAAGGAAAGAATCTGTTTTGACAGCTGATCCAAACTCAATATAGTCCATAATCATTTGGGAAAGCTTTTCATCTTCTGAGATGCTCATGATCTTCCTTTTCTTTTCTTTCCTTGCAGGAAGAGAAACTTTCATACAACACTTAGGATTGTCTGCCCTTTGCTTTTCTTTTCTTTTGTTGTGGTCGTGTCATTATATATATAATGAAATGAAGAAAGAAGTATAAAATAAAAATACTTACATAAATAGTGTGTACACTACTACTACTACTACTACTACTACTACTACTTGTACAGTATAATACTCCACTACTATCTTCTTCTGCTGACCGAGTAAAGGATTACAGTAATTATTATTATTATTATTATTGTGTGCAGTGTGCCTCAGAAGCTTCAGTTGTAAAGAGTTGCAGCAGCTGCTTCTTTTTATTATATCTGGCATCGCTGGGCTCTAGGTCATTATTTGCCCTCTGATAAATCTTTCAAACTCCATGGACCACAGCACCGAGAATGGTTTTCTTCTTCTTTTAAGCATTCCTCTAATTTGTTTTCGAGTTAATTAACTAAAGATTGTCAATCTTACTAAAATGCTACTACACTACAATGTCACATATGTTGAAATGAAATCATGTATTGACATTGTTTGTATTTTATAAGCAAGCATTCAACAAAACCGTATTGTGATTTTTTATTCACTTATCAGGTAGGTGTACGGTAATTAATAATGATAATCACGATGAATGTAAGGAAAGGAAGGAAGAAGAATATCAGAGTGCCTTTCTGTGATGTGATGTAGATATGTTTGATTTCCAGTATATACTACTATACTGTCTGCTCTGATCCCATCATAAAATCTAATTTTAATTTTTTTTAATGAATATTAAAATTCCTGAAAATTTTGTCAAGACGTGACCGTTTTGGTTTGGTTCAGTGTTTTTTAGTGCTGGGCGGGTCCAACTCATTTTCAATTTGGGCCGTGGGCCCAACCATCACAACGGTTCCCCTCTATATAAAGATTTGGTCTGAAAGAGAACTAGGATTATATCCCCTCAAACTGCAACCTACAAACACTACTTAAATCTTCAATAATTTATTCTATTGTTTCCACCAAGACACAGATTATTGATTTCTTGCAAACCAACATATAGGATCAAAATACAATTTTCAGAAAGTATTCTCTATAACAAATTTGAAACGATTGTCCCAAGTTGTGAAACTCAGTCCTATTATTCAAAATTCTCCAAGAGTTAGTTCTATGTTGCACAATACATGTTGGTTGTATGTATAATGTATTGATATGCTGATGCCGATGCTGATGCTGATGCTGAAGAGAAGCATCATAATCTTCATGTCTAAATAAAAGACTGATAGATCAATAGATAGATAAATAACTCATCCTCTATAAAGTTGTTAAGACAGGCAGCTCATTTTCCATTTTTCACAGGGAATGTAAGAAGACACAGGTGATAAGCCCAACCCTAAATCTAAATTTCCTCATAGACTCATCATTGTGGTATCTTTTTCTACAATGTTGTGTTTCACAAATTTCTCCTAAAATCCCATCAAGGGAAGATATATATATATATATATATATACATATGATAATTTAATCCCAAGGCAACCAGCCTGGGTATGGGGCAATTCCACAATACCTGAACAAGCTCCCAATTTCTGGACATCCATTTGGGTATGGGATTGACCGGTGAAAAGGATCCCGACCAACTTTTTTGTGGCGTAGCGAACCTAAACATCCATAAGGATCCTCCTGAAATTGAGCCCTCACCAAGGCTTCGCCTTTTAGTGCAGCTTCTTTTGAATTGTGGGATGAGGGGGTTCCCACATAGAAGAATCTTGACTCAGGAAATCGGATTGCTGATCGGTGTAGATGAACAAATCTCTCCTCCTTAAAGTCATATCCTACAACCTGAGTAGAAACAAAATCAACCAATTATCTATAGATCATATCCTTATTAGGGTCACACACCCCCAAAAGTTTTTAATACAACATACACAAGACAGCAAGCAAGCTTTGGCAATAAGTCTATTAAGTCTAATGCTATCTGTGATTTTCTGGAGATACAGAACCACAACATATTTGTGACTAAATAACTTGAGTGAATCCACAAATATCAAATTACAGGAGAAGAGATTATGGATATTGGCTTACGGTTATATTGTGGGGATATGCACCAGTAAGCTCCCGGAAACGGCATATGCTGAAGATAAGATTCTCAAAACTATCTCTGGCGTGTTCTTCAGTGAGTGCTCTATCTCTAACACTGTCTCGTTTCCCTTAAGAATGTCAATACAACAATACATGGTAAGTATACATATATTACCATTTACCAACACTTGTATTTCTTGAAATCTACATGGCTCTGTTCAATCATTTTCAAGGCAATATGAACCAAAATTACTCAAAGAAGGTGAACATATCTTTCCACTATTAATGTCTAAAAGTTCTTAGCACATTTCAGGTCACCCCCCAAAAGGATATGACCAAACTCAATCTATTCAAGATTTCTTAGCTAATTTGTCATTGCCTACTTATCAAGAATCAATTCTTTATTATCATTCCCAACAGAGGACAAACTCAACCATTAGCATAAAAGCAAACAGCATTGAATCATTCAAAAGAATTCACCAAAGGCAAATCAATCAATAAATCGCTCACCAAACCATTGTTTTGACTCGGCGACGATCCAATAACTCTGTGCTTCGCTGCGGGGGCCGGCATCCTTCCTCGTCTCTCCACCGCTAAACAACAACAATGTGTCATCATCATTGGCTGCAGCCTCCACTCCCTTGTGTATATGAGTCACAAATGTTGCAGCTTGGCCTGGATGCTTCTGGTATGGCTCCAAATACCAAGCATCCTCCTTCTCAACCTTCTCACAGCTACTGCTCGTGTACACTGAATGCCCGGCCACCATTACAAGATTCCTGTACTTGGCAAAAGGGTAACTACCCATATTCATCTCAAACTTCTTGTAACCAGGCATCACATTGAACTGGCCACTGTATACTGATAATACAAGGAGGACTATAATCCCAACAGATAGGCTGATCAACAAGAGCATGAAAGGATGAAGCTTGTAGTAGTGCTGAATTGCACATCCCAATGATTTGATCATTCTCGGGGGGTTGTTTTTGGGCTTTCTGGATTTCTTATCAGTTCCGGATTCTAGGTCAAAATCGCCTCTGGGATAGGCTTGGAATGACTTGGGGCTGTTGCTGAACCCAGATGAGTAGTTTGTCTTCATAGATTTTTCGATCCAAATTAGGGATCGCATCAAACAATTGAAGGAACCAAGAACGACACCAACAACATCACAGAATTTCAATCGCACAATAATTCAGATAGAGAGATTCGATAGGCGAAGGAGAGGGGAGAAGAAATTCATGGAGAACAATGCGGATCAAGAATCCTAATCAAGAACCACGAAGACGCACATCAGTCAAGCATATGAATGAATTCAGGACCTGAAATATAACCATTATTCGGGCAACGAAAACCCTAAATCCAACCTAAGAAAAAAAAAATCGAAGGAAGACTCGGAGGATCAGTCTGAATCATGATGTATTCTCAATGACAACAATCAAGGTCAACTCTTCAACTATATATGTATATGAATGATGTTGAAATTTCGAAATGGGCCTAATCAATCTTGGGTTGGTAGTGTGATCTTCACGATCCTGCCCAATAAGCCCAATGCACAGAAAGAGTTATGTATATAGTGATAGTGGTGTAAGAAAGACGAGCATAAAAGGAGAATGAAAAAGATATACATACACAGCCATTCCACCACATAAAAGCAAGGCTCAAACTTGAAAATAAAGACGATGATGTCTAATCTCGAGAAAAATAAACAGCAGGCGCAAATGCTCAAAATTATGCAAGATACAATCACTTGTCACTACTACACATCTGTTGTGTCCTCCTCCTTCTCCTCACCATCATCATTATTTGGTTCCTGTTTGGGCTCTCTGTTCTTCCCCCACAGCACGAAGTAGAGGCCCCCCACAAGCAGCGTCATTCCACACAAACTGCACCACATCAGAGTATCATTAATTACCATGCCTGATGAATGAAGATGATGATGAGTGAGTGAGTAAGCCAGCGACCTGCCCAAATGGAGTGTTTCGTTCCATAGGAAGGCTGATAGAATGGCTGTAATAATGAGTGCCAATGGAGTGAATGTGGCCGTGAAAAGGGGGCCTTTCTTCTCCACGCTCCACACTTGTAGCCAATAGCAGACACCAGTCACTATTACACCCTGCGCCAGTCATCACCATCATCGATCAATCTTAAATTAATTAATTCGTTAATTAGTAATTAAGCTCATCAGATCAGATTCAGTAGTAGTAGTAGTAGTAGACAATTGACATACACAATACGCGACGGAGAAGAGATTCATGTCCCAGTGAGGTCTCCACGACGACATGTTTCTTTCCATGGCCAACCCCCAAATTGTTGTCTGAATGCAGCTGCACAGACACTGCAGCAGTGTAAGCCTCACTTTCGCTGGGTATTGCTTCACCAAATGGGCCTCAATCAAACAAACAAACAAACAAACCATCGTCAATGAAGAAAAAAAAAAAGGTAAGAATGAATGGAAATGAGATAGGAGTGGTGGATCATGGATGGATGAGGTCATCAGTCATCACCTCACCTGCATGACTAGCCAGGAAGCCCAGGTGGTGTTGGCCGCCAGCATGAGCAGACAACCTTGTATCCACTTGTAATTGGATTGATCATGTCTGTTCACAGTTGGGTGGGTAGTAGGACTGTTCATCTGGTGATGAAATGAATGAAGATTAAGTGGTTTCAAGAGGGGCCCTTTACCAAATGCAAATAGCATTGCCCCGGAGAGGCTCAGCCCTGACCCCACAACTTTGAGGAATCCCGCCAGCTCCCTTATTGCAACTGATCTTTCGATCCTCAAGATCATGGCAATGAGAAAGGTGAGTGCAGGGATGGTGTTAATGCTAGCAGAAGCAAATGTTGCCGTCACGTAGTTCATTGCATACGCGTACAGATTCAAGCTCAAACTTATCCTGAAGTCACCATTCATCAATCAGTATATATATATATGATTAAATTGATCATCTAAATATATATATAAATGAAAAAAACTTGAAAGAAAGAAAGAAAGAAAGAACCCAATCAAAGAGACGAAGAAGATCTTCCCCAATATCCTGCACGACAACGGATCAGCTTTCTTGTCCCTGACAGTTAATGAATTAATTAAGGGCGGTTGAGTTTTGAGTTCAGTGCAGTGCAGTTAGTACTTACTAGCTACCTGTGGAGGAAGAAGGCGAATGGAAGCAAGGAAAGCGTAGCAAATGCCTGGCGAAAAGCCACAAACACAAAAGGGCTCATTCCTCTGGAAATTGCAGCCTTGGAGAGCATGGCCATGCCTGCATATATAAACTGCACAAAAATCATAATCAGATAAGCTTTTCTCTCCGTCTTCACACACCACCTGCACAACTCCTTCGCCATGGGATGGATATTCCGAGTATTATTTATTTTTATTTTTACTTTTCACTACACAAACACACACACACACACTCACTCACTCACTCTGCATGAAATGAATTATATTTATATACACAATAGTCAGGTAATTAAGGCAAACAAGAATCTGACATATCCCTCCATTTCAGCACTAAAACTAGTGCTGATACATATATATATATATATATATATGCTATTTGAGAGAAACAAAATGCAATGGAATGAATGACTGACTGACTGACTAATGGCGGAAAAAGTATGACAAAAAGACTCACTTCAGTGTCCGTACGCCAAAGCTTATATGGATGAATGTGTCAGCACTAATTAGCACTAGTTTACTTTTCTTGGCTGCATCTGCATATCCATGTATTTATTAATATTACTATTAATTTGGTGATCCATCATTAATTAGACAACACCCATTTCTAGACAATATAATCATCACTCTTTTTTTTAATTTTGAGAATATTTATATCTAGATATGGAGTTTTAAATAATGCTCAAGTATTTTTAAATAAGAATATTCAAAATAAAAATGAAGAAACAAGAGAATGATACATGGACAGCCACAGATTATATATCGCAGGCCCAAGTTAAACCAGACAATTAATGAAGAAAAGTTTGGAGCTTTAGAGAAATTAAAAGGCATTATATTGTTGGATTAAGCCATCGATCTTGTTTCAAGATTACAAAGCTTAGGCTTCCCTTTCCCTGTCTGAACCCTGCAACATTATATTCGACCAAGAACGGAACATAACCAATTGTGATTGTCTCCTTCATTTCTTTTAATAACATGGTTTTGCAGCAAGCGTTTGGCATTACTAATGTTGCATGGGGTGTAAGGACGGGAGTAAAAGACCCGTATCTGAGACGTGGCTCGTCGACGTGGTCGAATCGGGCAACGGAATAGTCCTCCCCGACTGTTGTCGACGGGGACAGATCGGAACCACTCGGCGGTGGGAAGTCGAGGGACTTTGCATATTTATAAAATATAGAATTTGACTAATTTAATATATATATACTAACCTATTTTTTTAATGTATTTAGTTTGTACGTAAAGCTTATATCTAATTTCGATCTCGAATCCAAGGTAAGTAATTATAAGATTATTCTTTGTTTTCCATTCATATATACTAATGTCTATTTTATATTTTTTTTTAGATGGATACGAGAGGCAGTGATCGGATGATCGGACGACCGAAAACATAATAGGGAGTAGTTCGTCATTTCTTTTTTACATTTATGCATTGCATCTATTTTAGCATCTTGCATACAGGAAGGCATATAATTATTTTTAAGTCCCGGGACTTTCATTATTTAATTTTGTTCCTAAATTTTATACTAATTTATTTTTTAGTGCTTTTAATTTGTAGGTAAAACTTGTATTGAGACTAAATGATCCACAAAGATCTTTCAATCTTGATTTCAAATTCAAGATAAGTGGTTTTAATATTATTTTTTGCATATAGACTAATGTCTATTAATTTTTTTTATATGCATACGAGACGGAGTGGCCGGATGATCGAAAACATAATAGTAAGTAGTTTGTCATTTTTTTTTACATTTATACATTACATTTATTTTAGCATCTTGTATATAGGAATAGAATTATTTTTATGCCCCGGCACATTAATTTTGTTTCTAAATTTTATACTAACTTATGTTTTAATGTTTTTAATTTGTAAGTAAAATTTATATGAAGACTAGAGTATCTCCAAAGATCTTTCAATTTCGATTTCAAATACACTCCCTCCGTCCCAGAATTATAGTCTTAATTGGGTTGGGGACGAGATTTAAGGAATATTGATATTATATTGGTAGTTGGTAAAAAGTATAGATAAAATTTTTTTTGTCCTTGTGAGTGTATTATTGTAAAAAGTAGCGGCAATTATGTAATAAAAATGAAAAGTAGAGGTAATTTTACGGTGATATGGTTATTTATGAAAATAAGACTATTGTTTTGAGATGGATAAAAATGGTAAAAAAGAGTATTGTATTGTATTAGGACGGAGGAGGAGGGAGTATTATTTTTTAGTGGGATCACTATTGGGAATGCGTATTAATTAGTAGGATGGTTGCTTCATTGCATTATAGTCAAATCACATCACATTATGAGACATATTTTTTTATATTATTTAAAAACATATTTACGAGATGCTTTTATAGGTTATTATCATGTATGATTAGTTTGTGGTGCAATTGTATTATAGTATTATATTATATTAATCATAAGATGATGTTCAGCAGCTATATCTATTATATTGCATGTAATTAGTACAAATTGGGCTTTTTATTCTCTCTTGCTGGGTGGGTCGGGTCATATCACGAAATATTGTAATAATCCAAACTATCCAAGCCCATAAATGTGTGATGGAAATAATAATAATAATAATAATAATAATCACCCTCTTTAGAATTATTTCTGGTTTTGGATAAGTACGACCGAGTGATTTATAAAAGACACTGTGCACCACAACACTTGCGTTCCCCCGCGAATATCTGTTTTTTCTTGGATCCTGACCGTTGGATCGGAGGGCTCACAAAGTCATCTCAGCCGTTTAATTAAATGGCGCCGTGGCATTCCAAAAGTCAAAAGGATGTGGACTTATATGAATTTCTTGTAATTGTAATTGCAATTTATTGCCTTCCCTACTTTCATTTTTGGTCATTTCCATTCAATTTTATTACTGCATCCCATGACAACGAGAATTAATTCCATTCCATTCCATGATGTAACAAATTAAATTTATTACACTCCCTTTATATTTCAATCTTAAAAAAAAATAATTTAAACACCAATCCCAAAAGTTAAAAAGGAACAAATGAAATCAAATTAATATTGACCCCTCACAATTCTGCAATTTTTCACTTTTGACACATTCACCCACCCTATTTACTTCTGTCTTTCTAAAATAATTAATAAATAAATTATAACAGTATATTCAAATTAAAAAATATCTAACCTCACATATACCTATACACATACATATACATATAATAATAATAATAATGATAATGATAAATAATTCAGAATTCACAATGACTGCTCTCCATCCATCCATCCATCCACCACGTCCCCGTCCGTCTGAGGCGGGTCCGGGACCGGGGCGCCCACCATGTGTTGCCTGTCTTCCAGATTTAATCACTGTCCGATTGCCATGCCCGCCAGCGCGGTGGCTGGCCCCGGCCCCGGCGCTGTCTGTTTCACCTCACTCCACCATCATTTTTAATTTAGTCTCTCTCTCCTTTAATTTCTCACTCCGCCGACGACGGCTGCTTGTTTGTAATTGCGCCCATCTCATATCCATCTCTGACTTGGACGTCTTCTCCTGCTTCTCCTTCTCCTGCTTCTTCTTCATCTTCGTTGTCGCGGTCGTGATCGCTGTGTGCTTGATCGGGCATTGAAGAATCCGGCGGCGGCTGCGGCCATTGCTGCTCGGGGCGAGCCATTATCGGCGGCGAGTTATCGGAGCTGGCCCTTTCACGGTATAGGGCGTCGAGCTGATGGAAGTATGGGCAGGTTTTGGAATCCTCGGGTCTCCTCTTGCTGCTCTCCTTCACTTTCTTGAAGTACTTGTTTATGTTCTCCCATTTCTCCTTGCACCTCTTTGAGCTCCGGTTGAACCCTAATTTCGCCATGGCGCCGGAAATCTCCTCCCACAGCGGACCTTTCGGACCCGTTTCTTGGTACGTGAGATCCATACTTTTTCGGAGATTAATTAGGGCTTCCACTTCGACTTTCGGCCATCGGGAGGGCCCTGGTGAATTAATGCGCCTGATTTTCTCTACTTCTGTGCCGGAGGTTTTAACAGGCGGCGGAGGAGGAGCGGCGTGGTTTGATGGGGGAGGCAGCGGAGGAGGAGGAGGAGGGCGGGGAATATCTGGGTTGCGGAGGCTGATTGGAATTTGAATGTTGTGCTGATCTGATATCTTGTGTAAGAAGGTGATCACGGCGGCATCCTTGGCGGCGGCCATGGATCTCTCCTGTGCGAGCAGTTGGTGCTCGCGGTTCAATCGTGACCGTTCCTGCAATCTCCAGGCCTCTTCTCTGGCCGTCCGATCGCGTTCGCGTTTCTCCAAGGATTCTAGAAACGTCTTGTGCAGCTCCTCTTGCTTTTGCACCACGTCTTTCATTAATCTCTGGAAGAACACCTTCCATTTCCTCTTCTTCCCCCTCCGCCGCTGCAAATCCTCATCTGAAGAAGTCGATGAAGACGACGTCGTATTGGAGAACAGGCTCGCCGGCGCCGGCGGATGCGAAGGCTGGATTTGCAGCGGATTAGAAAAATTGAGAGTCGGCAGCACCATACTGACGGGATTGGGACTATTCGACGATGAAACAGTTGAATTCGGCACGACTACTGTCGCCATTGACGACGGTGCCGCCACTGACGCCGCTGCTGTGCTCGGCGGCGGCGGCGCATTTTCTAGGGCTGTTAATTGATCGAAAAAGCGGTAGGTTTTGCCATCGGATTTTGAGGATCTCCCATCTTTGGTTCGCTTATGGTATTTGTACAGATTCTCGAATTTCTCCTTGCATTTCTTGGCGCTTCGTTGAAATCCAAGCTCCGCCATTTTCCTGTATGTTAACATCGTCTACTTCATCATCTCATTACATCACAACGTCTTCAATGTTGAATGAACGCAAAATCGTACAGTAAATAATCAAAGCCGATGATTTAATGCATTTATATATACATAAAAATCAAGATTGAAAGGGAAAGAATCTACTGAACCGATGGAACCAGGGCAGACGCAATCCAGCTATGCATTCAAATGATTGTAGAAGATGAGGAAGAATATGAAATTAGAATTATATATGTGATGGATTTGGATTTGGATTTAAATTAAAAAAGCGATTCTTTTTAGCATTCAAGTTTGGTTGTTATTTGCTATAATTAGCAACAACGTGCCGAAACCAAAAGTGCCAAACCCCAAAATTTGTTATCTACACACACCACACATATATATGAAACTTTTCAGAGTCTGAGAAAGAAGGTCCTAGATAGCAGATGATAGATGAATTCTTTTGAATCTAGCTAAGTGGAAGAGAAAACCCTTTAAATTAATAATTCAAAATCACCATCCACAGACTACTTAATTGATCTCCGCCGAATTCAAGAAACGATATTGACTAGTGCATCTGAATAATCCGGTCGACTACAGCGGTGGAGATACATACATACATACATACGTGTATATATATATATATATCACCTGGAAACTTCTTCCCATAATGGACCTTTGAGACTGGAGTCTCTGAAAACCCCATCCATCTCCGACCTAATTTTCAGCAACGCCAGAGTTTCCTGCCTCGGCCACCGGTTCCCTCCTCCGCCGCCGGGGACGGAGCTGGAAGCAGCGCCGATTTCGCTGCTGCCGCCGCCGCCGCTCTCGTGCGCATCGGCGCCGGAGTTGTTTATGAGGCCCGAAACGCCAATCATGACAGAATTGGGGATCAGAGACTCTTTCCAGGCAGGCAATTACCAGCAGTACATATATATAATATATTTATGTATCACAGAAATAAAGGGATGGGTGAATTTTGATTAGATTGGGAGGGGAGGGGGAGGGGGAGGGGGAGGGGAGAGGTGGAAGGAGGTGAATGAATATTATTATTATTATTATATTAGTACAATTTATTTCTGTGGGATCTGCCTGTCAGTCTCACCTCCTTTGATTTTTTCGTATTTAATAATTAAAGGAAGTGAAATATTTATATTTCTTTTATCTTTCCCTTTAGGCTGAGGAAAGATTCCCCAGTTTTTCTACTTGCAATTGCCCCACATAAACAAATATACATATATATTATAATGATTAGTTAATTTCTAATAATTCCATGCAGTAAACATGAGCTAAAACACGAAGGAATGGGTATAATTATTATTTAAATAATAAATATTTAATTTAATTTTCAAACATTTTATATATATATATATATATCGACAACACATGAAATGTAAGTGAAGATGTATAAATCAATAACAAAATATTTTATGATAATAATATAACAAATGAATTAACAACACAGCACAGCACATCGGAGCCACATAGGAGTTCGGGTGGTCTCGAGCCTTGTGAACCGTCGTCTCAGTTGTTATGCCGATTAATTCGTATCAAATCAATGTTTTCATACGTCAAAATACATTTTTTGTATCTTCAAATTTATTTAAAATGATAAAATTATCTGAAATTTTAATTTTAATTTTAACGAAACCGCTTTAGTCCCTCCATGCTATCATTGAATTCAATTCAATATTGTACATATTAAAATAAAGTGTTGATACAACTGATTAATATAACAAAACAATTTAAAGAAAAGTTTATCCATTATTAATATTGAAAAACTAAGGTACTAACCAATTTGAACCACGTCATTATTTTTACTGATGACTAAAGAAATAAATAAATAAAATCCATTCTTTTCTTATTATTATTGATAACTAAATATAAACTTTTATAAGATAAAAAAATTGAAATCGAAACATTGATATCTTTCGAATGTTTGGATTGAAAATGAGAGTGGTGTACGTGGATTGAACCATTTTGTGAAATGACCAACTAGCCCCTTCCCTTCCATGGCCATTTTCTTTTTCTATTTCTATTTCTATTTCTTTTTAATTTTAATATTACCTAATATGGCTTATTTCAAATTTTGCTATTTATATATATATATATATATATTGATCAAAATGCCTTCCTTGCACTTGCACACCTTCATATTAATTGGCGAGTAAGGTTATGGAACTTTTTAAATAGTTTTTTTAACATAAAATGTGAAATATTTTGAATAAAAAATAGTTTGTTAATGTAATATTTTTAAATAATTTCTTTTTAAAAAGAAACAAATAAATACACTATTCGAAAAATATATACATGGTGACGGTATTTGTGGTACCACGTTTAATACTAGGGTAGGGATGACCCCACTGAGATAGACTCATGCAATTTGTTTGACAAACTTGGCAAGTTTATCTTGAATTCTTTTGGCACTTTGAATTTATTTATTGAATAAAAAATATAGTTAATATATATTATTTTAAATGAGGTAACTAAATTAACATACTAGCGTTATCACATGAAAATTTGGTAATAAAAATCTACTCCCTCCTCCCTTTGTCGTGCCAATCAAAGTGTGATAAATTTTACATTTGTATTATATATATATATATATATTTATAATTTATGTAAAAATAAAAATAAAAATATTTGTATATTAATTTGTGTAATTAATTAGTTAATGTATACTTTTATACGAAACAAATGAGTAAATTGCGTTGAAACTAAAGAAATATCAATTTATTTGGTGGTTGAATTATCAAAATAGGGAAAGCTTCAAATTGTTCCTTGTATTTATTAGAATTAGATTAGATGCTTATTTGAAATTGGAAAAACTCAATTTTGATTCCAATATAATCAAAATTTATCAATTTATAATTAATAAAACTATAACTAACCAAATTTATAAAAATAAAAAAATTTTGATATAAATTTTATGATGTTGTATAAAGAATAGAATATTTTTTTCTTTATTTTTCAATTAAATTATTTATTTTAGTTTTAAAAATAAGTATATACTATGTTATATGTTTATATATTCAAGTAAACATATATGAATTTTGAGTAATTTGTATAAATTTATTTGATTAAATTTTAAATTATTACAACTAAAAAACAACAATTATTTCAAATATGAACAAATTGTTAAATATAAAGGTATATTTTGAATCTCATAACAAATTTATTTTTATTTTATTTTTTAGATTTTTTTTCCTTTAATTATGAATTATGATTTTAGTTTAGTTTTGAATGAGATTAATTTCAAATTTATTTATAAAATTTTATAAGTTTTATAAGTTTTGAATTTAAAAGTTATCTTCATTATATAATAATTCTTTATGTTCGTCTATCTTTTTATTATTTTATTTATGAATTATATTTATTTGATATATATTTAAAGAAAATATGATATATATTTTTATAGTAATAATGGTAGTAAATAAAGATTAATAGTTAAATAATTTATTTTCTACACAAACTAAATAGAATAATTTAACGAAAAAATAAAAAAGAAAAATATTAAAAAAATAATAGATAAAAATAATAATAATAATGATAATGATAATATGGTAATAATAATCAAAACAAGACAAGATTATTGGGTATAATTAAATTAGAGTTGAAATAAATCTGGGATAAGCTATTTATTTATTTGTTAAAATAGAAAAATATTATAAGATGATCCCACACCCAAATAATGCAAAAATTATGGACCCCATCGATGGAATAATCCACATAAATGCCCATATCGCGAAATCCCGTTTATACCCTCATCACAAAGGGGAGCCATTGACCCAAAAACGTGATCCACAGGGGTATAATAGTCAAATAGAAAATTGCATGGCATGTTATCACGAGACGAAATTGGTGAAATTAGGGCCGGTAAAAATTAACCCGACCTGATAACCTAACCTGACCTGAAATAGTTGGGTTTTGGTTGAGATTTTCGACCCAATTAATAATTGGGTCAAACCCGTTTAACACATTTAATTAAATGAGTCAGGTTAAAGTCTACATTTTCGACATGAAAATAACCCGTCTAACCTGTTTAATTAATATTATTTTAAATTTAAATATATTTTTTAAATTTTATCAATACAATTTAATATTTATGGCCAATTTTATAAAAATAAACAATAAAAAATAAAGAATTGTGGTACGTACTATCATGTAGTGTTTGTTAATTTAATTCTTGAATATCGGTTTTATGATATGAATAAATAATTTTTTGCTTTAATATGTATATATATATATGCATTAAAAATTTTTGTTAGTATAAATTGTAATTTTAAATTAAAATTTAAAATTTTTAGATTTAAACGGATTATATGAGTCATATTCAGGTTGACCCGATTAATAAAAGGTCAGATTAAGGTTGCAAATATCAACCCATTTAATTAAATGAGTCAGACTCAGGTCAAAGGTTTTGTAACTCGTTTAAGCTGATCCGAACCTGAACCCGACTTGACCCGGTCTGATCCGTTTGCCAGCCCCAGGCGAAATAAGAAAAGTAAAGGGGTAAAAATGTAAATTCAGGCAAACATCAATAGAACAATGAGCACCTTTTGAAATTTGTCTGTATTTCGTATCATACTTAATTAATGATGAGAATAAAACTACGCTACTCTACATTATTTATTTAATTAATTAATTATTCTCTCTCTCTTTCTCTCTCTCTCTCTCACTAAAATTCAAAGTGTCTATTGTAGAATAGCTTATGGTGTGTGTAATCCTTCACTTTCTCACTCTATATATGTATGTATATGTATGTATTACGCCTATGATAATTTTAAGACAATCACACGTCTCCTTTCAATAAATTGAATTGTTAGATGATAAATAATTAATAGTGTGAGTTGTCCCATATATATATATATATAAATAATAAATAAATAAAATGAATGTAGGAAAAGTTACATGTACATAAAGGGGGTGGGGCTGGGGGTGGGGGGGTTTAATTGAACATGGTTGCCATGTGAATACATACATACATATTCAAGGATATATAGGCATACATCATGTGTCATCCATGTGGATTTAACCCTTTTTACATACACTTTTTTTTATTTTACTTTTCAATCTACCCAAAATTACATAATCCTATTTTAAATTCAATTTTCTTTTTTTTTTTTTTAATTTGGAAATACTATTCCCAACAGAATTTATGTATGTGCGTATAATAGTTGATGTCCAAATCAATAGACACAATTTGGATAGTATGTCTGTTTCAATATTATTATTATTATTTTTTTTTAATTTAAAAATCTTTCTGGATAATTTTGTATAATTCATCCACCCAATCATAGGCCATATGCATTTATCCATATATTAATTATTTACAAAATGTTCTTTTTTCTTCTTAAAATGGAAATTAAAATGAACACCACGAGAGTATGACAACTTAAAAAATATATAAAAAAAAAAATAAAAAAAAAAAAGTCTTCTTTTCTTCTTCTTTTTGTGAAAGTAAAGCTGAATTATTATTCAAGAATGGACTTTTTAATTTTAGTTTTCTTTGAAATACAAAGGACACCTGAATTTTAAAATCTTAGAAATTCAAATTTGATATGATATAGATATTTAATATTTTTATAGATTTAAGTCCAACTAATTGAAATTAATAATTACTAATTATGGGCATGTTATTAAGATAGAGAAAGCATGTGCATAATTGTACAACATAAATGACTAGGGCATTTCACATTGTATATATTAAAAAATTAAATACAAAATTATTCATAAACCAAAAACATGGGAGCATGTAAAAACTACCTTCTAGCTTCTACATTAAGGAGAAAAGCGTAACAAATAATTCATATTTCTAGTTGACTAAAATCGCTCAAACTTTGTCTAATTTATCTCCGGTTAGCGGCATAGTCTCCGATTTATTGTCCGGAGACTGATGTCGCGTTCCGGATGTTTGTTGCGACGAGATCATTTGGCGAACATACCCGTAGAAAGTGCATCCAACAAGTGTTATAGAACATCCAACGGCGTTCATGAAGGAGATCGGGTTCCGGAATATGAGCCAAGAACATGTCACAGCCACAGCAACCTGTAGGATAGGATAAAAATCATTTCAAATAATCATCTCACTTGAAAGCTTTAACTTTAAACAACAAGACGTGACATGACATTTATTACCTTAAGATTTCCGGCTACGTTGAAGGTAACAGCAGTGGTGGAGTGAATCACATAGAAGATTGAAAAATTAAGACAGAAGGCCAATACTCCAGACCCGAAAATGATGATTAGAGACGAACCGAGCGATGGATATGTATAAAGCCATACGACGACCCCTGCCCCTTCGAGTAACAAGGCTGGAATTGCCAAGATCATAGTTGCAAAGGGTGCCATGTAGAACACTGTGTTTATGCTGATAGGATTCACAACTTCCAAATGTCACAAATTCACATACCAATCAAGGCAGAAGAGGCGAAAACATCGATTCTTTTTACCTGTCAAATTTATACCCGTGCAACAATGACTCTGCAAGAATTGTTTTTGTGGATGTAGCCATGCAGCCGAATAAAGCAGCACAAAATCCAGACAAGTTAAAACTCAGCTCTGTAATAGAAGTGAGAAGAATCCCTCCAACAATAGGAATCAACGAGCCCCAAATTCGCCAGTCGAACTGTTTTTTCCAGACCAGCCATTGCAACACAACTGTTTCAGTTCAGACCACTCATTTGTTCATAAGTAGTCTTTGATAACCAATTCGAACATAGAAACTTATTGATTGATTAATTACCAGTTGTCGCGGGAGTGAAAGACTTGATAGTTTGCATGAAGGAAACAGGTATATAACGCAGGCTCACATTTCCCAGAACTATGTTGAGACAAAATATAAGGGACATGGGGAAGATCCTCCTCCAGAGATCTTCAGAGTCCACAGGTATAAGAGGCTTAAGTTTTAATACTTTAATCACCAAGTATGCGCCGATTGACGAGCATATAAAGTGTATACACGATACCGACAATGGAAACTTGAAGTCCAGTTTCTGTTCAAACAATCTCACATTGAATTAAGTTAGTTTGCAGAGCGATCACCAAGTTGGAGTTTGAGTTCGAGTTCAAGTTCATCTAACAACCCCCAAATTCTTACATATATAAAAATATATATATGTTTTGTCTGCTTCAATCTCTGATTTCCTTTTAAACATATACAGGAAGCCTTTCACAATTTAGCTTTTATGTGGTTTGAGTTCATTCTTCAATTGCCCTAACAAATTAAAACCATGATTCCTATTCCAGATAAAAAGTAATAATAATTTAAAAAATGTACAGATGATTGTTAATTGTCAATTGAAATCTGACCTGGAAGATCCATTTGTTCATGATGATAACAGTCACATTGAAACCCCACCATTGAAGGATAGCCAATATGGATCGAATCACGGACCATTGGCACAACCAATTATCCTCCATAACTTTGATTTAATATAATTAATGTAACTTCACCACCTGCAGATCATATCCTAATCATTCTTAAATAGTAGAAATAATAATAATAATAATAATAATAATAAAAGATTCAACAATATATTTCATCCAGAGAATCGAAGGAAGGAAAATTTAGGAAATGAGAAGGGAAATGGATATGAATATTGACATCGTCTTCAACGATGAATGAACCGAAAATCGTACAGTAAATAATCAAAGCCGATGAATTAATACATATATATATATATATATATTTCCAGACGAAGAATTTACTGAACCGATCGAAGCAGGCGAGACGCAATCCAGCAGCTATGCATTCAAATTAAATTTCCAGACGTGCGTGCGTGTATCATCACATCAAAATTCAAATGATCGTAGAAGACGAGGAAGATAAGAAATTAGAATTTGATGCATTTGGATTTAAATTGAAAAAGCGATTCATTTTTTTTGTTTTGATCGAAGGAAAATGAGCAATTGTTTTTTGCATTCAAGTTTAGTTGTGATTTGCTATAATTAGGAACAAGTTGGCGAAAGCAAAAACAAAGCAAAGGATCGATGGGTTAATGGGCTATCATTAAGGCCCATTTCCATCCTGGGCTAGCACTTGTGATGGATCATGGATGGGTGTTAGCGTTACCGGATGATGACACTGTTTTTTATTCCATAAATCACTGTTACTGTCTTATTTCTTTATGTTTCTTCTACAAATTAATTAATTAAAAAAAAAAAAAAAAAAAGAGTAGTCTTTATTACTACGTTACGTTGTTATATAAAAATAATGGTATTTGTATAATAAACACGGTAAATTTCTCTATCCTAATTGGTATGGAAAAAATAGCTCTCTGACTCATATAAATTCTAATAAATATAAAAATGTAGATTATTACTATTGTAGTATCATGTAACAGAATTTGCTGCAAGCCTGCAACCAGTTTTTGAACAAGAAGGGCAACAACAACACAACAATGGCATTGTCTGATTTGAACAATGACAAAAAAAACACAGTTGGATGGATAGATGATGACTAATGCCAAAGTAGCAGCAATATCAATCAATCCTAAAGTAAAGACAATACAGCAGCAGCAGCAGCAGCAGAATTATGCTCGAAGAAGCAATCATAGTAATAGCAATGGTAATTACAGCAATGGATGGCATGGCATGGCATGGCTAACCGTTGAGGATTCCCATCTCTATCTCCTTCTGCCGAATCTCCAGCGCCATTCGATCATTCTCCAGCTTCATCTTCTCATTTTCCATCCTCATCATCTCCAGTTCGCGATCCTTCTTCCGGCTAAACCTCTGCCATTTCAGCCTCTCTTTCTCCAGCTCCAGCATCTGCACTTGAATATACAGCTTCTTTTCTTCAATCTGATGGTTCCGATGATTCATCCACTGCTTCTGTAACGCTTTTCTGCCTTCAGCCGGAGCGGTTTGGTTCGGGTCGGAGGAATCTACATTTTCGACATGAAAACTGAAGGTTTTGTTGCAGTCGACGGCGTTCAAACCCCTCTGGAAACTAAAACCCTCGTCGCTCTGATATTGTTTTAACCTCTTTGAAGGATTCTCCGACATCCCATACAGTGGCACCGCCGCCCGGTGGATTTGATCTCCATGATTCTCCTCGGATTCACCATAATTGTCGTATTCATTGTCTTGGTCAACCTCGTCGTTGTCTTCTTGCGCGTGCCTTCTTGGATCATTAATGTCATCGTGATCCTCTCTGATCCTTAAGGCGATGCGCAATGAACGCTGCAAATCAGGGTCGGGGGGAAGATGCAGACGGTTCCCATTATGGTACGAACACATCTCCTCGTAGTGCAGATGCTTTGAACTCAGAATTTTCCGAACCTCCTCTTTTGCTTTCTCGGAGATGTGATCCATCACATCAAGAAGAGCAGGATTCTCGACTACCTCGCAGGAAGTCCCTCTCCCGAGGATCTCATTCAGTCTCTTGTACCTCTTGTTAAGATCATTGAACTTATCCTCGCACTGCTGCGGCGAAACAAAATGGCCCCTTTCTGCCATGACTTTCGACACGGATTTCCACTTGCCCTTTTTCTGTAAATTCGCATATTTCCTCCTGACACCGCCAATCCCGTGTTCGGAAGCTGACGCGTCTTCATTAATGTACGAGACTGCTGTGATCAACAACCTTACCATCGTATTGGTCCACTTGACACGTTGCCATTGGGGCGAAGAAGCTTTCTTCCCTTTTCCCTGATCGCCAGCGTCATCAGTAAAGCTCGGCTCATCCTCGTCGCTAACAGCTTTCCCTCTGTCCACCTTACCATAATCCACCACTGAAACAGTTTGGTCACAGTCTTGATTGTTGCCGATCGTAAGGGGGAAGTGCTCGTGATTCACAGCATTGATCATTGACAACCCTTGCCTCGTAGCTTGATGGTTAGGTCCGAGCTGTTGCTGGTGATGATTAATCCTCAACGGCCCTTGTATATCAAAGCCCCCGAACGAACTATTCCCTTGCAACATATTCCTCGAAGACAGATTTCCTTCCATTGCTGTCTGAATTGGCCCGGTTCGAAAGCTTCAGTTCAAGATCAAACACACATTCAACCCCCTGAAATTCCAGCACACTATCTCAGTTTTCAGTCTGGAGTTTTTGTTTTAAGAACTTCAAAACTCAAAACTGAAGGCGTCTGTACCCCAAATAATTCTATTCACCCATTCTTTTAATTGATTCCATGTACCACGCAAGAAATTCCTAAAACAGAATCAGACACATGATGGAACACAAGACTATGCTAAAATTTTATACTTCGCAACCAGTAATCTTTCTTTCCCCTTAATGAAAACGACATAGAGCTAAGTACGGTAATCACCTGTCAGCCATGGGAAGAATCCACCAAAACACACAAAACTTTAAACTCCAAAACTCTAATCACCAAAACATGCTACAGATACAGATACGCAAAATTTACCGAATCCCGAGAGGCCAGATAAAAAAGTGCAATTTTTTCTCCCAAGTAGCAGGAAATAAGGCAACTTTCTGTTCAAGAACTTACTGTGAAACCGATGAAGGGCAAATCCAGATTGGACCTGCAGCTATTCAATCCGAACTGAAGGCTCCAAAGAATCAACCAATAGATCTAAAAGCCCTTGATCAAGCCCGAGACAGAATCACCCAAAATAATGATGAAATCAAAGAAATATAGAGGTTCAAGTCCTGTAGGTGAGAAGAAACAATACAGAAGAAAATTACAACCAAATCATAGAAAACTACATACGCTAGAGAGTTGTTGATGATGCAGTGTATGGGTCGATTCGAGGCGCGCTGCAAGCACACGCACCTCCAAGAAGAAGGGTAAAAAAAAAAAAGTTCAGTCAATCGTCGAGACGGAGCAAAGTAATGGTGCAGGTCGTGGTCGTACCTCTTTCGGGGTGAACGTATTTATAGTACAGACTTTTGACAAGAAGAAAGGACAATTATTTGTAGATGGCGTTGGCGTTAATGGAAATCGCGTTATTGAAAAGGGCGATTTTGGTTTAATGAAATTAAACAACACGTTTTATAGCCTCGTGCTCGCACGTTTCTTTCCTAACATCTATATATGTGGCTTAGCCCAATAGATCATTTGGATCGGGTACGTTATTGGGCTGATATGGCCCAGTTCGGCCCACTAGGCAATCCAATAAATGATTCCCCCCATTTTGTGTGTAATCCATTGTTTGAGTTATAAGGATGGAATGGAAGCCGTGGTAGATTTCACAAAAAAGCGCACCAAAACAGTGCCGTGTTATCCTCCCCTCTCCTCCGCCTGGAAGATTTCAACTTTGTGGGTACAGCTGATGAATGTTGTTGTTGTGCAGATTTCTTCAATCTTGCGAATTGAATTGGATTTTCTTTTCTGTATGCCTATAAGTTTTGTTTCGTCAAATTGAAGCGGCGATTTTGAAGGTTTTAGGATCGAGCATCTGGATTGATCTTAAATACATTTATGAGGGATCAAGAGGCGGAAGATTTGAAGTTGGCCATGAGACTGAGCACGCAGCAGCACGAACCGCCGGAACCAAAGAGGAGTAAGCCCGGGGACTGTTCCGCCGTCGGAGGGGCTCCGCAGCAGCCGGAGGAGTCTCCCGAGGTTATGAATCGTCGCCGACAGCGTGAAATAATGGCTGCCGCTGCGGAACGGAGGATGGAAGCATCTAAAATCGCTTCTGCGGCCGCCGTTAATGTTTCAGATAGTGCTATAGATGTCAAAACTCCCGAGAGGCGGACGGTAGAGGCCGAAAGTACGGCCACAACTGCAGTGGAAAATGTGGAGAACTTGAAGGGTGTACAGATTAGGGGTTTGGAAGGCGATAGTAAAGGTAAAGGTATTGTCGATCATGAGGTCAGGAGTGGGCTTTCCGGAAGTAAACTGTCGATCCTTGAGGCTAATAAGCTTTTCTGGTTGATTTTTGGCAACAATGTTACCAAGGATGTGCTTGCACAGTGGTGCAATCAAGGTATCAGGTAGAATTCTTCGGACTCTGATGCTTAATTTCATGTTGTGATTATTCAGTATAATGAATATCATAGTCCAATGAATGAATTGATGTGCTACTATTAGTGTCTTTTCAGAGTTCCAGGAGGTCAGTAAAATTGTTTTTAGTTTCTGATGTTTAATATCATGCTGTGATTATTTAATATGATGAAGATCATTGCCCAGTGAATCAGTTGATCTATTAGTATTGGTGGCTGAAGTTCCATGTTTCTAAAAAAAAATATGAGAACATGACTGTGTACTTGTCTCTATTCAAAATTCTGGGTGCAGATCTTTACACGATGCAGTAGGATTGATGGGTATAATTAATTCAATTGTATCAAGTTTACTAATTGCATGTAGCTGAATGCGAAGATAACTTGCTATTTCTGTAGTGAATCGATAGTGTCATTGCTGCAAAAGTAGTCTTTGTTATGTTATCTCATTTAATGCAATCATCTGAGTCAAGCATTGTAGTGCTGCTCTTTGGGATCATATCATGCATGTCACTCCAGAAGTAGTTATTTATTTATTTTTCAGTTTAATGAAATTGTCGAATGTGCTAGAATTTATTATTTGGATTCTGGGCATATTTCCTTTTACAGTTTCAATCTTGAAACATATAAATTGTGTAATTTAAGACAACTGGAATTATCTGCGATTACGTCATGCATGTCGTTACTGATTTCTGGTGATCTAGATTAATCATCTTACTATATAATAATTTTGTTTCTAAACTACTTCTGGCTATAACTTTGTAACTTGCTGTTAATGCACTTTAGACGTATATCCTTTGTTGCACTGCCCTTTTTGCTGCAGGATCAGTTATCTGATTGTCTACTATTTGAATTAACACTGTTCTTTAGTAACTATTGAGAGTGTGTTCAAATACTCTTTAAAATGAACTATTCTTGCAGGTTTAGTGCTGATCCCGACACATCTATGGGGCTTGTACAGCATGAGGGTGGACCTTGTGGTGTGCTAGCAGCACTTCAAGTAACGTCTTCCTTTCTCGCTTTACCACCCCGCCTAGTTAATTTTACAAAACCATAGCTGTACCAATATGTGTTGCATAGTGGATCTACACATGAGGAATGAACATCACTATAAAACATTGTCCTTGAATTGTTGGATTCAAACCCGAATAGTTGCATGTATCAGTTGAATGCACTATCTACTTACTTTATCTTATGTTGACCAGTCTGGATTCAAAACACTTGGATGTGGTCTATTTTATGTTTTAGACATTGGACAGTGGTTCATGTTTGTATGTGTTTAAATCTATATATCATCCAATTTAACTTCATGTTTGATTGTATGAGCTTGTTAAAACATTTTCCCAGATTGTCTTACCTATCCACTGAGTTTCCATTTTTTATGCTACACTTATTCACATACAGACATAATATTTTGGCCTTGCAGGCTTTTGTACTCAAGTATCTTCTCTTTGTCCCGAAAGAGTTGGAGAATACCGGAACAGTTCCCATACCTAAGAATGAATCTGTTTCTTCAGATACTTTCCCCCTTTTTTCTGAAGGGAAAAGATCTAGGTGATGATTCTTTCAATAGCATTTTCCTTAAATGCTATTCTGCTTTCTAATTCAGTATTGGTTGCGGAGTAGAACTTATAATATATGTGTATATAGCTCTTGGTCATGAATGGCTGGTTGATCAATTTGCAAAATTTCTGCTCAAATATGCTTTAAGTTTCCCTCTGGTGTTGCTTTGTAAATTGTATTATTGCATGTTGGAATGAAGGCTGCTGTCTGCAGAACCTAGTGAAATTGGTCTACCAGGTGATAAAAAAGGATTGTTAAATACAGAATCCCACTTTTTATCATAAATTGAACTTTATGTGAATTTAAGCCCATATATCTTCTTAACTACTAGGCAAGATTGTTTTATTCGTACATGGAAAATGATTGTTCTTCACAGTTCACTCATACATGTTCAGTTAACACAATCATTTGAGCTCTGAAGTTATTTCATTGTTGCTCAAAGTTTCTGCTTTCAAACAGGGCCCTGGTGAGGAGCATGAGTGAGATACTCCTTTCATGTGGACGCAAGAAAAGAGCGGTTATAGCATATCTCAATATTCATGACAGCGATAATTTCAAGTCTATGGATGCCTCTGAAGATGAGGTGAGCTAGTGATAACATCACTCACATGCTTGAGTTTTTCTCTTCAAGTTGGAGTAATTCATTGCAATGATTTTAGCAATTTTCAGTTTTGAGAACTATATGTTTCTTCCATCATCTAATCCTTGGAATTTGTGTTATATCTGTGATGGTTAGAGACATGCATGTGGCATACTACAGTGATCATTACCCTGCGCTGCCTCTTTAGTAACTCAACTAATCTGCAGGTCATTGCTAAAGCACTAAATGGTCTTTCTGTGGATACTGGGTCAGGATTGCAGACGATTCTGAGAGTTGAGACCTGCACCTCACAGTCAACTACACTTGAGAAGCTTGAAGCTTTACTTCCTTTTTTCAGAAGCCGCATGGGTGTATTGCTTTTCTTAATATCCGCCTTGTTGTCAAGAGGACTGGTACTCAACTACTTACATATCCTGCATGAACATTCGATCTGTTGTTAGTTGCTGATGTTGGCTTGCCCTTCCTGATCTATCAATACTGCCTGTTGCATTATCAGGACTATGTACAAGTGGATAGAGATGATCCAAGCCAACCATTAGTAACTGCTCCATTTGGCCACGCATCACAGGTGTCCCTGGATTATTTATTACAATTCTGTTTACGAACAGTGATTATGGTTTTGTTGATCGCTAACATTGTAAACACCCACCCACCCTTGCTTTGTGAAATAGGAAATTGTCAACCTATTACTCTCTGGGAGTGCCGTTGCAAATGTGTTTGACGGGAAAATGGACTTGGGTGGTGGCATGTTTGTAAAGGGCATCTCAACAGCTGTACAAGTCGGATTCCTCACACTTGTCGAGGCCCTCAATCTGTGTAAGGTTGGCGAGTTCCTCAAATGCCCAAGATGGCCAATATGGGTGGTTGGAAGCGAGTCACATTACACTGTTTTATTCGCGCTCGACACCAATGTCCAAGAGGATAGCGAACTTGAAAACAGAGAACTGCAGATCAGGCGAGCATTTGATGCCCAAGATCAAAGTGGCGGTGGCGGTTTCGTCAGTGTTGAAGGCTTCAATCAAGTTGTGAAGGAAATGAACATTAAACTTCCACAGGAGAAGGTTAATTTCCTTAGCAGCACGGGTGTTATAGTGTGGAGTGAATTCTTGCAGGCCCTTGTGGATTTAGACACGAGCTTAGGAGGCATTAAGCATTTGGCTGGAGTAAATGGGAGAAAGGTCTTTGATCTCTACCATTTCAACGGGATTGCAAAGCCATCCGGAAACGAGAATCCGATGCAAAGGCCTAGGTTAACAAAGCTGACTGTTTCGGCCCCACCAAGGTGGACACCGGAGGAATTCATGGCCGATAAACCAGAGAACTTGGGAGAACCTACTCCAAGTCAATATGGGCCTCTGGTAGATTGCGTTAGAACACGCTGGCCTCGCTCGGTTTGCAACTGGGAAGGCGATGCACCTAGCATCGTCTAAACTTGTGCTGCTTGCTCTGATTCTGCAGGTGTTGGGTTTTGAGGGAAGACATGAGCCTTCTTCTTCTTCTTCTTCTCGGGATGGTAAGTAAGAAAGAAAGAGGTGAATTTGTACTGATCATGTGGATATTATACTAGTGTTTCTTCATATGTGAATGCCCAAAGATTATATACCAATTTTCGTGATGGATGGTGCTGTTCTTTCTGTTCTATTATTTTGTTTATACATTAGTATTTTTTGTAATTAATTATTTTGTAAATTCCAAACTGTCCCATCCTTCCTTCCTTAGAAGCATCTGGAGTGGAGATCCTTGGAGCTTCCAAGATTCAGTTAAAAATGGCGGGGTGGGGCCAGGATGGTTGATTGTAGTCTTGTTACCGTGTTCATTTATTGAATACTCATATCTATGTTTATTTTGATGCTATAAAAAAGTATGTATATATAACAATATGTTTGTTCGGGGGTTTGGATTTAAATAGTAAAAATTTTGAATTTGAATTAGTTGTTTTGATATTTTGAATGTAAAATTGATTTTATAAAAAATAAAAATTTGATATTTTTTTTGGAGGAAAAAATGAGATGAATAATGTATTTAAAATTCAATCCGCACGCAAATATGTTTCATATATATATGATGTTTAAATTTTATATTGTATTGTTAATTTTTAAATAGCATTAATTAAAAAAAAGTATCAATTAAAAATTCAAAAATACACTTTTAAAATATAGTAAATATTATTTAATTTTTTTTATGACGTCCCTACCCGAAATATTATTTAAACTTTGAATGAATGAGTATTCTGTAGATTGAGAAAATCAACATTAATGATTTGGAAGACAATTGTTTGATTGAAACCAAAACCCCAAGTTACAATAACTTTAGAATAAGGTCCCATTTGAATTAGTTTTTAGTTGGAGTTTTTTATTTCTACTTCTAAAATAATATTTTGTAGGGGTAAACTGTTCGTTTAGTTCTGTAATTGGACTCCTTATCATTTTAGTCCCGTAAGTGGAGCCTGTCGCAAATTAGTCTCATAAGTGAAAATTTTTCGCTATTTTAATTCTCCGGCGCCGGAGACGCCCGCGTGGCTCGCCGGAGGTGACGTGTCCGCCAGGTCAGCGACACCTAGTGACGTGTCCGCCAGGTCAGCGACACCTGGCGCTGACCTGGCGGACTCGTGGATTTTTTTATTTTATTTTATTTTTTAAAATTATTTTTAAAATTTATTTTTAATTTTATTTATATATTTTTAATTTTTTAATTTGATTTAATTTAAAAAAAAATAAAAATAAATTAAAATAAATAAATAAATCCACGTGTCCGCCAGGTGTCGCTGACCTGGCGGAACACCTGGCGGACACGTCACCTCCGGCGAGCCACGCGGGCGTCTTCAGCGCCCGATGACTAAAACAACGAAAATTTTTCACTTATGGGACTAGTTTGCAACATGCTCCACTTACGAGACTAAAATGATAAGGGGTCCAGTTACGGAACCTAAAAAAAACAGTTTACCTTGTATTTATTTGTATTGACTTCAATTCAAAAATAATAAGAAAAATACTTTTCAATTAAATTACTATTTTATTAATAATAATAATAATAATAAATACAATACTATAATACAAGATAAAAATAATTAATTTCTATATATTATATTTTAATAAAATTAAAAAATATAATTATATTATTATTTTTAATTTATATGTTATACTTAAATTAAAATTTAAAATTATAATTGATAATAAATACAATACTATAATATAATATAAAAATAATTAATTTATATATTATATTTTAATAAAATTAAAAAATATAATTATATTATTATTTTTAATTTATATGTTATACTTAAACTAAAATGTAAAATTATAATTGAGATACCAAATTTAAATTTAAATAAGCAAAATTATTAAATATTCACTCCGTCCACTTACAATGTTTACATATTTCTATTTTGGGACGTCCAATTACAAAATTAACATTTCATTAAATATATTACTTTTTTTTCACAAATATCCTTATTTTACATCACATCATTATTTTTACACAAAAAGTTAGGGCAAAAATGTCATTCCATTACTTTTAACTACTCAATGTAAGTAAAAGGGTAAACTGTTTTTTTAGTTTCGTAACTGGACCCCCTTATCATTTTAGTCCCGTAAGTGGAGCATGTCACAAATTAGTCCCATAAGTGAAAAATTTTCGTTGTTTTAGTCCTTTGGCGCCGGAGACGCCCGCGTGGCTCACCTGAGGTGACGTGTCCGCCAGGTGTCACTGACCTGGCGAACACGTGGATTTTTTTATTTTTATTTTATTTTTTCTAAACTTTTTTTAAATTTTATTTGTATTTTTTATTTGGCCCAATTAAAAAAAAATTAAAAAATGAAAAAAATAAATAAATCCACGTGTCCTCCAGGTGTCGCTGACCTGGCGGGACACCTGGCGAACACGTCACCTCCGGCGAGCCACGCGGGCGTCTCCGGCGCTGGAGGACTAAAACAGCGAAAATTTTTCACTTACGGGACTAGTTTGCGACAAGCTCCACTTACGAGACTAAAATGATAAGGGGTCCAGTTACGGGACTAAAAAAATAGTTTATCCTAATTAAAATACTATTATTTCTTAAACACCACACCAAAAGTAAATGTAAATATTGTAAATGGACAGAGAGACTATAATTTATAAAATTTTAAAATAGATTGTAAAATACAGTATTACTAATTCATAATTCAAAAATAAGTTATTTCCTATTTAGTTTCTTTTCTCTCTTGTAAGGAGACAAATGAAAAGAAATGAAATTAAGACAGTGCTATGCTTTTTTTTTCCTTTTTTTTTTTTTTACATTTAAAATTTTACAATTTAATATTTGTGTATATGCTATTTTTTGTTTTTTTACTATTAGTTAATTTTTATAAATTTTATATTATTTAAATCTTATAAAATATTATATCTAAATCATTGTTAAAATTATTGAGATATGAAGCCTGATTGTATCCTAAAATTAGGAATATGATTTAAATATTATATTATAGATTTTAGAGATATGATTTGGATATTATTGGCATAGGCTTAACCTATAACTATCCATGTATTCTCATTTTAACGTGTGTCTGTATATTTTATAGTAAAATTTCTGGCTTGGCAGCGCCCCAGACGTAGATCATTTTGATCGAACTGGGTTACCAAAGTTTTGTATTCATGTGTCCTTGTTTACCTCTTCTTAATTTCCTAAAATTTCCGTAACAAGTGGTCTCAGAGTCTGGTTCGTTGGTAAGGTGGACTGGAAGGCATCGGATATTGATTGTGGCTGTGGGAATCCCTTGTGACCTACGGAGGTGCCTTGTATCGAAAGTCTCCTGGCGGTGTTGGGTCGGTCCTGACAGTTTTGGTAGGTCAGGCAGCGGGTCCCTTTGTAATAGGCGGTGCAAGGTAGGCAGGGAAGGATAAGGGTTTCGGCAAACGCAGTGGAGGAGATATCCGATGTGCTCTCATATCAAGTGAACCTTAGGTTTGTTTGTGGGAGTCAAGATGGGTGATCGTCATGCTGTCAAAGTATTCGATGGTATGAACTTCGGTTTCTGAAATATACAGATAGAATATTACATGTATGGTAAAGATCTAGAGGCGGCATTGAAGGAGAAACCTGAAGACATGGATGAAGCCGAATACAAGAAGATCGACAGGAAGACGATGAGTGCGGTTCGACTAACCCTTTGGGAGAATGTCTCGACTGAATTTAGATCTGAGGCAAAGGGAAAGAGTGAAGATCAAGAATGGTCAAAGTTGAAGCCGAAGAACAAGGATAAGGAAGGTGCAAATCAGGTGGTATGTTGGAACTGCAAAGGGCATTTGAAATGAGAGTGCGGGACGTTGGAGAAGGATCAGGGTTCGGCAAAAGCAGCGGAGGAGATATCCAATGCGCTGATTCTGAGCGTCAACAGTCCAATGGAGTCATGGATTTTGGTCTCAAGAGCGTCATTCAACTCATGTAGTGATTCGGGAATCATGGAATCCTACACCGCATGTAATTTTGGTGTTGTTTATCTTGCAGAGGATGAGCGATGACTTCAAACATGAGCATATTCTTAGCTTGACAAAACTGTGTATTACTCGAATTTCTGTATAAAAATCATCATAATAACTTGTAAATGGCATACATTATTGATCTATATCGCTTGACATGATCCAGATTTCGTTGTTGAGATTATTAACGATTTTTGCCCGTTTAAGCGGTAGTCTGGTACCAGAAAAGCTAAGGCATGTGCCACAAGCGATAACTACCTCCGCTCGCAAGCGCCCAGAAATCTCCTGAAAAGACTAAGGCATGGAGGCAAGCGGTAGCTTTCACCGCCCGCAAGCGACAACCTCTCCCGCTTGCAAGCAACAGCCCATACGCCCACCGCTGCAGATTATCATCAAATTCCAACTAAGTGTTCCAACTGCAGTGGTACAACCATTTCATTTCCAGCCAGCACAAGCGAGTCTAGCTGCGCTGATGCCCTCCAGCCCTCCGGCAAGTGAGGAAGATCTGAGCCCTTAAAATTCAATGCAATTAAAGCGGGTGCCCGGGGAGTTATGGCCAGCAACTGCTTCAACAGAATAACTATCAGTAACCGCCTAACTGCCCAGCGGTTGGAACCGCCCAGCAACCGATTGCAACGGCCCCGTTTCACCTGCTATAAATAGGGCCAGATACCTTTAGAGAAAGAGATCGATACTAAAATATGATAATTATACAATACTAAAATTTTACTTTTATGTATACTTACAAGTTAATTTTTAAATTTTCATTTATTAAAAATATAAAATATTATTACGTGACAAATATATAAAAAAAAATTACATAAAGTTTTAGTAGAAAAATTATTTAGAGTTTATATGGTGTGTTTGTTTGGGGTTTGGATTGAATTTACACTATTCATTCAATTTTTTTTCTAAAAAAAATCAAATCAAACACCTATTTTTCATTTTTTATATTAAACTAAAAATCAATTTTACATTCAAAATATAGTATCAACACCTATTTATATCACATCATACAACTATTCGAATTCAAAATTTTTACTATTCAAATCTCAACTTAAAATCCAAACCCCAGACAAACTCAAAATTTTTACTATTCAAATCTCAACTTAAAATCCAAACCCCAGACAAACACACCTATAAGTATTCTAATATAATTTAAATTTGGTAGACTTTAATCACTCAAAAATGCAAAAACTATACATATATATATATATACACATAAATACATCAAATTGTACATAAGTCCCTACGCAATTAAAATGAGATTCAAATATAATTTTACAAAACTTAAAAAATAAAAAATAATAACACTAAATATAGTGTTGCTACAATAGCAATTATGACGAAATGGAGTTTCTGTTTGCTGCATTACGACATCATTTTTGGTGTTATGTGTTATTATTATTTTTTTAAAATTTTAAGTTTTTGTATATTAATTAATTAATTAATTTTTTATTATGTAATAGTTTATTTTTTTTTTTTTTATAGAAGATAATATTAATCGTAGAGTTGTGTTATTCATTCTGCTTTTAATGCTACCTAGACTGAGATACCATCATCATCACCACTCACCACTTCAATTTCTATTTCTTAATGGGGAAACCAACAGCCTCCTCCTGCTGCTTCTTCGCGGTTGTTGAAGTTGAGGTTGAAATTGCAGTTGCAGTTGCAGTTGCCGTTTTGGTCGTGTTGTTAAGCAGCAGCAGCAGCCACTCGGTCCTCCCAATAGCCGCAGCAGCTTCAAATGATCAAAGCACGGATCAGGACGCACTAGTTGCCTTGAGGTCCACTATAACATCCGATCCTTTGGAAATTTTAACCAAAAACTGGTCCACCGCCACGTCAGTTTGCCGCTGGATCGGCGTCTCTTGCGGTGGCGGTGGCAGAGTCACTGCTCTTAACCTCTCTGGCTTCGGCTTTGGAGGTACTATCCCCCCGCACCTTGGCAACTTAACATTCCTCGCTTCTCTCGACATCCACGCCAACAACTTCTCCGGACCCCTGCCCGCCGAGCTGTCTTCTCTGCGCCGGTTACGCTCGTTTGATGCGGGATTCAACAACTTCACGGGGGCCATCCCGTCCTGGTTCGGAATGTTAGGAGGCCTTCACTCCATTGCATTGGACCACAACAGCTTCTCCGGTCGCATTCCGCCATTATCACTATCACTATCAGGAAGTAACTCCAGCCTGCTGCAGGTACTGAGGTTAAGCTACAACTCTCTGGGAGGAAGTATTCCTCCGGAGATAGGCAACTTGACCTCCCTACATACTTTGGACCTTAAGTACAACCAAATTACAGGCCTCATCCCACACGCCGTCTTCAACCTCTCCTCTCTTGAATCAATCGATGTCACCGCTAATCTCCTGTCCGGTACTCTTCCAAATGATATTTGCAATCATCTTCCCCAACTCGGAGGTCTTTTTCTCTCGAGAAATCAACTTAGTGGCCAAATTCCATTCAATATTCACAAGTGCACCAAGCTCCATGATTTGTCCCTGTCCTATAATCATTTCGACGGCAAAATTCCAAAGTCGATCGGATGGCTGACAATGATCCGAAGGTTGTATCTGGGAGCAAACGACTTCCATGGTATGTATGTATGCATGCTATATTCAGAAATTGCTTCTACAAGATAGTGTGCATGTATGTACGTATGTATATCTTTCTTCTTCTTCCTTACTACCTTTTGGCTATTCTAATTAAGTTGATTGAGTGAGTGCAGGGGGAGTTCCAGTTCCACAGGACCTACGCAATCTCTCACATCTTCAGCTTCTCAGCTTCCCTAGCGCCTCCCTTAGGGGGCAAATTCCATCTTTCGTCTTCAACATGTCTTCTTTGGAAGCGCTAGATTTTTCTAACAACAGCCTGTCGGGACGCATTCCAGATGCCCAGTTTACTAACCTCCCCAATCTCCAGGAGTTGCGTCTTCATTCTAATCAGCTGGCAGGTCACATACCCAAGCAATTTGGTAACCTCACGGCCTTGCAACACCTATCTTTAGCCAATAACTTCTTCACAGGTAAAATTAATATTAGTAGCTAGCTTGTATTGTGAGTGTGAGTGTGAGTGTGAGCGTGAGCGTGCCCAGCGAGCCTAACCTATATCAAGTGACAAATATTATTACATACTCCATATTGTCGCAGTCTGCTTGCAAGCTATCTCATAATCAATCAAAATTCTAAAGTTTGAAATCTTCTTATTTGATTGTACACACACACACACACGTAATCATGGCAGGTGAATTACCAGCGGGGCTTGGAACTCTAGATCTTGTGACCATCAATGTCCACAACAATAGCTTAACCGGTGCCATCCCACCTTCAATGTACAACCTGTCAGCGGTGACCATGTTGGAGCTTTCATCCAATCACTTCTCAGGGCATCTTCCTTCTGCCTTCGGGCTTTCGCTTCCCAGTCTACAAGAGATTTATTTAAGTGGTAACAGGCTAAGTGGAAAGATTCCGAGCACCATCAGCAATGCTTCCAACCTGGCCATCATAGGCATGGGATCCAACTCTTTCTCTGGCGCGATGCCTAACCTGGGTGGTTTGAGGTTGCTGCGACGCCTCCTAATTGGAGGAAATAATTTGACTGGAGAATCGCCAAATCAAGAATTGAGGTTTCTGTCCTCGTTAACAAACTGCCGCCTTCTATGGGAGATAGAATTTTCCCTGAATCAACTTGATGGTATGCTTCCAGCCTCAATAGGAAATTTCTCATCTGCACTCGAGATTTTTAAAGCATTTGGATGCAGAATAAGAGGTTCCATTCCCGCTGAGGTTGGAAACTTGTCACATTTGCGTTACTTGACTTTGGATAGCAATGAGTTGACGGGGCTCATTCCCCCAACACTCGGAGACTTAAAGCAACTCGTCCGTATATATCTGGAACACAACAAGCTGGAAGGATTCATCCCCACCCAACTTTGCCAGATAGGCAACTTGGGGGACTTGTACGTGAGCCACAATGCTCTTCGTGGCCCAATTCCAGCTTGTTTGGGTGAGCTTAAATCCCTCCGAAGGTTGTACCTTGACTCCAACAGATTGGAATCAAATGTTCCCTCGAGCTTGTGGAATCTGGATGACCTTCTGGGGTTGAACTTGTCCACAAACATGCTAAATGGATCTTTGTCGTCCAACATTGGAAACTTGGCAGTCCTCAGAGATTTGGACCTGTCGTGGAATCAGTTCTCAGGTGAGATCCCAACTTCTATGGACAAAGCGGAGTCACTGGTCACCTTGTCTCTAGAGCATAACAGTCTTCATGGTTCCATTCCTAGCTCCATGGGAGACTTGAGAGGGTTAGAATCCTTGGATCTCTCCTCTAACAACCTTTCAGGATTTATCCCGACATCGCTGGAGGGACTTGTGTTCCTTCAGTACTTCAATGTGTCCTACAACAGACTAGAAGGCCATATTCCTACAGGAGGTAAATTTACCAACTTCACGCCTTCATCATTCATGAACAACTATGCGCTATGCGGTGAAGATCGTCTGCATGTACCGCCCTGCAAAGAGAACATAAAGAAAAAAACTTCGGCCTCACTGCTGAAACGAGTTGTGCTCCCCTGTGTATTAGCCGTAATTATCTTGAGTGCCGTGAGTATTCTGCTAATTATGAGAATTCGAAAATCAAGCACAAAACTCCCTGCTGATGAAGTATCCTTACCTCAGTCTTGGAAACGGATATCTTACCTCGAACTTGTGCGGGCAACCAATGACTTCAACGATAGCAACCTACTTGGGAATGGAAGCTTTGGTTCAGTATATTTAGGAACACTTTCGGATGGTGCAGCCGTTGCAGTAAAAGTTTTCAATATAGAATCTGATAAGTCAGCCAAAAGTTTTGAGACAGAGGCGGGTGTGCTGAGTGGTATTCGCCACCGGAATTTGATCAAAATACTTGGCTGCTGCAGCAATGAAGATTTCAAGGCTTTGATTTTGGAGTATATGCCGAGGGGGAGCCTGGATAAATGGTTGTATGCCCACAACAATTTCTTAGATTTGGTGCAAAGACTAAACATAGCAATCGATGTTGCGTGTGCCTTGGAACATCTGCACCTCGGTCACACAGTCCCGATTGTTCATTGTGATCTAAAGCCTAGCAATGTCTTGCTGGATGAAGATATGACAGCTCATGTCAGTGATTTCGGTATCGCCAAACTCTTGGAGGAAGGCGAGTCAATGGCTCAAACTAGAACCTTGGCAACAATTGGATATATGGCACCAGGTGGGGTGCTGCAGTTCCTGAGTGTTTGTTTTTTTTTTTTTTGCCTTTTGGCTTGCTGGTCTTAGCAGCATTACCAAGGCATGATTGATATTTGAAATGTCTAGTGCAGAATATGGAGCTCAAGGCGTGGTATCAACTGGATCTGATGTTTACAGTTTCGGGGTGATGCTGCTGGAGCTGTGCACCCGAAAGAGGCCTACCGATGAAGAGTTTGGAGGGGAGTTGAGCTTGGAGAGTTGGGTGCGCATCTCATTGTATGAAAACAACAAGAGCATCAATGAGATTGTGGACGCGAACCTGTATGGAAATGGAAATGGAAATGAAGAGGGAGAGGGAGAGCGGCTTGTTGTTCTCGACCGGGCGGCGAAGGAGCAATGCCTGTCATCTATCCTGCACTTGGCGATGGAGTGCGTGGCCATATCGCCAGCTGATAGAACCCACACCAGTACACTTGTGGCCACACTGGAGCAGATCAGAGCCGCGTACATGGCAACCTCTGCTAACTCAGGACGTCCCTAGCTAGCATGCATGCATGAATTAATTTACAAGCTGGCTGGTAGGCCGAGGTCTACTCATTCATTGTTAATACTAATTAAATGATGAATAAAATAAATAAATATTTCCCCATGACTACTGGATAGTTAGTAGAGAGAAAGCCAGACTTGGTGTGCTGTGCTATAAAAAGGTATAGCCTTTAATTTAGAGTGTATCAGCAGCTAGCATATGTGTGTGTAAATGTGAGTTTTGAGGAGACAATCCAATGCAATAATATAAAGAAATACTACTACTATGTCATTTGCTTAGACTTGTTTTGGTAGAGCTAGGCATGAATGAATGATTGCAAAAACTGATTTTGCCTTTGTTCCTGAATCGTGGATACTCAAAAGTCTAACTAACTAGTAAGTTTACATCTCATCTCTTCACCTCTCTCTCTCTCTCTCTCTGTATATTGAATTTCAAGAAAGATCGAGTAGAGGATGATGGAGGAGGATGGGCACCGGCAGGACAGGGCAATTACACACAACTCAACTTTTCCTCATGTTGTTGAAGACTAGACTGGACTGGTCTGGTCTACTTTTCCGGATACAGGAATCCTCTCACTCCTCAACCTCTCAAATCTCCTTACAGTGAATGAGTGAGTGAGCAAGTGGGTCAGTGTCCTCCCCAACTCTTACATTACATGAGACGACATAAAACAACTTTTGGAGAATACATGTATGTTTAAACCCGCAATGCCAAGGAAAATTTGCCACTCCGGAAACTTGTGCTCCAGGGAATAATAGTCATTATACATATATATATATGTGTGTGTGTGTGTGTGTGTGCATCCATGGGTGTAAAATCAGTTTTCTATTCCATTCCAGCAACTGAAACTCTAGCCTGCTGCACTGAAGGTTTCTTTTTGCCAGGTCCGGAAGAGACCTTGACCACGGCAGGTCTTAACAACCGGTCTCCAAGGAAAAAACCTCTATGCAACTCTTGTACGATAATTCCTTCCTTGAACTGTTGCGACTCCACTCGAGCAATCGCCTCGTGCACCTACATCATAATCATCATCATCATCTAAACAAGAGGCGATGCATAATAACACACACAGTGCTTGGAGAACCCTACAAGTGCACATTCTATTACTTACTAGGGGAAACAGGGAACACCGTAAACCACAATGTGCACTAATATTGCATGTAGATTGCAATTAATTAAAAGTGAATGCTCTCTCTCACACATTTGCTCACTAACCCACCCATCTGAGAAACTATATTATAAAAAGTACAATGTAATTTGTAGCTTAAGTAGACATCCGAAAACTTAAAACCAAAGAACTAATTTCACACGCCTACATTTTAAGAAAGATGTCGAGTATTCGAATTACATATTGGCAAATGCATCATAAGATAACATATCTATCGAATAGCACGCATGAGAAACTTTTCTATGTGAAGTTTAGAGACTCCTGATGTGAACCATTTTGCATCAATGTGAAGGGTACAAATCACCAGGTCAGACTTGGTCTGCAATCATTTTTTCAAACCATTCCATACAATCAGAATAATAAGTATATCCAAATAAAGAAATATCCCTTGGTGAAATGACTTTCAAGAATCTTTATGCTAATTATATGAACCTTGTATATCATGAGTATACATACATATATAACTGTTTACATTTAAGTGAAACCTGTGTTTAAATAAATTTTTGCCCATTTGCATTGTTGTCCAAGACTTGTATTTTTTAATGAGTGTTACATCTCTTGGTCAAATCAGTTTAATTACATATTGAAGATCTAAAGCATGCACACTCTACTATCACATAAAGCCATGTAACTATATTCTTACAAACCCCATCTCAATCAAATAACCTATTTTGTATGCGTGAAAAGTGCAAAAACGGAATAGATAGATACACACATGCATGCACAAACATATGAATAAAGAGGATTAGGCTCACCGAAGGATCAAATGGCTTCCCAACTGTGGGGACAACAGCCACCCTTAAACTCCTCATAATTTCCACGAACTGCTTGTATATGCCTTGATAACTTGCATCAATACTTTTTTCCTTGTCAGTTATTAGTTTGATCTGTTGCCTGGCTCTCTCAAAACTATCAACTATTGGCAACAAGGACTCAATCATTTCTCCTTGAGCATCACTTCTTACAGTCAATTTCTCTTTTTCAGATCTTTTTCTGTAATTATCAAAATCAGCTTGCAATCGAACACATTTTTCTTTTCTGGAAGATATCTCTGCAGACAAATGTGAAACTTTCTGGACCAAGTCATTTCTCCCTTTCTCAATCATAATTATCATTTCCTCAACTTCGTATATAGTTTTTCCATCTCCCTCTAAGATTGCCTTTTTGTATGCCTCCACAAGGGGGCCAAGACTTGAAGACATCTTTTTATCTGCTCCACTTTCTACCACCATGAACTCATCTGAACCATCTACACTGTTTGCCTGTACATTTATTTTATATGCCGTTATGTGATGGAGTAAATCACATAAAAATCTTCACATTCTAGTCTCATGTAAAACCTTAATCCAATAAATACATGTTGCCACTTCACATCAGGTGTGAAGAACTAAAGCACTCTATGAAACAGATTAGAAATGGATGAACATAAAATAAATAATCACAAGCAAGTCAGTTTGAAAAACGTTGCAGACAGCCACTCATGTGATGCTTACGCATAACATAATAAATCTTATGCAACCATTACTGCCTATCACAAAAGCATGTGCTTCTTAGTTCCCATGGAAGTGATTACTTTGTGATTTATATATTCAGACAAATTCGACCAATCCAGTTCCATTCTGCCAGCTGACAGGATGCACATAATTTTTCAGCTGTGTTTATCCTAACTTAAAAAAGCGAATGCGGTTCAATTACAACAAAAAGTTTATCCAACTTCCACTGCTCCTAAGAAGGCACTAAGCCTGTAATTCTGATACCCAAGCGAATTCAGCAGGAATTCAAACCTGCACATTCACTCCCATATTGCAGTATTGCATCATGTGAACTCTATTAAGACTTCTTGTGAATAAAGACATGTTTCATATTCAGAGAGATTACATTTAAATTGAGTTGGGTATAGTTGCAATATCATTACCATTTACCATAGCTAGTACTTTTCAACCCTCAGATCCTGCAATGTATACTAACTTGACCACAACTAAATGCAACTTTAGACTATGCTTGTTTCATCATTATTTTGACAAAAAATTATATATCACTCCATAGTGGAAAGTTTCTGTTAATAATGGCCGTGGGATAAACCTGTATGCCAATGGTATCAATTGCTAAAACTAGACTCCATTATACCAATGGTTTAAACGTGCCCCTGATCTTAAATGTAAGGTATAAAATAGTTACAATTCCACAAATCCAGAATACAAAATTTTCAAAACAATAGGAAGAAGAGATTGAATTAAAAATCAATAGCTTGTCAGCATATTAAAGTTGGGGGCTTTTTCCTTCAACAATAACGACGAAATTTCCAATTTGTATCAAATTCAACAACACAAGGAGGGGGAAGAGAGAGTACTTGGTGGGGGTGATTTCCTTGCTGGGTTGAGAAAGGCTTGAAAATGGAAGGGCTGCCAGCGCCATACTTGTGGGCAGGAGTCGTAACCCTCGAAGTCCCAAGCATAACGTACGAATTCAGATAGGAAAAAGACGATACGGATAGAGATGAAATGGGTGTCGGGGGAAATGACCCTCCATTCTTACCGTGTTGAACAAAAATGGTAAGGCTAGTGGGTGGTCTAGAGGAAGACAAAAAATGAAAATTTTGCAGTGTGTGAATAGATGAACAAGTGTTGGCAAGAGAAGCCAAAGCGGCCATTTACAGAATCTAGCTAGTTTTAAAAAACAGAGGGCAGGGGAAGGCGAAAGATAGGGGAAGGGGAAGGGCAAGGGCAGCCTTCACTGGAGGACGAAGGAAGGCACGAATTGATTGCAGCACGTGTGATATGGGTGTGGGTGTGGAGACAAAGTGAAGTGAGTGTGTACCGCTGATTATTTGTACTTACCAGTATAAAAGAAATATCTCATTCCACGTGTCAATCGCAAATATCTACTTCATTCCCAATTCATCGAGAAATGTAACCAAGGAAGGATGGGATGGGTGAGGCTTTCTTTCGTTTATGTACATCATTAACGCACTTTCATTGCTTACAGATTTGTTAGAACACTTCCTTTCTTTCTTTCTTTCCTTCTTCAATTTCTTGAGATTTCATTGCAATGGACTACTCCTGTGTGCTATTTCACTGCAAAATTCCTTCCACCCTCAGTCTCGGCCGCACTGTTACTAATAATTCTAGACGTGCTCAAGGTGATATCCCCCCCAACTTTCTTCTTGGGCGCAAAGTCTCGATCCCCCTTCCTCATTGGCGATTCTTTCCTGTTAATCCCACAAGAAGGGATTCTCTTAAAATGACCATCTGTGCTGTTTCTTCGCTTGAAACAAGGTAAACTTCTATGCTTCCTTGCCATTTTCAATCCCAATAACATATGCAGCTCCCCATATGGAAAAATCTGGAGTATATGAAATTGGAATGTAGCGGTATTGCAATTATTATAAAGATGGAAACTTTCTGTTGAATGTCCAATCCGACGCTCTTACCCGATCTCTCGTTCATTTGAAATTCCTATGGTTTCAGTGGTAAAGAAATGGAGAAGGGAAAATCTAAAACACCTGGGGGTGACCAGGTGAAGCTAAAAGTTTGGCTAGAACACCAAGTTAAATTCGGGGAGCATGTTGCGATTTTTGGATCTGCAAAAGAATTGGGATCCTGGAAGAAGAAAGTGGTGATGGACTGGACGGAAAATGGATGGGTTTGTGATTTGGAACTGGCAGGCAATGAAGAGCCTGTTGAGTACAAGTTTGTGATAGTTGGAGAGGATGGCAGCTTAACATGGGAAAGTGGTGACAACCGCATTTTACAGATCCCAAGAAAAGGATGTTTCAGTGCTGTTTGTAAGTGGGACAAAACTAATGAACAGGTGGAATTATTGCCCCTAGATCAGGCTCAGGAAGAAGTAGAGGCTGAAGACAGTGAGCGGAGTGTTTCTGATGCATTAGAAAAGGCTGTCTTCACAAGCCCCTTTGTGGACCAATGGCAGGGTAGAGATGTTTCATTTGTTCGGTCAAAGGATTATTTTGATGCTGAAAAGGAGACGAAAAGGGATACTTCTGGACTTGAAGGTATTGCTTTGAAGTTAGTGGAAAGTGATCAGAGTGCTCGGAACTGGTGGCGGAAGGTATAAATATATTATTCATCCTAAAAGCTTTAAACAGTATGAAGTCTAGTATTGTTGGGTATCATCTAAGAGTATGAATTTTTTTCTATCATGCACCTTGGTTGTAAATAATGAGAACGTTTTTGAAAGAAGGCCGGACTCCCAGCTTTATTGCTTTTTCTTGTAACTATTATATTTTCTCATTTATATTTTGCATGGAACTCTTGTATTTTGTATAGATATCCACACTCGAAAAATACTGAGATTGTTTTGTTCTATTAGAGTAGGTCAATTGTTTCATGTCATCCTGATTTTATTTATTTATTTATTCATTTTCTGTGGCGTCTAATTTATACTGTGGTTTCTAATTTATATCAATGATAAGATGTTTTGCCAAATATAAAATAATACACTTCTCAACATGATCAATGCTCTCTCAAATTGGATTATACTACAGTGTTATTTAACAGCTACTAGCAAAGTTAAATAATTTAGACTGAAATCTGTTCTTCATGTTTTTTTCGGTTGTGAAGCTTGAAGTTGTTCGAGAGCTTTTGGTAGAAAATATGGAGAATGGAAATCGCTTGGAAGCTCTTACATATTCAGCAGTATATCTGAAGGTTCCAGATAAATAATATTTATATTTTCTTTTGACAAATCAGTGTTTGGACTCATCAGGTGATGCTGTCTCTGTAGTGGATAAACACTGGTCAGATTCCTTGCTTTGAAGATGGCGGTCATCATCGTCCAAACAGGCATGCAGAGATTTCCAGGCTTATATTTCGGGAACTGGAAAGAATTTACACCAAGAAAGACACCTCACTTGAGGTCGCTTCTGCAAATTATCTATATCATTTAACTTTAGATTGCTTGCTATTACATTCATGCCATTTTCTATGAGAAGCTTGGATTTGCCATGACGTTAGATGCTATTGTGATTTGATAGTATGCAACCATATTTGATGTATAATAATAAATAAAACTTAATTGATTCGAAGAATGAGAGGAACAACATCTGAAGCAGCAAAGATAACCTAGCAACATAGTTATGAATCATATATGGTGGACTCAAGCAGCCTAGAAACGATACTCTTTTCCTTATGGCTCAATACCGGAGAGGGGCAGACTGGAGTCTATAATGACATGTATATTCCATTAAAATGATACCTGCATACCTTTCAGTGTATTATGGCAAGCAATTGAAGTTTATGCGTGTATGCATGATGTTGCTATGAGAATAGGATAGGCTGTTTGTTTTTCAAATGCTTTCTTCTAGATCTTCCTGGCATGTCATTTTCTCAATCAATTCCCAGCTGACTTTAAATGTTGTATGTTTAGGAGTTGATAAATATGTGTGATGGATTGGAAGATTCTTGTCAGTAGCGCCAAAAATAAATCATTCAATCTCAAAGAAACCAAGGGAGATGAATGTGATCTAGACTACTTGTTTGTTGATAGAATTTTTCCAATATTTATGGTAATGATGTGTTTTAAACCTAAAAGCTACTTGTTATGTGCAGGAACTAATAGTTATCCGCAAGATTCATCCATGTTTGCCTTCTTTTAAGGCAGAGTTTACTGCATCTGTTCCATTAACGAGAATTCGCGATATTGCTCATAGAAATGATATCCCTCATGATCTTAAGGTTATGAACTGCTCAGTGCTCTTTTTAATTGCTTTGTAAGTGCAGAGGTTATTTTGATTGATATTATATATTACATTGCAGCAAGAAATTAAACATACAATACAAAACAAGCTTCACAGAAATGCGGGCCCAGAAGATTTGGTTGCAACAGAAGCAATGCTTGCTAGAATTACAAAGAATCCTGGAGAATACAATTATGCTTTTGTTGAGCAATTCAAGCTTTTCCATCAAGAGCTTAAAGATTTTTTCAATGCTGGAAGGTAGGATAATTAAGAGATTATTCTTTTTCCTTTAAGATTGTCTATTTTAGTTGCAATTATGTTATTTCTTACATCATTTTTTCTTTAATCAGACAAAAGGCTCTAGAAGTTACTGGAAGCAGTCTAATTGCAAAGTGTCTGAAGCTTTCATTGTTTTAAATGGAAGATGATAAAAATTACATTATAGTCTCAAAATAGTTTAAATAAAGATGATCAATGATAGTTTTATTTTGTTTTTTATGATGCAGTAATACATTACATATGAGCAGCTAATTCTCTCCAACTCCTGTTTTTTCTTGGTGAAGAAGGTGCTGCCATATTGCCTTTTATTCTTGCTGGTTTAGTTCCTTACATATTTTTCTTCACCAAGAGTTGGAGTTTACTGGGTTGTATTTATGTTAGAAAATATGTAAATTATTGTTTTTTTTGTTCGTAAGTCTCCAGTTTACTTGGTGTGAACCCACATGGTGATCATGCGCATCCATTTCTGATTTTCAAGCTGATTGATTTTCCTCCCTCAGTGTTGATTTTAGATTCTAATACTCATGGGCACCCTTTGTTGTTCATTGTTGTCATATGTTCATGTGTTCAATATGGAAAAATCGTCACTGAATTTATGAAACATCACACGATCTATGTTGTTGAAGTCTGGAAGAAAAACTGGAAGCAATTAGAGATTCTCTGGATCAAAGCTCTGAAGCTCTGCATGTGTTCTTAGAGTCAAAAAAGGTATCACTTTTACGTGTTTATGGATTTTTCAGATATGGATAGTTAGATGGTCTCAGGAGTCAACTGTTATGATGAAGAAATGTGGATGACTTATCATCTCAAATTCAGTTGCACTTGCTCAATGACATTGTAATAATTTGTCCTCTAATTTTGCCACTGATACTTTCATCAGTCAAAATACTTTAAACATGTTCTTCGTATTTGGGTAGTCAATGAGTCATACTACTATTTCATGGATACTTATGTGTTCGCAAAATGTCAGAAAAAATAAGATTCCCTTATCCATATGTGGTCCGTGTTCCTGAGTATGGCTTGCAAAGCTTGCGCCCTCCATGTATTTTCTATCATTATATTCACAATTGGAATTTCTCATTCCTGTATCCCTTCAGGTACTGGATGGTATGGACAATAATACTTCTGGAAGTGAATCAATGGGAGCACTCTTGAAAGTTATACATGCTCTGAATAATCTTCGCCACGAAATTATTAAAGGTCTTGAGAGTGGGCTGCGTAATGATGCACCTGATGGAGCAATAGCAATGCGCCAAAAGGTTTTCTCTCTCTTCCTCTCTCTCTCTCTCTCTCTCAGACACACACACACTCACATCATTATGTTACTAAAAGAATCCATGCAACTGCAGTGGCGTCTTTGTGAGATTGGTCTTGAAGACTATGCATTTGTGCTGTTAAGCAGGTAATACATCAGATAATTTATGTTCAGTTCTTTTCTACTGAATCATATGATAATTGATTTTTTTTTAATTGTTGCTATGCTCGGTAAATGTTAAGAAACAGCTGCTTGCATATTTGCTGCATCTCAATTGCTAGGGAGTGGTTTTCTGTATTACTTGCAAGGGTTTTCTTTATGTATTCTGAAGGAAGTTATCCTGGAAAATGTTAAATATTATGCCCTACTAATGCTATGTCTACAATATTTTTGTAGAACCCTTATTGGGAATCTCACATTGGATCCATGCAATCAATTTTCAACTTGAATATGACTGACTGCTGGTTTTTAGGTTTCTTAATGCCCTTGAAGCTGTTGGGGGAGCTGGGTGGCTTGCAGAAAATGTAGTGCAAAATAATGTCAGTTCTTGGAGTGATACATTTGGAGCTCTTGTCATCAGCATCCTTCAATTGGGACTATCTGGCTGGAACCCTGAAGAGTGCCAGGTTATTAGGAATGAGCTATTAGCGTGGCAAGGGAGAGGCCTTCTAGAAACTGAAGGTACCTTTTTGTTGTATAGATTCATTAATTCCAAGATATACCAATTCTCTAAGATTCCTTCTCGTAATTATTTCAAGGCAGTGAAAATGGCAAAAGGATCTGGGCCTTGAGGCTTAAAGCTACACTTGATAGAGCTAAGAGACTGACTGAAGAATTTTCTGACGAACTTCTTAATATCTTCCCTCAAAAGGTTCAGGTAATGAAATTTTGCAAGAGTATCTTCTTAATATCACTCAGCTCATTCCATTTATGTTCTTATCAAGATGTTCTTCTAATCACATACAAATGAAAATTCTCAAGAATTATGTTTCATCTCTTGCTTGATGTAATTCACATGATTAAATTGTATGAGACAAGTTGAGGTGTTAGTTATACAGAACTAGATCACTTGTTGAGCCTTGCAGGTATTAGGAAAAGCTTTTGGGATTCCAGAAAATACCGTGAGGACATACACTGAAGCTGAGATTCGGGCAGGGTAGGCACTTATGTAATTACTTGTCAATTTCAATGATGGCAACCATGTGATTCCATGCCCTCACGACCATCTAATTTTTTTGTTATGGAAACAGTGTAGTTTTTCAGGTTTCCAAACTGTGCACCATCCTCTTAAAGGCTGTCCGGAGTGTTCTTGGATCTCATGGTTGGGATATTGTTGTACCTGGATCTGCTTCTGGTTCACTCATCCAGGTAGTTTTGTAATTGTTTACTGGTGAAGTCTAAGTACAAAGCACGTGTGAGCAATATAAACATACTTTGTATTCATGACCACACTCTTTATACCCAGCAGTGGGAATCTGTCCTTCCTTGCCATTACATTATTATAGGTTGTTCAACACAAGTTTCATATTTTTGTGTGTGGTGCCCCCCCAGAAAAGTAATAAGAATTTCCCTCAACAACCAGCTCACATCTACATTAGTCTTATTGTCTTCCTGAGTAAATCTTCAGTAATATTGGGTTGAGTTTATGTCTCTCCATTGGTCTTCAGGTGGAGAAAATTGTTCCTGGGGCATTACCATCGTCTGCAGAGGGACCCATTATTCTACTTGTCAGCAAAGCTGATGGAGATGAAGAGGTCTGCCATTTTCCCTTACCTAAATGCTTTAATTGGGAAAGCTATTGAATATTCTACCGGTATGTGGAACAGTCAAAATAAGGTTGTCTTGTCTTTGTTGGCCATCTTCCAGGTCACAGCAGCTGGATCTAATGTTTCTGGAGTCATACTTATGCAAGAGCTGCCTCATTTGTCTCATCTTGGAGTCAGGGCTCGCCAAGCAAGTTCTATGCCATTTTTGTGCTGTTTCCTTTTATGTGTTTTTTCTTGAGGTGGGTCATTTTTCTGAAATTCTAACAATGAACACATCTGAGAATTTCAGGAGAAGGTTGTGTTTGTGACATGTGAAGATGATGAACAGGCTGCGGATATAGAAATGCTGAAGGGAAAATTTGTGAGGTTGTGCCTTAGCTACTTGCTCTCCCAATATTAATGTTGTACCAATGTGATTGGAGTTACCTGGTTTTTGGTATAAATTATTTCTGGTGCACCATACGGTAGCTCGTTGCCTCATATCTTCTGCTATTACCTCTCGTGTTCTGTTCAGGTTGGAAGCATCATCTAGAGGTGTCAGCTTGACTGCAACTTCTGCAAATCACAGCAATGGTAGCATACCACTGGAAAACCAATCAGTGGGAAACTCAGGCACCCCTTCGCATACTATAAACCGCTCTAACATCAGTCAGGTATAAAGAGCTAAGCCAGCGCATAATTTCTTGTGCATTCTGATGCTAACTAATGAATGTCTCCATTCAGCTTGAATCGACTGGAGCCATTGTATTGCTTGCCGATGCTAATCTGCAGAACTCAGGTGCAAAGGCTACAGCCTGTGGTAGACTAGCGTCTTTGGCTGCTGATTCTGCCAAAGGTATGTGATTTAGCATAGCGCCATAGCTGTATCATTTAATGCACCAGGTAGGAGATTGCGTGCTGGTTGTAATGATTGAATGACAGTGTACAATGAACAAGGAGTTCCAGCATCATTTAAAGTCCCAAATGGAGCTACAATACCTTTCGGTTCTATGGAAATGGCACTGGAACGCAATGGCTCGATGGACAGGTTCAGGTCTCTGATTGAGAGAATAGAGACAGCTGGAGTTGGCGAAGAGCTTGAGGGGCTTTGCAGCGAACTTCAGAAGCTTATTTCCTCCTTGAACCCTCCCAAAGAAACCATTGAAAGCTTGTCAAAAGTATTTCCCAACGACGATGTGCGGCTGATAGTTCGGTCTAGCGCCAATGTAGAGGACCTGGCGGGGATGTCAGCTGCTGGGCTCTATGATTCGATTCCGAACGTGAGCACTGGTAACCCAGTGGGGTTTGGGAATGCTGTGAGCCATGTGTGGGCCTCCCTGTACACGCGCAGAGCGGTTCTAAGCCGCAGAGCTGCCGGAGTAGCCCAGAGGGAGGCTGCGATGGCTGTGTTGGTGCAGGAAATGGTGTCGCCGGAGGTGTCCTTTGTGCTCCACACACTGAGTCCCACGGACAGGGACCCAAATATGGTGGAGGCAGAGCTGGCTCCTGGGCTCGGGGAGACTCTGGCTTCGGGCACCAGGGGAACTCCCTGGAGGCTGGCCAGTGGCAAGTTTGGGGATGGGGTGACAACGCTGGCGTTTGCAAATTTCAGCGAGGAAATGGTGGCGAGCGGGGGCGAGGATGGGCAAGTGATGAGGCTGAGAGTGGACTACAGCAGGAGGCCCCTGACGGTGGACGGCGGGTTCAGGCAGCAGCTGGGGCAGAGGCTGGGTGCCATAGGGCTGTTCCTGGAGCAGAGGTTCGGAGGGGGGCCGCAGGACGTGGAAGGATGCTTGGTGGGCAAAGATGTGTTCATAGTGCAGACGAGGCCACAGCCGCAATGAAACGAAAATGTGAAATACGAATATGAAGGAAGGAAGGAAGGAAGGATGGGAAGCAATACCCAGGGCAGCAGCCATTAGCCATTCGGGACAAGCCAACCAAGCCAAGATAGTAGTTAGTAATAATACTAGTAATGGTAATAGGCCAAGACAGGCAGGCAGGCAGGCAAGCATGTTCTTTCTGTACTGTTCTGTTCTATTCTGCTTTGAATGGCTGACTGATTGATGGTAGTTCATATTAAATATTGAAGTGCATTATATTAAGATTGGGGCAGCAACCGTAATCGTGTGTGTTACTAGTATTATTGAAGCAAGTAGACAAGGAAGAGGGGTTGTTTATTATGTGGTTGGATGTTACAATGTAAACAACACACACAAGTTCGTTCAGCAGCACGCCAGCCACGCCCACTACAAGTGACAAACAAACCACTGCTGAGAGAGGAGACCTCCTCCTGCGCCACCTAACCCATCCATCCACCTACCAATTAAAGAAATCTCAAACACCATCGATTATGAATGAATCATTGCATTGCAGCAGCATACATTCTTCCCTTCCCTTCGTCCCAGGTGCTGATAGTAATGCAATGAATGATTAACCATCGACCAAAAACAGGCCACTGTTTTCTTATTAGGAAAAAGGAAATCTGCAAACTCATGACCAGACCAGACTCGACACGCACACAACAGCAACGCATGCATCTATTTTTAAACAACACTATCTCATGGCATGGCATGGCACCGCACGGCACCTCACACAACCGCACCACACCAAAATAAAACCATGACACAGACAGAAAGGACACAAAACACCCGCCAGCTTTATTCTTGCAGTAACAATCAACCCCCAAGCTGTGTTACCGCACACAATCAGACAAGACAGGAAGACAGACAGACCCACCATTAAAACATTATTATTAAAAAATGTGAAAACATTAGGCAAGGAGGAGGAGGCAAGGCATTACTACACCATACATAAACTGCTTGCTGCTGCTGCTGCTGCTCACTCCTCTTCAGACTCGGATTCAGCATTCTGCAGCCACTCCACAAATGGCTTGACATTCTTCCAAATTGGAGAGCCTTTATTGCCACCTGCAGCACCCTTGTTGTACCAATCCACGATCGAGTCCTCTTCCAGTACGTCACTGTCGTACAGCCCTTTCAAAACCAAGCCCACCTCCTTCACAGCCTCGGGGCTTGCTTTCCCACAGAAAGTCTCTATGGCGCGGAGCAGGACGGGCTGCAGTATTCCCTCCTCTTCCTCCACAGCAGCTACAATGTACTTCTTCTTCTTGACAACCTCCTTGGAAAATCCCTTCCCCACACCCTCAAACAAGGCCTCAAATAAAGCAGCAATGATTTCTTCGCGAGTGCCCGAGAGGGACTCCAGGAATGATTTTAGTTGACTCGGGGAACCCTTCCCCAGAAACTCCTTTATTGCGTTTGCGCGTTCTTGGCCCCCCCCAGCCTTGCCACTGCCATTTTCCTGTCCATTGGCTTTAGGTTTCCCCTCCCTCTGAGGGGAGCTCTTCCCAGATTTTGATTTCTCTTCATTAGCAGAAAGCACGACCATGCTTGCAGTAACAGCATTAAGCTGCTCCTTAATGGTTTGTTGCGCTGCAACTGCAGAAGTATCAGTCTGCCACTGGACATCATCATCACTGTCATCAGCCACTGCTGGTGCTTCGTGCTCGTCTGCCTGACTACCAGATGGGGAATGGTCCTCATCAGAGTGTTGGGACTTCTTCTTGCTCAGTGTCTTGGAAACAGCATCTTTTGGGACCTTTTTCTTTGCCACTTCTTTCTTTAATTTTTTCTGCTCTTCATCAGCTACTTCTCCTTCCTTGAGTCGTTCCTTCTCTGCCCTCCTCATGGCCTTCTTGTCTTTTGACCCTTTCTTTGCCTCTGGAGGATTCTTAAGAATAAATGTGGTTAGCTTGTCCCTCATGTCGACCTCTGAGATGAATCCACAAGCAGCACACTTAAGATTGATCATCTGCGACTTTGTTATGATTATTTCTGTCTCAGGATTCCGACAACCATAACATTGGACAAATTTCTTGATAAAGTTCTCAAGAAGTCCAGCAAGTTTTGAAGTATCATGAGCCCCATTAACATGAGAAGTCCCAGTCTTTTCATCAAACTTGGATTGAGCTCCCAGTTCACAGCCAAAATACTTAGTTGTGTAAGATGCAGGCCTGCCCAATGCCTTTGCAATGTCAACCATATTGACTATGTTGGTCTTGATGCCATTCCCACGGCCCTCAATTTTTGTTATCATTTTAGGCATCTTATACCTGTAAAAGGCATCATCCTTGTTCCCAGCACCAATGTTTAGCAAAGCCATTTTCTGTTTAGCCGTATATCAACTTTATCAGAAGATAAGGAAGTTGCCTTCTCTAGCAGTAGTTTCTTTGATGTGGTAAAAGCTCCTCACTGATGGAACAGGCCGCACAGACAGGCAACCGTGGCAGCGTATTATGTTTCCTTGGTGTGGCTCGTGATGCATGCAGCCAACTTCGAGACTAGAATTTGCCTCCTTTTTTCTTGATGAAGGACAATATTCTCCAAGCAGCCCAATTGACAATAACTGAGAGGCCCGTTCAGACATAAAAAACGGTTCTGGCTTAACAACCTCCACTTTTGCTATCTGCACCCACCAGAAATGCACCAGCCAAATCCTGATAACAGTTCAATCATTTATGGATGAGATGCAAACAAAAAACATTGAGCTTTGTAACAACAAATGCACTTTAAAAGAGGTGTTTGGCATGAGGTAAGAAAAACATTGTGTAATAAATAACATGTGAAAATTGCCATGTATCTTTAACTCAAACAAATAAGACATTTCTAATCTGCTGTAGAAGAAAAAAAAAACACTACAGCAGAAAGAAAGAGGATCAAACTACAGTCAGCATCCACGAAAAGAATAAAAGGGATAAAGTAGAGAAATCTTCCATCTTGCGGAAAAAAGAAAATAAAATAACAAACCAATAAAGCACTTCTCTGCAGCTGCAAAATGAAACACACTTTGCAACTGTTCTTCGTTAACAAAGATGCTTAATCTAAAAGATAAGCATATAATGTCGGTGGTTTGCACAAGATGATGCGAATCAGTCTGGTTAAAAAAGAAAAATCCAATCACAGGTTCTAAATAATTGATTTGACGAATGATTAAAAAAGCTCAAACCAATCAGGTCACCAGTTTAGAGTATGCACGTTGTATTTCCAAGGAAAAACTCAAAAGTTTTCAGATCCGATGGGCAATTACTAAGACTTAAAATAGCTATCATCCAAAACAAGAATCCAGACTAAACAATTCCCAACCAAAAAGTCAGCCAAGATAACCATGATCTCAATCTCAATCGAATCGTTCGAAAAGTAATAATCAAATGAAAAAACACAATAAACAAAGGCGCATCTGAGCACAGATCTAAATCCGATGAGAAACAAAAAATTAAGAAAAAAAAAAGGCGTATCATTGTTCGAAACACGTATAGCTAACAGTGACGACGATGGATAAAAAAGTGAAGAGAGAAGGTAGATGAGGGAAATACCTTAGTGAAGAGAAGGGGGGAGATTGCAGGCGGCGAGGCGAGGATATAGAAGCAGAAGATAGAGCGTGAGAGGGAGGGCGAGTGGCTGAGGAGTATTGAGGGAAGAAACGGAATGAGATGGGTGATGAGAAAGGGGCTGCTGCACACAAATATATATATATATGTAGAGAGAGAGAGAGAGAGAGACGGTTTAGAGACGGAAACCCTAGCTGCTCTGCTCTGGATTTGGATTTGGATTTGGATTTGGATTCGGATATGATTTTTGGTCGCCCGTCCACTGCAGTCGGGCTTTTGAATTTTCATCATCATCCATTCTATGTAAGGGCTGCTGCACTGCCAGCCCTAGCCCGGTCCGGTCCACATACCACAGTAAGATGAATTGCTACTCGTTTTTGCTAATACAATTCAGTAATGAAACGATGCGTGTATTTACATACTAATTTTATACTTAATATTATGTTTAGATGAATATTGTTGAAAAAAATATATATTGAATACACAAATATTTAAAAAAATTTCAAACATATTTTTCTAAAAAAATTAATATATTACACCTCTATCATTTTTATATTATTTTCACAATTCTATAAATCAAAAAATTTTATTCAAATTAAAACACAAAACAAACACACCAAGCTTGGCAGACTTTACAAGATTTATATTGTTCTTTTCTTTTTTTCTCAACAAATATAAAATTAAATATTTATTTATTATTTTAGTTTCATATCATGTCAATAATTAGTTAGAAAGTGAAATAGTATTAGAGATCATGGATTAGCAGAGAGAGCGTCCCGTCCCGTCCCGTCCAGTCCCATTGATCTATCCTCCATTTGAAGTTTTGATGCCAATCAGCTCTTCTTCTTCTTCGACAGGAAGCTGCAAAACATTTCCAGAGGAGGACCAAATGCTTGATACACCAACACCAACACCAACAACCAACCCAACAAACACAAATCATATCCATCCATCTGCTTATTAGTCTTATTATATTATTTTTGCTAATGCAATGCAATGTAATGCATCACCAACAGCAGCTGCAGCAACACTAACTGAACAGTAAGCACTTCATAAATAGCAAGTAAAGTAGTAGCTTTAGTAACAACAAACACAACCATAATAGCCTCAACCCCAAACAGCAGCGGCAGCAGGAGACGGAGACAGATCAGATAAAGCATCATCATCATCATCAGTCAGATGGCATTGAATTGAATTGAGTTGCAACGCCCTCCCTCCTTCAAACAAACCACCTTAACTAAATACTGCACACTTTTTACACCAGCCCGCATACCCACGCTTCTTTATCCACGTACATACATACATACATACTGTTGCAATGCAACGCAATGGCAACCCCACGCAAGCATAAGGATAGGAGGAGGTACTTGCCGTCATCTTCCCCACCCACTTCACTCACCATCACACCTCAATGAAATTCCATCTGCGCCGACCGAAAGCCCTTGCGTCCCAGTGCAGGCCCCCTGCACTGGAATTGGACTGGTTAATTGATTGCTATTCCGAATCTTCATAAACTTCTCAATTATCGGAAAATTCATCAAAAGCTCGAACATGTAATTGATATCCAAGCATTCCTCTAATTCTCCCAAACGGCCAACAAAATTGAGATCCTTCTTGTGATTTATTGGTGACAACTCACGCGTGCAACCAAACCGTCTGTATTCATTCACAAACCATCCAAGCAGCAACATTTTATCCTGAATCTCCAGTTCAGCATTTGTGGCTTGATCCCGAGAATTACCCTGATCAGACTCCTGATCTTTGTTCAAGTGCTTTATGATTATTTCACCAGTACAAGCATGTTTCAGCACATACCTCGTCACATCCAAATTTTCCCACACAATAAGCGTCTCGACAGCACCCATTTCCAGAACTTTCAACGTGTCCTCAACACCAAACGCATACTTGCCTGTGTCCTGACTAATCTCCTCAAAGTACTTCCCTATCAACCGCTTCTCTTGTATAAACTTCACATTAGACAGGATTTCAGAGGATAGCTCCATAGCCTGGTTGAAGCTATTTTCCCCTCCATCATTCAGAATTTTTGCTTGTAAACGGGGATCAAACATATCAGATTGACTGAGCTCAGTCTTGAAGTCAGCTATACCAGCTAGTATGAGTCCTGCCACATTGGGCTGGCTTGTCTGTGGATTGATGAAAAACTGGGTGGCAAGCTCTGCAGTTTTCCTCACATAGTTGTGCCGTTTCTCCATTCGCAGACGAGCAAACCGCAAAGCAGATTGTCCTCCTCTTCCATGTTTCTTGGGAAGGTCCACACTGAACTTGTGAAGAACCTCCCTGGTGTTACCACTCAAAGTTCCAAAAAGGGTTTCATTACTATCCATAAATATAAAAATAAACTTGTCATCAGATTTTAAAATTTCATTAAGAGCCTCAGTGTGGAACTTGTTGTCGCAGAGATAAAGTGAATGGCATTTATAGGCCTGAATGGCTCAAAGTCAATTGTCACTTTCTTTTCCTTCCCGTCTTCAGTTACTATGGTTCCAGTGTAAAACACAAGCCCGTTCGAAGGAACCTTGCTGTGCAATTTCAGTCTCTGCTAAGCGGAAGTAATCGCTGCAAGGACATATTGGCGATTCACCCCTGCTTTTGATGTTAGATGCAGTTCCGTATTCATCTCCAAGCATCTTAGTAACACGAGATATTTGATCGCGTGGAGGCATTATAAGAGAAATCATACTGGTGCCATCACCCTGAGCAACTTCCAAAGCCTTTATAAGCTTCTTGATCTTCCATATCTCGAGGTTCTTATCAACTTCGTGACCATCAGCCATTGGTTTTTATTGGAGTGAAGTCAAATAAAGTCCCAGGGAGGATGCTAAGGTAAGTTTATCTGACAAAAACAAAGAGAAGCAACTAAAACAAGGGTGGATTATGAAATTTCCATTCACACAACCAGATAGATAACACAAAAATGTAAATACGGCCTGGCTTACAATTATAGAGATTGCAGCCTTAGTTTTTAGGATAGAGAGGATATTGAAATACAACGCGAACCAAACTTGACCACATCACTAAAATGTGTGTGTCGCCTTTCCTTATCAAATACCAGCGCAACCAACATTGTAGCCTTTAGTCCTGTGCCGACAACGCAAGCAAGAATCTCCTGTGCTCGAATTTAAGCATGTTCAGTGACTACTTTTTACCTAGTCAAAAACTTTGGGCACTTAATAAATCACGGTTGGAAAGACTACCGTAAGGAAGCATAAAAAAAAGATCCATCCTTGAAAATTAGAACATGTTCATGACTTTCCCGTAAAACAGAATAGAGAACGTCGGCTGCTAACAACTGGTGATCTTTAGATCTACGCATTATAATCCAAAATTCAAAACATACGCGGATGAAGAGAATCATGGCGCAAAGACGATTGATCGGAAAATCTAAGAATATTAAATTAAAACCAACAGGTCTGAATAAAGAAGCAATCACAGATACGATTGAGACAAAGAGAAAGGGTCCAAAAATAAAAGAATTCAAAGGTACATGGCTTGCCTGCAAGCTTAAGAGAAATCCCTCGGATGACGAGAGCCAAGTGTTTTATCTTCATGCCACGGCAGCCCAGACGGAGAAAATAGGAGGACACCAATCGAAGGAGGCTAGCAGTGGTGTTATGTATATGCACACAGGGAGGGAGAGGGAGAGGGAGAGGGAGGGGGTCGGAGTAAGGAGAGGGGTGCGGTGTGCTATGGAGTGGAATAAATTCGACACGGAATCTGATTACATCACAAAATATTTATCGAAAAATTCTAATTAATTAAGGACAAATAATTTGTTAATATTTCTACCCAATTATTTATTTATTTATTTAACACGACCGCAATATTTTCTTTTCTTTTTGTTTTTTTATCTCTCTGAAATAAAAATACTATAATATTTTTAAAAATAAAAAATAATTTTATTTTATTATATCATTAAAATATCCATATATTTTTCTCATATGACACCATTTAATTTTTTAATGATTCTGTATTCACCTAAATTCTTATAGATTCAGTTTAATAATCGATTGATTGCGACATTAAAAATTATATCATTGGAGATGACGATGATATCAATAACATAATGAATGAAGCAATGAAGTAGTTAATTAATCAACAGTTAGCATGCATGAAGGTGCAGGTGCAGGAGCTAATGGGGGAGAGAAGAGAAGAATGGATGAGTTTTTAATGGGATGGAGGATGATTGATCGTTCTCGTCGCCTTTCAAGTCAATAAAGACTAGGGAGTAGTTACTAAATAAGAACAACAATAGACATTCATCCATACTATATAAATGAAGGTGAGTATAGATATGAAATTATGAATCGTATACCCATAGTTTAGTACCTACCATAACCAACCCAGATTTGGCATTGGCATTATGGTGATCGTTAATACTAATGACATGCACAGGACAGGACAGGGCATGCGAGTAGCTAAAATAAGCTACTTGTACAGTTGTACTGTAATTTGTAATTTTTGTATGTACTCACTCACTCGTCTCCACTGCTACTACGTTGTCTCCGTCTCCGTCTCCATCTCCATCTCAACTCAGTAATATAATAACAATAATAGTATTAGTCTTCTTTCTAATAAGTCGTCTAAGTCTAAACCCATTACCCATTACCCATTGCCCACCCGCGTCTGAGTCTGACCTGTTTGACATCCGAGAGAGAGAGAGAGAGAGAGAGAGAGGGTGTCTTTGCCTTTGGACCGCACCGCCAATGCCCAGCTGCATCCACTCTTTACATTACATTTCATGCTTAATGGTGGTGGTGTGGTATATTTAGTCTTAAATGAACGAACGAATGATTTAAGAAAGAGGAGCAGCGTTCAGGACAGCACAGTACAGGACAGGACAGCAGTCGCACGCATCTTATGTCATCTATTCAAACACATTTCCATCCCCATCCTTCCTCGTCTTCTTCTTCTTCTTCTCCTCCTCCTCCTCCAACCCCCACCCCCATCTGCCCAACCCCCCCAACCCAGCCGCCGCTTCCTCCTCTTCTCCACAGTTCCACCAACATTTCCCCACGCCGCCTAGCTCAAGAACACCCACCACCGTTTTTTAGTTTCAGACTAGTCTTTATCCTTTCCCCAAACCCTCCCTCCTGTTTTGCAAAAAAGTAGAAGAACAATCATGAAAAGTAAAAGCGGTGGAAAGGTTTCAGCTAAATGGATTCCAATTTTCTCGGTTTGTTTCTTCTTCATTGGCATGATTTTTACCAATAAGTATCTGTAAGTTGACGAATCTCGATTCTCTTTTCTTTTCTTTGGTTTCATTGATTTTGTATCATTTCCATTTTGTTTATTTATTTATTTTTGTTTCAACGAGGATTTGAGCGCCTGTGTTTTGTTCTGTAGATCATGGGGCAACTTGGAATCCAACAATCAGCTCATAACTCAGCAAAGGCGAGACCAAGAGTTGCAGATCGTCTCCGAGGATTGCAATACCAAGAAAAAGGTTCGATCTATGATGCTACCTAATTCTTGGAATTGCGACTTGAACTCCTGCTGGATTTGATTTCCAAGTCTCTATTTTTATTTTTATTTTTTTTGTTGTTACCTTGCTCTTGCGGACATCGCGCATTGTAAAATCCGATTATTTTTTATAAGATTTGCCGATTCCCAATTGAGGATCCGGTGTACCAATTAGATTTGTTGGGGTTTTAACTAGTTTAAGTATAAAGTATTCGCATTCTCAACCCTTTCCCAGATTTCCTTTTCCACCTATTTCTGGTATTTTATTGTTTATGTATAAGTCTGAATGTATTTGTGTATTCTGCATTAAGTGTTCATTTTTTTTCCCCCAATAGAAGACTGGCGATGAGGAAAAGGATGTAATGAATGAGGTGTACAAAACTCATGAGGCGATTCAGTGAGTTTAGATTAACCTATCATTACTTCCAGTTTGGTTCATGCTGATTACACAGACATATTAAAGATTTGTGTTTATTGATACCTTGAATTTTTGTTTGTTTGTTGTTTCAGGTCACTGGACAAATCAATTTCAATGCTCCAGATGGAGTTGTCTGCAGCTAGGAATGTTCAGGAGAAATTGAATCCTAATGATTCTTCCGCCACTTCTCATGAGGGTCCGCCAAGGAAAAAGGCGTTTATGGTAATTGGGATAAATACAGCTTTCAGCAGTAGGAAGAGGCGCGACTCTGTCCGAGAGACTTGGATGCCCCAGGGTAATCATACCTACTTAGAATATAACGGACTTGATTGTATACTTCCTTATGTCAAGCAGAATCTAACAAGAAATTTTATAATTTACTCAGGTGAGCAGCTTAGAAAATTGGAGCGAGAGAAGGGAATTGTTGTGAGGTTTATGATTGGTCATAGGTAAATTTTCCTACTTTGGATGTCCGTATTGTGCATTTGTATATTCTACACTGTCATACTGAATGCCAATAAACTCAGTATTATTCACATAGTCTCCCCTGAAGCAGAATTTATGCTCACCGCCACTTCCGTTTCTTCCCCTCTTAGCTTTTAGTGTAAAAGAGCAATCTCACGTTAGAAATTTCTTCAATGATTCCCTTTTGTGATAACTAAAATAGCAATTGGACGATAGCCAACCATATCCAATCGATATTCTGATGAATAATGGTAGGTTGTGGGTTGCTCAATAGTTATCTGCATTAGTCATTTCCTTACGTCCTAGCTTCTGTAATAACCATGTAGGAAGAAGTTGGGAAACCTGAGCACATATATTCCTACATAGTTGGAGCCTCATTGAAAAGATTTGAGGCATATTGTTGCCAACGAGTGTTGTGGCTAATTGCTCAGTATTTCAACCATGGGCTGCACAACACCTCATAATCAGAGAACAGTGGTGCTAACTTTTCAATAGTTATGTTTATGTTTCTTTGTTCTACTTTGTTACAACTTGGCAATCTAGATTCTCAATGCAAACTTTGTAGATTATCTGTATAATGTAATGTGATTTCCAGAAATTGCTAGAGGAGGTCATCATTCCATCATTCATTGATGCTTTTCTTGAAAACGTCAAGTTGACATTTAAAGTATTCAATATTTACTTTAGGTATTGGTCAGGTGAAAAATGCATGCAATTTGGTACAGGGTGCTGTGTTGCAATGTTCCAAGCTAATTTCCTTTTTGCCTTCTGCTTCTTTCATGAAGTGGAATTTGATCACAATACCCTTTGTACTATTGTGTTGAAGGATTTTTAGCCATAGCCATAGGCATAGAAGATTGATTGGATATCACAATACATTGTGTAGAATGGTTTTGTACTTTAGCTAGATCTAACAAAACTTTTCTTAACCATATAAGTTTTGTTTACAGCTGCATAGGCTTCTATGTACTGTGCTTCTTCTTATTATTGGGGTTCAGTGTCTTTCGTTTTGGGGAGCCATAAGACTATGAGAGTATTCGATTTCCAATGGTAAATACATAACCATAGGCACCTGCATTAACAATGGTTATTTCAAGACTTGTGTTTAGATTGAATAGTGCTCTTATATTACTGAAAGTTGGACAACCGTTATTTTAGTATTACTGCATGTAGTAACAAATAGAGCTTCCTAGAACATGAAAAATTAAGGCTCAGTCCATTTAGGTTTTCAATGCAAGACTTTCTGGATTCTCATTGCGTACTGTAAAGTATTACTTGAAGTGGCTAGAAGAGATAATAATTTCATCCGCACCCTTTCTTTTGCTTGGGTAGTGGGGAGCAGGAGTGGGTGAGCATGTCCTTTGTTTTTTCTTTTTTTGGACTTTGTGAACAGTTTATGCATCATGTTCGTATTGTCATGGTATCTGTTCCCAAAGTTGTTGATTGTGTTTTCCCTGCTTATCTTTTCAACACCTACAGAGTTTTGGACAATGGTGTTTCTAATGTTACAGGATGAGCAGAGTCAATTGAGCTTTTTGGTTCAGATAATGGACCCATCTTGCTGCATCTAGTTGTTGGATTCTATGTAAGCTGCACCTTGAAATGGAATGAAATAATAGATATGTATATTTCTTTGTTGATACAGTGCAACATCTAACAGCATATTAGATAGAGCTCTCGACTCCGAGGAGGCTCAACACCAGGACTTTCTCAGGCTGGTTTGTCCCTGTCCCTTTATTTTCTATCTTAAACATCTATGCAGGTCTAAAACCCAATCGCTCATTCTTGTAGGAGCATGTTGAAGGATATCATGAATTGTCTGCAAAAACAAAGATATTCTTTGCGACTGCTGTTGCAAAGTGGGATGCTGATTTTTATGTCAAGGTTGATGATGATGTTCATGTTAATTTGGGTATGCACCTTGTGACTGCTTAACACATTACATGACTTTAAGAAGATTTTGTGGCATTCAACTTTGCTGAGCGAGTGGTCTTTTGCCTCTATAGGGACCTTAGCGGCAACACTTGCCCGTCATCGATCAAAACCCAGAATTTACATAGGTTGTATGAAGTCTGGACCAGTTCTTTCTCAAAAGTAATCCCTGAAATCCATTATGCATTTTCTGTTTCATTTTCGCAATCGCTGTATTTAATTACTAGATTGTTGTCCAGGAATGTCAAGTACCATGAGCCAGAGTACTGGAAATTCGGAGAAGATGGAAATAAGTATTTCCGCCATGCGACTGGGCAGATTTATGCAATTTCAAAGGATTTAGCCACCTACATATCAATTAACCAGTAAGAAGCACTTGTCATAGTTATGGTGGAAGTTATGCTTAATTATGTATATGCCCATTCTACTCTTCTTTTTTTTTTTTTTTTTTCCTGTGAACATTACTGTTGGAAAGGCAAAGATGGGAAGCATATTATATACTGTCATTAGATAGTGAAGTTGTTGGTTGCTGTCTTCTTCTTCTTATTATTATTATTATTATTATTTTGCTTCTCCTCCCCAAATCCCTATCCCTTTCCCTGTCCCTGCTCTGCCCTGTCATTGTTGAAAAAGTCAGAATTTGGCAGTGTCATGAGTTTCTTTTCTAGGTTGACTTGCTAAGCACCGATTCCATTCCGTAATCTGGAACTGTTGTGGTTGAATATCTGCAGGCCGATACTGCACAAGTATGCCAATGAAGACGTGTCGCTTGGTTCTTGGTTTATTGGTCTTGAAGTTGAGCACATTGATGAGCGCAATATGTGCTGTGGTACACCACCAGGTAGGACATGGTTTTAGTTTCTGATGTTGGAAGTAGGGAAGGGCTGACTGACTTGAATTGACTGGAGTGTCTGTTTTGAATTTGCATTCGCCATTTGCATATTGCAGATTGTGAGTGGAAGGCACAGGCGGGCAATGTGTGCATCGCCTCCTTCGACTGGAGCTGCAGCGGCATATGCAGATCGGTGGAGAAGTTGAAATTCGTACATGAGCAGTGTGGTGAAGGAGAGGACGCCCTTTGGAATGCCTTGCTGTAGGAGGAGGGGGAGGATAAACAACAGAACCACACAAGCAGATGCTATAATATACTCTACTAGTATATATATACTTATACGTATGTATGTATGTCAGAAACCAAACCAATCCAATCCGATCCAAATATGCAGGGCATTGCAAATTTGCTGCATGTTCATGTTGAATCAATCTCCCCTTGTTTCATTACAGACGCACGTACGCTAGCTCACTGACTGACTGACTGACCGGTAGAATGAATACTAGTGGCAGATCAGATCAGATCAGTTTGGAGTGAGAGAGAAGAGCAGCCAAGTAAGTAGTAGCGGATGAATGGATGATAGAGGGGGGGCGAGGGAGGGGGAGAGACGCCACACCCTCGCCCACGCCCATTCAGCCCGGAGCAGGCAGGATTTCTTGGTCTGTATAACTGCGAGCGACACTCCTATGATTGTCATTATTATTTTGTGTAGATAGATATGCAAGCAAGCAGTGGCCTAAATTCTTTTCGGCAGAAGCACTAGTACTACACTATACTATTACTATTACTATACCCCTTTTGAGTAAGTTTTGGCCGAATATTCTACTTGTATTACTACTTACTGTGCCTTACCATTCAATACACATTTAGATTTTCTCTTCCTTACTTATTAACCAAACAATACAATACAATACATGATGGTTGGATTTGGAGTGTGTTTGGTTACCATCCCTAATTAGGTTAACGTTATGCTCTCAACTCTCTTCCTTCTTAAATGCTAATACTTCCCTTCACTTGGTAAAAGATTTTCTTATGGCCTTTTGTTTTGCTCCTTTTTCGTTCTGCTTGCTAGCTGGCTGGCTCACTCTTTCTTTCTTTCTTTATTGAGACAATTGTTCATAATTTACTCTTAGTTTAACAAGTTTATACTATTCTTTCATAATTTAAAATTTTAGTAAACTCTTTACTGTTTTAGAAAATATTGCTTATTACAAAAAAAAATATCAAGTCAGCCTTCAATTAATACACACTTATTAATTAAAAATTAAATAAATAATACCAAATATATATATATATATAAATCTAAAATAAAAAGATCAAAATGCAAAATATAATAGTTATCTCTGTAGAATGGAGGAAGCTAAGAGTAGTCCTAATTTATTTTTTAAGGAAGAGATGAAGCCAACCGGAAAAAGTTTATGGAGATAAGCTCTTACTCTACTCTACTGGCGGCCTGGCATGATATAGTGTTGTATCAGATAGTTCCCCTCCCCTCTTCATTACTCTTAAACCACAAACTACGTCCGGTCAGATTGAGTCCCACTTATCTCTCCCTCCCTCTCTCTCTCTCTCTCTCTCTCTCTCTCTATTGACAAGTGTTCTTTTCAGTAATTTCTTCCAAAAAGCTCTACTTTTGTGTACTGAACAGGCAAATCCACCACAACTTCATTCAAACCTTTTGCACATACAATGGTTTAGGTAGGTGTTCAGGCGCACTTGGCGGGAGCAGCAGCAGCAGCAGCAGCAGCATATTTCTTCACAAACACGCCCCAGCCCCTTTCCATGGATGAAGTGGATCTGGGAAAAGAACCATGGGGTCTGTTAAATTACTTCCTTCTGGCCTCTCTGCGACCTTGCAAACTGCCCAGATTTTGACAGATCAAAATTTTGGACACTCCACTACTACTAGCTCAGAGTCTCACTTCCACCAAAACCAGTTTCGTCTTTGAGGAGGAATCAACACTTTGCAAGGCATCCTAAATCACTCACTTGTTGAATCCTCTGAAATGGTATTCCACGAATGAGGAATTATGCAACAAAATTGCACATGTAAGAGAACAAAGGAAGGTGTGGGCATGTTGAAGGAAGAAGAAGAAAGAGGAAGGGAGAGGAGGACACAAAGAAGCAAAACAAAAGCTTTCGGGAGTTTTCCTCCCTAGTTGAGCTCACAGGTTGGTGATCCATCTGACCGTAGATGAAGTAGAAGTTTTGCTACGTAATTGGAGGCAACTGGTAATCCATCATGTCTCGACCCTGCCTTGAAAAAGGTTCATCTTGTTCGTTATCTACTTGCTACAGAAATCACCCACAACTTAGAACACCTAAAATCTCAAAAGGATTCTGAAACCGATGGGTGTGTGCAGAAGGAATATCATATCATCTACAGTTCCAGAAGATAGATAGATACATACATACATAATTCAGGAGCAAAATTCCAATTTTACTTGCACAGAAGCAGAAAACTTGGAATTGAAATCTATTTCGAAACCTGGATATATACATATACAAGAAGCAATCCCATGTTATGCAAGATGGTTCGGTTTGGTACATGCAAGAACTACTAATTCAACAGCTTAAAATAAAACACTTGTATGCCGATGGCGCCATCCATTCTTCTGACGTTACAATGCAATGCTATGCTATGCTTTGAATTTATAAAGTACTTACCGGGCAGTGAGTGAGACCTCCCTCCTCTCGTCTTGGCCTGTGGCTGGCTATTGTCAGTTCTGGCTGGACTGGAACATCATCATATTCATATCATAATGTTGCTGTTTGTTAGATTGTAATCTTCTGTACATGGCAGATCCATAAACTACTTCAAGACATTAAAGGGATGATCAGCTTTGCTCCTTATAAGGAGTCCATATCAATTTACTGACATCAACTTCAAGACCGCCACGGCCTGCAGCTTTAAGATGGCGATCAAGGACCTTCGGATCTGCACATATGACATGCTGCCCTTTTCGATATTGAATCAGCTCTAGGCTCTGAAGGGTCGAAAGGATATCCTCTGCTTTGATGGCTGTCATGTCACTCAGCTCCTGTAGGAAGAGAGAAAGCCGGTTGATTATATGAAGCAAGATCCTGCATGCATAATGCAACGACATTTGTACCCATCTCCCTGCTGCTCAAGCTCAACCACTACAATGTCCAAGGCCTATTCAACTTACCTTAATTGAGATGTTGCCTTTGTGCTTTTTCAGTATATCTAGAAGGACACGTGTCCAGTATCCCCTGTAACTTAAGAGACCCAGGTCCGAGAGCGGCCTCTCAGGTGTTCCAACTTTACCTTCCTTCTTTGAAAGTTCATATGCTGTATGTATGGCCAGGTCAGAGTTAGGAGCACAGACAGAGCAACACCAAGTAATAAAAGTGGCTTTATTGTATGAACAACAATGCAAATACCCAAGGATAGATGATAAAAGGAAGTTCTTACAAAAAGCAATCAAAAATTTTCCGTATCCTTTTCTCTGATATGGAGGAAGAGTAAGTATACAAGCTAAATTGTAGGACTCCTCAGAATGTTTCTCCTGCACATCAATCCAATATAAGTTAGGAAAACTAAATATTGACTCTCATATTTTATATGCACTGTTTCACGAATGTTACAAGTGTCATAATTTTGGGATATAGATGTTATCATTTAAAAATTCCAGTTAGTATTTAGAAACGACAAAAATAAAAGCAGTTGGTACTTAAAAACAACAACACTTTAGGGTGGAGAAGACATTGTGTCTACCAAGTAGAATTTATAATTGTCTCTTATGCCAAATTGGAGAAGATATAGATTAAAGCTGGTGCAACATCAGTATATATAATATATCCTTTAAATTCAGAAGTTACAATTTTGATGAAGAAAGATATCAATGTGAAAACAAACAAATCATTACTTTTCCTGAAATGGAAATGTAGGCAGTATACATTAAAGTTTTCAAGCCACCATAAAAAGAAAAAATATAATAATAAAAAAACTACCTTGGAGAAGTATCCAACCATGTGGCATCCTCGGTCGTCACATTCACACAGCACATAAAATAGAAACAGATCGACATCATAGTACAGGGTCTTGTGATCAAGAAACAATTTCGCCAAATAGCATAGATTTTGCCCATAAACCTTGTTCTTTTTGCCATCAACCTGTTTCCAGTGATTCTAAATTTGTTAAAACCTCTTACCAACAGCTGATATGATAAATGTTGTCCCAGGTGCAATCATATTAACATATCCAATGCTGAAGAACAAACTGAAGGACAGCTGGAGAAATCATCAAAAGCAATTCTTGTTTCCAAATATAATAAAATGTAATAAAAGAAGTTGCGAAATTATCACCTCAAACATTGACAAGGTTCCATTTCGATATATCTCATCACCTGGAGGATGCTTGAGATCACATTTCCTCTGCAGATTAAAAAATAGATAAGGTAAAAACCCAGTACAACAGCCCATTTTAAGCAAAGCAAAGATAAAGCATATATCACTTCATATACAAGTGGAAGAACCAGCCATACAGATGTCCAGCTTGATAATTGCATATGCAACAGCATAAAATGCATCACTTAGATGCATTAATTACATATTTATTACAGAACCACCACCTTAAAACAGATGAAAAGGAGAGGATTCTCACCATATGCCTCTGGAGTTGTTCTTTCCGCTTCATGAAATTCAGGCAAAATTCACAAAAGAACAGCTTGGTACAGTCATTGTATTCTGGAGGAAATGGGGAAAAGTACCAAGTTTCTATCTCATATCTTCCAAGTTCTATTTTGGCAATATTTTTAACTTTTGTAAACTCCTCATGTTCACGTAAGCTAGCAGCATCGAGCTCCTCATGGCCCTGTATAGCCACACAAAAAGTACAAAAACACATGTGCAAACAAGTTATGAACTTGTAGACTATGAATAAGCATCATCATCCCATTTCCTAAGGACCCCTGCAAAGGTGTCCGTGGTAAAACCATGTCACGTTGACAAAGTCCTTCTATAGTCGGCAAAGGAATGAGTAAATGAAATACAAATTACGACAATATACGAAAAATACAAAACATTATCAAACAGAAATACCTCCACATGTGTCTCATCAATCTTTCGCTTCTGATGCCTAGTCATTTTCAAGCTTGTTACCTGGGAAATTTTAAACATGTGCATATAAAATGTGGACAGGTACTATTGGGATCTTCAGTGGAAAATAACGGTGTTAACTGAAGAAACATACGAGTTTGTCATTTACAAAGGAAGTAACTATACTGAACCTCCTCAGACAACAAAATGGAGACGAATAGTAATTTGTACGCATATCAAAGATGAATTTTAGTTGGAAACGAATCTTCCAAATGGGGAACCTATATTGAACCTCAGAAAAAACTGCAGTAAACAAATATGTTAATAATATGTTACCTTGTCCTCGACCTTCTCATCCACATCAGTTTCCACTGAGTCAAGATCAAGTTGTTCAAGTTTTACCCATTCATCAAGTCTCCGGTTAACTACACAAGCAAGCAAACATACAATCAGGTGACAAAAGGGAAGAAGGAGTAGCAATCTGCCGCATCATCCAAATGCCACAAGGAAAGAAAATTCCGAAGTTCATCCAGAATCTGGCAAGTTTCTGATAAGGGGAATGCTACCAGGGTTTCCCGTGGTTTATTAAAATTGAATAAAATTTCTTCAATTCAAATTGAAGTAGTGCGGTGGATGCCGATTCAAAGAAAAGTAACGAACTTTCTTCAACATCAAGAAGACGCTAACATCACAAAGAAACCATTTCAAAATCAAGCGCCCCCTAAAGCATGGGAGGCACCGACGAAACCCTAGATTTGAAAATAAATTAAAAGAAGCACAATTCTCACATTCGGTGTAGTGAACGTAGTACTCGTAATCGTTAGATCCATCGGAAGAGAGCTTGCGGCGCTCAATAACCTTAACAGGATGGTACTTTCCATCCCGCCACCGGCAATTGACACGGGTCCCGACCTCCAGGGGGAGAATGGTCAGTTTCCTCTTCCGAGAGGGGTCAATCTCCGGCTGAGAAGCCCCCCCGTTGGAGAGGGATGCCGGAGGTGATGGGGCCCCGTCGGAAGTGGCAGCTTTAGCGGCGGGTCCATGGCCGTTGGTTGTAACGCCGTTGTCGATTGAAACCATATCTGCGCTCGGTATGTGCAATTGGAAGACCGCCGCCGCTTTATGCCTCGCCTCGCACTATTAGTTTAGTATGTATTGTCAGTATGGTTAGTTAAGGTCGGTCTCGGTCTCGGTCTCGGTCTCGGTCTCGGTCATCTTCTTCTTCTGAATCTCATCCGCTTATTTGCTAAAAGCCGCCCGTGGAGTTGATGTATATCAGAAAAGCCCCCATTTTTTTATTTTTTTTTTAAAAGCCCTCATTTTTTTTTTGGGATTTAAGATTTTGAGTTGAGATTTAAATTATCTCTCCGTCTCATAAGTAAATATTCATTTGTTTTTAGAAATATTAGTACTATATTGGAATATAGTATGAATAAAATAACAATAACTAAAATAACATTAAATGTGCGATATAAGGTAATGACATTTGTATAATAAGTTGTAAGGATATTTGTAATATTAGGTAGATAGAACAATTACTAAAAAAAAATGAAATGGATACTAGACTAAAATAAAAAAATTGATACTTTGTTATGGGACGGAGGGAGTAATAAAAATTTTGAATTTGAATAATTGTATGATGTGATATAAATAGGTGTTGATGTGATGTTTTGAATATAAAAGTAATTTTTAAGATAATATAAAAAATAAAAAATATATGTTTAATTTGATTTTTTTTAAGAGAAAAAATAGAATAAATAATGTATTTAAAATATAATCACCGAACAAACACACCTTGAACTTAAGATTTTAATTTATATTTTGATAGACTAATATACAATATATATATATATATATATTATAAATCACATCTAAAATGAATAGTATTTTTTAAAAAAAATAAAAATTACTTAATATATAAATTAATACTCCTACTAATAATAATAATTTAAAATTATCATACTTTTAAGATTATTTACATGTGTTTCTTATATTTTTTACTAGCCTATTACCGGTGCATAGGACCGGTAATTATAGAAATTGTGATATTAATTTAATTTTATATTTTAAATAATATATTTTATTTTGACAATAAAATTTTGTATGAAAATAACAAAAATTAATTTATATAAAAAATAAACTATAAATAAAAATATGAAAACTAAAACAAAATAAAGAATATTAAGTAAGTTAATCAAAATTTTCAATTTAAACCTAAAAATAATAGAGATAAAAAATAATTATTCAAAATCACTCTTAGATTTAAAAGAAGTTTGTCGTTAGTCTTCAGTTGAAAACAATATTCAAATAATATAGTAAATAATATATATATATATATAGTAACAAAAGAAAACTAAACAAATAATATTAAATAAATCATAAATCAAATAAAATTTATATACCATTTTAAATTCAAACATAAATTACATTTAAAATATTTATTTACACTGTTATTAAATGAAACATTACAATAAATTTTGAAATAAATTCATATTATTGATAAAAATAAAAAAACAAAAACAAATAGACTAACAAAACTAAAATTAAATATTGCAGAGTAATAAATAATAAAAATTATAAATTACAAAATTCATAAAAGTGAAGTCAAATATAAGTTAGATTAAAACTATTTATTAACAAATTATATTAGATAAAAACAAAATACTCAACATTTGAATATAATTTCAATTTTCAACAAAAAAAAAAAATGTATTAATATAATAATATTCTAAACCAAATTAATTAGAAAAAATACAATAAATAAGAATTGATTAGTAAAAAAATAACAAAAAACAAATAAAAACATAGAAAATAAAAATAAAGTACTAAAATTAAAATATAATAATTTTATAAATTAGGAAAAAAAATATTTTAATATAATATTAAAAACCAAATCAATTAAATAATAATTAATAAAAAATTGATTATTAGCAAATAAAAATAACAAAATTTATAATTAAAAAATATAAGAATAAAAGTACTAACTAAAAATATTTATATATATATATATATATTAAAATTTACCATAATTTTCTTTATGGTTTCATTAGAAAAAAAACAAATACTCTATAAGAATGAAAAATATTTTATGAATAGAAAATAAAAATAACACAATAGATAATTTTAAAAAATCCATATACAATAATAACAATAATAGAGTATTAGAACATTATATTTAGAAACTAAATAAAATAGTAAATGCATACATAATAAAAATGAAAAATATTTTATATCAATAAAAAATAAGAATAATACAATAGATAATTTTTAAAAATATATATACAATATGAAGTATTAAAACATTATACTCGAAACTAAATAAATTTATAAATAAATATAATAAAAATAAAAAAGAATCTGATTAGTAAAAAATTAAAATTAATTTAATAATATTATTATACATAAAATAAATAAACAAAAGACAAAAAATACTATATCTGATTTTTTTTTCTTTTTTCTGCTTCTTTTCTTTTTCTTCTATTTTTTTCTTCTATTTTTTTTTATCTTTGTTTTTTTTTTTTAGATTTTTTTATAGTATGTATAAAAAAATTGATTAGTGAAAATTTAAGTATAATTTAAAATTTATAAGTCAAAGAAAACAAATTTATTATAAAATTTTCACTATATAAAGAAGGATAAAAAATTATATGCATAACTAATATATAAAAGAAATAATGATATTTGTTTATGTGAAAAATCATTCACTTCCCTTCGTAAATAAAATATAAAAAAAAGTAATTACGCAAAAACCCTTTTAAGGTAAAAAAATAAAATAAAAAATCACGCGTTGTCCGTCGAAAATTCACAATAATGAAATAAAATATAAGAATTTTTAATAATACATATAAACGTGTTCAATCATCATTAAATCAACCAACAAACGACCTATTTAAGAAAAATAAAGATAAAAAAGAACAAACCTGAAGATTGTCATTAAGTGGGATTGGCGTTTTTAATAACCTGCGCAGTGTTGGACGAAAATCTCATAATAATTTTTGTTATAATGTCTTAGGTATATATAGAAATACAAAACTTTACTTTATACATATCTTTGTTATTTATTATGTCGATAAATCTGAATTTTGTTAGATTAGTTGTTATTCTAACAAATTTTAATTAATTATCCGAACTTATTATTTAAAAAATAAAAAAATTCCAAAATTATATGATATGATATGATATATGATGATATGATATGATAGGATAAAATTTCATCTGTTCTTGTGACTTAGGTTATATAACAAAGTTAAATTTTGGGTTTTACAATTTTTTATTTTTTTTAGATTGACAAAAATTGTCAAATATTAATCCACCATTATATTTTTTTATATATTTTTATTTATCAATTTATCGATTTTATAAATTTTGAGCTTACTTTTTCAAAATTTAATTGCATCAATTAAATAATTAATTGATTATCTAACAAAATATTATTTGACAAAAAATTATTTAGAAGAGAGATTGTTAATCTATATTAAAAAAATAAGGTATCGTCAATAAAATTTTTGAGGTCATAGATCCAACCCACACACCACTAAGTAATCCCTTACGGGACAAATGTATAAATAGTGTTTATATATATATATATATGATGTAGTTTAAGAGAATGACTCCACATTGAGCAATTGTTGGTTAAGTGACGTGGAAGTCACCTTCGGTGAATTATGTTTTATTTGAAATTCAAAATTCAAAATTTAATTTATTGTTATTGTCTTTAATTATAACTTATTGTAATTTATTTTCATTTTAAATCCCTGCCTGCCTTAGGACTATTGGGATTATGTAGGAAATAAAGTATGGATAAATTATCCTTGATGAACACATCGCTGTTCTTGTTCCTGTTCCTCAACGATACCCTTGCACCACATCAGCCACGCACACGGCAAGGCAAGGCAAGCATTGGGAAGATCAGCTAGCTGATACTATAGAGTCGTAGCAAGCGATCACATTAGCTCCTCCATTCTTCATCTCCATTATTTTCAACCTAAACTGACTTAGTATGTAGTAGTAATCAATCAATCAATCCAATAAACTAATTAATTTTTTGGATCCACTCCACTCATGGATCACATGATTCAATAAACATAATGTTGTTATAAATCCACTATCACTAAAAACAACCTACCTACCAGGAACATCGATCCATCATCTGAAACCCACCCACCCAAGATGGATCCATAGATCATCTGCTTATGCTTCCTTATTGTGAGGCGATTAACAGAATCCCTGCCTGCTTGAGGAGATGATGATGCATTTGCCAAATGCTCGCTCGCTCGCTCTTCTTGATTGTGACGAAAATAATAATAAGTGCATTACTAAACAGCAAACAGTTATACTGTGAAGGGAGTTACTCAAAAATGCCGTTCATTATATATGAGTGATTATATGTGAGGGAGTTACACCACTACTACTACTACTACTACTACTAATAATAGTAATAATTAATTGATTAATCAATTAATGTGCCTCTGCCTGTGGGAGTGAGTGCCGAGTGCGTGTCTGTCAGTCAGATGAGATGATGTTACATTCATGGCGATGATGGAACTGGATAGGAATTTTGCAGATGGCATCGTAGTTTTGCCTCTACCAGCTCATTTATTGATCGATTGATTGCTAGAGACAAGAGGGGTGGGTGGATCGATGGAGGGAGGATGCAGACTATTAAACACAACTAACCAATAGGATATTAATATATGATATGGAAATGGATGGCGTGATTGAGACTGACTGATTGATTGTGTGGGAGAGGGAGTGTAAATTATACTAATGGAGGAGAATTCATGGAGGAGGAGGGGGAGGAGGAGAATTCATGGAGGAGGAGGAGAATTCATGAGTTGGTACCATCCTAATCCTAATCCTAATCCTATCTGGCTATCCATCTGTACAGTTATTACTTTCCAAATTAATGAATAGGAATGCATGCATTCCATCAAAGGCCGCTCGACTAAAATCTTGTCGGCCTTTGGGCAAGCCTGCCACCCCCGCCCCGACCATATGTTGCCTTGATCCGGGACCGGTCATACGCATAAGGCATACGGTTGGGTTGTTCAGCTGAGGAGGAGCTGTCCTAGTAGCTGGCTGCCTAGTTATTCGACATTATCGCTGCTGCTGCTGCTGCTGCTGCTGCTGCAATCATTATCAATCAATGTGGCTGATGATTTACTTACATACTTCACATCATCCCTTCTTCTCCTCCTCGTTTCCCCCCTCCACCCACAAACAACATTTTCAGTGAAATACAGTAATAGCATAGCACTGCTGATATTCATACAAAACTCTTAACATGTATGTACAATACATACGCACTCATACATTTACACCGTCAGTCAGTCAGTCCGTCCGTCCTTACACCTCCCAACACCGGCTGATCCACAAAAACAGCATTCAGCCCCCTCCCCCTGATCGGAGGAGGAGTTTGGAGTGGAGGGGGAGTCATCTTAGCACCCCCTCAGGCTCAGTCAACCTACAATAAATAAATAAATAAATAAATCAATAAATACAACATAAATAAACAAAACAATTGCTGCAAGGGCTTCATTTCATCCCTCGTTCTGGATTTCTTTTTGTCAAATATACTCCGATGATCCTCGCCACAAACATCACCTATCCTCAATAAATATTCTGCCCAAGAAGTCCCTAAATCTTTTTGAGTAGAGTTTTGGGTCCACAGCTGAAATTGAGCTTGGATCCACCTGCAAGGATTTGTATGCATGCTCCAGCTTCTTGCTGATGTCGTAGTCTTGCAAAATGTCTATGATCCCAAAGTAGAGGACTACTTCGTAAATTTCACCAGCGCCAGGGCCAGCAGCATACTGACGATCAAAATCACTCCTCCTCCCTACACGCTCTGCCCGTGCTGGCATGTTGGCCCCTAACCTCATCAGTGGTTTCCTAATAATAACACAACACACACAAAAACAAACATATTTGAGCCGCCAACTCAGGAAAACCTGTTTCAACCTTAATGGTGAAAAGTGAACATTTCTTCATCTTTAAGTTGAAAGAAAATATAAACATTCGAAACAAGGCCTCAACCATTACAACAATAAATGATTAATCACAACTAGTTCTAGTTGCAAATTATGTCCTCACATCCAAACACACTGATGATCACACAAACAGCATCTTCCTTGTATGTGCCAGCCAAAGCAGAAAACGAAAAATGCACATCAAACAATGTACCTGCCAGCTAATATTCGATCTCTATCCTGTAGTTCGGCTTCAAGGAAACGACACCCCCTCATGAACTTTTCATTTTGGTAAGAGTAACTTCCTGCAAAGTAAAAGTTTTGACCTAAGAAATATTCAACTGCCAGAAACCAGTGCAAAATTTCAAATGCGTTGAATAACATGACTTTGCAAGGGTAATTACCTGTTCGCAACATGAAAGGTGACAAGCCAATTTTATCTCCTGTACGATCATGGCGAAAATGAAGACCTACTAAGAGACTGTAATCCATGATTCTCTCAGCTTCCAAGAACTTACAGTCACAATCAATTTGGCTGGACAGAAGATCAGCAGAGTAAGAAAATTGTTCAAACATAAATAAACATTACAAGCCACAGATTTTAAGACTCTAGGACTAACTTCATAAGTTCTCGATACCACTTTGTTTGTAGACGGAATACAAAGTCAAGGTCAAGGTCCTTGAGAGTTGTGGTCTCATCAATCTCATCGTGAGGTTTATTGGTTGTTCGGCCATGCGACGATCCTTTCAAATCAAATCTTTTGTGAATTTGATATGCTGAGCAGAACATATTTCCCATCACAAGGAACCGGGTCTAATTAGAAGCAACATTGAACACAAGTTAATTGATTGTTGGCGATTTTTAACACCAACTAGGAACTTGCATAACACCAATGTCTAATTACCTTGACCCCTCCCACTGGTTTGACACAATGAACTCCGTAGAACTTTGTTACGAGAGTATTTTGATAGTAGCAGAAATGTTGATAATAACTTGGAAGCATTCTAATAAGAGCCTGAAAAGATACAATTAAACTTTAGTTTTCCAGTGACAATTGGCCACGAGATTATGCAATTGAGTAGGCTTCTACAGAATTCCAACATAGCAGAGACCAGTGCAGATAGAAGTGTTGATTGTCGCTAGCTACTCTATATTCATGATGCTAAAGAGGTAGGCACAAAATTAACCTTCACTTCTGATTTCTTCACTGTCTTGATCATAAATTGATCATCCTGAGTCATGTAAAACAAACTTCCACTCTTCCCGGGAGATGAAAGTTCTCTCAAAGCATCATCTCCACAAACGGATAACATGTATTCAGCAGTATCTACTTGAAATAGTTCCCTCAACCGTCTACATAAACCAATAAAGAGAGCAACATAAAACTACAACTGAGAAAAAGGGCACATGCATGCATGTCAGGATAATAAACTTATTCTATAGCCAAAAAAAAACTCTAAAGCACCTCATACAGCCAGATTGTATAGTATTTTACCTAAATACCAAAGGACAATAGTCCTTCCACCGGAACTCTATGGATTGATGAGGCGGTGTACATTTAGATCCCTCTGGCGGAAACCTTGTCCAGAATTTTTCCTTGGGATCAAAATCACTTGGATTAAGAGCTCGCCGTATAGAAGCATGCCTCCCCACGGAATGCCTAATATAACAACACACCCCATAAGAAATCAAAGCAAAAACAATTTTCATATCTTCATAAAAGGGATATATATGCAAAGCTGATAAAATAGTGAATCTTAAGGCGCTACCTGATACCCAATTGGAGATTGAGCATTAGATTATAATTCTTATGCCCTTTTGAGACTGTATGCCCTGGTTTCTTCTCTTCTCCTCGAATAGATAAAGATTTCCTCTGAAATTGTCTTACCAAGTCTCCATGGACCGCAAACCCATCTCTACACAGCATAGATGGCTCTATATTATCAAAAATATCACAAGTTATATCCCCAGCTTCCCCTTCCGATTCCCAAATGCAAATCCTCGGAAAAGCCCTTTCCACGGCCCCATTCCCATCATCACAGGACGACCTTTTCTTTCCCCCAAGCTCATCCCCAATCACCCAATCAGAATCATCGCTGCCTGCCACCAACGGAGCAGATATTTGGCTGCTGAAGGACCCCTTGGCATACTCATCATCATTAACACAACCATTATTGGCAATTTGACTAGGGTAAGAGGTTCCATTCACAGTGTGGGTTTTATCGCTATTCTTGGCAGAATTGTTTAGACTGCTGGATCCAACAGAACTGAAATACCCCTGGCCTTTGGGGATGCCATTCTCCCAATTACCCTCAAATATATTTCCATTGCTCCAAATCAAAGTTCCTCTGCCGTGAATCATCCCGTTTTTCCACTCCCCAACATACTCATTTCCATTCTTCCACAGATATCTCCCATGTCCATCGAGCAGGTCTTTTTTCCAGTGCCCCTTATAGACATCCCCATTAATGTAATGCTTGACCCCGTAGCCCTGCTTACGATCTCCGCACCAGGATCCTCGATATGTATCCCCGTGGGAGCCGATAAAGGTGCCGGTGCCTTCCATCCGGCCAGACTTGAATTCACCCTCATAGGTTGCGCCAGAAGGCCAGGAAAACTTGCCCTTCCCACTGGCTTTCCCTTTCTTCCACTCCCCTTGGTACATACACCCATCCTTCCATAAGTACTTTCCCAACCCGTGCGGTACATTATTAGAGAAGTCTCCGATGTATAGATCCCCATTGGGGAGGCGTTTCTCGATGGCGTTACCATCAGATATGGAAGTGGGCGACACTCTGCGGCAGGTGGCCTGAGATTTGCTTCGGGGAACAGTTACAAGTGATTTGGGGGTGGCGGCGGTTGTGGTGGTGGTCTCAGGAGACCTCTCGCTTGCCAAATCGGAAATCTCTTGGTACGACTCTTCAATGTCGATTGTTGGCTTCAAGCAGAAAAATGTGTCGGGCATTTTGCCCTTTTTCCGATTACGCTGGGTTAATTGTCCGTGTGTCTGTCTCGTCTGTCAGCAGCACGATTTGTGGAGGCTGTGAAGATGAGAAATTCAAGATAAACACGGGCCCTGAGAAGGGGGGAGAGGGAGAGAGGAGGGGTATGAATGAAGGAAGAAGAAGATATACACTGCACCTAAGTCCGCAATGAATGACGGAATGAATGAAGCAGCAGCAGAGCGAGGAGCAGACGCTGATTGGCGATGGGGATGGCTGGATTGGATACGGAAGATGAGGAGTATGGAACGGAACGGAATGGGGGGTTCATTCGTGTGCGTGCATTTGGTTGATGTGAAATTATTATTGCTCTTAACTCTCAACCCCTCCAATAATCAATAATCAATAATCAATACTGATAATTGTGTCGTGTATGCAACGAAGCAGCAGCAGCAGCAGCAGCAGCAGCAGGTGGTGCTCCACAAATAAATAAATAAATTAAAAGTAAATAAATGAATGAATGCCTTGATGTGTGATTCCGACACCACCCCTCGCTCGAGTTCAGATCACCCGTAATGTCTTCATCATCCATATTGGACTGCCATCTGTACTTATTTCTTTTACATATAATATGTCAACTTATTAGTCGCCAGGTTGAGGTTGACTTGAACCGCCGCCCCCATCATTCTTTTTCCCCATTCATATGTATCCTTATTATTATTATTATTATTTCGGAACTTTTATTTTTTTACTGTTTGTTGAGTTCAAGTTTGGAGCAGTATAACTAAGTCATGTAACCTCATTGAGTATGGTTAAAACATTCATCTAGTGGTGTCGGCAAGCAAATAGCAAATTCCTAATGTTTTCAAAATTCCTCTGTGATATATAATTTGACCTGTGGATATAGAAAAAAAGAAAATTTAAAATTATAACGGTGGTAAATGGAAGAAAATTTTGAACTTTAATGTAGTAAAATACCTAATCGTGAGCGAAGAATTTCAAAGAATTTGAATATTATGTTGGACCTACGCCTATCACAAGTATAAAGCATATGGGCAAATTTAGATCAAGATCAATGTTGAAGGGTTTAGGGATAAAGTGACATCCGATCCATTGAAATCATTAGTATTGGACTATAGAGCTTTAGTCCATCCCTGCAACAATTCATAAATTACAGAATCTTATACCTCAATAAACTTTGACATTATTTACATTGTTGATGGCTAGTTGTTAAAAATAATAGATCATCTCTAATAAGATAAAAGTTAGAGCGAGTGTGATTTTGGCACATTAAAATATATATATATATATATTGAATTAATGAAAATATTGTTGTACTTGTCTAATTTTCTATCAAAAAAACATATATATATATATATTATTGGTGAGTTTCTAGATTGTATCTAGATATTTTAAGTTTTGAAATAAAATTAAAAAAATAATTTCAGATGAGTCTAAACTGAGCGAGAAACAGAATTTGACCAATAGTGAAAAAATTAGTAAAATTATTCTAATAAAGCAATAACATGAAGTTGAGCATAGCGGTGGACTTAGTGAGCGGAGCGGAAAATGTATAGGTGAAGCAGAGCGATGATGGATTAAATGAAAATAAAGCATAGGTGAGTGGAGCATATATATGTTTAGTAAGGAAAATAGGGAACAACTCTTGTGAGCAAAAATGGTATGCGAGCCATAATAATTCTATAATAGGATAAATTAAGATGTTTGTGTCTGGGATAACTTGGGTTTTTAAATGGCTAGATCTTCTTAAATGAAACAAACGAGATTCTTGACTCAACTTATATTTGATCTTAGTAATTTATAGTCATATTTCAATACTGATAACTATTTTACTCAAGTGAAATTTTGAATCAAACTAAACCAAATACTAATAAAAATGTTGACATTGCAACAGAAAAGAGGTAAAACTATAATAACAATAAGAAGATCCAAAAGGCAACATCATATACCAGATATGTATTTGTCCACTCTCTGTTATTTATTTTTGGTTGAACACCGATGAACTAAAATGTTGTGTAAAAATTAAGGTTAGTAAGAAAACTAAAAAGTGAAAATTTGTTATGGACACTAAAATGAATTCTAGAGTTTTAAGAGTGATACAGATAAATGAGATTATAGAAATAAAAATGATCTCATTTATTTTGTTTAGTTGAGCAAAAAACTTGAGAATTGAAAAATAAATTATTTTTTTGCGTATACGGATAATTGAATATATATAGATATGCATGATATTTATATTTATTTTTTAACTTTTTTTCTACTATTTAATTTTTATATTTTTAAATTATATTATTTTAATTCTACAAAACATCATATTTTATTTATTATTTGAGTATTTAACATTTTAAAAAAATTACACTAAATTTATTTGAGTATTTAAATTTTAAAAAAATTACACTAAATTTTATTTTTTACAAAATATCATATCTAAATTATTATTTTAAATAAAAAATTACCAAAAATATTTTTCATAAATTTTTAAAATTATCTCTTGTTTGAATTATCTTTACCCAACAAAAGAATTTATCTCATTCTCTATTTATTTTTTCTATGGAATTTATTGTTTACTTTCATTTCTATGTGATTTCATTTACGTATCATAAGAATAAAAAAAACATTGCATATTCCGATAAAAAGAAAACATTGCATATAGATGAGTATACTGCTTTAAAAAAAAAGAAAAAAAAAACAAATGAAAGTGAGTAATACGGGCAGATTGAGGGCTCGTTTGGGTTGACTTAAAAAAAAAATAGAAGTAAAAATTATTTGAAATTAAATACACATACAAACGTATTCGGATCTCAAACCTAGATAAAAAGGCTAAGGTCACAGTATAGCGGGTCCAACCTTATGGGCACCTTCAACACCTTTGTAGACTTCGGTCATACCTTCATAGCATCCTCGTGACCCACACAGTATGCTAAAGTCCAATCGGATCTCCGTCGATACAACTCTTCATCGAATTGAGTGTATTTTAGAAACTGATGGCGCATTGCTTTTGAAACGACATTCTCAGGGTCTGTTAGAACTTCCAACAACGAGATTCGCCAATATGGGTCATGGACAACCTGTAGACATTCTTATTATGACCGTATTTCTTTTCTTTTAAATCCGAAAGCCCATTGCGCCAAGTTGTTTACCTCTAAATACTCATCCCACGGTATATCCTCCAACGTCACCTCTGTGAGCTGCTGAGGAAGATCGTGGGCTTCTCGAAGAAGGTCCTTAAGCCGTGGTTCCTTACACTTGAATTCTTTGAGTGCTTGTCGAATAACCAGCTGAGAATCCCCTCGGATAACGACCTTCTTGACATCCTTTGTAATCAAGAATCGCAACGCCTTGTATTCGGCCTAGTTATTGGTGACACATTGTGGAAGCTGGTGGGCGAAGCACAATACTTCTCTTTCTGGACTAGAAATCACCACGCCTACTCCGGCTGCTCCTAAGGTGTTGGACCCATCAAAAGCCACCAACCAAGGTTCCAACCCCACGTAGTCCAAAGGAACAATCTTAACTATCTAGGATGTTCGGCTAAGAAATCTGCGATGGTCTGTCATTTCACGACCTTAAGGGGCTAGTACGTTAATACGAAAGATGCTAGTTTCAACGCACATTTAATTAAACAACCTCGGAGGACTGGCCTATTTAATATATAGCATAGAAGGTCAACTCTTCATCATCATCTTGGGCAAGGAGACAACCTGTTGTGTCATCAGCCGCGGCTATGTACAACTTCAGCTCTCTTCCACTGATTGACGACATTAACATTGGAGGTGATGATAACACCTGCTTAATCTGGTCCAGGGCTTCTTGTTGGGTTGTTCCTCACTTGAATATGTCTTTATTCCCACGTAGTAGCACCGAAAATGGCTTCATTTTTTGGGCGACGTTGGCGATGAATCTCCTCAAAAAATTGACTTTTTTCATCAAGCTTTGTATCTCCTTAACACGCAACGGGGCCCAAGGTCCTGGATAACCTTGGCCTTATTTTTTTCGACTTTGATACCCCTTTGATGAACTAAAAATCCCAAGAAATTCCTTGCTTGTACTCCGAAAGCGCATTTCGTCAATTTTATCTTGAGGTCATGCTGCCTCATCCATATAAAGGCCTTTCGAAGGTTCAAAAAGTGGTGATCAAATGCTCGGGACTTCACCATCACGTCATATATGTGTACCGTCATACAAGCACCGATCAGGTCATGAAATATTAAGTTTGTCGCCCTCTGGTAGGTCGCTCCGGCATTCTTGAGGCCAAAGGACATAACTATCTATTCGAAGATACCGAGCACTCCGGAGCAGTGGAACACTATTTTATAGGCGTCCTCCACGGTTAAATATAATCTGATTATAGTCAGAGTAGCCGTTCATAAAAGAAAGGATCTTGTATACAGCCGTAGAATTCACGAGCATGTAGGCAATGGGCATCACGTAGTCCTTCGGCGTCGTCAAATTGAGGTTCTGGAAGTCAATACAGATACGGATCTTTCCATAATTCTTCACCATTGGTAGCTTAAAGGATTTTTTCAACTTTCTCCTTCACTTTCGGCAACAAATATCGGATTGAAACGCCTAGGGGGTTGTTTGTGCTGCTAAAATGATGCTTTGGTGGGTAGTCGGTGCTCCACCAAGCTCTTTGATAACCCCGGAATCCCATGATAATTCCACGCAAAGAAATCTTTGAATTCTCGAATCAAGGAAATTATTCGCTCGTTCTTTACGATATCCAACAAGGCAATGATTTGCGTTATCCGAGGGGCTGTCTCGTCCCCCAGGTTGACCTCTTTCAATGGATCATGCACTTCAGATAATCAAACAAGCAACCATCCAAATCCTCCGCAAAACCAGCACTCTCACTCAGCAAAAATGACCAAACAAATCTTTGTATCTCTATAAGACTGGACTAAGATAGTTGCATCAAACGATTAAGAAGAGAAAACCTTGAATTGAGAAATCAGGACAAAGCAGACTTCGATATTTCTTTTTGTGTGGATCAAACGAAAACAACAATCAAAGTTTTGTCTAGCACCGATTTCAATAATTTATCAAGCAAGTTGGTAGATTCACCAACCAATTTAAGGCAGTTAGTTGTTGAGGTGCATTCCTAAATCAAGCAAGTTTATAATTGAGTTACCAAAGCTTCTATATATCAAAAGTGGTAAACAAGTATTCCACCCACCGATAGGGTTAAATGAAATTCATGTGCAATAGATTTTTTCCCACTAATACGGTTGCCGAAGTGAGCTTCGAGAAGGATGAGAAAGTCTAGCGAGTAACCTCGGTAGATCAGATAGTGATTACACCATATCAGACCCGTCTTCCCAAAAGAGCTCATTCTGATGGAAGTTGGGCTGTGAACCAGAAGGATCACAGATCGCGTT